TATAATATAATATAATATAATATATAATATAAATATAATATAATATAATGTAAATATAATATATAATATAATATATAATATAATATATAATATAATATATAATATAATATATCAGCACAACCATGTTCTGATCTAAATCCAAGACGCATTCTGCTATTGCCATAAGTCTATTTATTAGGAGAGGAGTGGAAATTTTTTCGATGATAGTAGGCCGATTCCTCGATAATTGTCGCAATATGTCTTGTCACTCTTATTGGGAAGATAAAAAAAATTGCTTTGCTCCAGTCATCTGGTATTATTTTCACCAGAGAGCAAATTTATATCTTAGCTGTTCTGGATGGAGATTTCTGATGTTGTTCCTGCAGTCTGCTGAAGCCACTTTTCTAGTTTAGAGGCTTAGAGGTCACAGTTTCAAATGCTCCAATTATCACTGGAATTACTTTACTCTTCCCTAGTTCCTCTTTCAATCTTTGGTATTTATATATATGAAATAAAAAAAGGAAGGTGGAAAGTATCAGAGATCTCTGTCCAGATGATTAGGAACACTTGAGATACCGCGCAGAACCTTCAATCTCCCAGATCTGTGGGAGGCCCCGAGGTTGAAGATGATTAAGACCACACATAAGGGGCTAAGAAAAAAATGTTTTTTTTAAATTCTTTATTTTATAATTTAAAATTTAAAAAAGAACTTAGCTTGTTGTTAGCAGAAATAGAGCAAGAAAAATAGCAAAAAATAGCAAAAATAGCAGAAAAATGGAAGCAACCACTCGCTAAATAGGAGTTATTGAAAGTTTTTTTTCGCTAACAATATTAATGTTAAATATTAATAAACTCTAATTTCAGAAAGATTTACGATTGAATAATGGATTTGGCAACTTTCAAATATTGTTTTTATTTTTTGTAGCAGGAATGTTTGCAATATCATTATCGTGCCTTTTTTGTTATCACCTCTATCTAACTGCGAAAAATCGCTCAACTTTAGGTATCATTTTCTTGGCGATACACTATTTTTGATTTTCTACTACTTTTTAATATTTTTGTTCCTATCATTCCTTATTGGCGTAATTTAAAGTTGTAACCAATTTTAAATTTTAATATTTTTACGATTTTTTCTCTTTCAATTTTTATTAAAATTTATAAATTCCACAAAAAAAATTAAATTCCATTCAAAAACGAATTCTTCGATCTCATTTATTCTTATTTTTGATAATTGTCTCTAATTGTAACTGTCTAATTAATCTCTTATTTTTAACTAATCTCTTATTCTTATTTTTAACTGATCTCATTAATAATTGTCATAGTGATTAAATATTTTTATTTTCGCGAAATATTTTGATGATATAGTACACCTAGTTCCCTTATTTTTTAAATATTCCTTATTGCAATTTTATTTATTATTTTTTAAAGAGACATTCCGACCACCAATTTTCGTTTATGGAATTGATAAGAATGCTTATAACCTTGGAATACGGAAAAATTTTCTGCAAGTATTCGGTGGCATCACTGTGTTTTGGTTCCTCCCAGTTTTTTCGTCGTGAGTTTATTTTTTCACACTTAATATTTTTTTAAAACTTGTTTTCATTAGTTTAGTGACCATTGCCGATTAAGTTTATTCAAAAATTCTGAAATAATTCTTCAATTTTTGTTACTGGTTAGTAATCCTTTTTTTTATTTTTGCTTCAGTTCTGGTAATGGTATCGAATACCTTCTCAGTATTGGGGTGGGACGGTCACAGTATTCTACAAATAAATGTACAATAAGCCCTGGTAAGATCATTTTCATTTAGGCATTATTTTGTTTTAGAAAGAAAAGTTAATATTTGGGTTAATAAGTTAATATTAATAAGTTAATACTAATTCTATGAAATTGGGGTAGTAAACAATATCTGCGTACCAGTTTCTTAAAATTTTTTAGTTACAGCTCGTTTCATTTAACACTTATTGCTCAGATTCAGCAACGGTATAGTATTTCCTCGGCCAGGATCTCTATGCGAGAATCGAGGATTATTGATAGAAATGGAAGAAAGTGATGATGAACTGGTTAAAATCGTTTAAAGGTCAATCTTGCCTTTCATTTTTTTTCATATCCATTATTCCAAATAGATTCTCACGAATTGAAGCTACCAGATCTATTTATTATTTTTAATATTTAGCTATTAAGTTGATTTTTTCGCCAAAAATATGTAAACAATTTGAAAAAAGGCAAATACTATGCAAGAGAATTTGATATATTTTCATTAATAAATGTATATATAACCCACACTTCCATATAATATATCCGTTGTTTTAATTTTTACTATAAAAATCCTTTTTCTAATATCGTTTCTGGTTTTGACAGATTGCATTGGCTTTTAGGATAGCAGAGAATTGTTTGCGGATAAAAGTAAATGAGCAATTGAGCGTTCACCAAACCAGAAACATTTCTAATTGGACTCGCTCCCTTGGCTGTTAGTACGATTAATATATTTTTTCGGAGCCATTTGGCAGTAGATGTGAGGATGGGTCGCCGGCACTACCCTGATTTTTTCGATGGCTGGTTTATTCTTATCGAAAGCAGATACAAACCTCTGGTGTTTAAGGTAATTTGAATAATAACAACTCAAATCCCCTGAGGATAGAAATATAAATTATGGATCCCCAGCACCACCCATAATTCAATTTTGATGACAAATGCGTTCTTGTTAAGAGACAAAAATAGATGGTTTGGTCTTGAACTTGAACATACCATTTGACTTATTCCTTTTTATTTTTTTTATTTGCATTATTTTAAAATTTGTTCTCTATTTAAACTGTTTTTTTAAACTTTGCAGTAAAATCGTATTTTTGATATTATAAAATTAGTTTCAATGCTTCCAATCTATTGAATTTTTTTAATGAAAAAATGGCAGTTATGGTTTGTTCCCTTATTTCTTTTAGTTCAGTTTGCCTGTTTTCATAATTTTACCAAATGCATATGAAATAGGCATTTTTTAATCGTTAATCTTACAAAAATTACTCAAAATTTTTTTCTCATAATGCACATTTTTGACCATAATTTTGCGAAAATTTCAGTTTTTTTTCTGATCATGTCATGTCATGTGTTAAGAGTTTTTAAACCAACGGTCAAAGTACTGTACAAAATAAACTATATAATACAGAAATATAATATTAAACATGTGGTTTTATATGTGACTTTAGAGGAGAAGCTTTTAAGAATGTGAATTAGCAAAATTCTCCTCAATACTGTCGAGAAGATCATTCACATCATCCATTTCAGTTCTCTGAAAAACCACCGAATTTGATAGTATTAATTTAGATAGACAGTAATATAAACAAAAATTTGCTTAAACATTCTAATAATGTTCAAAAAACAAACGCCTTTATAGCTTTGATCCAGTATTTTTTGAGAAACTGTTATTTCTGCTATCTGTTCAATGAGTTCCTGATCTTCAGAACCAATTTGTATTAAATCTTCCTAAATTATGGGTTTAAGAAATCAAAATGAATTTAAAAATTAAAGATGGACAAGCCAGATAAAACAAATAAAATTATGAATTTGCTGCACAATTTAAATCACAGTGGAAAGGAAATTACGGATTATTGTTCCCTAAATTGAGGCTTTCGCGAAGAAAATATGGTTATCAAAAAAAAGGAAAAAATTCATAAGAACAAAAGATCTTACCTGGATCAAACTGCTTATCCAGGAAATTTTTTGGTGCTATATTCGACACCTTTTATTAAATTTGTTTTTTTATTTTTATTTTTTCAAAATTTTTTCTTAATGCAGCACATAAGCTTGCTAAAAACTAGTGTCAAATAAAATAAATCAATTTTTGAAGCTTTCAAGAAATCTAGTTTTGACATTTTCTCAAATTTTTTTTTTTCCTTTGCAAAACGAAATGAAAATTTTTTATATATAAATATATATAAAATTAATTTTTTTAAATATATAGGTAAGTATACATAAGAGAAATATATAAAAATATATAAATATATGAAAAATTTTATACACATTTTTAAAAAATTCAATTAAGAATTAAAAAGAGGAATTTTTTATTCCAAATATGATAGCATTAATACCTAGGGAATTCCCTGAAATACTTCTAAACTCAGAGATTTTAAACTTTTAAAGGAATGAAAAAATAAAAAAAAGTGCAAAAACTTGCAAAAACCATGAAGCACTAATAACTTGGAAAATAATGAATGAATGAATGTAAAAGTTAAATCTCACCTCAATAAGAACCTTATCATCCCGTTCTCCAATAATGAGAGCATGATTTTTAACAGCAGGGGCGATGAGTTCATTCGGCTCACATTGATGCGACGACAAAATGTTAAGCGAAACAAGTCCGCTGAAGCCGGCAATTTCTTCTCCATTTGACCTAAAAACAATTTAAGAAAATATATTTGTAAATATACTGACAGAAGCCACTTCTTTTTAAATCTAAGTTTATAAATCGATGATCTCCCTATACGTTCGAAATCTTTCAGGTCTTGATTGGTCCGTACAGATTTTGACACCATCCATCACAGAGTTTAGCAAGTAATGAAATATGTGCCAATTCCTGTGGTGGGCGATGAAAAACTTCAACCAGCAAAGGCGACTATCTACGATGGAAGTATTGATAGAGGTGGTGGTATACGACCGAATGGATGCAATTATATGTAACTTTATCCACTTAGCGAACCATTAAAATGTGGATATCAGTGGTCAAAGGCAGATTTCTTCCTAATATCCTCCATTCTTATCGATCATGTATTACAGCCATATAGCAAGATCCGATTCTCGCTGCAACTGTCGACACATTATTTTAGCATTTCGTCACAACTGTCAGCAAAAAGAATATCAGAGTGTTCAAGGTCTACAATACTATGCTCTGGAATAATTTGCAGATCTCTTGAATGCCGATAGGCGATGACCATTATCCAGTCTATCGCATAGCTAAATATTGCAAAAGGGCGCAACCTTGGACACCAGTTCTTATTCCAAAAAGAACCGTTCCCATATATATACAAATGTGTGCCAATGTACTCTGATAAAATGTCTTTATGAGTCGAATGATTTTCTCTGGTACACCACCACTCTCCAAAGCGTTGTTCAATTAAATTGAAGACAATCGTGAAAACAAGTGACAGTTGATATTAAATGCGATGTTCCATTATCTTTCTTAACGTGAATATCTGATCAGAATAACCCTTCCTCAGTCCAACTTGGTTAGGGCGCATCCTGCTGTTTCGTATTGCCATAAGTCTATATAGTTGGAGAGAAACAAATTTTTCTGAAGATTTAGGCATATTTAGGCATATTATCGTTCTTAGGAATCGGGGGTAATACTGTTTTGCTCCAGTCATCCGGTATTTTTTCTTCCATACCTTAAAATATTTATTAAAGGTATGGACGATGGAGAACGTTTGAAGAAGAATTCCGCCAGAAGACCATCTTTTTCTGAACATCCGGAAGTTACATTGGCCTTAAACTTCTGAAGGATAAAGATTACTTCTTGTTCTATTGGCGGTTCGCTGTTACATATGGCTCGACTAGCGACCAGCTATATCTGGAACAACAGATCAATCCAACTCTATACAAGTGGTCAAAATAAATAGACTAGTTATAAAATAAGAAAGAATAATTAATTGAAAAGCATTTAACATGTTATAGACTAATGTATAGACAAAAACAAGTAACAGAACTTACTAGATTATTATCTAGTAAGACAATAAGTGTATAAAGTCAAAAATTAGAGTGTAAAAAACTACAAAATTAAATAAATTAAAGATTAAATAAAGAAGATTAAAGACAAAAATCTTTAAAAACTTGAATGAAAAATCAAATCTAAAAAATCGAAAAAAAATCATAGGAATCATAAGAATTTTTCTAGTCCACAAAAAATAAAAATATGGCATAACTTAACCTCTTAAGGTTATCGTCGGTGATAACTGAACTTATTAATTCAGAAACATTGATCGCTCGCTGCATAGCAGTTTCTACACATTGCATTATCTGAACTAATAACAAATCATAAATACATTATGAAAATGTTTAATTTTATACTTTGCCATCAGCAAAAAGTTTTTTAACAAACTTAACGAATTTTTAGCAAGTAATGTGAATAATTAATATATTACCAAATCTTGATTAAGAACGAGATTACCAGTCTGATGTAAGGTACAAATTTCATGGCGCTTATTTACTGCAACAATCAATGTACCTTTCAAACACATTTCTTCTCGATCAGTTGGATCTAACACTGCAGGCTGCCTTGAAATGATAGAATTCTTAAAGTAACAGAAGAAACACTAAATTTATTGTATTGTAAATTATTTAATTTTAATCATATGTAGAGTCAGTCGTAAGTTATGAAAGATTACCTTTATGGCCGATAATAAAATATAGATTAAATATAATGACCTAAAGAATAAACGAAACACAGAAAAACAAACGTATCGTCATAAACTCCAAAAGATACACAGATTGGCAAATGATATATGTTGAGTGGAATTGGCATCTTCTGACTACTACCATACTGCAAAAAAACGCATTAATAATTCTTCGTATAATTAATAATTATTACTTAATAATTAAGATAATAATTTATCCACCGTATATTCATAGAAAATAAATTTTCTAGATAAATAAATATTTCTAAATAAATACTGCTGCAAAAATATCAATAAAACCTACAATTATCACGGAATCAGATAGGACATTAACATCAGGTCTTTTAAAATGCACAAGAGCAGTAAGAACAGCAACTGAGGCACAATCAATTAATGAACCATCATCATCTAAAATATGTACATCGACGCGAATCGACCATATCTAAATCCATAGTAAAGATGAAGATAAATCCATATTTTGCCAGGAAACTAAATTTTTTGAATTCTTCAACCTGTTTATATTTCCTTATGCATAACGATTCTAAATCAATAACACCACAATCCCTTAGCAGAATCTCCAAAACACGCATCAATTCAATGCCTTTAGACCCAAGTTTTCCATCTTCGTAAGTTGGTGCGGCCATCGGGGACATTCTTACGTGAACCTCCACTGAACCCATGTTTCCGCGTGCAGAGGTAGGTTCAGTCAAATTACAACTTATCTGAACAAATATCCTAAAATTTATATTAACAATAGTATTGTAAAAAATAGATTAATAAAATTATTGATTGGAAGCAGTTGGATGATGCTCGCTTGCTACGCGTTAGGTAACCTTGATCCGACTGCTTTATCAGAACAATAATAAAGAACACTGGTTATTGTACGTATAATAAAAACTTTTATTCGTTACCTCAAACTTGGGTAATTAAACCAAATAGATTAAAAGGCAAAACAAAGGAAAAGAATAAAGGAGAATATTAATATTAATATTACTACCTAACCGCTTGGGTCTCTTAATGGCGCCTAAAAGAAGGAAAAGAATGATATGGTATCTTAAAATGCAGAAGAAAGATTTTTATAAGTATACATAAGCTGTAAACTGTCCTTTATGTTTTATTGACATATAAAGTACAATAACCAAAGAATTAATTAAGAAAATTTTCTTTGGCGGGTAGGAGTCACCAGTTTGAAAAAATAACTTAAGAAAAGACATCGGATTTTGCGACACATATTATGTTGATTCTTCACAGAAATAACGGACATATAGTGAAATAATTAAATCACTTTAAATCGTATTTGATAATTGCAATAAAAATATGCTACCATAGCGCAACCACATAAAATTTTTATGAAATTTTAACTTTTTCATGAACTTAATTTTTATTTTAATTTCTCGATTAATTCTCCACTGAAATAAGTGCATTTAAGAATGATCTTTCTAAAAGGTTAAAATTTAGCATTTTCAATTCAGCCAAATAGATTGTTTCAGGTTGATGAAAATGGTTAAATAATAGATGCTAAATTCAAGACGTTTGGTTGTGGTTTAGCAATTGCATCGAGTAGTTTCGGAACATAGCACTGTAGTTAAAAAATTCTAATGTTTGACGAAGAAGCTATTCAAGCAGGAATTCAACCCCGCTTGGGTCTCTTAATGGCGCCTTAAAGTGCAGAAGAAAGATTTTTATAAGTATACATATATACTGTAAACTATCCTTTATGTTTTATTGACATATAAAGTGCAATGACCAAAGAATCAATTAATTTTTCTTTGGCGGGGGTCACCAGTTTAATTTGAAATAATGATTTAAGAAAAGACACAGCATTCCGCGACAAGTATATTTCAAATTTTCAAATTCAAATTTCTAATAATAAAATTGTTCATTGTTCATTTAAACAAAATGATGTTTGAACAATTTGCAAAAATTTTAATAGAAAATTTGGACAGATTTCATAGAATAATATCAAAATTGTTTGAGTAGAATTGAATAGAATTTTATAGGAGCATATTATGTGAGGAAAAATTAGATTGGCAAATTTGAAAGAAAACAAAAAATTATAAAATAACTTATTTCGTATGTCCAATAATTGCAATACATGTTCCCAGCTCTGCACCAAGAACAACTTTAATGCTGCGAAATTCATCACATTTACGACCATCAACTCTCTAAAATTAAATAAAATACGAAAAAAATTTCAAATTTCTGCATAAGAATGCAATATCCATCAAAAATGATATAAATAATAATAAATAAAAAATAAATTTATAATGATGAATAGTAAGTTTTGACTTGATGTAAAATAATAAAGAGCAAAAAAACAGGCGATAAAAAACTGATTAAAAAGGAATTAAAATATTGACAGCCAAATCTTTAAATACTTTTAATAAATTTTTTTAAAAATATAATCTCTAAATCAATTATTAAAAACAACCAACCATATTTTCAACAAATGAACTGATAATGAAATTTTTTTCACATATTGATAAAGGTTCGCCTCGCATCTAAAATAATTATTAGCTCTAATCTGTTAAAAAATTTTTAAAATAGAGTGAATTAGAGTAAATATAAAGGAAAAGAAAATTTGAGAACAGAAAATTGAAATCGTAAAACTGAACCAATTCAAGAAAATCGAAAATCGTTTTCACAACAAAATATATTAATCAAATAGCAAGAAATATATTAGCCAATATTATAAATTCAAAAAATAGTGGATAATCTCGACAAATATGCATTTTAAGAAAACAACAACAAATTAAATGCATTTAATAAAGAAATGCTTCAAAAAATTTTATAAAATTTCCTTTAAACATTTAAATATATTTCGATCAGAATCCATTTAAAAAAAAAAAAAAACAAAAATTTCAGTTAAAAATAAATTTTATATGAATAAAAAGGAATCAAAAAAATATCACCAAATGAGATTTTGATAACTTATCAAATTAAAAAACAAAAAAGCAATTATAAAGAAAAGTTCAAGCACAAAATTGCTCATTTAACACCTGATACTGCTGGCATGTGAGCACACAATAACTGAATTTTTTTCTTAAGATTTTCCATTATAATATTTCGTACCTGTTGCTTTTCTGGTAAGATTTTTTCGATTGTTTCCATCTTAAAGTACTTTATTATTATAGTTATATCCCATTGTTAACTTGGATGGAGCAAGAAATTCTTGTCAACCAAAGTATCCCAAAAATTTATCGCACTATTAGTTAAATGTAAGCGAGATTACATTCTTTAAAAATAATGGAAAAAATTTCTTATAACAATTCGTAAACCAAAAAATATAAAAATATCTATAATAATCAAGAATAAATGCGGAAAAATAACTATGGAAAATAAAAACCTGTTTCTTCAGATATTGTTGCTTTCGTTTGAAATAATCGGCAGCTTGTTCATTTGACATTTCGACAAAATAACCCGTTCCGATATCAATCATAAACTTTGCTGGATCTTCCATTTGTGCCGAAATATACATCTAAAACGAGAATTTAACGAATATAAAAATTGATTAAAGTTAAAATTCAACCGGAATTCAACCAAAATTAAATGAATGAAACAGGGAAGGGATGGTAAATTGTTATGTTTCTTCTTCTTCTAGCACTCATTATTTCTGGTTTGATTAGCACTCATATAGATTACACATGGTTTTTTGTTCAATTCTTATTCCTTCAACGGAAAGAACTTGCCATCAGAAAAAAAACCGGTTATGGTGCGGACACTTCTTCTTCTAACAGCTCTCATAATTACTGCTCTGCTGGCTACATGTCCAAGCTACTCGGTCCGTCGCTATTAATAAAAGAAATCATTCCTTTTTTCTATCGTTTAAGTCCATATATCCTCCTATATGTTCAAAATCTTTCCTGCCTGTATCAGTCCAGATCTTGATTGGCCCTCCTCACTTTTGACGCCATTCATCACAGGATTCGGCAAGTAGCGACATATGCAGCAACTCCTATGGTGGACGACGAAGAATGTGCCCTAACCAGCGAAATCGATGCTCTACGATTATTAATACAGGTGGTATTTGAGCGAAGATGGATGCGATCATGTGATATCTTATCCGCTCGACGGATCCGTAATATGTACCTTAGACAAGAGTGAGGTAAATACTTTCTTAATATCTTCCACTCTCATTGGCCTTGTCTCGCAGCCATATAGCAAGATCGAATGAATCACTATAGATGGAGCTACATAGATGGAGACTTTCGTTTTAATGTTAATTAATGTTTTAATGTTTTAACAAGGTTCGTTTCCAGTTTTTTTTATGAGAAACTAAATAAGCTGATCTTTTTATTTTCTTAATCCAAAGAAATCAAATGAATCGCAGTAAATCGATTATAATAAGAAAACAAAAAAACATATCATATTCGTATCCTCTTCAAAAATAAAGAGGTATTGCTCAGCAGGTAAGCCTAAGCCTTCAGAACCCCCAGTGCAGTGGTCAATGCAAAGGATGTAAAAGTGCTCCACAAGCATTGTTGTCCACTGTGATCTAGTAGACGATAGTTACACTAGACGGAAGAAAGAAGAAATGAAATATTAAATGGAGCAAGAACTGGATTCAGCGAAAGAAGCTATCGAGAACAACCTATCAGTGTTCATCCGCAATTCGAGATTGTTTACTTTCTTAATCGTTCCAATTCTTGATGGAATAATATCATTGGCCTATATATAGAGACTCAAACAATTTTTATTGTCATACCATTATATCATCAATTTGGAAGCAAACAGGACAATATAATGATATATAGGGAAAGGAGCATAACATAGGACATATGTCAAATCGACAATTTGCCAGTGGAGATATCGAGGAACTTCCGAAGTTACTTGAATTATACAAAAGCATTATATAGTAATAATAATGATTTTAAAAAATATTAATCTAGAAATTTTCACATAACTGTATGAACTGTACTTAAATGAATTTTTGATCAAAATGGTCCTATCCTAGCAGTCGATGGAGCCAGAAATGGTGATGGCAATATTAGAAAAAAGAAAAGAATTTGTATGAAATAAATAATTAAAATATAAAATTGTTAAATAAATAATAACAAAAATTGCATAAAAATTATATCTAGATATTAAAAAACTATAAATTATAAAATTTTAAAATAAACTAACTGATTCGGTTAATGGAATTAACACTTCTTTATCCGCTGTAATTGATTTACTTTCGACAATAGCCGATTCGCTTGCAGCGAATTTCGCTTCAAACTTTTTCAACTCCTGAATTTGCACTTTTTTAAATCAATAAATTAAATTTTGGCAATAAAAAAAATTAATAAATCCACAGTGGGACAAATAATTTTCCCAACGAACGTTCGTTTTTCAAGGCACTGAATTAAATCTGATTTTAAAAAAACAATTATTTTCCTCTTTATCTTTTTATTTTTTTCTCCTTATAATTTTTGTTTCTCCTTTTTTTGCATATTAATATAATATAATGACAGTAATCAAATGCTATCAAGTTAAAAATAAAATTTTATTTAATAAAATAAAATTTTAAAAACCAAAATATTTAGATTTTAAAAACTAAGAAAAAAAGTTTTTTTTAATTTCTTTCATTTTCTCTCTTTATTTTTAACTTTTCAACTTTTATCTCCATCACTGACATAGGAATCCTTGTCTTCTTGCAATCCTGGATATTTATATTATGCAAATTAATAAGAATATCAAAGCTTAAATTTTATGAAATTAATTAAATGATGAAACACTTAAAATATCACTACAACGATAATAAACTATTAATTAAGTCATTAAGAGTATTTATATGAGATGGTTTAATAAAATTTTGGATGTCATGTGTTAACTTCCAAAATACTTTTAATAAATAAAGGGATATTAAATTTAAAAATTTATTCAAAAAGAATTATTTTAAGCTAATGTTGGCGCAACTGTACTACTAATATTCACAAACAAAAAAAAAGAAACCTGAAAACTTCTAGATTAATATTTTTTAAAATCATTATTATTACTATATAATGCTTTTGTATAATTCAAGTAACTTCGGAAGTTCCTCGATATCTCCACTGGCAAATTGTCGATTTGACATATGTCCTATGTTATGCTCCTTTCCCTATATATCATTATATTGTCCTGTTTGCTTCCAAATTGATGATATAATGGTATGACAATAAAAATTGTTTGAGTCTCTATATATAGGCCAATGATATTATTCCATCAAGAATTGGAACGATTAAGAAAGTAAACAATCTCGAATTGCGGATGAACACTGATAGGTTGTTCTCGATAGCTTCTTTCGCTGAATCCAGTTCTTGCTCCATTTAATATTTCATTTCTTCTTTCTTCCGTCTAGTGTAACTATCGTCTACTAGATCACAGTGGACAACAATGCTTGTGGAGCACTTCTACATCCTTTGCATTGACCACTGCACTGGGGGTTCTGAAGGCTTAGGCTTACCTGCTGAGCAATACCTCTTTATTTTTGAAGAGGATACGAATATGATGTTTTTTTGTTTTCTTATTATAATCGATTTACTGCGATTCATTTGATTTCTTTGGATTAAGAAAATAAAAAGATCAGCTTATTTAGTTTCTCATAAAAAAAACTGAAAACGAACTTTGTTAAAACATTAAAACATTAATTAACATTAAAACGAAAGTCCCCATTTATGTAGCTCCATCTATAGTGATTCATTCGATCTTGCTATATGGCTGCGAGACAAGGCCAATGAGAGTGGACGATATTAAGAAGCTATTTACTTTTGACCACTCTTGTCTACGGATCCGTCGAGCGGATAAAATATCACATGATCGCATCCATCTTCGTTCAAATACCACTTGCATAAATAATGTTATAATAGAGCGTCGCCTTCGCTGGTTAGGGCATATTCTCCGTCCTCCACCATAGGAGTTGACGCATATTTCGTTATTAAACCGTGTGATAACCTGGTTGGCATCAAAAACGAAGTGAACCAATCAAGACCTGGACTGATACGTTCCGGAAAGATTTTGAACGTATAGGTAAACCAGCAATATATGGACTTAGACGATGGAAAAAGGAATGGCTTCTATTACTGTCGACGATGGCATCAGATCGCGCCGCTTTGACGTCTTATTCTTACTCTTGCTGGAGCCAATCTAGTAATGAACCAGTAATGGTGAGAGCTATTAGAAAAAGAAGGAAACGAATCTTGTTAATCGATGGTCATATAAGAGGAAAAGAGTCGCACAGCGATACAACGATATAACGTTGCCTAAGTCAGGCAGAATATTTAAAGAAGAGCTACAACAGCTAATTTCCAGCATGATCAAGATATCATAGAATCACCTATGGAAACAATTTCATTTTTGTTCGGGATTCAGTAGATTCTTAATGCTGATGAATAAAGTTCTCGTGTGGCTCTTTGTCACCATAAATACTGAAAGTGCTATATATCTCAAAATTTCTCCATTGTCTGAAGATGATATCTGAAGTCTTGAATTAGGGTCGTATTTTGGGTTGATGAAGCTTCTTCCGCAATGTCCAGAAATGGACCGCGTGATGTGTGAGGAACTATCAAATCGACGGACTTAAGACTTTTGGTGGATTTCTGGGAGATATGTAACAAAAAGTACGAAATTATTCTTCAGTGAAATATTTCCCATCATTCTATGCATGCTTCGTAAGTACTATTAAATGTACTATTCATTATATACCATCATAACGCAGAGTATGGTCGGTAATGAATAATGAATATGATTTCCTTTTATGCCTTTGGAAATGTAAATATATTGGAAAATAGACCGTTATATAAATAAATATATATTAAATACATATTAAATTTTAAATACATTAAAAATTAATTGTCATTATATAATTACTTTTAATAAATAAAAATTATTTTATTAAGTATATTAAAAAATATAAAAATATAAAAATTATTAAGTATATTAAAAAATATATTAAAAATATATATTTAATTGACAAAAGTGTTAGAAGTTAGATGGAAATTAATAAGGAAAATTGTCAGGATATGGCCTCATGTATTTTAATATACAATGAATCTTTTCAGAATAAAGGCATAATCGCTTAGGTTTTTTCTTAGATTTATTACATTTACTAGTCACCATAATCTTAGATTTTTCAAAAACTTCACAGATGTGTCGAACCTATAGAAAGAGATAAAAATAAAAATACCAACCAAATCTTACATTTTCATTAACAATGCGTAGCCTTCGCTGGTTAGGATACGTTCTTCGTCGCCCACCACAAGAATTGACACGTACACGTTTCGTTACCTGCTAAACCTTGTGATGGCGTAAAAAACCAGATGAGCCAATCAAGACCTGGACTGATACGGTCAGGAAAGATTTTGAACATATAGGCGAACCAGCAGGACTTATACGATGGAAGAGTGGCTTTTATCGCTGTTGACGATGGCATCAAATTGAGCCGCTTGGAAGCATCTTACTCTTGTAGCTGTTGGAGCCAGCCTAACCAGTAATGGAGAAAGTTGTTGGAAGAAGAAAACCAACCAGTTGAATGATAATCGATCTATCTTTCGAGATCCAATAGTGCACATAGAATGCGAGCTAATGTGTATCCAGCATGTGTGCGGATAATATGAATATATATGACGATTAATAATAATGTTAGCCTATGTTTAGTTGGTTTTGTGTCATTTTATTACCTAAGCCATTAATAAAAGTTTAGAATTTTTTGAGACACTGCAGAAAATTTTACACTTCAACGGTGGCTGAAAAGCTTTAATAAATGTTTTCTCCCCATGATATATGGCATTGTCAGTTCTTAACTCGCACCGAGAATAGAGCGTTAGATTCAAACAAGCCGATGCACCATGTTATGGCTCAGTGGGTTGTTGCTCAATTCGGAGTACCGATGCTGAGATTCTATTCCTTGCAGGAGTAAACCTGTACAAAAATCCGGGTGATGCTGACAACTCACCTATGCCTCTATCACCAAGGGACTCCCTGCTCCAGTGCGACAAGCAAGCAGAACGGGCTTAAAGCAGGTTATGGTGGGTGAGGACTACTAAAAAAAGGAAATCATCGACGGTCATGATAACACAATTTTAATCCATTTTTTTAAACAGTGTGCCTCGTGTTGCGTCGTCTGAATTAGACATGTCGAAATCTTGTGTTGTTGTATTTCGCGATAAACTAATAACTGTTAACTTCCGATCACTTATCGGTAAGAGGATATATTTCGAGTAACCATAAATCAGAGACTCAAGGTTCCACATCCAAGTTTTTTTCCGTATATAAGTAGTCGTACTCCTATCACTACTGCCATAACCTATGGCGATTAATTGGGAATAAGTATAATTACCCTGAATAATTATTCTTCAATAATTCTGGCTAAAAAAAGTACCTTTAAAGATTCCGTGAAAAAAGCCAATTCTTGATCCAACTGCTTTTGCAGCATATTTAACTGTTCGATTCCCAACTCAGATATTGGAATTGTTTGTTTTCCAGCCGTTGGATCCATTTTAATGATTGACCGAGCCCCGTCCTTTCACCACCCTCCGAGCTTTCCCCAAAAACTTTCAAATAGACTTACCAAAGCAACAGCACTAAAAAAAATCCAGATTTAAATTGATTGTCCAGATGTATATTCTCAGTACGCCGCGCTGGTGACACGTGTGCCTATCACTTAAAGGCCAACCTCTTCGATCTTTAAAGTGAATGAATGATCGGTCGGTGGGGTTAAAGGTTACTTTTCGGTTCAGTTCAGTTCAGGTTACTATTTTGCGGATTTGAGTTCGCAGTTATTCTCATTATATTATGCATAATTTTTATTATCTAATGGAGTTGACAAGTAATTTAAAATTTGATCCAAGGAATTTTTAGAATTGGTTAGAATAAAAATGATTCCCATAAATGTTCAGTCGACGTCAAATTTAGTTATACCCGTTGTGCTTTGGGGCAGAAGTGCACCGAAACACCGCATAAGTTGCATTCGATCACTGCCTGATACAAAGACTATTGTTACAGGTTTGCTTTCTTATTGTTATCACTTGTGCAATTGATCTTTTCGTGCCTTTAAAAGTTGAGAGGCGCGGAAAATGGTGCTATTTTCAGGTTTCATTGAGATTCAGGTGAGACAGCTTTGGGTACCTTTGAGAATCTAGTAAAAATTATAAAAAAAGCGATTCATAAAATAAATAAATAAATAATTTCATGTGTAATGACGAATTTTCCAGCTTCCATGGTCAGCGATTTTTAAATTTAGGAAAAGTCAGTTTATAGATCAGTAGGCTATTTATGAGAAAATTAGATCATTTATTCTTTTGTTTTATTAATTTTATTTTATCAAATATTTTTCTCATTGAAATATTTCAGGAACTTTTGATGGCGAATTAATAATTTGGGAAAACATCAGTTCCGTATTGAATGCGAAGTTATTGCTTATTGGTCATGAAAGATGCGTTACATGCTTATCACCAACCTCGCTTGCTTCCTCTTCAACGTTTGTTTTATTTTCATGTAAAGATTTGGTTGCTTTTGGGTCCACAGTAAGGTCTTCTCTTTGTTCCTTTTCCTTTCCCATTTACTTTTTCATTTCGGCTGCTGTACCATTGCCTTTTCAATAATTTAAGGTAATTTCCCTCGCTGTAATATCCCCTCTATTCCCTACTCTGACATCATCATTTTCTTATTATTAAAAAATGCCGCTAAATGTTCAAAACTCATTGCTTAAAAATTGTTGGATCAATTACTTCTTAAAAATCAGAAATTACAACTTTTAATATAATTTTAATAATATAACTTTGATTTAATTCCAGCTTTAATGAATGATTTAAAATTTAGTCGTTTCATAAGTTCTTCATCTGATGGACAAATAATTTTATGGGATAGTACTGATGGTCGGTGCATTGATAGCGTTTTCACAAATTATATTCATCGACGCATCGCACTTTATGTAAATGATTTTTAATATCGGATGGTTTTTTAATAAAAAAAAATGATATTTTTCAGCGCTTTCAATAATTGTTATTGTCCATAATTTTAGTAATTTTGTAATTTCACAGTTATTGTTTTATAAATTTTAGTCCATTCGGTCAGCTGATTTCCATACATGCAGGTTATACTGTTTGGGAGATTATTCGGAAATTGTTGTACTCGATCCACAAGATTTAAATATTCTTTTTACTCTCGGATCACGTGTTGAACCTGACTGGTTATCCGCAATTACCTTTGCAAGACCTTCAAATTCTTCTGGTTCATTTTTTTTATTTTTATATCTTTTAATTTTCCTTGTTATTTATAGCTGATAAATTCTCATTAATATTATGCATCATGTGCCTTTCGATAGAAGCAAAATCATCAAAAGTCTGGATAATGCTTAATGCTGCGGATCCATTTTTCTTAATGATTGCTTCAAATAGAACAAAATGTTTATTTATTTAAGAAATTATTTTATTTATCATACCATCAATTAATTATTTCATTTATTTAGATATGGTGATTGGAGTTTCATTTAGTGGGATGATTAAAATATGGCATTTGATAGAAATTGATAAAAAAGTAACATGATTTTTTAAAAATTATTTTTATCATACCAAATCTCGGACTTAAATTAGAGAAAATTAAATTAAAATTTTTAAATACTTCACTTTTATGAATAAACCTTAATGAGAAATTTTATTAAGCGTTGGATAACGCTTACTTTTTTAGGATAACGCGCAACCGTTATATGAATATGAATCAAAAAATATTGATGATAACGAAATTTTATCTATTTCTTGGTCACAAGCAAACCCATCTGTATTTTTACTGGTTACGAGTAATTCGTGGCAGGTAAATGAATTATCCATGTAATACGAAAATGGTTTCGTAAAACATATATTGTTTTTGTCTTTAAATAATTTTTTTCGATTATAAATCTGTCTGCAGATGATTCTTTCAGATGTTTTCTTTAACTGATCTTAATCGTCTTTATGCTTTTGATTGTGTTGATCAACTCTGCGATGGGTCGTTTTTATACAGTAATGTGGTTGCTGTTGCATGTTCTTCGGGTGTGATCAAATTATACTTGCTTCCTGACAGGTAATTAAATTTTTAAATTTTTAAATTTAAATTTTAAATTTTTAAATTAAATTTTATTTATTTTATTTTATAGCTTTATTTTCATCTATATGTTTATCTATATATATAATATATATTATATATATATGTTATCTTATTTTAATTTAAGTGTCGTGAAAGATTTGGATGAGGAAAAGAATCCTATTAAAAAAGCCACTATTATTTCTGTTATTGGTGAAAATTCACCTTTAAAGAATGGGGTACTTATTATTTTCAATATTTTAATTATTTCACTGTGTTGAAGGAAGTTTGTCGCAAAATATTCAGAATATTGCGTTACACTATGTTTATGAACTCAAAAAACAGATATTTGTGATATAAGCTAAACTGCAGGTAGATCTGAAGGCAATAAAATTTTTTTAGTATTCGAATTACGTTTCATTTTATTTCAATGTTGGAACGAATGATGCATCAGATCTAATATATCGTGCTGATATTGGTGGTAATATATATGCTTGGAAAATTTCCGATATTATTGCAAATTATGAGAGAAAAAGTGAGAATCATAGTCTGAGACCTTCACAAGCAAATCTCACTAATTTATGGGATAAATTTAATTGTCCCCCGCCATCTTTAATGGACAATGAAGTAGGTTTATTTTCTTCACGTTTCACGATTTGCTTTCAAAAAATTTTTTAGTGATTTACTGAATTTTTTACTTGTTAATTTTTTACTGATAATTCTTACAATGTAATTCCAAAATATCAGGAAGGCCAGAAAATAACTGCAATACTTTATATCAGTTTACAAGGCCGTTTAGTGCTTGGTCGTGATGATGGATCCATTTTGATTATGTATGCATGTGATGCGTTATCCAAGCAGTTGCTTGAAAATGAATCAGCAGGTTTACTTGATATACATACTTGTTTTTCCCATATTTACTGGGCTATAAATAAATTATTTGAAATTTGAAAAAAAAATTTTCAAAATTTATATTTTTTGACCTTGATTTATTTTTAATAGCACTTTAATGTAGCAAATGAAGATAAGTGATGAATGAGAATTTTTTTTTACTCTGGTTTTTAACGCTTTAGAAATTCTATGTTATGGATACTGTGGTAGTACAATATTTTTTTAAGAATTCTCATCATTACTGGTTAAACCTCGCTCCGCTGGCTTGTCGCACTGGACAAATAAGCCAGAGAATCCCTTGGCGATAGAAGTACAGGTGAATCGCCCGGATTACCCGGATTTTTGGATAGATTTGCTCCTGCGGGAAATAGAACCTCAGCATCGGCGCTCCGAACTGAGTAAAACAATATATTTAATTGATAAATCAAAGAATTTATTTAGAAATTAATTGCCGTCATTTGTGTGGCCATACTTCTTCCATTTCTTGTCTCATTTATCCGCATGAAGAACATTCACGGTATGATCGGCAAATATTCGTTTCCGGGTCAGTCGATTTTTCCGTTATTGTGTGGAACATCAATACAGGATCGCGTTTATTTCGCTTCTGTGTCCAAGGAGGGCCCATTTTGCGATTTCTTATTCCACCTTATAATTGTAACGTAAGATTTTATTGCTCAAATAGTTGAACTTCTTTATTCGGTGCGAACCATTTTTTACAAAATTAGTTTTGTTTTAATTTGAAATAATAATTATTGGGTCGTTCATTCGTTCATCTCTTTTTTTTCCTGACGTTCACTTCAGCTTTTCAAATATTTAAATTTCATTTCCTATTTTATAGGCACGCATTTTGCGTTCAATTTGTTCTGTTGCTGGCGATAATTCAGTAGCTTTGCTTTCTCTAAAAGAAAATAAGTGCCTTTTATTAGCTAGTCGTCAGTTGTTTCCTGTTGTTGAAATCAAATGGCGACCACTCGATGATTTCATGCTTTTAAAATGTGAAGATGATTCGGTTTATATTTGGCAAATGGATACAGGTATTTTTTCCTGCTTTATTTTTTTGTGAACTCAGTTCTATTTCATAAATTTTAGAATGGGTTGTTCGAAATAGAATATTTAATGCTTTTAAAACGATTTATTTTAATTTTTTAAGCAAATCTGGAGCGTGTGGTGACTGGTACAATATCTGAGGAAATTCTTTCTGCTTGTGAAGAACAAGTAGGTATAATAGAAGGAGATGATGAAGCTGGTGCGTCTCAAGCAATTCAAATGCTTCGTGCATTCCGCAATAAAAATATTAATGCTGTGAGTAAATTTATTAAACTTTAAGAAATAAATGGTAGTCAAAATTAACGAAAATTAACGAAAATTTTATAAAAATTTGGTTGCCTTGATCAGAAATTTAGGTGCGACAGATTGCCAGTGGTGGTCAGGAAGAAAAATCGAACATTCCGATTACTTCAGAGAAAGGAACTGATCTGCCTCCTCCTATGGCAATTATGCCTCTAAGAAAAGTTTCAGATACGGCATATATTATTCTTTTCAATATCGATTCTATCATTGGTGATCTTTTCTGCTTCCAATTATAATTTACAAGAAATTAATTTTTTTTTGACCTTTTAATCTTTTTTAGTTGGCCTTCAATCTATTGAAAATGAAGCTTCACCAACTGAAATGGAAAATAAATCTCTATCAACGATTTTGAAAAACAAGCCGCATGAACCTCGACCGGCGCGTATTGTTTGGCAGACAGAATCTAATCTTCATTTGGATGTTGCAAAATTTTGCCTTAGCCTTTTACACGCATGGACTTTGGATGCTGATCTTGATGCTGTTTGTTTAAAAAGTCTTCGTCTTTCTAAGCCACTAATGCCTCTTAATTTCGGTATTGCTTCTCGTCAAGGTAATTTTTGCTAGATTTCTTAAATCTTACATGTTTATTTATTATTATTTTAATAAAAATAATTGTTATTATTTTAATAAGAGAATAAAAATTCTACATAAGTTTTTTTGTCCATCCTTTTTATATTCTTTTTTTTAGGATATATATCGGTCCTTTTACCCACAGAAGCGCAAAATTGCTGCCCTTATCCAGAAATCAATTTATTTGATCAGTTTTCTTCAAATTTTCATTGGAGCTTGAATAGCTCGCTTTCAACCATTCATTTAATGGCGATAATATCTCTAGCAAATACTTTATTATCACTTCGAGAAGCATCCGTTGTTCCAAATACAAAAAGAGGTTTGATTAGGTTGGCTATCCATCTATTTTTAATATATATTGTATTATTCAGTCTCTTCATAATCTTCAAACAAGAGGAAGGAATGATTATTTATAATGCCAATAAAAAAAAAGATAAGAAGTGAATGATTGGTGGAGCCAGTTGAAAATTTTACTTTTTACAATTATTTTCCCTTTTTTCTTCAGTTATTTTTAATTTGAGGAAAACATCATCTTCACGATCCGCAAGCTCAGACACAACTGGAAATGAAAATCAATTAAAGCAAGGCTGGTCTTTATTAGCTGCAATGCACTGTTGTCTTCTTCCTGATCTTGTTAAGTCGAAAGCAGTCTATTGCTCACCTCGCATTGAACTGTTGGCTAGGAGGTGTTTCAATTCAGATATATATCTTAATATTTTTATTTTTCATAATTTATGTAATTTTTGCTCTTATTAAACATATTATGAAACTCTTATTAAACTATTGGAAAATACCTCTAATTTTTTACAGATGGCAGGATCGTTGTTTAGAAATACGCTTGGCTGCACAAGCACTTCTTACTCGTGAACTTAACAGAATGGGTATGAAAGGGCGGAAGCGTTTGATGGAGTCTTGGGCTCCATTTCTCCCTACACTTCTCGATCCTACATTATCTATTTTTGGTGCTCGAACAGCAACTGCATCGATGAATATGGCTCCACCATGTGCCGTTCAACCTCCACCTATCCCACCTCGCAGTGGTCGTATTCCTCTACCAGCTGCCACCATGAATGGTTTTATTTAATGATAGCTTTGATTTAAGCTTTTAATTCTTAATTTTTTTGCGGTATAAAAATATTTTAGTGGAAGCAAAACTGGAAATGGAAACAGGCTTGCAACAAATTCGTCGAAATCAAGCCACCGCAGTAATTCTGTTTGGTGTTATTGGTGCAGATTTTCCTGATGAGTTAAATAGGGTTTGTAATATTGAAATTTACTCAAATTTCCTTTTTTAGATGAAGGAAGTAAAACAATTCGCGTAACACTGCAATCTTTTCTTTAAGTTGGAATTGTCAAGAGCAACAGCACAGTCATTACTTGAACTTCTAATTGCTCCACCTTCTGCATTACTTCCAATGCATTCTCCACTTCGTCGTGCAGCTATTGACCTTATAGGTCGAGGTTTTTGTATCTGGCAACCACATTTTGATATCACCAAAGTTTTGCTTGGACTTCTGGATTTATCGGCATGCAGCGAAAAATACAATCTGTTATTTTTCAATATTGATTTGTTTTAGAACTGATGATTGAGAAGATTTTTGAGAAGATTGAGAAGAAAAATATCAAAAAAACAAAGATTTTTACCATTTTTTAATATTGTTCATAGAGAAAAAGCTGCAATTCTGGAACCAGCAGTTGATGCCTGTCGAACAGCTCGTCATGCTTTGAGTCTTATCGCATCATTACGTCCTCCTGCTCTTATAACTGCTTTAAGTAAAGAGGTACTCTTTTTTTCTTATGAGATTAAATCTATTTATTTTTAGATTATCTGGAATTTTTATAAGGATTGCGGTTATTATATGAGAAATCTTCAGTTTTCATATTTTTATTAACAATTTATTTATTTATTGAAAACCAGCTAAGCAGGGCGAAAATGCCATGTGCTTGTATTAATAACAACAATTAAAATAAAAAAAACAAATAAAATTTAGTAATAAGTAAAAATATAAAATAGAAAATATGACAAACAGTTTAAAGAGGAAATTGCAAAGTAATACAATATAGTACAATTCGAAATAACTGTATTATATATAGCCGGATGGAAAAGTGATTTCACACTTCCTGCATGATGTGAACTTTTTAAATAATATCATTTTTGATAAATGATATTATCTAATATCATAAATGATATTATCCTTTTTTATAGATTGCTAAGGATGACGCACAAGCTATATCGTTCGGTAATTTGTTCCAGTAATTAATACGAATAAAGAAGTCATGAGTCCTTAGTTTAGTTTTAGGTTTTAGCCCATTAGTTCTTGTTGGATAAATTTGGCCTAAAATTATAATATTTTGAACAATCTAGTTTAATATAACCATACAGAATTTTATTAGTTTAAATTAAATCTTAATACGACGACTTGAGAGAGAATCCAGGTTATATTGTAGAAGTTTTCTTTTATTGAAATTATATTAAAGTTGCAATTAGGAGAGAGGCGCGGTACAAATTATTTTTGGAGTCCTTCAATTATTTCACTTGACTTACGGTATCTCAGGAAGTAACACGTAGTACTGTGGTCAAGAAGTGGCCGAACGAATGTTTTGTACATTTTGATGAAAAAATTTTCAGTTTCTTAAACGAACGAAAAATAAATTTAGTATTTAGTATCTTTGAGGATTTCTTTACCATGGTTCTATGAAGGTCGAAGTCGAGATTTTCATCCATGATTATTCTAAGATTAGGAAAATCGAAGCCTTTAGAATTAATGAAGAACGCTACACTTTTGAAAAGAAAGAGTAATATGTCCTGTCATATAGCCAGTTGGCTATTCTTTTGAGGTCTTCCTGCAGTGGAGATAGGCTATCTGTGAATACCATGCGAATAATAAATTTACAATCATCAGCATAAAGATAAATGGTAGAATCTAGTACCACATTGGTGATATCATTTATATATAATAGAAAAAGCGATGGCGAATACTTTGAGGAATGCTAAATTTAACAGATTAGAAAAAATATTATCTGACACTTAGTTATACAGATCCCCTGTAATGCCATAACTATTAAAAGTGAGTGATCAACAACTTGCTATGGGAAAGAGTATCAAAAGCTTTGGCCAAATCTAGGTACATAACTGATAACTGATACTATTTTTCCATTGTCAATTGATGCTGACCAATCGGAAAGATTCTCCAAATTTGTCAAGAAGTAGATTTTTTGTACAAAAGCCATGCTGATAGGAGGATAAGAAATTGTTGGCATCAAGATAAGAAAGCAATTTGTTGCAAATCAACCTTTCGAGCACCTTGCTACCAATGCATATTAGGCTAATAGATCTATAATTAGAAGGATTATAGGTGCTTTCTCTTTTTTATGAATGAGAATTATATGAGACAATTTCTAAATTTCGGGATTAAGACCAGGTTTCACAATGTCTTTATAAATTAAAAATAGGGAAAGACTCAGAGAAACTGCACCTTTTTTATAAATTATTTGTGAAATATTTGGGACCAGCCAAAATGCTTAAGGCTATTTAAGGCACCATAAACATCCAGTAGCGTTATTTCAACCTCACCGAGAGAAGTGCAATAAATTTGATTTATGTCAAAACAGGATATACGAATATTATCGTCAAAAAATACCAGAAAAATATTGATTAAATACTTGCAATATCAATATCAAAGGTGATCTCATTATTATGTTGCAGAATTAATTGTTTACGTGGATTTGCTAATTTTCTTTTGATATAGGTCCAGAAAGAATTTCTATTAATATTTAAAAGTTGCTCTTCTTTATTTGAAAAGTAATTGTGAATGATACTGCGGAAACTTTTCGAGCATTCTTTATATGCAGAGAGATCACTTGACAATTTCGCTAATTTGTGTTTATTATAAAGCTTCTTGATTTTTTTACGAAATTTTAAAAAAATGGGACTCGACCTAACGCTTTTTTTCTTAAAGGAATGGATATATTGCTCTATAAGTTATAAAATGATGCTATTAAGAAAATTAACCTTTTCATCAATAGGAGGAGAAACAAAATAAAAAATCCTAGCGAGGATAGAATTAAAGATTTTATAATCACAGTAACGGTAATTTCTAGAAACGGTATCTCGAGGGAACGGTTCATAACGGTTTAATTTTAATGAAGTACAAATGATATTGTGATCATTATTATAAAAGATTCCAGACTTTAATGCTATCAACAAGGGAAGTAGCTAACACAGCATTTAAAATAGTGTTGTACCTAGTTGCCATCTTAATACGTTCTCTAGATCTATGTAGGTACAAAGATTTAGAAAGTCCTTTTCAAATTTGCTGCTATTTTTCAGGCAACTATTTTCCCAGTGTTTGGCATATTAAGAATAATTTTAATTTAAATAAGAGGTTGTAAAGATCCCTAGTGAATTTCCTTCCGTAGCTAGGTGGGCGGTATAGATTTAAAAAGGAAATATTTCTATTATTAAGATAAATTTTAGTTATCAGAAATTCAAAAGAGGAACAAGCATAATCATCAAACGTTACAAATTTATAATAACCAGGAAATAAGCGTGACAAACCCACCTCCAAGAGTATTTAAACTATTCATTGCTCTATCCTTGCGTGATACTATAAAACCACCGAAGTTTAGTTTCCGATTATCAGTAGAGTTATCCAACCACGTTTCATTAATACAAAAAATAGTATTTGGGTTATCCATTAGTAAGAGCTGTAGGTCATAAAGTTTATATTTTAAACTTGCATTAAATTGCATATATATATATATATATATATATAAAGATAATATGTATAAAGGTTACTTCCTATTTTATTAACCTTACTTGGCAAGTTGTCCTAGGCTGTTGCAGACTGATGAAAAAAAGTTGAAATCGAAAAATAATTATTCATCGTTGCAAATCATTGGCGAGACTGCCTGAATTCCACTATTTGAAGATTTCTGACAACATATTTCTTCAGATTGAGGCTCTATTTTGCATATAATATTCTTTTCGCAACTTTTGTCTAGCAATAGTTCTTTTTTTTAATATTTTTAATATTTAATATTTTTTCGTTAAATCCTTCCGCAAAAAGCTTCCATGGAGAACGATCGAACGTACATTCTTGCTGCTATTTTTCAAGCAACTATTAATGTTTGGCATATTAAGAATAATTTTAAAAGCAAAACAAACACAGTCATGTACTTATCTTCAAGTCAAATCTTAAGTAATCGTCTCACTCCTTCATTCCATGTCGATGAATTTCATTAATGTAGTCAATATTCATCAATAGTTTGCAATATTTGTTCAGTTGAGATTTTTGGACGGTTGAGATTTTCTCAAAGTTGCCATCCAAAGACGAGGCTTTCAAATTATATCACTCTTAAGTTCTCCGTTGACCTTTATAAGTATTTCGACAGATCTGGTTGAATGCAGAATTAGATCTTGTTACTTTTCATATTACTAAGTAATTAAAATTTCTTAGTTTTAATCTCAGATCCTCTATAGTTTTATTTAAACAGTTGACAACATTACTAGAAATGAACCCATTAGTTGCTAATTTTTTCGGTGCCATTTGGAATTTCCTCTATTTTACAAGTGCACGGTAAAACGATAAGAACAATATACTTTTGAGAAGAATATCTTTTAGACGAATGCAATAAGAATAATGTATTCCTTTTTTTAGCGAAGTACAACACGATATAATAAAACAATGAATATTACAGAGAAAACAGGGAAATGACCAACACAACCGCTTACGAGAATAGCAATAAATTAACAATTTAATAGTTTGCAAAAAAATTTTCGTTTTGCCAAAAGACTTGTAAATTTTAAATTTAAGGTTGCTCGTTACAATAGTGCAGCTCAACATCAAACGATTCAGCATGCTATTGTAAGTCCAGTATTGAAATCTCGAACTGAAGTTCTACGAATCATCGAGCAACTTTCCGAGAAGCAATATTCTGAAGTCGCTGATTTAATATTACCGGTTGATTTTGTTTTTTTATGCAGTAGTATCATTCAGTTTCAGAATGATGAAAATCTTCATTCTTTGTCTTGTTATTCCATGTTAAAATATCGTTAATGTCAATTGCAGGTTGGTGAAATACTCGTTCATTGCTTAGACACTTCTTTACTGAAACACAAGACACTTTCTGAAGTCTTTCCGCCAATAACGAAGTATTTTCCTTATATTTATTAATTAATAGTCAATATCAAAGGGCTCGTCGCTTTTATCTCTCATTTTGAGAAAAAATCGAATTTGCTGAATTTAAAAAAATAAATAAATTGAAATAAGGTTAAAAATTGAAAATTTAAGGAACAATAATTTACAATTATAATTTTTTAGGTTTTATATGGTTGCTTATTGTGCGAACACGCGTCGTATTGCATTTGGTGGTCGCAATGGATCAGTTGTAGTTCATGAATTAAGAACAGCTAAAACACAGGCCTTTATTACTATTAATATGTTTACTTTACAGAGTTTAAAGACTTAAACTTTTATGTCCAAAGATATTAAATTTTTTTAGACATTACAAGCTCACACTGGAACAGTGACTTCGGTTTCTTTCTCAGAAGATGGTAAATATTTGGCAACTTATGGAGCTGAAGAAGCAAAGCTTTCATTTTGGCAAACTTCGCAATCTTTTTTAGTGCGTTTATAGTTGTTAACTACTATTTGTTATCATTAGATATATGTATGTTTTTCAATTGGTTTCATTTATATGGAGTTTTATTTCTTCACGATTCATTCTACTTCATAGAAAACGATCTTTTTTTGGTTTTGATTGGCGGTTTTTCATCTTTAGCACTAAAAATTTGTGATAAAATTATGCGGTAGAGTATTAATAATATTATTGTTAATCGACAAAAATCTGATTAGCTAATAGTATGTTTAACTATCTCTTAGCGTTAAAAGCGAGGAAAACCAATCAATACACGGATAGTCAGGAAGGATTTTAAACGTATAGGAACTAGCGATATATGGGCTTAGACGATGGAAAAAGGTATAACTTCTATTACTAACGATGGCGTAAGACCAAGTAGTTTGAGGGCATCTTACCCTTGTAGCCAGTGGATCCAGTCTAATCAGTAATGGTGAGAATTGTTAGAAGAAGAAGAATTAATTGTTACCTGATTGATTTCATGACTTTCATGGTTTTAAAATGTAGGTTATATTATTCAGCATTTTGCGAAGTAATTACTTCTATTCTATTAATGATTCTTTGTTTAATATATAAAATCATTTTACATGTTTAATATCATCAATTATGAAACCCGAAGTTTAAATTTTTTTAAGGGAATGGGTCAGAGCCAACTTCGTTGTATACGGACTCAAGCAGCTCCTTCAATATTCCCAGTGCTGTCGCCTTGTGGTACTATTCAGCCATTTAAAGCTCGACTTGTATGGATCGGCTCGAAATCTGTGACGCTTATGCTTCCCAATGGCAAAGAGTATCGATTTACTGTTTAGAAGTTGTAAATTTCATTTCAGATTCTCCATTATATTCTATGTTCTTTCCTTTTTAATATTTATATTCTACTACATTTTTCCTATTATGTTCCTATCTGTTATATTCTGTTTTATGAATATAAATTACATATAATTTTCTTTCCTTCAGGTCAAATTTTGTCGGTCTTTATTTCTTTTTTCTCTCTTATCTTCTCTTTTCTATTTTATATTTTTCCTACTGTTTTCTCATCAATAACTTCTTTAAAGAGGGATCATAATGATTAACTCACTTCCTTATCTTAGCTTGAAACACCAGACTAATTTTGCTAAGGAATCAGTTGGCGGTAAAAGCGCAGGTGAATTCACCTACTGCTGAAGGGTTTCTGCATTCTATTTTATCGCCATACCGTTTCCTTACCAAGAAAAATTTATTTAATCTTGTCCTCTATCTATAATTTTCAATTAGATGGTCTCATTTAATATAAGCAGTGCAAAAAGTATCATTAAGCTTATTCTTTTTTTGTAAGAGTCATTGGACTGTTATAGTGAGTATTTTTTCACTTTAATTTTTCTTTTCTCTTTATTTATTCATTTTTTTGCAGTTTAGCGACTTTTATACCATTTTTGCTTTTTTTTTTAAAGATTCAGTTGGTGCATATTTCCATATTTCTTTTGATTTCTCAAGCATTCAATTTTTTACGAATATACATAGCGTCGTCTTTGAAATATTCTTTTTCAACAAACTGATGGCATTCTTTTCATTAATAAATGGTCGTATTTGTTCTTATCAATTCGCTTTCCTATTATATGTGATGGAATTTTTTTAATGATAAAATTTGCGTAACAAACTTATCAAACAATTGGAATGATCAATATGTACAATAATAGGCTAACAAATTCTTTGGGTTCGAGTGAAATTTTTTTCTGTGCTCAGTTCTAATGGCTTTAATTTGGAGAGTTTTCTACACAATTGCTATACAACTATCAATAATAAATGTGATTCAGAATTATCACCATACAGTCGGTGCTTTTTAAGTTTTTAAGTGAAATTGATCATTTCGTGTGGTTTATGGGTCAAGGCTCTCACAATATTTGGTTATGGATAATTTTCAACAAAAGTCACCCAGCTAGCGATATAAAATTTTTTATGAGGAGTTCTGAATGCTAGTTTTTTCCCCGTTTTTTATATTTTGTATAGGAATGGAACCGCAAGTCAAATGCGAAGCACTCATTTACATACAATCGGCAGTATGAGGCGACAAGTTTGTTAGAAGCAATATTATTTTTTCGAGATTTGACATTTAATGATCCTCCATCACCTGTTGATAACGCAGTTTTCGATGATGAAGATGATGATGATGCAGCACGCTTGTTGCGAAATTCGATAACTGTGAAGACTGCTGCGGCTACTGTAACTCCGGGGGTAATTCTCTTAGTTTTCAGTTTTCCTCAATTTCAAAAATATTTTTTCTATTTTAATTATATTTTAATAATCTGTGGAATGAAATTTTAAAAGAATCCTATCTAATAATCTTCTTTTTCATTCCCTTGGATTCTTTTTTTTAGAAGTATTGCAATAGCGATGAATGTTTCGTATGTTTAAAGAATATCCAGGAACGACTTATCCAGGCAACTTTTCTTTTTTCTTTTTACTTCTGGATTTTCATTTTCATCAAGAAAAGTGTAAATTTAGTAGTATACAGCACAATTTAATATTTAATATTTGGCTTTTTCAATGCGAATAGTAGAAAAAAGTTATTTACGAGATATATTTTTTGGATTTGTCTTTCGTGTGGTCTCATTTCATTTGGATAAACCCCAAACTGATCGGTTTTTTGCTTAGAAATTATTCATAAAATTATTTGCGAATATTTGCTTGTGTGGGTCGCAAATTTATTCGCAAACGCTGCACATAAAGCAAAGCAAATATGTAGGAGAAAGCTATGTGGAAAATTCTGCGAGCTTGTATGCATGCTTTATATGTGGGTGCCAGGTATAATAATTCAAGGGATAATTCAAGGACTTGGTACCACTCCACCTAAAATATGCCTTATAACTAAGTGAAAGTATAATTTATGGTATAATTTCATAATAATTATATGTTATCAATGATGTGCATTCGGTGAATTTGTGAATTTGTGCATTTTATGTAGAGTGGTATTTGTTCCGAACAAGGCAAAGCCATCAGAAGTTCGATTCCTATCTCTCGACTAGAATTATTCCTGGCATCCACATTGCTCTTTAAGATATTTCATCCTAACCGTCCACGGAGGGAGGTGAAATGGTGAGCGCTATTAGAAAAAGGAGAAAATTTTTGCGCGATTAATTTAGGTCGAAAAACCTTTTGAAACTTCGATTTGATGATTTGTTATTTGTTTCCTAAAACAAAAAAAATTCGTAATAATATATTCGTGTTCACATGCGATTAACCAACTACTTTTCTTACTTTCTAAAAATTCAGGTGAATATGCTCGACGAAATGCTTATATTCGATCAAACGACTTCAAATAACAAATCAGTGATCTGCACTCGATACAGATTTAGCCGTGAAAATAATTTGCGGCAGTCAGAGAAGAAGGACAACTTCTTTAGTAGTGCATCAGTGGAACATTCTTATAAAGCTGATATAGGTTAAAATTTAAAATACTTATAAAGTGAGTTCGAGCATCGATATCAGTAAACCTTATCACTGGAACTGAAATCTTGGCGGTGCTGTAGATCCATCTTTACGTCCATTCGTAATTTTTCACTCCATAGTGAAAAATTTTCTCTCTATTTATTAGCGTATTCAGCTAAATTAGAAATAGCAGTGTTGCGTGGTGCCGAATATGACTCATTCACGTTAATTTTATGCATATTATAATATGCTTAAAATTTTATAGTTATTAAAAAGTTTCGTTGGCTTCCAGTCATGGAGCTGCTTGCTTTTTGTTGTCCCTCATTCTAAAACCAGTCGATTGGCCAGTCTTTCCGATGATAAATGCTCTAGGTCGACGTTTTCAATTATCTTGTATAAAAAAAGGCGAAAGTCAAGGTGATGGATTGATCCCGCTTTGCACAATATGTTGGACGTGGAGGAAATTACCACCCGAATATTATCCTCAGATCATTAATGAAATTGTGTGTGACAGCGATAATTCATGTCTTTCAGGTATTTAAATCTCATTTTAAAATAACCCAAATTTAAAATCAAAAATGTGGTAAAATTTGGAAGTATTAATATTAATATTTGGAAGTATTAATATCAAATTTGTACCAGATTCCACAGTTTTTTGTCTCGATCTTAACTGAAATCTTCTTTTGAATAGAGGTATTATTTACCGAATTACTGGATAGCCTTTGCCTTAAATAGTCCTTGTTAAAAAATTTAATGTTACTAGCAAATATGAAATATAATAACGAACTGTGCAAACTTAAAAAAACCATCTCAGGATATGCAACCTGTCATGTTGGTTATCGCGCTGTCGAAGTATTAAAGAACGAAAATGGAACAGCCATAAAAATGAATATAATGGCAGCTAATTTTTGTGAATGCAAAATTCATGTATAATTTTTGAAATTTCAATTTTTTTGAATAATTTTTAAAGTATTTTTTGGTTACAATAAGGTTAAATTATGTTCTTTTCAGCATTTTGTAGTTCATTAATATCTCAAATTTGTACCAGATTCCACAGTTTTTTGTCTCGATCTTAACTGAAATCTTCTTTTGAATAGAGGCAATTATTTTATTTTTTTAAGGTTATATAGATATTTGGATAATGGCCTTTTTATTAGCAGTGTAAGCCTGGGTGAGGATCAGTCTCTACTTCTATTCACGAGTGTAACAGAATAGTTGATGAACTTGAAATTTTCAATACAAAATCTTTGAAAATTATTGTTATTTACTGGTTTAGCAGGTTAATGGCTTAAGCAATACTGATAATTTACTGATAATTTCCAAAAATACTAAAATTGGATTATTCTAACTTGAAATTTTCATCGCTTTTTAAAATTCATTTTTTATATTTTGTTTCTTTAATTTTTCGATATGAATTTTTACTAGCAACATTGCTTAAGCCATTCGTGTTAAATGCGAAAATATTCATCAAGGTTCACTCAAACGATTATCGCAGAAAGCGCAGAGACAAAATACTTTGAGTACTTGATAGTCGGTAATGCCTAAAGCACTAATTCTAATGAATAATCTTGTTATTCGATCGATTTTCTAGCCCGGATCACCATTGCAAAGCTTGGTGAGTGGTAATGGTACTGATCAGCCTTTTCCTCCGAAATGATTGCATTCTCGCGTGCTGAAACTTACATCAAGGAGCAAGAGGAACTTTTCTTAAATTCTCATTTTATTTTAACTGCTACAGTGGTTTTAAGTTCACTTTTTCAGTTTATAGTATCGTTAAAATTCATTTGGAGATTATATAAGAATTCTGTTATAATTGGAAGCTTAAATGTTTAAGTTAAAGGATGATTAAATAATGATTTGAGCAGAAATAGAAGGAATTTTGAAAATTTGTCGAAAGATTTTATCATCAATAGATTAATTAAATGATTAAATGAAAAATTATCACCGATATTCTTTTTATTTAATTATTTGATGACACACACGTCGAAGAGGCCAAATATGTCGCTTTTTTCCTTATAAATCATTTCATAAAAATTTAAAGAGTTTTATAATAGTCAGTTTATCTCTTTTGGTTAACCAGTTTCGTTATCAAAATAACCTGTCAAAATCAGGAAAATACGGTCGACCATATTATTAATAATATTAAAAGCATTAAATTTATCCATTCTCGTCAATGTTAGAGATGAAGTTTTTTTAGAAAATTTTTGTCAAAATTTTGTTAATATTGCTACAAATTGCTACAAATATTAGATTATTTATAATTATTTATTTCAATTCCATAATTTATAGATTTATGGATTTAAGGATTTATGGGAGATTGGAAGATTGCCCATCCAGAACTTTAAGCCGGTTTTATAACTTCAATGTCCTAGATTTTCTGGTCGAAGAGCCCCTAAATTTTCTTGCTGCGATATCATAGATTTATATATTTCTCTCGCGATTAATTTATTATTCATTAAAATTTTTTCCGAGAAATAATGAATATTATTTCTCTTTTCATAATTCATGCCAACAAATATTAAATATTAAATGTTAATTAAATTCCAAATTATTTTGATATATTTGTATGAAATATATTTTATATATTTATATAAATACAATTAAAACTTAATTGATATGATAGAAGAACAAGAAGAAAGAAAGATGAAGCTGATAAAAAATAATCTAAACAACGTTGATAACGCATAACGCATAACAGTATTCGCACTTTTCTGATTTTTTGTTTACTACCATAACATTCCTTCTATACTTTTTTTCCTTATTTCTAATTTCAGTGGCTCCACTGACTGCCAGGATAAAATCTCTTCGCAGGAAGGTCGTCACTTGGGGGTTGAAATGAGACTGGATGATCATCTCCATTCTGATTTCCCTTTTAATGGCACCCTCGTCAATAGCCAACAAATGAACCAATGATGTTGAGTTTAGAAATAATAACCGCTTTGCCATCCATCACTACTTTCTTATACTTTTTTCCATTTAGAGTCAATATACATTTTGAAATTTCTTTCCAAGAAACCGAAATGAAAACCCTTTATAGCGAGAAAATATTCTCATATAATCATTTATTTCTGTTTCGTTTCATACTAATCAAATTTTCATAATTTCACTCGAAATTTTTTAAAATTTTGTCCGCGACAAACTTTCATTCATAAAATAAATTCTAATTTATCGGTGAAAATGCCATAAAACTTCTCCTTAACGAAACCTCCTCCAAATCATTTTTTACAAATTTTACAAATTATATAATTCTTTCATCAGACAAAGGATAAACTCGTTATCCATAAAAACCATCCAAATTTTTCAAGATTTATTTGAACTAAAATAAACTTTCCCTGTAAAAAATAATCAACTTATGTGATAGCATAAATTAGGAGATAAATTGGTCTTTGGTGCTGCGATAATGCTCCTATGTTGCGAAAACGACATACAACTAAACGAGCTTGAATACTTCCTTGATTTTTTGCAACCAAAAACAAATATAAAAGGATTTACTAAAGTAAGAAATGGCTGTTTTATAGAAAAAAAATCAAAATTCGATGCGAGAACAAGTTAAAAGTAAATTGTTAACAAAGAAGTACCACCCTCACATCTAAGACTTTCAAAGGCATTTTCTCTTCAACTCACAAATTTATTACATAGCACTATCCTCGTCCGCGGAAAAGCCTTTGATTTGCTTTATAGACCAAAAATTGACTTTTTTCCATGAAGAATAATATAACAGACCTTTTTGATTATTATTATTAATCTTATAATAACAATAATAGGCCCAATCATCGTTAAGCGCTATTATCATTATTTATGCACTAGTTGAAACGGAAAAAGGCAATCATCATAATTGCTCGCCATATTATAACCAAAACAATTCAGAGTATTATAAATATCAGAATACATTTCCGATATATGAGTATTCCATTCACAAATAATATGAATACTATGAATAAAATACCTTTTTTAAGTATTTTGCATTCCCTAAATAAATAAAAAAAATAAGTTGTTATTGCCTGCATGAATGGAATATTATAATAAATCTCACAAGTTCATCTTCCTAAATTTAAATTTAAATTTTTTTAAAAAAGAGACAGGCTTTCATACAAACATATCACCAATCAGTATGTTGAAGTATCACAAGTACCATAACAAATTTTCATCTGGACGAAATTCAGATGAATAAATATCACTTTTCAATAAATAACAGAAATATTAAAAATAAAAGGACGGTCCGAAATAAATATATCCATTAATGTATCTCTAGAAGTTTAGGTTACAGTCACAGCTGGATATGACGAAATGTATGGAGAACTTTTTCAAAGCTTTTAATGAAGCGTATAACGATGGCGATATTCGTAATGCCATTTATTGAAATCGATATTGAATACTATAACTGCACCCGAATCGAGACCAGCGAGTACATAACGCTGATTCGATGTTATAGCAATACTTCGAATGGAACTATCCGTTTGCTAAAACTGGATTATTAATTTCCTGTAAAAAAATTCATAAAACAGCGTTGAATAATTTGACAGCAAATTTACAGTTAACTACTAAATTTGCAGTTAAATTCCTTATAAGTGCAAACAAAAAAATGACCTGTAAAATTTGAGCATCTTTACCTTTTAAAAATTAGTTAATATTAATGAATTGCTAATATCTAAGTATTACCTGGAATGTATATAATAATTGCAGTGGGAAAAGACGTAAGACTAATACACGACCTTCTTCACTACCAACAATAACGTATTCACCATCACGTGATAAAACACCGCATAATAATTTTTCTGGTGCTCTAAAATTTTAAATCAATTAGATTTTCAACACACACAGTTAATACATTAGAACGAAAATTCAAATATGCTCTTCTTCATTACTAACAACAACCAATGGATTAATTACTAAAATTCCACTGAAATTTATGAGCCCTGAAAAAAAACTGGTTTTAAAAAATTGCAAAAATAGAAGTGAAAAATTTTTTGACACAACTTTTTGATAAATTCATTCAAAAATAAATCAAGGCTGACTTCATATAATTGAGTTGTTTTCCGCTTGTTGTATGGGTGATCAAATTATCATTACCATAAAGTACGAGAATAATGCAATCACGAGACATAAGTAATAAATTAATACTATTTATTCCTATTCCAATGCTAGTATTATTATCCAATTCCAAGCGCCGTAAAAGATCTCCCAAAGTTGTGTGCATCAAAATTGTTCCATCTGAATGAGAACAAAGCAAAGTTTTATTTTTTCCCAATGTATCATTCCCAGTAATGATGGAACCAAAATAATTAAAATCTGTACCTTTTGAAGTAGAGAGAACAAGTCCGTGTTCAGCAGAAACAAAAATCATCGTTATATGAGAATCATGACCAGTTAAAACAGCACGTGGCGAAGCCACTTCTCCTACAATATCATATATATGGACTCACTGACAAATGCTATTTTAACAAAATTCTTCCGAAAAAATACTAATAATAGTAAATTACTCCTAAAAAAGATATGAAAAATTCTATAGAATACTCTTTTTTGAAATTTTTTTAATCAGTTGTTTGTTTGTAGTTATTTAATTGTTATAAATGTGTTCAAATGTATAGTCGGGATGGATCATTTCAAGAAGCTCGAGGCAAAATGCCTAGTCATGGAGCTCTGGCTTCGACATTTTTCACATAACGACTGGGAAATTATTAGAAGAATGCGGCATAATAAACTGAAGAATTCCAACAAGATGGTCAACAATGTCACAAATCACGAAGGAGATGATTAGAACAATTCTGGTCTTTGGAAAGGATAACCACTGAAATGCTAAATAACTGCTAAGGATGATCAGGCTTTGCAAAAATTTTTAGAGAATTTCAAAACAAGAGAAGACTAATAAAGAAGGCTAATAAAGAAAAAATCCGACAGCGGATAGCTAACAATCTCGGATGTTCAGAACCCGTAGTGAAGAAATCACTCAATAAGAGGGCCTATGATAAGGAAATAAAATAAAATACTATCAAAGGGCATCAAATAATTCCAAAGCATTATTGAGGAAATAAAATATCATAAAATATCCCTCCCAGGACATAATAATGAAGTTTCATATCTACTACAGCACCCAGTGATTATGCCGAATAAAGCAAATAAGAAAATTATATTCGATATGAGCGCGAAATTTTAGGGTTTCGAGGTCTATTAAGAATATTAACGTGATGATCGTGTAAGCAAGAAATACTGAAGAATTAATTTACAAGTACAGTACGATAAACGGAATTAGACTGAATATATGAAATTTTCTCAATAATAATGAGTTGTTTAGAAAATAAATTACAGGAAGACAGATACGAATTTACCCAACCATTTAAGGTGTTAGGATTTGAACAGGGCCACCGTGAAGACCAATTCCCCACATGTTTCGACAACTAAAATTACCCAGTTCGTGGTTTTAATCTACAACTCTTTGGGCTATATTAATCTCACTGTGATGCATAAAAGAATACCTAAAAATGCTGTGAAAGAGTTCCGATGTGCAGCATAATCGTCAGAAAAGTACAACAGTGATAAACAAAGGGTGCCGCATATGATCCATTCGAGACAATTGGTGAAAAATGATGGTGGAATGGGCTAGCATAGTTACAATAGAGTAGCTATAAATGCCAGGAATCGCCACATTCAAAGTAAAAATGAAGTCTCAGTGAACGGAAATAATGAAATTGTTCTAGGAATATAAACATCATGAACAAAAGACAAAAAACCATTATGTAAAAACATGAAGAAAAATACCGATAGTACAACTTAATAGAATCAGCCAATCAAGGTTGCTTCATCGAATAATGACATTTTATCAATACGAAAACGACATTTAAATAATAAGAATAGATTTAATATGTCGCTAATATTTCTGTCAAGGAATAACCATCGAACGAAATTAATCGTTCTGGATAAATATGGGTGATTATTACATATATAAAACGGCAAAGTAATATGCAATTTAACGGAGGCCTATTGGATTCAGAAACGATTCGAGACAAATGAATAGCTAGTGATGGTTGTAGAAAATGGAAAATTAAACCTTTCACCTCTTCTAAACTCTTCAGATATGAACAAATACTCTACAACTCAAATCGAACCAAATACAAACTATTTCATACATTTGAGACCTGAGACCTATTGCTGCAAGAACCTCTTCGAGTACCCAAATAATTTTAATTCTTCTAACCATTACTCACCATTATTGATTAGGCTGACTCCGTTGGCAGCAATGGCAAGGCGTCTCCAGGCCGCTCGCTCCGACACAATTCCTTTTTCCATCGTCTAAGTCCATATATCGCTGGTCCCTCTATATGTTCAAAATCTTTCCTTACTATATCAGTCCAGGCCTTGACTGATCCTCCTCGCTTTTGACAACAATCATCACAGGATTTAGCAAGTACCGAAACATTATGCATCAACTGTGTGGTGGACGACAGAGAACCCTAACCAGCGAAGGCAACCTCTGTGATGACATTGTTAATGCAAATGAAAAGTACAAACAAAAGAGGGATTCGACTAGGCCACAAATTTTAAAACGGTTAAATGATGTAACGAAATTAAATTGTATAAGGCCTGAGAGGCCTGATAAAGCATGAGACAGGCCTGTGATTAGCAACCCAAGGAGAAATGAAAATTGGAGAGAACATGATTGTAGATGAAACAACGATCTTAATAGATCTTAGGGCTAATCATAGAATCAAAAGATTCGACTAGCAAGTACTATCAGTAAGTTGGAAAATAAAACGACAAACCATCCAATAAATTTATTAATATCAACGGACGAGAACAGCAACATGACATCTGAAGAACAATGGCAGGGTATATCTTAAATGAGGATACGTAAAAATTTAATCAACAAGCAAAAAAGATAAGGCATAAATGACTGTAAACAACGACAATACCATTCAACCAGAAATTATTAATAATACAAGTGGAAATGGGTTGTATATCTTCTAAACTAATTTTTTCTTATACTTATAGTTATCATAATTGAACGAATGTTTTTAAATTTATTATGCGTGTTTGCTAATTTGTGTCGATTGCGCGAAAATTTGATAAATTGTTTTTATATGATCTTTTCATATGACCGATTCATATATTTGAATAATGAAATTAGAAGCGAAATCTTATATTCCTTTTTTCTGCATATATGAAAAAACAAAAAAGGAACATAAAAGCAAACAAACCAGGAACATTGTATTCACCAGCAACAACCTGCGTTTGTGCATTCCAGTGCCATAAAACAACGATACAGTCAAGTCCACCAGATGCAATATAACAGTCAGCAAAGAGATTAGCTTCCGATCGAGCTAAACATGTTACGACGTCGCCATGCCCATAAATTACTTGACGAATTTTAGCTAAAAAATAAATAAAAATGAATCTGACACCTCAATCAAACGACTATAAGAAAAACTAAGATTAAAGCAGCAATTTCAGGGAAATAATACGAACCAAACCATTAAATAATTCTAAAGTACGCACCAGTGTCAGTATCGATAACTCGAATACTATAATCAGGATATCCACATACAATAATAGAACGACTATCGACGGTGGTAACGAAATTATTCCACTTTATTTTCAAGCGCTGATCCAATGGGTCACCAAGATGGCGCCTTGCTAATGGTTGCGATGGATTACCTGAAAAAAATTAGTATGATTTTCTGAAAATTTTTTACAATTTTTTCTTCATGCTATTATATCTAACAAAGAATGACGAATTTAATTTTTATGACAATTAAAAACTATAGATTCAATAAAACATATCGTTATACGTATTCTTAACTATAATGATAAAACTGATTAAGACGAACTTATTTCTTAACTGAAAATGTTAACAAAAGAAAAAGAACAGCAAAGCAAAAGCAATATGACACTTTCCAAACTGTTATAAAATAAAAAAGAGTTAACCTGATGCTAAAAGAGGATCAACTGTCAATGGTAGGTTAGAAACGTTTGGTGAAACATCTGATGTGCCACCATCCACTGATGAATTCAATGCAGATGCTGTGTGACCTTAAATTTTCATGAAAAATTTTAGGTAGATAAAACTAACCTATTGAAAACCGCTCCGTTTAAGAAAATAAATTGTAATCTCATTTACAAACATAAAAATTCGATTAATACGATTAAAAAATCAAAAACAACGTGACAAATTTCGAAGATGTTCCAACTCTGTTAGAAAATTCCGTTATCATCATAGAAAATATTCAACAATGACCTACTTGTATAACTATTATTCCATCTGTTAATGGCAAATACAAGATTATTTGTTATAGAAATTACAGAAGGTTGTGATAACTGCGCAAAAGTGTTCGCACTTAAGTGAACAATTGAACTATTTGAAATAAATTTCATTAACATACACAAGTCGTCTTGGCACGACTGAAACATTGTTGGACTCTGAAACAAATAAAAATTTAATCGAAGAAAAAACGCGAAAAAGTTTAAAGTTCGATCCTAATCCTCATATATGAGATAAAACTAGAATCTGCACAATTCTTCATTTATTTTCTTATAATACGCAATCAAAAAGGAAAAAAAACAAAAACTATTGAAAAATAATTTTAGAAAAATAGACATACAATAGTCATGATGGAATGTCTTGGAGGATGTGGTTCAGTCATGAGTTGAGCTGGAGTTTGTCCAAATGAAATCATCTGTTGCTCAAGACCTTCACGAATAAAGGGATTTTCAATCGAATTTAAATTTATTGCACCTTCATACGTCAGATAATAAAAGACATTTGTTGCACGAACCTATAATCCAAATTAAAAAGATAGGAGAACATAAGGAAACAGATAATTACGATTGTCATAAATTAAAGCCGATGATTCGCGATGACAATAACCATGATAAATGGCATCGATAATTGAACCTTGATGCCATTTTCCAATGAAAACGATTAAATCTAACTGCTTCAGGTCCCTTTTGCTTATAGCCGAAAATTAAATCGATCCACTGATTTAACTGACAGGAAACGAGATCGGATTCAAGAGCCTGACGATGTAAAGCGATGAAATGCTCAGGATTTGATGCCCAAGGTGGCAAAACAACATCACCAACTAATGATCCATCTTCTCGTTTGCCAAGATCAAATCCATTATCATTTCTCAACATTTCTGGCATATAATATAATTCTGGTATCAATTCCTGTAAATAAAATTTTAAGAAAAATTTCTGAAGGAATTTTTCAAAATTTAACGTATTTCAGTATATCATATTCTGCCCTTAAGTACCATTCATTATTTTTTATAAAAATGATTATTATTTTTGGTTCAAATTTCCTCGTTGATTTATCGAACTAAAAATATTTTTCTCCAACTCTTAATAATACAAGTACGGGTGAGTCACCAGCACCATACGTATTTTCGAAATTGAGAAAGTTTACTTTTTATCCCTACCGGAAATAGAACATCAGAATGGAAACGTAATGACACCAATAACCGACTCTTTATTTATTTTAATCTTATTTATACAATTTATACAAAACAATTAACAAAAAATTTCACAAAAGCCTTCATCAAAATGGTATGTCAGCCATCTTTCAATCATTTATCATTCTTTAACAATAATTTTTACTATTTTTGATACATAATAGCATGTATCACAAATAGCGAACACAAAAAAATATATGAAATTTGCTATTTAGCAACTAATGTAATATTCTGCGTAAAAATCTTGAGAAATGAACCTTAACATCATGTGAATCACGCTGACAATTTTCCCATGTTTCAGCAATACTATGAAATAGACGATTTGAATGATCAAATTTACCACTTTGAAGGTGCAAAAACATAGTTGTGAATGGTTCCTGCAATTAATATCAGTTATAAAAAATGCAAATTTTGCAATTTACGATGAATTTTCCTTTCCTCTGAAGCATTTTTTTGCTCGCATCGGATGAATTCATATGAAACAAAGAAATTATGCTAACGATTCGTAGAAGCCAATTTAATGTAAAAGCTTGAGTCGAATAATGTGTTCCATAGTGAAAAGGAGGTATAGTTTCATGTTCCCATGAAGCATATCGTTCTTGGAAATATTTCCGACGAGATTCACTTAAGGCACCAATAGGCTAAAAAATTTCTCTTGAGAATAAGACCATAAATTCACGAAAGAACCATCTGTACTTCCTTCTTTCAGTGACTCTTTTGTAAAAAGATTTCAACTTTCAGAAGTCAGTGAAACCAACAAAAATAGTACTAGCGCCTGAGAACTATGACTAAAATTTGAATATATCTGCTAATATAATTATCGACTATGAACTGACCACTGCCTTAAAAAAAAGAACAATAAGAAACTAAAGCAAGAACAATAAATCTCTCAGCTTAAAAGAAAAAATGTGATAACCTTCGATAAATCTCTAAAATTCGATGCAATATTCAGATCCAACACATCACTCGAATAATTCGCTATAACCCATGGAAATATCGGATACTGATTTAAATCATTGTACGTTCGTCCCGCAATCGTATTTAAAAACATCAGATAATCGAAGTTTGAAATTTCACGACGTTGCCATTTCAGTGGCATATCAGAATGCTTGAAAAGTTGCCGAGGTGTCATAAGGCTTGTCTTGCGACTTTGCGGTAAACCGTATTTTACGCCAACACCAACCCGAGGCAAATTATTCACTACTTCACGAACTTTTTCGTCACTGTCAAATGCAAACATAATTGCCGCTACAAGAATAGAATATTAATGAGATTACTTCAGATTTTTCAGAATTGTTGTCGTTCAAAAACCCATAAAATGACATAGGAAAACTCTGTTAAAAGGCAACAAAAATTTTTTATGCGAAAAATTAAAAATTGAACTTCTTGAAGATAAGAAAAGTTCAAGAGCGGTATTCTCGAGAAGATAACGCCGTAAAAATATTGCTCGTATCTCATGAAAATGCCACCTTCCATGCTGATTTTCACAATATCGCAAACTCTAAAATTATTCCCAATTTTAAAGATTACATTGAAAATTAAGCGAAAAATCGATGTCATAATTGTAGATTGCAGTAAGCAAAATACAGTTGAGCGCACTGGGCTAATACAATTTAATTCTTTTTTATTCCTTCAATATTAACAAGAGATAATAAAATCGTTAAGGATAGAAAAGAGATAAATATGTGATAGTGCGTGATAATCGATCGATTATCGTTTCCTTTTTTCTTAATTTCATCTATTTTTTAGGAATTTATATTTCGCTAATAATTCCATAAAGTTACATGAATTATTCGTCTGTTCAAAATTTATGGAATCCCACCTAATCCATATAATCGTGCTTCTATCACACCTTTATCCTTTCTAAAACGAAAAAATTATTTTAAAACTGGCGGGTGTGGCTTAGGTTACGGTAGAAATTGGTTATCATCGCGCAAAAAGTTAAAAATGAGCAACATTTCAAAATAAAATTTGTTGAACTGCTCTCTTCTCTCTCAGTAATTATTCATAACATTTGAATCATAAGCATTAATAAAGAATCACTGAAAGAGTCCGAGCCAATCAACGAAAATCGAGTGACCTGAATCTCTTAATCTCTTCAATAGTTCCACTAACAACTAAAAGAGAATTTCTCGCGTCGAAGAAGTTATGGGAACAGAAATGCAAATAGGACTCTAATAGCATTCGGATTTGGCATCGAAAGAAGCAAATACCGTACGATTCTTTCACCTCCAACAAATTTTCAAGAATTAGGAAATTTATTAAATAAATTAATATATTTTAACAACTGCTTTAATTTATTTGACGATATTTAAAACTTATTAATTTAAATCAAATCAACAGTCAATTATCAGAAATTCATTTTTTAAATTTTCTAAAATTTTACCGCATTTCAAAATTCCAAATTTTTCCCATCATTTTTCTCAAATTTCTCAATTTTCTCAAATTTTTCTCAAATTCACAATTTCTTAAAATGCAAATTTTTTCTAATATTTTCCACATTAATCTGAATAGTGCTTGAAGAACCGTGAAAAACTTACTTCACGGTGAATTCCCGATGAAATAATTTAAAAAACATCTGACCGATAAATCTACCCCTTTTAGCCGCTTGTTACTTTGTCATTCAACCAAAAGAATACCTACAATCAATTTATAGGTGATGAAAAGAAAAAAGTCCTTCACCGTTTCCAATAACAATTTCTGAACCATTTCCAAGCAATTACAATCAATATAATGCGACCACCTTTTAATATCTGTTACTCAAGAAAATGCATTTCAGCATTTTGCATAGAAAAAAATAAATTTATCAAGAAATCAAGATCAAGAAATACAATCAGCAAAATGCTTTAAAATCTCTAAGAATCATGGAAATGTCGAAGACTACCGCTCAGCAAAACCATTTTTCCAGCAACCAAAAGAATTCAATTAAAATTTATTAAATTAATTCAATTTAAAATTTATAAAATTAATTTTATAATTTTATAAATTAATTTTAAAAATTCTAAAAACCGAAAAAATTTTATTTTCATCAACCAGCTTATGCTCAATGCGTTTTTAAATACCTAAAAAAATTCGCCCTGAAGGCAATGTGCACTCCTATCATCTCAAATCAAAATTAAATCAGAAAATTTGTCATGCATTTGGATTAAATTACGAAGAAACTCGATATCCTCTTAATAGATCGCATATATTAATAGACTGCCTGGTTGTATGAAACATAAAACGAAGAACAATTAATGATGAATGGAATCAACTACTCTCTCAACTAAAGCCATGCTAAATGCCTCTCATTAGGTGAAAAGTAGTTAATTTTCGCTATTTCTGGTTAAACTCGCCACTACTCGGATTTTTCAATGAAAGAGTGCAGATACCTTGCCACTCAACATGCTAACCCGAATTACCCTCCTTTTCCATGTGTCTTTCGATTATCATTAAAATTCGTTCCCTACGACTGTATTTTCAAAAAAAAAAACGCCGCAATCGAATGTGGTGCTTCGATCGAGATGAGTACTTTGAGTTTAATACTATTGAAATTGTAATAATTAGCAATTGTTATGTAGAAAAATTTATATCGACTATAGGGATGAGAGAATTTTAGGAGTGTTGATTGACTGAAACATTTTAAAGTTGTTCATCTGCAAAAATATATATATTTGAAATGACCTCATGGGACCAATTGCCGGCCTAGTTCGAACATTTCGTCACTAATAATGATACATCTACATTAATCATTCATTTTTAAGCCGAACTCAATTTTTATTCAAATCGATCAACTTCAAAATTATTTCGAAAAATTTTTGAATATTACTTAAAATAATTAAAAATAACTTTTTTAGAAAAAATCCAACCCCACCAAATATTTTACTAAAAATTAAATTTCCAAATTTTATAAATTCAAAAATTGATCCACGAATATTAACTAATAACAATGAAAGAAATGAAATCATAAGCGATGATCAATAAAACTATTAAAAAAGATAAAAAAGGACGAATATGAAGGTATATTTCGATGGCTTGTCACAACACATTAACCAAAGGTTCATCAATCAGAAAAAGGTAAAAGAAATGATAAAGAATTAAAGATAAATCAAATTACTAGCACAACTTTTTATTATTATACGAATAAAAAACTAATTAGCTTCTTTAGTCGAATAGGAAAAACATAGGTAAGTAGTTAGGTGAAATAAATGAAAATATAAAAAGAGGAGGGTAAATTTCAATAGAGGAAATGAATTAGGGAAATTAAGGGCGGGGAATGTTTAGAGAAAATGGAAGAATTACAAATGAGAAGAGAGAAGAAGAAAGAGAAGACATGGCACAAATCAGCCAGCATCACTACTGATTGATGATGATAGTTTCGAGCAGTACTCCTCCAACCAAATACTGCCGCCCCAGTTAACTTCGTATTAACCCAAGTAGCTGCCCAAGTAATTCCCAAAATCATTTAGTCCTTTAACAAAAATTATTCGCATTCTACATCATAATCAGGTCCTTTCAACTTTTCTCTATTATCTATCTATTTCCTTATTCATCTTTCGCGATGAATTTATCTAACTTAATTATTCCTCGGAGATGTTAGGACAAAATACGGCGATCACCAGTTATCAAATTTCGAATTATTTTAACGAAAGAGTAGCTGCAAGGAAAGCACATATTCATAAAGCTCTTCATATTGTTGCTAAAATTGTACAAGAAATTCTAAAAGAAGTCGAAGCGCAAGAACCACGATTCATTTCCACACTTATCGATAATAATGGACGATATGAAGGGGTTCGTTAAAAATTTTAAATCTAACTTTTTTTGAATCAAATTCCTAGTTTCCAAAATTTTATTTATTTATTTATATATTTATTTATTTATATTCATTTAAAATATATATATATATCTCGAAGCAATGAATTTCTAATCGAAAACGAAAAGATCGACGATGCTTTCTTCGACTAAATTAATTTAACTTTAATAATTAATGATGAAGTTTACTAATGAATAATAAATAACAGTCGATTTATACTTGACAGAATTCCTATCTAAGCAATTGTCGTACTCATCAAGTTCTATTTCTATTTGCTAGCATACTGTTTCAAATGTCCCAATTCCAATTCCAATTTAGAATAATTCAGAATTTCACTTGAAGTTTTTAAAATTTTGCCAAATGCCAAATAAATTCTCGCTATCATTTATTTCAATGTGAAATCAAAATATACTACTAATATATGGAAAAAAAAACAAATCCTACTTTATTCATATAAGGATTTTTTAGTTGTTTGCGGATTCTTTCTCATTTTCATTTAAGGCGAGACTTCGCCAGAAAGATAAATATGGTTTCTTAGAACCACTTAGATTTCACTTTCACTTAAAGGAGTAGAAAATGCAAAAAGCCTTCAAATTTTTTAAAATAACCAAAAAACGGCCAAAAAAGTAACCGTAATGACGAAAAAATTTGCGTATTTTAGGTTATAGTTCATTCACCAAATGAATATGAAATAATCTTATATCTTAATCAAATGGGTGTTTTTAATTTCGTTGATGATGGTTCAATAACGGGTTGTGCAGTTTTAAAATTGAGCGATGGACGTAAACGTTCAATGTCACTTTGGGTTGAATTTATCACTGCTAGCGGTTATCTATCAGCTAGAAAGATACGAAGTCGTTTCTTAACTTTAGTCGGTCAATCAATTGATAAGCTCAGCTACAATAATATGTGCAAATTAATGAATGATACAAGTGATGTAAGGATTAAAATCAACGACAAATATATAGTACAAATCACATGCGCTTTTCGTTGTAATGCTATTTGGCCAAGAAGTGCTAACCAGTGGCCAAGAAATAATATACCATGGCCAAGTCCAACGATTATTAACGATATTAAAAATGAAGGCTTCGATTTATTTAGTAAAGAAACTAATTCAGCCAATCAACAACAAAATAAACAGGTAACTTGGCTCATTCATATATTAAATAGATAAGAAAATGAATGATTCATGAATTCTAAATCTCTATTTTTTTATTATAGGCAAGTTCAATGGAAGGCGATGCATGGGCAATGAGCCTTAACCAAGCCGAAAATAGCTTACTTCAAGGTGGCAGTCGCCGTAAAACATTTTCCATTCTAAAATGTCTCAGGGATACTCATTTGGATTTTCCTTCATCACCTATCACTAATTATATATTAAAAACTTTACTTCTGTTTGAATGCGAGAAACATTTCAACGAATATGAATGGGAGGAACGCTATATTGGTGACCGAGTTATTGGTAAATTTTATAATAAATTTTCTTAAATTTTTAATTTTGCATTCTAAAAATTTAAATTTTAGAATTACAATGTATAAAATTATAATTTCAGTCAAAAATTAATCCCTTTAAGAATATTCCGCTTCTTTTTATAAAAAAAAAAGAAAAAAGTAATAAATTAAGAGACGGGTTGAAGGCCAGAAAACCTTTTGATGCATAAATACAATAAACACTGAGCACGATTGAGTAAAGCAAATATAAGAAAAGATTTCTCAAATCGAGATAGATCATTCAAACGAACTCATCAAGTACAGTAATCTAATAAAGCAAATAAATAATCGATTAGTTCCGCTGCAAAATTTGACCAATCAAATTTAATCCAAAAGAAAAAAGACTGAAAACCACTTCGATTTTATATTAATTTATATGCAAATTTTTATATATATATATATAAAAATTTGGTACGACTTTAAATATCGATTCAAAAATTAAACAGATCCACGTGTATTATAGTAAAATATACGGATAATAAAAAGTTAAGTAGATTTATGACCGACTGTAACCAGCGAAATTATTTAATAACATGATTAAATGGCTAGCGCACACCATTCCTAGTTAAGTATTATTGCTAGAAAGTTATTTGGGGACGGAAATACAAGTGGATTACCAACACCAATACCCAGATTTTTCTTTTAAAGCCATATAGCAGAACCTATGATGCTTCGATTATGCAATTATAATTATTGTCCTATTAAATCCAATTTCCGGAGAAGAAAATTAGAATAACAAAAAATAGAAAAATTAGATAAAATGTAAATTTTCTAGAAATTTTTTCGATATATCTCATAAACAAAAAAAAAAGACTTAAATTAACAACTTTGAACCTTATTCCCTGTTAATTTCACCTTAAAATTCTCTTTCTGAGAAACTAATCTGAAATTTTTGAGCTCAGAAAAAAACGAAAATTCAGCAACTTAAATTCCTGAATTTCAAAAAAGTATATCGCTTCCTTGATTATAATGCTCTTAAATTTAAAAAAAACTTTAAAAATTCCGAAGATACGATTTTACTGGGTTTTAGAAATTTTAGCATTAAATATCTATTGATTTTTTAGTTTAAATAAACAACTGATCAAATATTTTATCAGCTTTATCGATAAAGATGGAATACTTCATCAGTTGTTCCATTGATGTAATATTAATCATTTGATTCAATTTAACCTTTCTAAATATTTATTATTGCAAACAACCTTTAAAAAATAAATAATAAAGCGATGAAATTAAAAGATCTTGAAATTAAAAATATTAAAGAAAATTTTAAATTCTATCGATCGCCAAACCCTTTCTATCTAATAGCATTTACCATAATTAGTTTGGCTCATTTCACTAGCTAACAGGATAAGGCTCTATGTTCAGTGATCCAATCGAGGAAATAAGAGCTTCCTAGCACCAAATGGACCATTTATCGAAATGGAAATCTTTTTTTCGCTAATAAATATTCAACAATTTTGTTGCTTTTAGGTGTATTATTACAATTAGTATCATGTTTACAATGTCGCAAATGTCCACATTATTTTCTACCACAACTCGATTTATTAAAAGGCAAATCAGCTCATAGCTTAGATCAAAGTGCTAAAATAACATGGAAGCTTGTTCGACAACTGATGCTAAACGTTCGTGCACTAGAAAATTTATAGAATTTTTCCGCTCTAAAATTTTTTTATTACAAATTTTTCAATCGACGATTCCAACAGTTGATTACACTTTATTGTAGTTTTAAATGTTTTAACGATGTCAAAATGATGAAAAACGTGTTTCGCTTTAATCCAAATTTCGAATTTCTTTTTTTTATTTGCCCAAAAATTTTACCCGTAAATTTTCAAAAAATTTCATATAGAAAGAAGAATCAATAAAATCTAACTGAAACTATGGAAATCCTATAGTAAACAAAACCTTTCCATTGTAAATGTGTTAACAATAAGTATTTTGTACTGATTATCATTTTGTTACTGATTATTTGCAAATTCCGGTTGATTACAAAACTGTGATTAAATTTTCCTGTTTTTTCTAATTTATTTCATATTTTCTGTTCTATCATTTAATAAATTATTTCTCATAATTTATTATTTATGTTCTTCTTTACTTATTACCCATGATTTTGATTATAATTTAAAGTTAGTAGTTGGCGCTCTAACGAAAAGCAATTTTATAATTTTGTTAAAAATGCAATTTTTAATAAAATTTAAGAATCAACATGAGATTAGTACGTCAATTGCCTATTGTAGAAAAATAATATAAACCGATACCTTTAGTTTACAAATCCCATTTAAAATTATACAAGTAATAATGAAAACTTTTGATGGTTACAGTTGATTTAATTTAGTTAATTTAGTTAATATTTAAGAATTAACATTTTAACTCGTTATCAAGAAGAAAAATTTTTTTGAAATAGTTAATTTAATTAAATAATTTCATACGAATCAAATATTCTGAATGAAATATTTTTTAACCAAATACTAGACGATTCATACCACTGCTATTATTTTCATTGAGTGCTGCAAGAATTAACGATGGTGTTCTTAAATTTCTACAAATATGCAAAAATGCTGAGATAAACGCAATCTAATAGTTGAAGATCGAAAAAAAGAAATCTGTCATTATCAGTAGTAAACCTGCTCTTTGTTATCTACGTTGGTATATCCACTTAATGATGCGATTAATAATGATACATTCATGGTAATTCGAATATATTAATAGGCATAAAATTTCCCCTTCGTTTCGACCATTAAACCAGTTCCATTATTAATATCAGCATTATTATTATTTATAGTTAATTCCATACTATCAGAAATGATGTCAAATATCTTCTTCAGTATTATTATCATTAACAGAGTCAGCAATTTCCTTTTTCTTAACCAATAAAATTAAACATTTTGAATATCACTATCTTGGCACGGTAATCAAAGTCAAATTATCGCGCTCAATTATGAAATATATATAATAATTTTTTGTAGGTATGCAAAATTTATTTTAATATTAATAATTCTGTCGTTTTAGCATCAATTAATTATCGAACCAATTGTTTTCCAGCATTATTAAAATGTTAAAAATGTTATAAATGGTCTAAAAAACAGTGATGCAAAAATTGCCAATGAAAAGAAAAAACCTTTGGGTCTTGTTGCTTATAAAGTGGATCATCCTCATCAGCATCAAAATATAATTCTGAATTTGTCATTGATATTGTTCCCGGAACAACGACTCCTGGTGAAATTAATCGACCATTTGTACTATATGTCGGATTATCTGGAAAAAAATGAACAAACTTTACAACCTTACCAATTTGAGACTTTATTGTCAAAAGAAGCAGTTACAGATAGTGCAAAAGATATCGTCGATATTATTGTATTTTCCAAATTAAGAGTCGGTTCCCCAAATTTTAAACATTTTAATGCTTTCGATGTTTAAGGTTTCATATTCCACTTTCAATCCAAAAAAATTACTCAAACAACCATTCAAACAAAGTAGTTGTTCTAATAAAAAAATTAACCTAAAAAATTATAGAAAAAAGAAAAGAAACAAAAGAAGCAGAAAAAACAAAACCTGTATAGGGATTTGCCATTCTTTATCTTTATCTTTGTTATTATATTTGCAAAAAAATTTCTCAATTTTAAAAATAAAAAATAAGAGAACCGATTTCACCAATGAGGCCATCGACAATCTTATTACTTATCTCCGGTTTCAGTAGCTTTATATAAACATCTGCTCTCTTCAAAAGTAATAATTATATCAATTATTACATCAATTTATCTATTTCTTTTCATGCATCAATCTTAATGGACTCTTACAATTTTCACTCCTGCTCCTTCATTATTCGTTCAACTTCGCTATGAAATGAGTGACACGAGAGGAAAAACACCGATGATAGCTGACCAAAAAACAATAATATTATAAATCATAAATACTGAAACTTTCAACAGATTCAAAATATATTTGGAAAATTTACTTTTTGCACACGAGGAGTTAATCAACTCATCCTTATACTGTAATTCAACTGAATATAAAAGAGGAAGAACGCATTCAGTAATAACTTTACCCCAAAAATGATATAATTTTCATTGCATTTTTTTGCGAGAATATTTTTTTCATTCCCCGCAAGATGCTTGGGCTTTCATTAAACATAGCCGTGGTTAAACATAATTCACTAATTTCTCTTTAAATCTTCTAAAATTTTTATAATTTCTAGCACAGATTAGGAAGCTTTGATCACTGAATTAAAAAGCACTTTGTCATTGATGGAGAAGCTGGAAATCGGCACTATGAACAAAAGACATTCTGGAAGCCAAAAAATTAAACCAAAAAAAGGAGTCTTTAAAAACGTGGTAAAAGAAAAAATCATCCACAGTCATAGCAATAGCCGTTTAAAATATCAATAAATTTATTGTTTTGACATACATAATCTAACCAAAACTTTCAATAATCCCTTTCGATTTTGCTTATATTCTAACTAAAAGTTTATTCACTCAACATTTTTGTTTATAATCGATTTAAGTAGATCTGAGATTAGTTATGAATTGGAATTTCATCTTCACTTTTTCATTCCTTAGTATCTAAAATAAAATCCAATTTTAAGCCTAAATATGAAATTGTAGGGGAAACCGATTATTTCTACTAATTTCTACTAAGATTACTTAATAACTGTAACTACTATTCTGTAACTACTATTACTGCTATTATTGTAAATTATAAAAATTATAATTATTATCATTAATACACTAATCTGAAGTAATTTATAATACTTTCTAAAGTACAGCTCTGTGCTTTCCGTGAAATTACCTAATAAATAATTTTTCCATTATTACTGAAACGATTCACTCAGCACGGCATCTGTGCATAATCAATCAATCATGATCACTATTCTATAGAAGAAATTAAGATATCAAACAGTTCACTGCATTATAAAACCATTTATAAAATATCACTATTTGTGAGAACAATTTATAATAAATATCAACGGTCATATCTGATATAAAAAAGAAAAAAAAAGCCTAATTTCTGCCACTTGGCTAGAAATATAAGTAGGTTGGCAGCGCCACCACTTTTCTTAAGAAACCTATCTCTTCTAGAAAATTTATTATTTTTTATTATTATTTTTATTAATTTATTATTTTCACATCTCACTATCTAAAAATAAGAATCGACTGAATCGTTCTGTCGGTTCGAAGAAATTTGAGAGACTTCAAGAATTTGCGTAGAAAAATTAACTATATTACCTATAGTTAATCAATTTTAAAAGTTATCTTTAGATGCATTACCCGAAATCAAATTAAACTTTTCAAATAAAAAAAATAATTTTTGAAAAATTTGGAATTTTTATTTTACCAAAAGAATAAAAACGAAAAAAGAGAAAGATAAAAGACGATCAACAGAAGATGTTTTTTTCAATAACTTTAAACCATAAAATTCTATCTGAAAAAAATTTTTAAATTAAAATTTCTCGGATCATTTAACAATTACAATTATCTATATTTAACAATAACCTACGATGAGTAAGATTTTCATCAAAATTTATAAAATATTCGCTGTCCAAAACACTAAAAAGAGTGCTTATTATTTCACCAATAATCTAAATTATTTCTCAATAAAAATTCTAAACTACATTGTTCTATTAAATTATATTGTCCTTTGACAATGGAAAATTGGCTGGTGAAGAGAATGAGACAAAAATAATTTTCCAAATCAAACAACCTTTTTTTACCTTTAAATAATCTATTCACAAAGATAAGCGTGAAACTTCTTTTTACAAATTTCAACTATGTTTAAATTAACTGAACAAAAACCAAAATAAGATTTTAGCCCATTTAAATAATATTCCAATTTTTCAATGTCAACAGATTAATTTCAAGAAAAAATCATAAAATTTATCGATTCTGTGCCACAAAAATTCATTTAATAAAAAAGCCGTTCTATATATATTTTATGATCATCAATTTAGATAAATACTGACGTTTAAAACCTGTTCCTTTAAAGATATTTTAACGATGATTTCATTTTATACATCATTGTTTTTTAAAAAATTTGTTTCAAAGGAAAAGAACGGGAAAAAAATCAATATCACAAGCATACTTATAAACTACTTTTTTTCCCCATATAAAATTATTAAATTATTAATTCACTGAAATAATGAAGAAACATATTAGATTCAAAAACGAAAATTTTTAGGGAATATTGAAAAATCAGAGGGATACATTTCGGATCTTCTCAAAAAATAAAGATATAATATATGATAAGAGAGATGACGATTCTAGAAATAAGCAACTGCCAACATGCACTAAAATAATGAGCTATGACTGAAATTAGAAACAAAGTTCAACAAAGTATAAACCTCGATGCAAATCGACAGCCGAATCTGGTTCAGATGCCCATTTGTCAATGTCACTTTCATCAACCAATTCACCAACAGTTGTTCCAGTTTTGAGTGAGCCCAACGACAGAACACGTCTTGCGACCAAATCACGTAATAATTCTTCACGAGCTTTCTCAATCTTAAGTTCTTTTGGCTGAGAAAGTATAATTCTTTGCCAAAGTAATGGCCTAAAAAATGGTTAAGATTTCAGAAAAATTACCTCTTGAGCTGATGTATTCCTTTCAAGAATATTTTTTAAATGAGCTGTTGAATGGCGACATCCATATGGATTTGTGATAAAACGTTTTCGACGCCGAGAATCATCTTCCCAAACGTCCAGTTTCCAAAATACATCCCTAAAAAAATTTTTTTACTTGGATACAAATAAAGCAACTTCTTGCAAATCTTGCAAGTAAAGAAACCTTATAGTTTTACGAAAATTTTTTCTTTTCTGTAAATGTCTGAAAAATTTTCTGAATGCAGGAATAACAAATTTCGTAACAGTGCTATAATATTTCAAGATGATTATTTTAAAGACTGATTCACTTAAAACACTTACACTTGTTGCTTGGAATCTGCCCAAGCTCCACCTGACCGATTCAAAACAGCTATTATTTTTTCATACAATCGCTTCGCAACCAATGAATCTCGGCGCCTACTTGCTGTTATGAAATGATCGTTCATTGCTTCTTCTTGTCGACGACGATGCATCTGTTCTGCAGCTTCACTCTAAATTATAGCATATAAATATTCAACAACATTTTCCATTATCAAGCCAGTTCAAATTCTCGATAAAATTACTTTTTTGTACAAAAGTAATACCTCAAATTGAGCATGTTTGCTGACATCATCAGCTCGAAGACGATTCAGGATAAAATCAGCTTCATTTGCAACGCGTAGAATATGATCACGAGTCGCATGTGCCATTAAACGACCTAAAAACTAAATTAAGAAGTAAATTTAGAAAAAAATGATCAATCAAATGAACATACAAAATCAACAAATTTAATCAAAAAAGTAAGGAAGACAAATCAGCATAAATTAGCATGAAACCAACTATTTTTTTTCATTCTCCTCTCCTATACGACAAAGAAAATTCTATATTAAAATATTTAAAAATATCTATGTTAATATCTATATTAAAATACATAAATACCTTCATTAACAAGTTCAATAAATGCTAGACCAGCATGTTTCTGCAGTGAAGTCTGCCACTCCTGGGAACAAAGCAACATTACCAACTCAATCACCGAACCTGCTTGATTTTTCATTGTTTCCATTACTTGAAAGAAATAAAGCCATTATTATCTTGGCATAAAGTAAAAATAAACCATTCGCACAAAACAAAAAACGTAAATAATCAATTTTAGGAAAAAATTAATAAGACGCTTCTTCAATACACATGCACAAAAGTACTGCTGACCTTTAACATCGTTCATTATTTCCTGGCCATGTGTACCTAAAAGCGTTTTTTGAAGATAAGACCGAAAATCGGTCATAATTTCTCTAAGTAAAGGTGCCGTAGTTTCCAATGCTGTTTGCAACTTATTTGTTAGATAAGTTCGACGTTCACCAGTTTCCAGAACACGCGGGTTCAAGTTTCTATCCTGCAAAACTATAAATTTTTTCTGTTTTCTATAATTTTCGACGGTCAGGTTTTGAAGAAAAAATTCTCAGAATTAAAAATGAATAAACTATCTAACACTGAATGTTTCCAAATGATCTTCCCGATATCCATTATCTTTTCCTCTTCTCTGCTCAAAATGTATAGCAGCAATTTCTGGATCATTATTAACTCCTTCAAAACCACTATTACGGTGCCCTCGAGATGAATCACCATCTATTCCACGAATATCCAACGGCGATCCACTCGTGAGATCTAATTCATTTCCATCATCCGCTGAAGAGTAACGATACTAAGCATTTATTTACAAATGGTTTAACAAACGTTGAAGTAAAAAAAAAGAAACAAATTTTTGAAAATCCGCCAGCTGCTGTCGTGTCAAAAAATGGGCTTGGAGTTGATGGTGGTTCAAGAATATCGCGATAACGAGAAACCATAAGAACTGACAACAAATACGTAACGGCTAAAGCTAAGAACTGCGCTTGTCGATTTTCCTCCTGAAAATATTATGAAGCTCCAGAAAGAAAGGCCTGCAACAAAGCTACATCTTTTTTCAAAAATTAAGGAATATTTTTAAAACGATACTATATTTAAAAATTTACAAACAAAGCATATACAATAATGCAAAAAATGAATGTATAACAATGACTAACCATATCACGATACACAATGCCTTTTAATCTTTGAATATCAATTTCTTGTAATAATCGTTCTTTATCCAATGCTATTTCATCATTCTGCAATATTACTAGAAATTGAAAGATCTGTTATGTTAAGATAATAAGATATGTTAAGATAATAATAAAATATGATGATAGAATGACTTACCGCTCCATTTACAAATTGTTCTATGGTTTCAGCACGAGCCAATAATCTAGAATCACGCAGATATTTGGCCTTGTTCTTGAACGATTCGCTGCGACATGCTAAGATATTACGAACAGCCATTGTTGAGACTAAAAAAATTTGATCTAGAAAAATTGCTTAGATATAAACGTAAATATTTTTATATAACTCACAGATATTTATTCTATAAAATTTAATATCCTGCAAAATAAATATTGGATATGTGAAACATATATTAGGATTAATATTAGAAATTAATTTTGCCGTTTTCATAACCTTTATTTCATAACTTTTAACAAGTTCATATATATTCAATATTTAAATATAGCTTCATAACACAGAATATTTCAAAACCTTTGCTCAGCATTTGTAAATAATTTCGTAATTTATGAAAAAAGACCGAAAATGTTTTTTAGCATGTTTTGCAATCCTCTAGTATATGTAAATAAATATGGAAATGTACGTACAAAATAGCAAACAAGTAACGAGTACGAAGAAACCATAGGTCTCCTATAATATTCAGCTATATGATAGGCTGATTATGGACATGATTATTGCTTATTGTTTAAATATTTTTTTACTGAGTTATGAAGAAATGCAAAAGATGTTATATCGATAATTGCAAAATTAGACGAAAAACCTTTTTTTTTAATTTTTTATAAAAGTATTACTACAAAACAGGGCCAATGAAGGATATTAAGGAGCTATCCACCGCCGAGAGCATAAAATCGCACTTGACTACATCCATCTTCGCTCATATATTTACCATCTGCATTGATAAAATCGTCACAAGCGCCGGTTACGCTGGTTAGATCATGTTCTTCGGCACCCATCGCATCGGAATTGATGCATATCTCGCTACTTGCTATGATGGTTGTTATCAAAAGCGAGTAATCGATACTTAGACTAATAGAAGCGAGGAACCAATACCCAGACTAAGGAAGATTTTGAACATATAAGTGGCCCAAAGATATATGGGCTTAGACGATGGAAAAACAAGTAGCATCTGTTTGGAAATGCCTTAGACTAGCTCTAGCCAGCGAAGATAACCAGTAACGGTGAGCTGTTAGACGCAAAAGATGTGGATGCATAAAAATTTGCGACCAGTTCACAGTATTTGTTGGTTATCTTGCATGATCATGCTGATGGACGACAAACTTCGTGTATATGATTCTTTGATGAATTTTCAGTAGCTCGCATTTAGAGATGACGTGGTAAGTTATTGTTATTGAAAAAAACTGTGGTTATCTAATTTTCGTAGATTGAAAGACGATTTTTCACGGCGAAGTGATAGAATTCATAAATACACATTTAGAATAGATATATACATTTAGAACATACATATATTTAAAGCGAACGGAAAAATTCGTTCCAAAATATCAATATAAAATATTTTCTGATCTGATATTCTCTTTCAATCTACTTTTTTAATTTCAAATTTTATTACTACTTGCAATGCAACTATGCATAAATATTACGAAGTGAATTGCAAATATTAAGAAATTATATAATAAGTCCTACAAATGATTACATCAAATATTAAAAATATTCCATAAAATAAATTTCGCTATACCATATTACTAGCTTAAATAGTTCTAACTGATTTTGTTAAAAATCGAACTAAATCCTCATGAAATATTGGAAGTATTTCTGAATCGCAGATAAGAAAAATCTTTAATTGTTATAAACAAAAGCTAAAAATACATGAGTCGAAGACTAAACTAAAAGTTTAATCCTTGGCAAGTTGTAAATGGGACTGGGATGATCTCAAGCAATTTCCTTAAAACTCTCTTAGAACATTTAGTTCTATATCACGCATCATACTAAATATTACAAAGTGAGTTGCAAATGTTGTGAAACTACGAAACAAGCTCTGCAAATGAAAATATTAAATATATATTTTATACATACTCCTTGTTTCGTTAATTTTAAAAATTGAATTGATCTATGCGAAAATTATCATTCAAAAATAAATTTTTAAGATAAAATTACCTAATCGAAGTGCCTGGCGTAAAATTCCACCATTTGGCATATTTTTTTCTTGTTCAAGATCACCGAAGCTAATTCCTGATGCAAAAACAAAGATATCAGTAAGATGCACAAAGCGAACCAGAAGACGAGCAGCTTCATTAATTTCCAGCGCCTGCGATGTTGAATCCACAATTTCCAGCTCACTCTAAAAAAATAATAAATAACCAAAGAAAATTGTTTGTATACAAATTTATTTTATATTGAAGAACTGAATATCAACTGAAAACTGCTAACAGCCAAAAGCTAACATTAGGAGAAGTAGCAGCAGCAAGAAGTGGAAGCAATCCTCCGCATGCCATAACTAATGAATCACTTAGCTGCGAAAGCATATGAACGGTATTCATGACAAAAACATTATTCTCATTACTGTTAACGGCATCAAGGATTGAAGAGTTTTCGCTAAAAATAAACATTTTAGAAAATTATAAATGAAATGATTTCAGAAAAATGCAGAGACTGAATATAAAAATAGAGTACGCCTTCCATTCATCCACCACTCCTTCTATGGCGCCAAGAAGATCATTCAATAATCTTAAATGTACATTGGACCATCGAAATTCTGGTGTTCGATATATGGCACTAGGTTGATCATCCAAATTAACATTTTTCCGTTCCAGTTCATCAGGTTTTCCATCCTAAAAATCTTTAAATTCATTCTAGATGGATCAAATTTTTATATTTATTCATCCATAATGATTAAATAATCTGATCTAATCAAGTTTAAACTTGATTAAACCCGTTTAAACAACCAGTTTAATAAAAAATTTACCACACTAAGTACGACCGAAGAAATCAAATCATAGACGATCCTTGAAATTGTATCGCTTGAACGATCGTTCAATGCAGAAGCTTGGCCTGCCAAACGGTAACGCTCCCAAGAAACCTTAAAAATCTCAAGTATAAGCGAAAATCTCAACAAATTTTACCACAATATCTCGCTAATACATGCTTTATTCAATAATTATACAAAAAATTTACTTTCGAATGTGCGATGGCAAGTGTATCAACCCAAACTCGCCAACCACCATATTCTAATCGAATCGCGTGGAACAAAAGATGAGAGAATATACGGAAAACAAGATCGCTCACTGAAATTTCATCTGAATTTGACGGAAAGATATGAGCCAAAGAAATTAACCATTCTTGCCAAACACTCATTTGAAGGATCGTACGACGATTTTCACGAGAATGTTCACACATTATTAATATATCGTTTAAGAATGCCTTCTTCACCTGTAAATAAATAAGAAATAACATAAACAGAAATAATAATACAGACCAGAAACAACTGCCAAAATTAATGAATCCACAAACTTTAATAAGTTCAGGACCAAGTTCGCTCTGCGTTATGAGATTGGCAATCACTTTTAGAATAACTGGATTTTCGAATCGTGCAGAATCCATGATTGGTGAGTGTAAAACATAACTGATCGAAGGCGTCATGTGCTCGATCAAAATCTCGAAAAGAACATTGTACGTTGCAAGACTTAAGCAGCTTGCATGCAGAAGTAATCGATCAGTGAATAGCGTTAATAGATTTTGATTACCAACTGAATCGTTCTTTCTCCTGAAAACAATTTTATAAATTTTATCAAAATTACTCAAATTTTATGCAGAATGAGAACGATTATTTAAATAAAATGAATGAATTATCAATTTTGTTTTTTATGCAAGAGACTGGTGCTTAATTTAATATTAAAAATTTAGCAAGGATGCGACCTGAAATTACTAAATAACAAAATAAAGATTAAATTTAAACTAAAATACAAAATCTTAGAATAAATATATGAACCTTAATTAAAATTAAATGAAGAAAAATCAAAAACTGAAATGTCCGAAAAATGAAAAAATTCATATCCGACGAACAGTTCATAATTCTGATCAAAAAAAAAACACACTTCAAAGTGGATCGACAAAGAAAAATGCCGAAAATTTTCAAAGCTGGAACACGCATAAGTTCGTTGGATGAATTAATCAGTTTAAATACTACTGCAGTTCCTTTCTTACGATCGAAAGCTGGTACCATGGTAGCAGGCTGGTCAGCTAAAAGCTGAGCTGTTAAAGCAAGAATGTCATACAGATTATCATCCTGAAAGAATTCATTGATTCATTAATCAACATTGCTAAAAATGAGAAAAATCAAGTAAAAAAAACAGAAAAACCTCATGCACAGTTGCAATGAAATTTAGAAGAGCATTAAATTCGTCATCTCGAGTAGCACTATCGCTATCTTTAGAATTTCTAATCTGAATTAAACGCGTAACTAGAAGAAGAATATGCTGACGAATGGTTATAACATACGATCTGCAATTAATAAGAAAAATTAAACAAATAAAGACAAAGAAAGTGATGGAACAAATAAAACTACAGTTAGAAGATTCAAATGAAAATTTCGCTTAATACAAATAAAAAATAGATATTACTTGTCAATTCTGTCTTCAGCATTTTTTATCGAGTAAGAAGATGGTGAACGTGGAGGCACAATCCAATAATAGAATTTAATTGCATGAAGTAATTCTACGATAGCTGAACACCGACGCAAAATAATTAGCAAATTCAAATTTCGTACAAAATCCTCCGATAAATACTTATATAGTCGAATTTGTACCTAAATAAAAATGGTTGAAAAGAAAAATAGATCATGAAATTTTATTGTTGAAAACTTGCATGAATGAGTCAAATCTTTAAGGATAAAGTATATTCTTTACAAAATTTCAAATTACAACGAAAAAAAGTCAAATTGCAGTGAAAAATTTTCATCACTGCTTGGATTTCAAACATAAATATGGGAATATGGAAAAGATTTCCTTAAGTTTGCATTGTTACCACGTAAAAAAATTAAAAGGAATTACTAATGCAGATGCTTTGACCCATAATTGAGGATTAAATAAAATGTGATCCAGCAAATGTTTTAGAAGTGGAGCGCCTGCTGGTGATGCTGATAGGAATTTCGCTATATTGATAAAAGCATCCAATACTCGATCAGTGAGATGTTCTCGTGAAGCCTGAGATATATAATTTATCAAATATTTAGAGGTACTATATTTACTATTACAATATAGATACTATTATATTATAGGGATTATACTATTATACTATTATATTATTATACTATTATAGGAATTTAATACTAGATTATAATATTTACTATTATAATATAGATACTATTATATTATAGGAATTTAATTGATGGATTACTGATGGATTACACATAGCAAATTTCAGATATTCAATAATTTCTTCTGTTATTTCTGCAAAATTTACGCACCATCAAGATCCACAGAATAATCAGAAATATCTCTCTCAAACTTCACTGCATTATATTTCCTTAATATCCGTCCAGACTTTCCGAATCATATCACTTGCTCAAGTATCAACCTTTAACATCACCTAAATGTTAATTGTACTCCAAGAACAGTACTAAACTTCGTCCTATATTTGCTTTCAACTCTCTACATCTCTTTTAAGTTTCCATTAATACAATCAATCATTTTGTTTTAATTGTTTTAATTGAAATGCAAGTAAAATTCTCGAAAAGTGAAATTTACAAGTTCATGGAATGTTTCCCGTCTCGATAGCGTCACGTGCCCTCATTTGCAAGAAACTCAAAGTTTCGGAATAATAATTTATGGTGCTATGGGCTTTTGGTTAACTTTTCTAATTTCATTTATTATATTCAAATTTCCCTAAAAAAAATAAATCCCTTAAAATAAATCCACACCCTTAATATAGGATGTATAGAAATATAGATATTTAATAAGGATATATATAGAAATTCAGATACTTATATAGCCAAAACAAATAAAACGCAAATGACGCTTAACTTTCACAAGAAAAACGATATCTCGAAATTTAAATAAATTTGAATTTTAAATAAATTTTGGCTTAAAGTGTGATAAAAAATACCTCGTTCAGTAAATCGGATATAATAAGAAATGCTTTACTATGGAAAAGCTGTTGTATAGCACTTGTTGAAGTATTTATTATGAATGCTATTGAAGTAAGAAGTGTTGCGCTGAAAAAATCATATAATGAGAGAAAAAAAAAACAAAAAATAAACATTTTATTATTTTTTAAAAGAGATAATAATTTCAAATAAAAAATGCTTAGAAAATAAAGATTTGAAATCTGAAAAATGTTTTTAATCTTAAATTTTTAATCATAATCTTGCAAAGTTTTTAATCATTAACGACTAAAAATATAAAAATATTTGAAAACTAAAATAATTTTTATAAACAATATGATTACAGTTGAATAAAAAAGACTCAATTATAAAGAACTTACCAAATTTCTGAGTTCTTCATTGCTTGTTTTTCAGGCCAAGATAGATCTAATTGTGCGAATAAAGGAAGAATCATCTGAATACCTCCGATTGAATGTAGTGAATTATGAATTGAATGCGTTTTTACTACTTCCACACCCTTAATATAGAATGTATAGAAATATAGATACTTAATAAGGATATATATAGAAATTCAGATACTTATATAGCCAAAACAAATAAAACGCAAATGACGCTTAACCTTCACAAGAAAAACGATAAATTATAAAATTTAGCAAATTTTTTTAAATTTTGATTCAACTTTTAAAATAAATAATTTGAAATTTTTCTACCAAAATAAGATAAATAAATAACAAATAAAAAATAATCGTAAAAGAAATAACAAACTTCTTTCATAATTGCATGCGGGACCTGAACGAAGTAGGAAGTACTCGTTTTCGGCGAGGAATGTAAACATAATTGATCATCGCAATTTTTTGGAGAATAAGCAATAACGATGGAAGAGCTCAAATGTCCATCGAATAAATGCTAACAAATTATCAAAAATAAAAATTGAGAAATTGAATAAAAAGACGAAATTTAAAATTTCTAGATTCTTGATGAAAAATGCTTTTTCTTTCGAAAAAATTCGCGGATTTCACCACGAATCTATCTACAAAAGATTAAATCTTTTGCAGATCAGATAAATTATCTTCACATGCGATGCTTACATATGAATTAATTCTTAAAAGTCTTGGGATATCGATTTAAACTTCTATATATATATATATATAATTTTTATTGTTTCAGAGTTAAAGATTTTAAATTTCAAGAAAGATTTAATCTTAAGTTTGTGATTATGGCGACTTAATTTTCCTTATCCATCACCATCTCAACAATTTTCAATTCATCAACATTGCTCCCCAGTAATTTCCTGAATTATTAATGGCCTTACATTACTCTAATATATATATTAGAGTAAGGTTGATGAATTGAGTAATCTATATTTACGATTAGATCCACGACAGTACAACGGATAAATAAGTTTCAATTATAAAGTTTTATTTTTTAATCGAAAGATTATTTTTTTTTGCTTTTGAATACCTCAAAAAAAGCTAACATTATCATCTCGAAATCATAAAATATTTCAAAATAATAAACCTTCTTATAAGCATCAGATAAATCACATTCAGCCTTATGACGAAAATTACTTTGATAATTAGGACCGAGATAATACATTGCATTAGCTTGTTGTTGATTTATTGCCTCGGCAAATACATAGACTGCTGCAATTTGACCACAGAATGGCTCTTCACCATCAGATCCGCATCCAATAGTACACCGATCGAACTGATCCACCGTAGAAACCAACCTTAACATTCACAAATTTTTCTTTAGAATTTGATTTAAAAATTTTGTAAGTACCAGTCAAAAACAAACATAAATTAGAAAAGGATTTACCATGTTAGATCGAATACTTCTATAAGCTGCCCATCAATATAACAAAAAATTTCACTTTTCGTCCATCTTGAATAAACATATGATACAGCAACATGATGCCACCTTTAAAAAAATAGTGAAACTTGAAGAATCAAAAATTTTCAATAATTTTTTCCCCAAAGTATGAATAGAAAACCTTCTTGGCACTAATTCAAATCGAATGCAGCGAGCTGTTTCTTTACCAATTATTTTCGTACTGCTCACTACTAAGCAATTACCCATGAAATAGCAATTATAACCCAATCCTTTACTCGTTCGAAAACTAAAAAACACATTAAGAAAATGAGAAGCGATGGGAAAAAAATTTTTTTAAATATGAAGAATTTATAATCATTTCTAAATTTTTATCACAGAGTTCGAATTTCTTATACAAAATTTATATTTAGATTTTTTAGGGAATTAGAGAATTCAGATCCTTAAAAGTTGTGCAAATGAAAAAACGATGATAATCACTGATGCACTATAGAAATCTCAAATTTAGAAAAATTTTACCAGTAAATGAAAGGTCTTTCCTTTTCGAAATTGACACTATTCAAAGGATCCATCCTCAGCCAAGTACTGAACGTCCATCCATTTTGATAAGGCCACTTAATCAAAGGCGGTAGTGCGATACCCTTAAATCTTTCTCAATTCATAATTATGAAAGAATTCATGTAGATATTATTTTCTGAATTCATTTCTGATTTTATTTTCACTAAAAGTCCATTGTAAAAAACTCCATTGTAAAATGTCTAAAATTCAGAAAGATCAATAATAGCCCAAATATACCGCATTACGAATCCCAGGAAATGAGAAGAAGACATCAGCTCCTTCTCTTTTTGGCATTTCCTTTAAAACGTCTAAAAGCTTTACTGAATTCTTCTTCTGAAAAATTTACATCAAAATGAAATGAATAATTTAATAAAAGAAATTTGGAGCAAACAAATTTAACCCAAAAAATGCAAAATGGAAAAAAATGGAAAAAAAATCACCCAATGGCCACCATCCGCTTTCAAGGCACATAAAAATTTTTTTGTTTCTTTAACACTAATACTATAAGCAGTTAAGACACACAAAAGTTGGACGAGTAAATCAGAAATCATAGCATCGCAATCAGGCAATCTATCCAATATCTAAAGAAAATTTTGAATGAAAGATAAAAACTTCATTTTATTTCGGTTGGTTCAAATTGAAATATTTCAATTGAAATTGATTTCTTGAACGGAAAACAAGAAAAATGAAAATAATAGATATGTCTTACGACATCTTGTTCAATATCTCAAAAAAGCTTACAATTCCTATAAGACCAACACGTGAACAGGCTTCTAAATTGCGATTACTTTTTCGGATAACGGCTACGAAAACACTCCATACTTCGGCCTGTAAACCATAATTCAAAAAGATTTTCAAATAAAAAAATTTAAAATGAGAGAAATAATTGAAATTGTTACGAAACATTTTTCATTTTATTAAAAATGCGACATATATATTTATAAACATTATATGTGTTTATATCATATCAAAACCGGCAAATTCATTAAAAGCAAAACCGTTCGTCAATAATAATAATAACCTGAAGACCAGAAGGAGCCAAATCGAGCAATTTCACCATATGAATGATATTTTCGAAGTCCTCGATAACAAATCTTGATTCCAAATCGAATGCACCACCAACTAACTGGGAAAGATTAAGCGCATTTTGCTATTTTATTTTAACTTCTATTTTCTTTGGTTATAATCACCAAATTAAGAAAAATGAAGACAACAGCAGTTATAAAACAAATAAAATAAAAAATTTAAATTTTTACAGATCTTCAATAATTTACAGAAGAAAATCGAAAACATTAGCCTATTTGTTTAAATATATACCACATTGAAAATTGAATCCACGATGTCCTTGTGAGATAAATCATCATTTTTCAAACCTCGTTTTAGCCTTTCAAAAGTCTCCACAGATGTCTCTTCAGATGAATGAATAACTGTAGTGTTATGTACACTTGATATAACATTACTTTTTAGACCGTCGTCTTTCTGCAAATCGTCTTTTTAGGTAAAGGATACCCTTCACATAATATTACATAAGTTTTTTGACAATCTATTTATTAATGAATTTATGAATCAATGAATTTAAACTAATCGAAAAGCCGGATGACAAGAAATTATTAATTCCGACTTTAAAACAAATCAAACTCATTCAACATTTTTTATTTTTTCTTTTAACGCAATTCTGGCATGGCTTCAATTATTATTCCCAAAAATGGCATTTTAAAGCAAACTGTGGATAGAAGTTGGGCTCATCTGGCTTTTGCTTTTATTGAAAGATTTATTTCTGAATCCTACCCATGATATCCAATTTCTGTCGTAGTTACATATGTTATCTTGTTTAATTCATTGAAATGCGATTTTAAAAAAAAAAAGTGAAAAATACCCTTGAATTATTTTCCATTTTATTCAGAACCTTTTTATTTCCCTGATTATCTTCATTATATCGATCGTTTAGTTTTATATCAATAATTTTCAACGAATCCACAATCTGTATTGGATTTGTTTGTATATCAGTTGTTATTGCCGTTGGTGTTATAGGTTCATTTGATGAATCAAGCGCTACTGATGAAATGCTTGATTCATCTAACTTTACATCTTCCATATCATCTTCACTTTCATCATCGCAAAATTTCTGCAAGAAAAAAACGTGCAGATTTCTCTGCCACTTTGAATGAAACCGAAAAAAGTTGCTCACTGATCGTTAATTGCACTTTAGTTGCCGATAGCAACGAATTTTTTCCTTAAGTTTCGCTATTTATCTAATATCAACAAGAATTTCTTAGTAACAAATTTGAATTAAAACTTATTTTGTCACTGGTTTTGATCTATGCAAAACAGCTTAACAGAAAATAGCTTAATTTAGGATTCAATGAAGAATATAAGAGGCTGAATAGCTAATGCTTTTATTACCTAGAAAATCGACTCAAGCATTTGGGTTTAAATTTGCTTTCGAAGGGAGTAGACTTGCCATAAAAAATAGGACGACGATAGACTCATTTTTATCCCTAAAATTTCCTGGCAAAAATTTCTCACAATATTAATAGCCAATGAAAAAGCTGACCAGAAATGATCAGCGTTAACCCTTTAAGATATATAAGTTACCAAGCACTACTCACATATTTCATATATTTCGAAGATTGAAATGCGCTCGTAGGTCACGATGCCACTACGATATAATTGGCAAATACAGCATCAGAGCCCGTTGCGCCAACGGATAACGCTTTCTTTACCTTACCAAACTTTTTGTTAATAATACATGTTTCCGAAATTGTAAAAGAAATCTAGTGGAATTCCACGGATAACCAATATTCCAACTTGATTTATATCTTAGTCAGTCAACGTTGGAAGAAACATATACTAAATAATTCTCCCTATCGCGGCGCTGAAACTATTTACCTTCATGGGATCAGACCATGTTACGGTTAGAACCAAGATTAGCATAAAATTGATAATTCGTAAGAAACAACATCGTCCAAGATCTTCCAACTATCTCAGATTAAAAGATTCGGGGATAGAAAATGCATTTGAAACCGAATTATTTAAGCACTTTAGTGAAATAAATATCAATGAAAGCTCTGAACGACGATGAATACTGGTCTCAACTAAAGGTATGCCATCAAAGTCAACCATTTCCACACTAAAATAAGCTAATAGAAAATACGCTAACTGGGTATCGGAAGCAATTGTCCATTTATCTGAAAAGACTACCAAAGTACGAATATTAGGAGATATTCGACTACCAGATACTTTGAAGAATTACAACGACTGCAACACGGCAGAAAGAAATCACTGTTATATATGGTATCAAGAATGGAGACAGCGGCTCCATTAAACGGTAATAGGAAACTATTCCGCCTTCTTCATAAATTATAACTCCGGGAACGAACGGTAAAATGGCAAGGGACAGGAGTAATGTGCCTGTTATATTAAGAATGGACTCATAAGATTGAAGCAATTCTTTGAGACCAAGCTTAACCACGATGCGCCATCCGGAACATAGCTGAATCGCTTGTAGATCTATATGCTGCGAACTGCCAGAAGAACAGGAAAAAATCTGTGCAGAACTCTTCAAAGATTGTCCATTATCCTTCATATCACATCTTCAACAATTCACTCACTCGTACAGAAAAAAGAAATAATAACAGACTGCAGCAAACCAATTCCTAAGAAAAATGACAGGAGGCATTACGGTAATTATCCAGGAATCATCCTACTAGATCTCCAGAAAAATTTTTGCTTCCTCCTATTGAATATGGCAGCAGGATACGCCCCTAACCAGATTGGATTTATATCAAAGCGCATTTGTGCTGACCAGATATTCACGCTCATGTTTCATCGATTTTGTAGCTATCTTCAGTTCAGTACTTTGGAGAATGATGGAATGTGACAGTGTTCCACAGAAGATTAACTGTCTCATAAAGGTATTTTATGAGCGCACGTCGGCGCAAGTCTGTATATGGAGAGCTAACAGACCCTTTCGAAATAAGAACTAGCGTCCATTAAGGCTGCAGCCTTTCCACTATAATATTCAACTATGCGATAGACTGGATAACAGATATTGCTTTTCACTTAAGAGATGTACAAATCCAGGGCATTGGATCTTTAATATGATGATATAATCCCTTTTACTAACAATTATGACGAATGCAAATAATGTGTCAACTACAGCGAGAATTAGACTCAGGATCAATACGAATAAAAAGAAAGCCTTTTCGTCTTGTATATAAATATTATATATAAAAAGATGATAAAATACCTATTTTTATAAATTTATTACCAGCTGAGGAAGCATTTTAAATATCTTTGATTTTAGATATTTGTTCACTATAATCCCAAATGCCCAGTCAAAAGACAAAATTATATCCCGGATAACGGTAGCTAAAAAAGAATTCTTCCAGTTGACGGAACCTTTATGAAATCGACACGAAATTATAAAATCGAAAGTCCGCGTCCATATAGCTGCAATTCAATCTCAATCTTGCTATATGACTACGAGATATGCCAGATGTGAATGGAGCGAATTAAAAGGTATCTTCCTTTGACCACTGATATCTAACATTTTACGTGTTCGCCAAGTGGATAAAATCTCATGTGATCATATCCACTTTCGTTCAAATACCACTTGTATTAACAATACCATCACAGAACATCATCTTCGTTGGTTAGGGCAGGTTCTTTGTCGCCCACCACAAAAGATACTACTTGCTAAACTCAGCGACGGATGGGGCCAAAAGATAGACTAATCAAGATCTAAACTATTACAGTCAGGAAAGAATTTGGATGTATAGGATGTATAGGACCAGCGATATATGGACTTCGACTATACAAAAAGGAATGGTTTCCATACTATCGACAATCGCGGCGAATAGCTTAGAGACATCTTACTCTTGTAGCCAGCGTAACCTAACCAGTAATGGTGAAAACTATTAGAATATTCACAGGATTAAATAATATATAATAAGCAAAATAATAAATAATATATAATATATACTCTTCAGGAATAATTTAAATTAGAGTTGTCCAACCCAGAGGCGAGCAGACCTAGAAATCTTGTAATGCGGTCTCATAAAATCATAAACCTATTATATAATTTTTCAGCGAATCAGGCATTGAGACATTCACAAGGTCAAATACTTCGCTAGTTTTAAGTTGCCCTCATTTCTTTTAATTTTACAATAAAAACAAACGAAATTTCTATTTTTTATTTCTCACTATATTTAACTATATTAAATTGTTTTCTATGCGGTCTAGAACAACATTTTTTCATTCAAGCTGGCCAATACAACCTTAAAACAATTTTATTAGAAATAAAATATTGCTCAAAAAAGACCAATTTCAAAAATAATGGCTAACAATCATAGTTAAATCCAGGCGCCGCTGGATACTCAATAATTTAATCTCGCAAGTGAATCACTGACGAAAAAGTGCCACCCTACTAATAGCCAGAACCTAACCATATGTGCTGTAAATAGTACAGAAAAAAGGCCAAGGAACTAAAATTCAACTGTCGAAATGAAGAGGAGATCAGAAGAAAGTGAAGAAAAAAAACACTACTTTACTAGAAGGAATTCTAAAATAATAATCAAGAAAAATTTTTAAAAGTTAAAAAATTGAAGAACCTGTCGACTTGTTCTTTCGATTTTATTCGAATTATTTGCTGAGATTTGCTCATGAGACATTTCATGAAATAATCCACTTCACGAAGGTTCGATTAAATTTCTGCTGCTCGCTATGAATCACTGACAGCTCACAACAATCATTTACTAAAATAATGAATTAATAAACTATGAATGAATGAAAATTTCCCTAAAAACTTGGCTTGTGTGGACAATTGTGTGAACGAAGAGATTCGAAGACAAACAAAGCAGAACCCAGAAAAATTTTTCGAAAAATAGTCGAAAAAACAACAAAATTATTGCAAAAAATTTGAAAAAAACTGCAGATTTTGATTTACTTCAAATATTTTTCCATAAACCTCAATTTAATTTCGCTGTTTTATCATTTTTAATTCTAGGAAATTATTTTTGCTTCTTAATATACGATTTTACATAAAGGAAATACTGAGATAAAATCGAAAAATCAATAAAATCTTTGGAATTAAAGGAAATGTGCTGCCACACGGCATTGCTGAAAAAGGTCAAACCAAAACCACAAAAAACCACGATTGATTAGAAAGGAAAAAACCAAAGTATCCACCATACTGCCAAAAACAAACTAAAAACAATACAGTGGATTTAGCAATTCCATGCAAACACCGAAATCAGAAATCCAGCCGTGGCTGCAATTTAGCAAATGGCGGCCTCGTGTTCTGAAAACTGAGCGATGTTAGGGGGGTGTTTGCAATTGTCGTCTGGATTATTGATTTTGGCGATTCTTATCATATCGTTTTGAATGTGTTTCAATTCTAATAGCAATCCTAACACTTTTCCACTGTAATCCTTTAGTTTTAAGAGTTCCATTCTCATATAAAATCGTAATACCATCGTTATCATTAATATTGTATGAGGGCGGGGATGAGTCTGAGAAGTTTTCAGCGTAGAGAAAAAAATAATATAATGTCGATACTCAAGTTTCCAACATTTCAGCTCCTTATCGGAGCCTCAAATTTTTCAGGGATCTCAAATTTGCGACCAGGTTTACTGTACCTTTGACAGTAAATACTGATTTGAAATTTTATAACTTTCGTACAATGCGCAAAGATCGAATCTCTTGAGTAACAAATTTTATTTTTTTCAGTGGTTGCAAATGATATAAATGAAAATAATTAAAGGTAACATTCAATGAGCTCTGGTAATGAAAAAATAATGCCATCCCTCTTTTACCAATAAGCTCCACCCCTGCACTATTGAAGAAAACAGTACGATGGAAATGAGCAAAATTGTGGCAAAAAATTCAAATATAATATCCAAAAATTGGTACTTGTCGGGCGATATTTTTTATTTCATCAATAATATTTTCTGTTTGTTCATAGTTGTCCAACTGGATACCTTCTTCCTCATAGTTATCAACAACATATTTATTCTCTGAAAATTCTTATTTTTTTTCTGAATTTAAATTAGTTTATAATTTCCAACTGAAAATTCAAGTCAGTGAACTAAAATGGGAAGTCTGTCTGCTCGGTGGAGTCAAAAGGATGAGAGCGACCTGACGCTCTTCTCTCCGTTAAAAGAAAAATAAATGCATTTCGATTAATCCGAATTGAGCATCGACTTGTTAAACTGGGCGAGGTCAGTCAGAACAGACCCAATTTTTATCCCTTAATAAGTGTGAATCACGATTGTTTGCTGCGGATTTGCTTTCATCCCAAATTGAGTTGCTGCCGAAATAAAGACGAAGAAGAAACTAAGCGACCAAGCGAAATATAAGAGCACATAAACGAACGAGTGGAAGAAAACGAAGGATATGGATGAGACAGAAAAATGAAAAGGCAAGGAGTCACCACTGTCCACATAACCGAAGAGAACCGCAGGGAAACGATTGGGCAAAAAAAACTCTAGTTTTTAGAAGTTCGTACCGAAACGTTTCCTTAAGCCATACTGGATTCTGTAGATTTACAGAATTTCTATGAATTTATTGATTTTCATCATGTTTTAACTATATTTCATGAATTTAGGCATGTTTTGTAAATAGTTTGCAGATTAGCCAATCCCAATCCAATAATCGAAGAAGGACGAAATGGTGGTTTCTTTCCTTTGAAAATTCACCTAACCTGTTTGTTCACTTTCCTCTAGTATTGCATGTTTTTTCTCGATATTTCTTAATTTATCGACTTCCTTACTTTCACGTAACAATGTACGCCAATGTTCCAAACCACAACAACCAAGAAAGATTTCGAATAAAATTGATAAATCGAGTATCTATAATTTTTCGATGATCATGGCAAATTTCTCCATTTTTATTATTCCTTTTTCTATGATTTTTGATATTGCAGTCTTTGTAGAAAATAGTGGTCTTTGACTGGAATAAATCCGGGTGGTGGAAGGACCCATTTCTCTTTTTGTACCCTTATTAAGACATGGAAATTATATGCTATTTAGTCGCCACTGGAAGCAATAATTCTCTTTCCTGATTGTCGAGCGGAAGCGACGTGGATATCATACGCTTCCATTTTTAAAATTTTTCTAGGTATTTTAAATAGAAATATGCCAATAATATATTTCATATATGCCAATATATGTAGTTCATATAGAGCAGAGCTTCTTTAAATCGCTGCCATTGAATGATGCCACTAACTCCTTTGGCAAGGTGGTGAAACGTGTGAATCTGTACTTGGAACTTGGAACCTTCTCCAAATAAAATTCATTTTGAAATTCATAACTGAAGGTATTTCAAGAAGTTTCAATAGCACCACATTTTCCCAGGTGCAGAAATCGCCCCCATAAAATCCATTCACAGCTTCCAAGTCAACAATCGTCAACAATTGATTATTTTATTTAAATTGGATTTTCTAAATTAAAGAGTAACAATGATGGTATACAGGCATAAATCTAGAAATTTAAAAATTATTTACCCTGCTAACTAAAGGAATAAATTTTATTAGCACGAAGATGATGTACATTGCCATAAAAGAAATTGCTACAGGGAGTGATCCAAAAGCCAGTGGCATTGAAAACACTACGAAAATTGGATATAAAATCAGCGTCTGAAAAAATGACATTGAAGAATTCATTTATTATTTTTACTATTTCTTATTCTTTTTTTTCTAAAGAAGATAAATCTCTTCTTTAAAGTTTGTTTTTCTTTATTTTCTATTTCATTTCCCATCCTTCCTTCAAATTTTTTTTCCTCCTAATTCTTCATCTCTGTCTTTGATAGGAGTAAACCTGTCATATCAAAATCCGAGTGGCTGCTGGAGATTCACCTGCAACATTATCCACAAGTAACTCTATGGTGAAAGGATCAGGTCTTTCGACAAGGTGTTCACGTCCTCCGATGCGCATGTTACTCCCAGCCCAGTGGTACATGCGACAAGTATACAATTTGGGAGTAGTAAAACGACTCTAGGATTAAGAATATGATATACTTATGTTGTTGTTGGGGTTATTGCTAGAAATTTTAATCTTAGACATGGGTGTCAAAGGCAGATAACTTTCACTCTTATTGACCATGTTTCGCATATTACAAGATCGAATGAATCGCAGCTATATAGATGCGAACTTTCGTTTTTATTGTGATTTCGCAATGGCTCCATAAAGGTTTAATCAACCGGAATGCCTTTCTAACTGTCATTATCAGGGCTTTAATTTCGTCTGGCTATTCAGTACTAGAGTGGATCCAAAATATTTAAAATCGAGTACTTCCTCAACCTTTATATAAAAAAATTTATAAAAATAGGTATTTCATCCACTTCTTGTCTATAAGACGGGAAGGTTTTTTTTACATTGACCCTGAGTCCGATTCTCGCTGCGGTTGTCGACATCGACACATTATTTAGCATTATTTGCATTTCGCCATAACTGTCAGCAAAAAAGGAATACATCATCAGCGTATTCAAGGTCTGTGATACGATGCTGTGGACTAATCTATATACATCATGAATGCTTCTATCGCATAGTTGAATATTGTAGATCACGATACAGCCACAATGAACTCAATAATTGACAAATATGGCATCACTGCGTTTCCTTCGCTTTGCCGAACAGCATGAATTCAGATACCCACCATCATTTATTTCATCGATTTTGCACTAGCTTTCGATTCAATTGATAGAACGGTGCTTTGGAGGACGAGCGAATGTAATGGTGCTCCAGAGAAGATCATTCGCTTCATATCAGCACACATTGGTGTATGGTGTATATGGGAAATTGGTAGGCTCTTTCGAAATATGGACTGGTGTCCGTCAAGGCTGCATCCTTTCCCCTATAGTATTTAACTATGTGATAGACTGAATAATGGACTGCTTGTCGGCACTCAAAAGGTGTACAAATAAGTCCAGAGCATTGTATACTGATAATGTAGTCCTTTTTTGCTGGCAGAAATGCAAACAGTGATATCAGCGGACTCAGGGTCAATGTAAATAAAACAAAGGTCTTTTCGTCTTATATACAAGATAAAATATGTTTTTATAAATCATTGCCAGTTTAGGAAATGTCTGATTTTATATACCTTGGATCTACTCTAATAATACTGAACGACCAGGCAAAAGATGAAATAGGATAGCGGAAGCTATTATTGCTTTCTTCCGACTGACAAAGCCTTTATGGAGCCGTCACGAAATCACCATAAAAAAGAAAATCCGCATCTATATAGCTACTAATCGTTCGATCTTGTTATTTGGCTGCGAGATATGGTCAAGAAGAGCGGAGGATATTAAGAAGCTATCTGCCTTTTGAAACTCATGCCTATATCTTACGGTCCATCGAGCGGATAAAATCGCATATAATTGGGTCCACTTTCGCTCAAATACCATTTGCATTAACGGTACCATCACGGAACGTCGTTTTCACTGTTTAGGACACATTCCTCGTCATCCACCACAGGAGTTAAAATATTTTGGTGAACTCTGTGATGGATGGAAAGCCTATCAAAACTTGGACTGCCACATCTAGGAGAAATTTTGAACGTATATATGGACCAGCAATATATTCGTTCGAAAAAAGAATGGCTTCAATTGATGTTAACGATGGCGTCGGACCGAAAAGCTTAAAGGGCTTACCCTTGTAACCAGCACAGGAAGCTTCACCAGTTATGGTAAGAACTATTAGAAGTTTTATCTATCTAAAGTTTGCAAAAAGTGGTTAATTACAAAAATTCATAATTTGACCAGTATAATTTTATAAAAAATAAATTATAATACAAATGAAAAGTAAAAAATATCGGATCTTATTTCTATTCACAATTTTTTACTGGATTTTAAGAATAGAGCCTTCAATTTTTTTATATCCTTGAATTTGTCGCTGAAGCTTAAAGGATTTAATATTAAAATTAGTAAGTAATTAGCTTTCATTTTCTGGTTATGCTTGCTCTCCTTGCTAAAAATTTTTGCTGGGGAGTCATATGGCGGTAGAACACCATCCGAATTTTTTAAATGACAGGAAACAGGAGCATAACGATAGATAGATAGAGCCATTAAGCACTCGCTTATCCCGTCTCCAATAAAACTTAAAAAAGATTATTTGAAATAACGGAATGATTTACTAGTATTGTAATAATTTCTGGAAGAATAACGAATCGGCGAAAAATTCCACGAATCCAATCAACAATAATGAAGGGTAATCCAAATAGAATTAACAGCGGAATGCCGCACTTAAATTTGATTCAATTAATTACGCGAATCGCCAATAGAATATTGTTCCGAATGAAAGTTCGTTATGATTCGAGGCTTATCGCTTAATGGACGAAACTTCGTTGTGAATTTAGAAGCGGACCGTGTGGTGCTAGGAATTACGTTTCTATCCTTAAGCGATTTCCTGACGAACCAATCTTCAGAACCAAAAATGGTGGCTGTTAGAAGAACTCATTTATCATAATCAGAGCCGTTTTCTTATTGTTTCAATGATATTTAATGGATTTGCTGAAAATATCGCGTAAAATAGCATAACAAGTGAAATTTAAGCGTTTGGTTAAATATACTATCGTCTTGCTTGAATCCTCTTTCTTTTATAATTTCTTCGTTTCATTAAAAAATTCTTCATTTTCATTTTCAGCAGTCAAAAAAGAATTTACCATTAAGAAGGTTAAAACAAGTGGCAATAAAATCATTAAAAGGCATCCTCCAGCAAGCGTTAAAAATCGAAGCAGATAAGTAATTCTCCATAAATCCTCCCAACCAGCTTTGCATCCACCAACTAAAACGTGCCGAATTGCCGAATTTGTCGTATTTTTGCCACCATTTATATTTTTTATCATTATTAATTATTGGTAGAAATAGGCAACCATTTCAGAGGCTTTTATGGGAATGTACGTTGGATTGCCTGTTGGCTTTTTCTATGCACTTGTTCGCGCAACTGCTTTTTCTGTCCTTCATTAAGTTCCATCCAAGGTCTCTTTAGGCTTTAGCTATTTTTTTATGCAATTCGGCTCCGGCTGAAGGGTAAAATTTGTTGTTCGGCCCTAATCCTTTATAAACTTTTTCCTGTCTGTAGGTATTTTTTTCTGCGAATATTTATTTTAGATACCTGTGAAATGTTGAAATGAATCAATCGGATGACCACAGCTCCAACAAAACTTCTGTCGGCACCGTATATTTACACACTGAACGTAATTACAACCAATATATTCACCGTACATTGACTTAATTTAACCAAATTTTAGATTTTTCTTCAAAATCAAACAAAACAGTATACTATACATTTTTGTATATCAATACTCAGTATTAACGGAAATATCGGAAATTTCAGAGGAATATGGAGTTTGGCACGTTTTTTTTTAGAACACTCACCATTACCGATTAGACTCGCTCCGCTGGCTTATCAGACAAATATGTCAGACTAGACAAATATGCCAGGGTCTTCCTTGGTGATAGAAGTACAGATGAGTCGCTACCCAGATTTTCTTACTACACACTTACTTAAAACTGCTGGGAGTAGAATTTCTGCACCGGCGAGCAGTCCAACTGATCCATTCTATTCTTCTTTGCTTTATTTAGGCGATACCTTGATCATAAAATAAAATAAACTGACGGGAACAAAACATTCAAAAGATTTACTTTACATAAGGGACATTGTACAGCATTGCCACCAAATGCATATAGAATGATTTGTTTTCTATGTTCATGCAATAACCATTCTCGATGTTCAAGTTGCATAAATTCATTAAGATCATGATTTTCTGCATCAAGAATCGCATCAATATCATTCTCATGTATTCGTGTCTTGCATCTTGCTGATGGGCATTTTATTCGCGCCTTTCCTCTCTCTTTTATCCAGTACTCAAATTTGTCATTTGAAGAAACTAAAGAAAAAATAAATGGCCAGCGATTCTAGCTAGACTCGCGGCAGCACTGGCCTTGTCGAGAAATTTTCACCAAAGAGTCATTTAGATAGTACAATCCTCAGCAATACATGGATTTTTTAGTGATAAATTTGCTTCCGCCAGAAATAAGGACTCTATCCAATTTCGAAGGCGAGAATCTGAGCAAGAACGCTAGTTTACATTCGTTGACTGGTTGGCGATCTATTCAAATATGCCATTAGATATAATTATGCTTTGTTATTTTTATTATAACTTTATAGATCGACCATTATTTCCACATTTTTAGGTCTATTCAGCCATCCATATATTCGGCTTAACTTAATGCTAATATCTTGCTGTTTATTATCCGGAAGTCTGTTTTGCAGTTACTTAAAGGTTAGTCGGAGGGAGAGTGAAAAAGGAGGAGAAGGAGGATCTATTTGAATATTAAGAATAAAAATTCACTTTAAGATGGAGAATGGCACAAGCAATGCATACAAAATGTTCACATTGTCGTAGCTGCAATCGCCATACATCTCCTCTCTTGCAACACTCGCAACATTTCTCTTCAATCATTAGTCTTATGACGAACGATTTTTGCCTGAAATTTGCAGAAATTTTTATGCTGAAATATGCTAGGATTTCCGAAAAGCTAAATTCAAATTCCGATAGAGCTTTCAAACGATAAACGACTGAGGCCAAGTGAACGAATTTCGTGGAGGAATATTGCTTTAATAGCGAGTACCATAGGTTTTATAGGTTATATTTTCGTTTACGTGTACGAAATTATTAAAAATCTCAGCTAACAAGAAAATAAAACGCATTGTCGAAAACAACCTCTTCTATTCGCGAAGTTAAATGAAATCATTCCGGTTATTTTTATGGTTAAATTGAGAAATTTCCGCCGCTTATATGTAAATTTCTTGAATTTCCATAAAATATTATTGAAAATGCGATATTTATAAAGGGGAAAGTTTGCGGAATGAAAGGCTTAGGCTTAGGCTTAAGGTTTTTTTCTTGGCCTAAGCCTAAGCCTTTACAGGTGTTATCGATGGGTTTTAGTTAAATATTTCATGCTTACAGCATATGTGCAATAAATAGAAGTAGGAGTAGAATTTTTGATAGGAGCGAACTGATCCTTTAAAGAGTGGAAGAGGTGCGGAAGATGTGGGCGAGTGGTATGTTGCTTGGGTTGCTGCCTCGAGCGTCGAGCGTTCTTAGTTCGATTCACTGTTCCTTGGAGGAAATTAACCCGCTAGAAGTGAAGTTTTTCAAATGCTAGGGTATTTCAGTTCCCAAGTGATTCTTTCTGGCAGAGAGATGTTGTACCAACAGAATTCGCCAATTCACTAGGAGTGGCGAGTTGCTAAAGTTGCTAAACAAGAGCTATAATTAAGAAAATCCCTTCTTCATCCCTTTTCTACGAATGACCAATTAATGGTGAATAGATTGTGTGTGCTGGTGCAATGTTCTTTTAACACTGGGTACTTCTTTGGTTTTAAATAAACATAACGATTGTTTACCTGGTGACAACGATTACCTGTCTCGAAATTCCGTCATCTTCACCTATCCTTTTTGTTGCTTTACCTTTCTTCTAATTTAAATTTTTTTTTCAGAATTTGTCATTTCCTTCAGTTATTTGGTCATTGTAGTCAAAAATAAAATAACTGAAGCTACTGCACCATCTGGCTCCATATGCTGGACCACTTATATGTCCAAATCTCTCCTAAACATACCTGATTTATATAGAAACTTGACTGAGCACCCTCATTTTTGGCACCATCCATCATAAAGACTGTATGCAACAAGATAAGCATTAATTCCTGTAATTTGCCATTCTCCGTGGTTCATTATCGCATAACCAACTTCGTCCTAGACCTAATTTACTAAATTATCATTCTTCAAAATTTTTGCCGCTTTTGTAAATTTCGGAAATCTTTTGCTTTTTTTGAATTTTTGATTCAAAGAAAAATTTCATAAATTTCGATTTTTTATATTATACAGAAATAATTAGCGGTCAACATTTCTGGCTAAGTTAGTTCCGTTGGCTTTTAATACGATTAAAAATTTTTGCCAAGGACATTTCATTTGACGAAATAAGTACCAGATGGATCGCTAGCATCGGGATTTTTTAAATGACAAGTTTACTCGCAGGCAGTCCTCACTTATCAACGATAATCTGAGCCAATGTCCGCTAGGCTATGGAAATATGCGAATATGAATTTAATTTCAGTTCTTATCCGTTACAGCATGAAGTTGAATAGCAGAGATAAGAAAAAAGAGCGAGGAATGAGGAGAATTAGCCACATCGTGTTCTCTAATTATCGTACTCGGATATCGGCTTTCCCTATTGTGACGTGGTCTAGTCACATCCACGTTCATTTATTCTAAACCCAACGTGTTCTTCGTTTGCTAAAAGTTTGCTGTGGTGACTTGACTTGTTTCATACTTCTCCACTGCTGTTCCCTGGAATGAGTGGATCCGATGTCATTTTGGATAATTGAGAAAATTTTAATTTTCGCGAAATTTCGCCTAATTTACGTTCGTAGCACGTATCATAGACTTTTGTCCGATTTAGTTGATGGATCTTATTCGATTAAATTTCTTATCAGTTAAATAGTGCGAAACAAGGTCCAAATTCTCTTATTTCTTTTCTTCTATCTCGTTTTATTTTCTTATCACTAAATGAATCTATTCGCAGACACTTTATTACGGTGCTTCTTTTTTCACGTCTTTCACGTCCGTTAAGTATGTCATATTTTCCAAAATTTTTTGCACAGTTCGCTCAAAGAATTTATTTTCTCGTTTTTTTGCATTTTTTTTGCTTCCTATTATTTTTATTTTTTGTTATCGCTTTATCATGGAAAAGAAGCTATAGAAATGAAAATGAGATATTGAGTATGTTTCAGGCGATGAAAGTGTTTTGTTCGTTTGTAAATATAAATATTTTATTAGTAATTGCGATAGTTAAAGGAGGTAATGGTGATAACGATGGTAACAGTGGTGATAATGGAAATTACGAAAAGGAAGAAGGTATTTTCGTTTTAACTGAGAACAATTTCGACAAGTTCATCGATAACAATCCAACAGTACTTATCGAATTTTATGCTCCATGGTTTGCTTTTTGCACTTATATGGCACTCATGGGCGACTTTTATCTCTATTAACTTTTATTTCATAATTCTTTTTTCGAAAATCTTTGAAAACTCCCCTTGATTTGATTTTTAGCATATTTTAGCATATTTGAAAATGAAATATATGAATAGAAGAACTGAAATTTATCGATAAATTGAACACCTGACAATTGCTTGAAATCAATTCTGGAATTTTATTTGTACTATAGAAGGTTTATATTCATCAAGTTAGCATAAATGGCTATAGAATACTCATTTACCTACTTGCACCTATTTATCCAGCGAGCTATTGTCAGGCTCGTTTTATCTTTTTCAAAAATAATTTAGGAAATCCTGGGAAAGAAATAGCGTTTTTGCTAGATATTTATCAATTATCCTATTTCTGTTAGTATCCGATTTTTAGTGTTTTTGAATGGGTGATTACTAATAAGGCTAATAAGATAAAATGCAAATGAAGAATGATAATGGTAAGTGTTTAGGTGTGGTCATTGTAAAGCATTAGCACCAGAATATGAGAAAGCAGCAAAACGATTATCGATACCACTTGCGAAAGTTGATGCGACTGTTGAAAGTGAACTTGCATCGAGGTATGTTTGCATATCTTAAAATAATAGATCAGTCCACTGATAATTATTCATCTTAATCAGTCGACATTTTGATAAAGTTTCTTTTAAATTGTATATAAGTATATATATATATATATATTTAATTTAGATAATTTGATGTTTTCAGATTTTTGAGGAAATTTAATTCCAAAAATTTTGATTTCATATTTATTTAAATACTACATGAAACACTGTACTGGCAAATTAGTGTATACTGGTGAGAAGTACTTTGCACAAATAACCGGATTGCACTTTATATGATAGGTTTATTCTTACTTAAAAGCATCGAAAAACTGGAAACTGGCGTTCGGTCTTAGTTGAAACAGCATTATTGTGCCGTAGACATTTAAGTTTATACATCTCGTCTTTTTGTGAAGGGTATTCCACTTTTTTCTGGGAGGAATATATTTAGGTTCGATGTGCAGGGTTATCCAACACTGAAATTTTGGCATAACTCAAAGGATCCAACAGATTATGATGGTGAACGTGATGCAGATGGTATGCCGAAAATTTCTTATTTTTTTCTATGATTTCTTATTTACTTATTTCTTATTTACTTTTCTATTTACAAATTTGAGTTTATTCTATCCTATTCTTCATATTTTTTATTATTTATTATTTAAATATTTGAGTTTTTCAATTTAATATTTCTCAGGCATTGTTCAATGGATAACGGCGAGAACGGATCCTAATTATAAACCTTCTCCAGAAGAAGTCGTTGCTTTAACGAAGGAAACTTTTGACGAGTTTATTGCCAATAATCCACTCGTTCTTGTCGAATTTTATGCTCCTTGGTGTGGCCATTGCAAACGGCTTGCACCTGAGTATGAAAAGGCAGCAAAAAAATTAAAGGTTTTGTCGTCGTTATCTGAAATTTAAATATTACGAAAACTTTTAGAAAACTTAAAAAATTTTTGAATAGGAATATTTTAATGGCTCAATCGAAATAGGCCAGAATGGCTGCTTTTTTAAGATGTTTGCAGGTTTAAGTGAAACTTTCAATGTTTTTGAATTTAAAGAATATATATTTGAGGATATGCAAAAGCGAATCATTCTAGCAAAAGTGGACGCTACTGTAGAGAAAATTTTGGCTGACCAATATGATGTATCTGGATTTCCTACTTTGAAAATTTTCCGAAATGGTAAACGATTCGACTATACGGGGCCAAGAGATGTAAATGGTATTTTTTTGAACCTTAGGCTCGATATTTTTTTCTTTTTACCAAAATAACTTATATAATTGTTATATAATTGTTACGGATTGTTATGGAATGTAAAAAAGTGATGCTTTCATAACCAATTTATTCCTTAAGATCCCTTATTTGTAGAATTCTTTTCGTTTATTCAGGTATTGTGAACTATATGATCGATCAAGAACAACCTGCAGCTAAAAAATTGAATACAATCATAGAAATTCAACGCTTTATGCCAAAAGATGATATTGCTATTCTAGGATTTTTCGATTCAGAAAGTACCAAATTATTGGAAGCGTTAAGCGAAGCAGGTTTCGAAAAAATTTATGATTTCTATTAGCTTCACGACTCATTTTCCTGTAAATCATTATTTAATAATTAATTTTTGTTTCTTGCACAGTGTTCGATTTTCCAGCTGAAATGGCTCGAGAAGAATTTGGGAAGATTGGTTACACCTTGGATGCAAAAGTAAGGGAGCATTTTAAAGTTAGGGAGAATGAAATAGTCATATTCTATCCTGAAATATTTTGGAGTAAATTTGAACCAAAAGCAGTTGAATATTCAAAGGTTTTATTTCATTTTTTTAAAAATTTTTGAAAAGCAAGAAATAATTATTTTTATAATTATTGCTATTTTATATTTATCATTGTCACTTTTAACGTTCATTTAAATCTTCTTCGAATTTTGACTTTGATTCACATCGCTTTTGCTGATCTATGCTTAAATTCTTTTTTTGCTAAATTTTTAATTGTAGAACAGTTTGCAGCTGAAAAAAATTAATGATTTGCAAAATATGAAAAAGTATTTGGTACATAAATATATAAATATTTTGTGAAATATGTTAAAAGTACAATAATAAAAATATCAGTTTATCAAGCTTACGTTGTTTTCAGAATACCGCATCTGCAGAAGATTTGGTAGCTTTTTTCCGCGATAATTGCACTCCACTTGTTGGACAAATGACGCGCAAAAATATTGCTAATCGTTATTCAAAGTTACCTCTTGTAGTTATTTATTACAATGTCGATTTTTCATATGAATATATAGAAGGTACTCAGTATTGGAGAAATAAGGTATTTATTACCTGGTTGCTTCTTATTTTAAAATTCTTCTATTTGTTTCAGTCAATCAATAAGCTCTTTATTTTTGATTAATTTTAGATATTAGATGTTGCGAATAATTATAAGGATCGGAAATATCGGTTTGCTATTGCTGATGAGGAGGAATTTTCAAAGGAACTTGCGGAAGTAGGTCTTGGTGATAGTGGTCTCGAACACAATATAATTGTATTTGGTGTTGACGGTAAAAAATATCCTATGAATCCTGATGAATTTAATAATGATCTAGAAGAAAATTTCGTCAATTTTATGAAGAAAATATCTTCAGGTAATTAGCTTTCCAAGTCTTCAATGAATTTATTAGAAATTTTATTTTAGAAATAATTTTTTGGTACTAATTTCATCCTAAAAGTTTATAGATTTAATAGATTTTTCTTTAATAGATTTTTGTCGTAACAATAATTGGTTCAGGAAAAATAAAAGCCTATGTGAAATCAGCCCCTCTCCCACAAGATGATAAAGGTCCGGTGAAGACGGTTGTGGCTTCTAATTTTGATAAAATAGTTTTGGATGAGACTAAAGACGTTCTTATTGAATTTTATGCACCATGGTGTGGTCACTGTAAGGTTGGTTCTAATTTTCAATTTCATTTCATTTTTATAAATCAATTTCACTTCATTTATCTTAATCTCATAACTCATATATACCAAAGTAGATTTCTGAAAAAAAAAGTTATAGAAAAAGCATTTCTGTTTCAAGTAAATTCAGTAGTTGTCTTCAGTTATTCATAAGTAATTCAAAAAGATTTTAGAACAATATTTCCTCGTAGAAATGAAATTAAATGAATTTTCTTCAACTGAATGCAAGTATAATTGCAGGCTTTCGAACCGAAATACAAAGAATTAGCTATAAGGTTGAAAAAGGAACAGCCAAATTTAATTCTTGCGAAATATGATGCGATTGCTAATGATGTCCTTAAAAATTATGTTGTCGAGGGATTTCCAACAATTTATTTCGTGCCATCATCAAAAAAATCAACACCTATAAAATATACTGGTAATAGAGATCCTGAAGATCTAATTAAATTCATGAAAGCGAATGGTGTTGTATCATTCCAAGGCAAAACTGAACTTTAACTCTATTTCCTATTATTTTATCAATTTTTCAATTTATTTCTCAAATTGCCAGGCTCGATTTTCTTTCATTGTTGTTTTTAATTTTTCTTTTTTGCAGCTTTTAAGAAGTTTATAAAATGTGATTTATTTTCAGTGCCTCGCCTCCAGGCTTTCATATTTTTTAGCAAAGATTAACAGCCATAATTTATCATTTTTTTCAGTTTTTTTTGCTATTTACCAATTACATTTGTTGGAATAAAAATATTTATAAAAATATTTAAAAATATAAATATATTTGAGCGGTTCATTTTCTATAGTATTTTTATATAGTAATTCATATTTTTTTTGCAAGGTAATTTTTTGCAAATATTTGCGAGTTGACTTAACTTTACGGATTCTCGAGATTAGCATTATTTTGGTTCACCCTTTTTTATACCATTATTTCCATATGACATTTATATAACGCATCATCCCAAAAGCATTTTAAAAAATTTATTGCATAGGGGAGGGAGATTTGAAATTTTTGAAATTGCTTAATCAGCCGATTTATGTTCTTACGCTATCTAAATATTTTTTAAATGCTTTAGGGCTGAATGCATTCATGTCGACCACATGGTTCGGCACCCAAGTTAAACCTGTTTAAAAAAAGTTTGGATAATGGTGGAGACTCAACTGTTCTATTCCCAAGTTAAAATCTTAAGAGCCGGAAAAACGAATTAAATCGTAAACATAGCTAAAATCTTAAGAGCCGGAAAAACGAATTAAATCGTAAACATTGAGCGTTGCAGAAAAAAAAAATTCTTTTCGAGACGGAATTGTTGAATTATGCATAAAAATTCATTTTTAAAGCTGTTTTCATGTTTTCAATGTTTTATTATAGAATACAAAAGAAAAAACAATCATCTTTCCGGAATCGAACCGAGTGCTTCGGTTTAAAACTTTCTTCGATTACGGCTATTATACATCGGATTAACTGATTTACTATTATATGAAGGAGTTGAATAATATAACATCGATTGACAAGTTGCTAAATTAGGCGGAGGCTGATGAAGTGTCCCGTTGATGAGATATTGTCTCCAGTTTGATCGCATTTCTATTGTCGAATCTCCCTTTTCCTTCAAACTAATTGATTATACGATTGTTATAAAAATTTCGACGGAGATATTTTCCAGAACGAAACGACAATTTATGATTCTAATTAAATTAGGTCAATGTCACATGTGACATATTAGAGTTGTAAAGTGAACTAATAAAATTAAGCGATACTGCACAAATTGCATTATTATTTTGAAGAAAATACAAAAGAATTAAACGTTAAATTTCGAAGGACTTTAAAAATTCCGAATAAAAAGGTTAAAATCCGTCAAAAATTCTTTCTCCTATAATGTAAAATCGTAATATGAAAATCCTCCTTTGATTCTTAAATATTATCTGAAAAAAAGTATTTCCCATTGTTTGTTTTCTTCAAGGCACAGTGGTAGCTCAGATGGGCATTGAGAAATTTAACATGGCAGCAGTGATATTTACATCTGAGTTAATTTACTTATAAACCAACCATAAGCAAATAAGTGGTTTGCGATCATTTCTAATTATTTCATTGACTAGCACGGCGAGGAATCTTTATCAGAGAGTTATTTTAAGGTAAAAGTGTAAGCGGATTCCCAGCTTTTGAATTTTTTATTAACACTTCCGTCCGAGACGGATTTTAATTTATTTCTGAGCCGATAATCTAAGAAAAACACGGCTCATAAATATAATAAGTGGTTTTTCATGAATATCACCAAACCTTTTGTTAAATTATTTTTGTATGAAAAGCGCAATTTTAAGGATACAAATGAAAATTTAAATTTTGAACGAACCGAACGATCATCGACATAATTGTCACGATAATCGCATTTGGGTGGTTTCCTTTCCAAACTTCGTCTTCGCTCGTGAGACCTTCGCCCACTTTGCTCATTTTTTATTTGCATCGACTAAAGGCTTTTTATTTAATAATTAGCTCAATGTCAGATGGGCATTGAGAAATTTAACATGGCAGCAGTGACATAATTATTCTAAAAGAATTATCAAGAAAATAAGGTGATTTGAATTCAAATTTATAAAGTAAGTTTTTTTCATTAAACACACCAAAAGTTTGCGAGTGGTAAGGCAGATTACGGATGAAAGAAGAATAAATGAATGCCTAACAACGAGCGGATTTTTTCTTCAGCCGAATTTCGCCTCCCATCGGAGGCGAAATTCGGCGCTCGTCGTCCAAGCAGCTCGAAATCTCCGATAAGAGATGAACGAATCTATCACTTTATTTATTATCCCTTCATTATATAGTGAAGTGAATAGAAAACTAAAGGAATTCTCTTCAGTCAACGCTCATAAACGTACGTTATTGAGTGCTACGCACCATTCGTCAGATTTCCTGTTGAATTCGTCTTTAAGCAGAATTTAGCAGATTAGCGGATCTAACTTAAGCAGTGTTCTCATTGCTCATTCGATTCATTTGTTCTCTTCTTTTTTCATTGTTATTAATTTCAGTCAGTATTTATAAATGATTATTACGATCTATACAAACCAGTTGTTTTGTTATACCAGTTGTTTCATTATTATTGATACTGTAGCAGTCTGAGCGTAGACTACTGCTGTAAGGGATAATAGCAATTTATTCCGTTACTTATCTGCAGTAACGATTAGGAAGCACAAGCGTGTGTAATTTACTGAGAGGCAAGCGGCATTCCGCTGAACGGAGCAAAGCTTGTCACGAAAAATCAAATCTGCCCCCACCTTACATTAGTCGATGCAATTTTCATCGAAGACTGTGGCTGTCGAATCTGATTTTATTTTTCAATATTATGCAATAACAAAACAAAAGATTTATTGTTGAATATTCAGAAAGGTATAGTGGAATGATTGTTCTTTAGACAGTCAATGGATGGTTAGTTGCGTTGATGGCTTAGTTGGAAGATGAATGCCAACAAGAATCGAGAATGGCGGTAGTTCGCAGGTGCCCTACGTCAGGCGGAATTCAACGAACAAATGACAAAAACAAAGTGGGGATGGCTCAGTAGGTTGTTGCTCAATTGGAGGCACTGATGCTGAGGCATAAACCTGTTCTTCAAAAACTGAGTGATACTGGCGATTCACATGTATTTTTATCGCCATATAACTTTCTGGCAAAACTTGCCTGGTCCAAGCCAGCGACAATAGTGAGCGCTCTTAGAAAAAAACTCGATGGAATACTCGAAAATGGATATGAATTTTTTCTTTTTTTAATTTTTCTTTTTTTAATTTAGACATCAATTTTAAATAAAAATAAAATTTTAAATAAAAAAGTGAAAAGATTTATAGAAATTTTATAAAAAATTACTGGCGAAGGTGGTGCTTCGTAAATAGTATCTCCATTTACAGACGGTTGTTCTTCGATTTGCTCGTGCAATCTATGGTGGCGCTCGAGCCTCGGAGTTTGAATCGGCATTCGAGGAGTTGCTGGGACACTAACTGAGGGCTATAAATTCATGGTTATTTTGTTTTTTAAAATTAAAACTGGAAAATGAGCTTCATTATAAAAATCTATACTTCTGAATAATTATGCGTTGGATTCGATTGATAGCCATCAACTTCGATTGTTGTGATTGTGTTTGATGGGCGATAAGGAAGAACATCAGGAGCAATGACCGGGGCAGCCAGAGGAAAATATCCAGGATGAGGAGGTAGCAACATTCCAGTTGGACTTGTTGCTGATAACTCATAGGTATAATTTCTAAAATTTGTAAATGCATATATTAACAAATACGAAAAACTGGAAACCTAAATAGAAGCACTTTTAGCTCGTATGTCGATTATTAAAATTTGAAAGGAAAAACATATCAAAATGACCTGCCAAAGCTATGTATACGTTCCACATCCAAACCTTGTTCTCCAGATGGAATGTAATAGATACTTCCACTATCTTCTTCCACTTCAAAGCAATAACAGCAACAATCCTCACATGAAGTTTGAACTGATGCAAAAAATGATGGGATTTGTTCAGTTAAAAATATCATCGTGCTGCAAATATTTGGTTTTTGACTGATAATTAATCCTGAATCTGATTCAGATCTATGCTAATAATATCACAATATTAGGGATAATTGAGTAATCTGGCCATCTAGAATCAAATCCTTCCTACATTCAATGATGATAATAAGGTCTCCCACTATTCAAACTCCACTTTTAATGAGCAAGAACCAAGCTTATGTTAAATTTTTATCGAAGCAATGTAACCTTCGATCATCTATCTCTTTGTTATTAATACAAAATTTTTTAAAAACAATTAATACTTATAAAACAAGCAGAAAAATTGGCAAAATAATTTTCAAAATTTCATGTTTTAAAATATGCAAGCACCTGGGAATAAAAAGAAGAAAATGCATATACGTAATAGACGAAGTAAGCAAAAGTATTTGAAATATATGGATAACAATTGGTGCATCAATTTGCATTAATGGCAGATAAGTAATCAACGGTACAAAACAAGCCAAAGTTATCGGTAGAAAGCACGACTGAAAGCGCAAATTCATTTATGCCAGGAATCATATCTGATATGAATGAGAAAAAAATCAATGAATGAGAATTAAAAGGTTCAGCTGAATTACCTGAAAAGAATACTGGACTCTTAAATCGCCCGTCTTTTGCGTTTTACCAGCTATCACATAATTATAACAGAAATAGAGTACAACAGTCGTTGTGAAGCCATTACCTTAATCTTTTTCTTTGTATAAAAAATTTTTAAACGTAATGACTATCACTTAAATACTATATGTGCACAGATTCCACAGATGATTAGAACTGGATAGAATCTATTCATCAACCCACAAAAATTTTAGAATTCAAAAAGGTGAGATGGATGAGGAGGAAAGGTGAAATCGCTCAACGTACCACATAATGCTATGGAAAATGTTAAAATATTGATAGGAATTGCCCAATGAACAGCATAACCAACAACGCCAACAATAACCGATATATTCGATAATAACACAAGTATTGTAAGTGATGGTATACCGTAAAGAAATAATGACAAACCACAAATACAACCTAGAAGAACTGCACAAGCGCATGTCATTGTTGAAATAATCTGAAAACAATGGATATAAAAAAGGCTACTTTGACGAAATAGCTACTGGGCAAATTATTTTCCCATAGCGACAAATATATTGTAAAAATTTTACGGGGAAGAATGGTGTGAAAATGGATCATCAAAAATATTTGCATAAATTTACGAAATTTATGAAAAAATTTTAAAATTCATATTTAATTAAATCTTGTTTGAATTTTTAATTTTAAGCCAAAAAAAGTTACTTGTAAATCATGTTGAAGAGAAAAAACAAAGGGCGCCTTTATTGTAAGCGGAATACCAATAGCTTTAGCACGATCCAAAATTTCCTCGATCAAAGTTATTCTGAAGATTCATCGTAAATGATTATAAATAAGTGGCTTAGATTAAGTCCGAATTTTTGCAATGAAGTTTGGTAATAAAAGCGCAGGCGGAGCGCCATCGCTGTCCAATACCATAAATGATTTCGGAGAGAAATAGCATCTACTATTATCTATTGTCGAAAGGACAAATATTACTAATACTGAAATTACAAGTTTTTGCTTATTATCGGATTTTTTATTATGCACATGAAAGAATCACCCTAAAATGCGCTTTACGCTATGAAGAGTAACGAATCGTAAAATATAGATAGCACGGATGGACAAAGTAAACATTAAAAATAGAATGAAGTGAACAGTAATTTTACTGATATGCAACTATTGGCAACTCATAATAAGGATGGGACAGCTGAGTGGTCAGCGGAGTGCTTCGATTAAAGTCAAGTTACGGTAGTTCAATTTTTGTTTCTTGACGAAACCAATTGTCAAAAATCGTGATATGCTGGAGACCTCTCTGCATTTCCATTCCCAAATGAATTTTCATCTCTTATTCTAATATCCAGTGCAGCCAAGTGAACCGGAAATACTGAATACTGATTTAGAAGAACTGATTTATTGTCTCAGTATATTACTAAACGAAATAATAAAATGAAATAAAGCAAAAAAATTCGCTTCGATATGGCATTCAGCAACAAATACGTTAAAGAAGAGATTATGCGCAATAAAACAAATGGTTTAACAAATGCTCAGTTAGTGGACAAATCAGCCAGAAAAATTAACCTTTGTTGAACTCCTTTCGCTGTTAATTCTATATACATTCTAGATGATGTTATACGAGTTTGAAACTTATCAAAAACTATATCCGATTGATATTTTTTATAATTATCTGTCGTAAGAAAAACGAGACTGATAATTGGTACAAATGTATCCTAAAATTATTTTAAGTGAACAAAATTATCTTAAATTATTGAAAACAATGCTTTGTCAATCATTAATTTCAAATTCACAATTTGGCTATATCAAAGTTTGAACGAAAAAACAACCGGGTTGATATCGTATATAGTTGAGCTTTCAAACTTGTTGAAATCTTTTAGCCAGCTAACCGATCTTATAGCCATTTGATTTTCCTCAAAATTTGAATTTATTTATTCCTTTTAGTCTTAAATTTGTTAACGATTTCATGATTTTGTATGGAATACAAACTATCAAATATTTCAGGATAATCCCGTATCCAGCATAAATTGAAACCTGAGGAAAGTCGATAAGTGAAAAAATTTCATCTCTTCGATAGATATCAAAATAATCAATTGGCTCATCGAAAACCAGTTCAATATATTGCTCATAAGAACCAAACAATTCTCGGAAATTATCGATATATCGGCGAGATTCGCTCTCCTTCGGTACGAAAAACTCTTCACGTAAGTCAATACTGAATCAACTTTTTATTATAATGAATATCATTATTATTACTATTATTATTAAATATTTGAAACTAAATGAAAAGCTTTTCATAAGCTCAAATTCCACTTGGAAACACATATTTAAAAATCCATAAAACAGTTGGATTAAAGCCAAAAATGAAAGCTAAAGCGAAAGCTGTTAAATAAATCTAATTGCTGAAAAGAATTTAATCCTTAAAGGAATGAAAATAAAGTAATAAGAGAGTTTTGATATCACCAAAGAATAATGAAACCGAACCGTGGTGCTTGAATTGATAATCTACGCAATTCATTGCTCGGTCACGAATCTTATTAAAACGAAAAAATAGAGAAAAAGAAGCAAAGAAATTAAAAAGATAAAAAAGTTCGAATGAACCAATGGCAACAGATTATCCACGCAAACACAGGTTTAAACCTTCGGTTGATTTATTCTTTGCGTCAAAACTATTTTATTGGCTCTTTGGTTTCATAGATTCGATATGGAAGAAATACGTACCAGAAAAAGCAAAATTTTCCAAAAGATAGGTTGAATTACCGTATATAAAAAGGAATTGCATGTTTAATTTCACTTAATTTTATTAACTAGGGAATTTTTTGCAAAATAAACTTGTTTTTCAGTAATGCTAATAAATTTCTAAACTATTTAAGTAATTTGGAGAAAACTCAAAGGAAAAACTACTACCAACTGACTTTAACGCTTCTTTTTCTATATGTAAATACGACGAAATCTCTTTAAAAACAATTTTTTTAGATAGAAAACTTGGTCGCCATCAATATCGAAATGACAAAATATTGAAAAAAACTGGACCTGAGATTTTTCCATCCCCAAAATGCAAATACTAAATAAATTGCAAATATGAATGCCACAGGGCATCGCAAATATGGATTAGAAACTAGGTTAGCGATAGCACGAGGTAGTGACATTTTGGTATCCATCATTTTATCATGTAATAATGTTATGCTGCATTCGTCAAAATCGCCAATCATTCGCGCTAAAAATTTATTTCCCAACTTTTTTTAAATTTTCATTTCTTATTTCTTATCATTTCTCTTATCATTGCTGCAAACAGAAAATGCAATAGTCATTATCCCTTGTAATATGCATTTTTAACCAAAAAATTTCAACAAATTTTCCCAATCTCAACAAATTTTTTGAGAGAGCACAGTGGTGCAATAACCAGAAAATAATTATGCTCCATGGTGGAAAAAAATCAGCGAATAAAATAGCTGAAATTATTCAATATTACGAATTGATTGGAATCAAATTATTATTAATTAAGATTGAAAAATATCAATCGTTTTTATCATTTCTAATTCTTATAAATTTATTTATTTTTTTCTTATTATTTTGCTCATTTCGATAAAAAGAAAATTTACGAGCAAATTGATTATCACCCGAGCGAAAACACTGATACCATTTGACACCTTTGGTTTCTTGTCGACCAGTTATATAAAGAAATACGATAAAAAATAATAATGCAAAAATAAGAAGTACGGCAACACCAGCCGCAAGTACAAATGAAACATATTGTAGATATGGATTTGTTGTTGTAGCACCAACTACTGCTAAAAAATAACAAGAAGGATTAGATTGCTTGAGCTAGCGATGGGAGCAAATTATTTAAGTGTTGTTTCGACCGAGGTCAGGAATTACAATTTGGTCTTTCTTAAGGGAATAAATTGATCATCAAAAATTAGTCCTGAGAGGCTGCAGATCCAGCTATGCTTCTATCCCCTAAATGATTTCCCAGCGAAAAAGTCTAGTTCAACTAGCTAGCTGAGTTAATCAAGCCAAAATTACTAAATGAGCGTGATTAAAGATAAAGTGAACTGGATGAAAAAGATAAGTAAAAATGCTTCAAAGATGTTTAAGGTATTGCATTTCTTAATGAAGATTTTCAAAAAGCCTAGAGGCAACCGATTTATAACGGTATATTTGAATAGCTCATTAGTCACCATCATTTAGATTTAAATGTTGTGAAAAATTTTACAATACATTAAAATTTAATTTTGCAGCGATTAAATGTCGACAACTAATTTAGATACATGAAGGAACGCAAAGTATGGAGGCCACCAGAAAATGTAGGCAATCAGAGCATCGAGAATTATGACTGAATAAAAAAGAAATTTTATCCATAAGGTTTCAAAAGATCTTCGCTCCTTCGAAATTTCCATTTCATTATATTTTATTTCTAAACTCTTAAATTCTTCGGATTTTTAAACTTTTTGTCTTCTGTAGTTTTGATGCGCTTTTTTTCCGCATTTATTTCAACATTTTTTAAGCAAAAAAAACTTACTGAATGAAATAATTAGTGTGAGAGAGGCGATGACGGATGACGGACCATCCCATGACATTATTAATGACAATTTTTCAATCGGATCGCATGCTGCATTTGAATATTTTAACCAAGTGTTCTCCAAACAAAATAGGATTAATAAACCAATACCTAAAGTGTTCATTTTTGTTCACTCGTTGTGACACTTTTGTAATTTATTTAAAATTTCGATGTTTCCACTTTATCCGATAAGACGACAACTTATTGCTGAGGAAAGAGTTCGAACCTCCACAATATCCTGTGGCATTGATCACATAAATTCAAGCTTAAATACGGAAAATACTTTGCAAAAAAATTAAATTGTACCAGAAAGTATGAAAAAAACTGGATAAGCAATAGCATTTACATGAGCTGCACCGGCAAGTTGCACAGCATATCCGGCGATGCACGAAACAACAAGAATAATGCCAATAAGAAGGCCGAGAACCGGTTTACTCTGCAATCTCGTCAGTATAATTTTCTTCTTTCACTATTATTCCTTTTCTCTAATTGGGTTATAAATGGTAGCGCCTATTTTTCTAAAGATTTCCCAAAGATTTCCAATGAGCTGAGCGATTGACAGCGATTTTTTTTAAGGCTGAGAGAGGGATGATGAAGGTAAAGTTATTATGTCAAGCGGTAATAATTTCGATTTGTTTTTTGACTGCGGCTGATGCTGAAGATGATCTTCCTGCACTTCTATCCTCAGTTGTCTCTATGACGAAGATGATATCTTACCCTAGTAAAGCCAATAGCAGTCAATAAATCCAAACCAACTAGAAATGGTGAGAACTGTTATAAGCAAAATTATAATATGATAATATATGAATCAGTTCATATAATTTGATCATAAATAAAGCGATATCTAAGAGTAATAGAGTCTATAGTAATAGTAAAGTGTCTTTATTATAACGATTTTTCTTCTTATCTGGTATATCTTTTGTTTGTTCACCATTTCTAATTTCTCCAAAATCTCAATCGTTCATGCTGCAAGAACTGGCTAATTCATCCAATATCAATGTCGTCTTTAAACTGGCATTCCTCATTCACCACTTCATATATATTTAGCGTTATTTATATTTGCTGATGGCAATGACCTTGTACAGCCAAACCATCTGACCTTTACCAATATAATTACGATGTTGAAACGCTTTCATCTGAGTCGAGGGAGGACAATATTATTATTTTTCAACTTTTCAAATTAAGTCAGAATTCAAAGAGGGAGGAATTGCAAGGTACCTGATAACCGTTTGATCCAAAACTTCCAATTAAACATATAACAACAAGAGTTGTAGCAGATATTGGTAATATAATTGCAGTTTCCTTCAAAGTTAACGATACAGCCGCAATAAAATCATGATATGACCACCAATATATGTCTGCTTGAGCCTGTTTTCGTACGGTGCTTACTTCATTTAGCAACTTTAAATATAATAATTATATAATATGCTGATGATTAAAGAAATCTTTACCAATGGTATTACACAACAGTAATGTTCTCCGATTAAGCTATTCAGTTGATCCGATTAAGCTATTCAGTTGATTTTTTTCATATAATTATTACTATTGTTGTAATAATATAATGTAAAACTACTACTATAAGTTTAAAACTATAAGATTTCATTTTCGAAAGTTTTCAGATAATTAGAATTTTAGTGTTTTTTCAGAAATCTTTTCCCAGTAAACATTTTCTGACCAGATTACATTGCTTAAGCATATTGACTAGATAGATTCAATATTCACCTTTTGACGATATTCTTGATTCCAATTGGCTAAAATTTGTGGTCTGAAATTGTTTTTCAACGCAAATTTCTGGCCTAAAGCCCGAGCATGAGTTATCGTTCCATCAGTATCTGTTTGAACGCCTAATATTCAATAATAATCATACACCTAATCCTAAGTTTTTTAATTTTTAATTTTGCTATTTCAAAATATTATTCTATATTAAGTGAATTCTATTCCTGCCTCCAGTAAGAGTAAATGACTACATGACAAATGAAAAATAATGAAAAATTAATGAATTTCTATTAATTTCTATTAATGAAAAATCCCAATGGATCTGGGACCCGAATATTTTGACCAGCGAATGACTACATGACAAAAATTTTTCATTAACAGTTAATGCTGCGAGCATAACCAGGTACAATTTTTACTTTTTCTTATCTAATGCTCAAAGAATAGCTAAAAAATCAAAGTTTTTTGGAAACATTTTACATCTTGAAATTTTTAATAAAATACTATTCATAAATTTAATTAAAAAGAAGTCGAAAGGAACCTCCAATAGTTAATCCAAGAAAAAAGCGTGAAATATTTTCACCAACATCTTTGGTTGAAAGTAACATTTCAGGAAAAGTTAATGTTAATTTTGAACCTGTAGTTAAAATTTGTTCTATTATATCATTTTCAGGTTTGCACGAACTGCGACACAGGTCATTCCACTAAAAGCAATAAAGTAATTAATTTTATCATTTTTTTAATTTTTGAATCATGAGAATCTCTTTTATTTTTTTTTATTAATGCAAAATTCATTCTTTCATTATTTAGGAAATACTGAGTACTGAAAAAATGAATATTGAAAAAGTTACGCTAAGATTATTCGATTCATATTTAATTGTGATATTTTGAATAATTCGACTTAAATGTTTGTATATATCGAAGGTAGCCTCGTTGACGATCGAAGTTCTACTTTTCCTCAAAAAGTAAATTCATACATTAATGGATATGAAAATGGATTTGGATTTGAAATGGATTTGAAAGTCGGAAATCTGAACTGAGAAAAGCCTCCCATAATAACATACAATTCATTTAATTCTGTGCAAGGGATAAGACGGTCTTTTTATTCGACTAAGGGGTTTAGTTCGTATTCTTCGACAGAAGCAAGCCTAAATTATTGAAAATGAAATCCGTGCAGCGCTTTGTACTCACTAATATATCTTTAAATTTCATAATTTCATGAACGACGGCGCTGGAGGAATATAGAGATCCTAATAGAGTTAAAAATCATTCATATTTATGCATATGAACATTTTCATTTTAACTCATTAAAATAGGTTTAATAGGTTTAAAATAGATTTTTGATTAATTACAGAAAATTTTTCAGATGACTCTACAATTTTATTATATTTAAAATTAATATTAATATAAACCTTGTTTTAAGAATAAATCCAAAATCTGCGAATGAATTACGCTTTACAGAATTAAATATTGGATTTGTTCCATTAAAATCAGAAACCATATTTGGTTTTACATGAAGATCTGTATGACCAGATGATGGAAAAGCTGTTGAAAAACGCGAGATAAATGAATCAAACGGCACAGTGAATTTCAGACTTTTCCAGTGAATAATTGGTCCAATCAATGAAAGGAGGGCTAATAGAATGGGAATGACCTGAAATTCAATAAAAGTCTGAAATTGAGCGGAAATGACTTGAATTTCAATGAAAATAAATAATTCCGACATTTTTATATCGTATCACACTGGCCCATGTTTTTTTTTTTACAACATACCAAAAAAAACATTTTTTTTGCTGCAACCGCTCCTCCAAGGTACCATAATGCTCGTCTTAATCCGAATTCAACAAATCGAAATGTGTATATTTTACAAACAGGCTTATCTAAAATTTACTTAATACCTATATTGATAGTAAAATGGTTTATCATAGGTTTCCAATGAGTATTCTTCAGTACCATAAAACGTAAAATCTCAGGACGAAATAAAATTAAATTGAATTAATTAATTAAATTGATAAATTAAAGCATTAATTTTAAGTATTAAAATATTACATCGGGTTTTATAAGCCGTTTCATTAATTATGTTTGGAATCGTAAGTTGACGATCGCCCTTCTCATAATGGGCAATTTGCATTTCATTAGTTATTCGTTTCATAAGAGCCTTTTGTGAGTGCTTTTGTTGAGGTGACGAAGACGACTCGGATTCCAAATCCTGAAGTCCATAAAAAGCACAAAGAAATTACACAAAAAAAGATAAAAAATGAGGTCTCAACTATACTTTGGATTAAGGAAGATAAAAAGTGCAAGCTTATGTTAACTATTTAATTTTAATTGTTATAAATAACAAATTTGTAGAACCTCAGAGTTTTTGCCCAGAGAAGCTAGAGGTTTTTCTGCATCACTGGTCGTGGATTTATTTTTTTCAAGTGATTTATATTTCGCTGAAGATTGACTCTTGCCGTCACTGTTTGTTAATGAATCCGTAGTAGCATTAGCGCCCTAAGATTTTGGTTATTTAATAATTTTAATAATTTAATTTAATATTATATGCAAAATGTACTAAGAAATGCATAAAAATCTTCTTGAATTCATGCACGTATAAAAATCGCACATAAATCCTCAGAAACGCTCATACCCACCAATTTTCTCTCAACTTTTTTTTAGAAGAATCCTCACCATTACTGGTTAAACTCGCTCTTCTAACTTGTCGCACTGGACAAAATATATTAGCCATATATTAATATATTATATTAGTCACTTGGCGATAGAAGTACAGGGAAGTCGCCAGCATCAACCGGATTTTTGGACAGATTTATTTCTGCGGGGAATAGAATCTCAGCATCAGCACTCAGAAATGAGCAACCCACTGAGCCATTCTATTCCCCTCTCAGCACTTATTATTTCTTGTTTGCTTTCGCTCTACTAGTTGTTTTTTCAACTAGTTTCTGCAAAAAATCAATTGAGGATGGAGGTGGGTTCACAAAAACATCCAGACTTCAGCTCGCAGAATGGCAGGCTTTAAGGATTAAAGTATGATGGCTTCATCTTATTCGAAACAACCATCCTGCATCTGACATCCTCCATTAGCATTCATTATAAACTTCATAATAAATTTAACATTCATAATCATCAATAATAATTCAACATCATCCCTAATAAATTTTTTTAAAATTTAAAATTTTTAAAATTTAATTTTTTAATTTTTGGTTAAAAAGCCAAACAGAGCGGCATTTACTTGCATTAGCAGCAAGAAATGAGATGCCAAATGAAAGGAAATTTGTGATATCGATATAAATTAGGAAAAAATAAAAATGTAACGAAAGGCTAACAATGTAGGGAGGAATGGAGTGGGGGGGGGGGGGGGGGGGGGGGGGGGGGGGGGGGGAGGGAGAAACAGAATAAGATAAATCTTATTGAATTTATTACTACCATAAAATCGCATGCTGAAAGATCAAAAATTTAAATTTTTCGCATAATGTGAGCTTTTAAATATTAAAAAACATTGATATTATTTAATATTTTTTAAAAAAATAGCTAAGGATGATGCATAAACTACGTTGTTCGGCAATTTATCCCAGTAATTAATGGAGCGAATGAAAAGTCATAATTTAGTTCTGCATATAGGTTTTAACAATTTTAGCCCATTTAAAAACTTTGATCTTGTCGGGTTCGAATTTAACCTGAAATTATAATATTTGGAACAATCTAGTTTAACCTTATAGAATTTTATATGCATAATTCGACGAATCTAGGTTACACAGTAGAAGCTTTGTTTTTTAATTAAGAAGACTCCCATTAGGAGAGAAACGTTGGAGTATTTCTGGTGTGCTTCACCAGTTCGCTTCATTTGAGGTGTCTAAAGGAATAACAAATTGTTTTATTATATTCAATAAGGGACTGAATGAACGCTTTATATATTTTGACAAGAACTACAGTTTTATATTTAAACAATTGAACAACAAAAATAAACTTTAATTTTCTTGCGGAATTTTCTACTATAATTTTAAAACGATAGTCGAAATCAATGTTTTTGCCCATAACTATGCCATGCCGAAATCCTGCATATAATGTCTACGCTACCATTAATAGATTAGGAAGATAGGTCCCTTTCCAATTTATATGGAACACGCTCACTTCTAAATGAAAAAGCCTGTTAGGAATTCAATAGGAATTCATTTGGCAGTCATCGCTATAGAGACAAATAGTTAAATTTATATTACTCTGGGTGATATCAAAAATATTAAATATTAATATTAAAAAATATAGCATAATTTAAAAAATTTTATGATTTAATTGGTTCTCTGTGTAAACGATTACTTTTTCAGAACTATTCTTTAAACGATCCTTCTCATCATTTCTTATTGTCGTTTGTTCAAGCTGGCCGGACGTCATTGCTGATATTTTCTGCAATTTTCATTAAATTTATTTTTTTAATGGATTCAACTTGATAAACGCTATTAACTCTAGATTTTGACCTTATTTTAACCGATAGCTGTCTAAGTTTTACTTTAAATTATTAAAAAACTGTCCAAATTAACGAATAACTTCTTTTTATTTTTTTCTACCCTAATAATCTCAGCGAAATTCTCTAATTCCGAAAGCATTTATCTTTCTCGTCAAAATTTCAAAAAATGAACGTAAATGAGGAAGAGCGAGAAATTATATTTTTATCATTTCTTTAAGTGGATATGCAGAGGGAGTCAAAATTGAAAGGAAAACTGAAGATTATGGTAGATTTATGATACATAGAAAATAGATTTATAGGAAAATCGTTCATTGCTCATCTTTATAGAACAAAACGCGATTGTATAGTTCATTAATTTATTAATGTAACCTGAATAATTCAGATTTCGAAAGAATATAAACTGATATTCGTCACTAATCAAGGTCACTAATCAAGCTATATCAAAGGATAAATTCACAATGAAGGAGATAAACAGCTAAATAATGGCGAAAGATTTGTTGAAAGAAAAGAAAGCACAAATCAACACTCCACTTATCACTACGACAAAAAAACATCCATGGTAGTAACGAATAGTGAAAAGTGAATAAACTAGCAATGGTTTATATATGTTATGGAACAAAATAAAAAGATGACAAGTAAACAGTAAGTGTGATGAAACCAGCTTATCTTGCAGAAGTATCAGTTTTTCTCCTTCAGCCTGCATCATTTCTGGTTTAGCAAGTTTCACTCACTACTATGATAAAATCCTTTCGCCAAAAAGTTACTTGAAGATCGCCACTCAAAGAGACATTATGATAACGACTGATCATGTTAATGAAAGAGATCTGAATAACTAAACCATGCTATAATGAGTTAATTTTATCACCTTTTTTTAAATTACTTATAACCGTTTAGTGCTTCAACACAGCATTAAAAATTTGATATTTTTAATATAATCACATTATCTCGTTTCTTTCATCAACGAGCCAAATTTTTCCTTACGATATTTATGGATTAAAACAAGGATATTGCAATATTTCTACTTTTGCTATTTTTTAGTTTTAGTTTTTCTATTAGTTTTTTATTCGACTTATTTCAACTGGCATAAATTCATTTTAAAAAAATCCATTATTTGATAGTTATTGAAATTCCAAAATGTTGAATTTTTATGGAAATTAAAAGTGTAATCAATTTAAATAATGAAGCGGTTCCTTGATGAAGTTTTTTAAATTGCACGGTCTCGGAAAAATGAATTAAAAGGATATAATTTGCTTAATTTTGAGCATTTTGCCTTAAAAAATCTCGCTATTCGTCATTGTTTGCCCTGAAAATGCTTTTTAAGAGCTCGAAAGAGCTTAATGCAAAAAACAAACTCAAAGATTTAAAAACAGTTTTGCTGCATTAAAAAAGTACTAACGAAGAGAATCGTTGTGGATTTGTTGCAATTTTGAAAGGCTTATTCCATTACTCTGTGGATGAGCAATTGATATTAATAAATTTCTAGAATGAATACCATCTTCTAACATTTCGAATCATTTCTAAATCATCCATTATTATTACTTACAGTCACATAAATTTTGAACAATCGATCCTTTTGAATTACGAAGCGTGAACGTGAATTAGGGATACTACTTTATTGCATAATACCAATTGCAACCAGTAATTGAGTCCAAGAGATATGGCAGAGATATGGCTAGCTCCACTGGTTATTATGATAAAACTTTTTTTCCACTTGAGGATGAAAATTGCCAGTATCACTCGGCTTTCACTTTTATCAGTAGGTTCATTCTAGCAAAGGATCGAATATAATTGACTTAGCGAAAGCACTTTGCCAATCTGCCGCTCACCATACTCATATATTTACAATAATATTCCGCTGATTTCAATGAAAAAAATTTGAAAAACAAATTTTATGCATTTTTTCCGGAATGTGCCAAAGTATTTGTGGCCTAATTGATTTATTTATCAATTCATTATCACTTTTAGCAAACCTTCAGATCAAGAATATTCTTCAAATTTATTCTGACGTTGATTTCACTTCTTAAAATCGCAAAGTTACTTTTATCAGCATTCCTGATTTGGTTTCACTTCACCTACCCTTAAGATGACACTCTGAGAATTAGTTGAAAGTAGAAGTACAGGTGTGTTCCGATCAGCATGGAAAACTGATCAGTGGAAAATTAACAAAATCCATTTGAAGTATCGTCAAGATCGAAATCGATTCGAAAATCGCACAGTCTTAGCTTACTGGCTTGCATTAAATTTTGTTTTCATTGACCGATTCTTGACAATTTGGCAACAAATTTTTAATAGAAATAAAGAAAAAATACTTATTTAATAAAAAAAGGCAGAAAAATACAATACAAACAAGATGAATGGTGAAAAAAAAGAAAGAATTCAGCTAACTTGCCAACTTAAATTTTCAAGTCATTCACCTCATGTTCCGTTCGATATTTTTGAATTGGCATTGATGCAAAAATTCGTATATTTTATCAGAAATAAAAATAGGATAATTTAGGAATCAGGTTCTTATTTAAATTAATTTGGCGACTAAACAACATCGTACGTTGGCAACCATTAAGACAAAAGGTAAAATGGAGTAAATCGATTGCGGCTGACTTTATAAGGTCATAAGGTCAATGGCCTGACGGCCATTAACAGTTTTCTTCTCGCAGCAACTATGAACTGTAATACCATCACTCTTACTGAATTTATTACAGTTCATAATTTTATCACCGCAAATCATTGTTTTATTCCTGTTTATTCAAGTTTTCTGAACGTAGCATAAATTATTATCTTTAAATTTAGGAATTAACCGGCAATAAATTTTTAGAAATTTAAATGTCTGAAATTAAAAAATTTGTAAAATTCTCGAATTTTCAAGCAATTCGATTTATTCGCCTTCTTTCAGCACCATTATTAGTTCCTCGCTTCTAAAAAAAACATTTCCAAATTTCTCGGTCCGATGCCATGCATGAAATTAATTGATCTCTTTCTTGCACCATTTAAACCAATTTATCATTTCAGTCCAGATCTTCATTGGGCCTCCTTGTCTTTGCCATCATCCACAAGATTTAACGTATAATCATTATATGTTCCAGATGTGGGCGACGAACGGTCTAATTCAGTTTGAGTTAACTGCGACTTTCTTCTTCTAGCAGCTCACCATATTTGGTTTGGATTACACAAGTGACTATCGGAAGCCAGATCTTTTCATCAGAGCCATTAAGGATAAAGGGATAAATGGGCTTTTAGTACCACTCGGTTCTCACTTTAACGACACGCCTACTTACATACATCAACGGTTATCAATTAAACTTCATTTACCACTAACCACTATAGTAAGAAAACTTCACCAGAGAATCACTTATGTATAAAAACAGACTCAGAGTGAATCAAGTCGTTTTTTAAAGTTTACTTTTACCAACGGGAAGAAATCGAATCCATAGTTTGACTCTAGTCGAAATCACTTTATCAGAAGAAAAATTTTATAATTGTATTGAAAATGTGCTTTATTTAGAATCATCACATGAAATATTTCGTGAAATACTAAACCCATCACCAAAAATATAAAAATTTCTGATTTTTTGAATGTTTTAAATTCCGATGATTGCGACGTTTCAAAATTTGAACAAAAGTGCAAAATTAACGAAAATTTCAAAATTTTTTAATTTTTGAAATGATCCAAAATTTTTTGGAATGATCGGCGCCAAATCTATGTTTTCCTATCCCAATTTTTTGCTATCTTAATAAAAAATTTCGATTATTTTCAAAATAATTAATCGCTAAATAAGAAATTGGTACATCAAAGAATTTTTAAAACAAATTGAACCCCGTAAATTATGAAGCGTAAATTTTGTCGCAAATTTCACGGATTAAGCAAACAAAAGTATGCAAAGGACTGAAATTTTAATACAATTTTAGAAAAAATTAAAATACAAGCAAATAATAATATAATACAACTATCCAATAGATCCGCGTTCATCGAACAAATGAACAACCAACTTTTAAGAATTTTCAACTTTCATTCAATTTTCATTTCTATTTCAGTTACGTGGATTCCAGCTTTTAAGTAATAACAGAAGAAATAGACGAGACAAGAATAGAAAGAAAAACTAGAATACCAAAATACACCATGTACTACTACTGCTTATAGACGGAAAGCCTTATAGTCCCAGTTCCATCGTTCAATTGAACTTCCTAAACTTTAAAGCTGAAATAAATGCACGACAGCTCTTACATCGTAATTTTTTCCAAGTATTAACGACCATCCATTAATTTTTAATGTGGCATGTTAAATAAATGAAAAATTAACGCGTAAAAATTTGTGTTACGACATGAAGAAAAATAATGAACTGGATAACCCCACTGAACACTTAATTACGAATAATGAAAATGATGTTTTAGAATAAACATTTCGAAAAATCTATGCCAAAGCCTTATCGTAATCTGGTTGAAATTCATTAAGATTAATTTCTTCTATCCTGAATACTGACCAAACTTAAATTGGTGAACTAAAAATTTTATAATTTCTTACATAATATAGGCAATGATTTCTAACCAATGGGCTAAAAACTGGGAGAATCCCCAGATTCTATTTTAACGAAATCATAGAAAAATATGGTATATAAAAATCCATCACAAGCAAATTTCTCAAGAAAAAATCAAATGAAATATATCAAAAATATCAATAATCCAATTTAAAACATCGCGAAAATTCAATTCACACAAATATAATGTATATAATGTATATTTTAAATCAAACTGATGAAAATATAAAACTATAATTATGACCATAAAAGATGATTTTTTAATATTTCATATAATATAATATTTTATTTCATATAACATTTAATATAATATATAAATTCAAACTCTTTCTTTAAAATGTATTAAGGATTGCTCATTTCGATATTTTGTATAGATTGGCAATATGGCCCTTCACGCTGATATAATTGTAGTTTTGACATATATGGAGCAGGAATAGCTGTACTATTACTATCAATGAGTTTGCAAACAATTTCATGTTTCATTTGCATTCCCTCAGCTGTTGTTTGCACACTTCGATCCAAAATTTTGTCCAAAAAACTGAAAATAAAGTTAACCAAACACGAAATGAAAACGAAATTAATTCTACTCATTTAATATCAATGAAATGTAGCAGATATATTAATTCAGCTAAAAAACCGGAGTAAAAAAAAGAAAAAAATTGATATGGAAAAATTTAATAAATAATTCAATAATAAATTTTTACTTTGGAACTGTCATTAATTTTTCAATCATCCAACTGTAATTTAAAAGTTCCAAAATAAGGCGTTCAGATGAAAGCCGAATGTCATTAAAGGGTTTTGTATAATAAGCCATCAAAAGCGTTGGAAAAGGCTCACCGATATTTCTGACCCACGACTCCACTATCATACTTATATTATCCTGTAAGAATATATGCAAAGTTAATGAAAAATACTACTATAGATATAAAAAAAAATCTTTTATGAGCTCGACGTCTTTAACATAACTTTATTCTCGTTTAAAAAGGAATATAAAGATAAATACAAAATTTTCTTTATTATTTTCTATATTTTAAAAATTAAAAATAATACCAGAAATTTTGATTTAAATACTTCTAACATACATCAACTGGATTTTCCACGTGAACAAGCATTGCCAAAGCATCCATATGGCGTACACGCAATTCTAGTGGCCCACTGCCAATAGCTGCACCGAAAGCATTCATCGTCTTTATAAGATCATAATGATCTAAGAAAAACACTGAATTAAAAAAAATTTTTTAAATCCATACTATATCAAATAAAACAGTACAAACATGAATGAAAATTCGCCAATATTTTAATAATGAATTATTTTAATAATAAATAAACAGTACGATTTTCAAAAATTTTTCATTATTTTCATATTGTCAGAAGGCAAAAAAAAATGCGATGATGCTTCCAGAAATGAATACAATAAACTTATAAACTGCTAAAATAAAAAAAATTTTTTAAAAATTTTAAATAATGATACCAGAAATTTTATGAAGAAACAATTTTCCTGTATCATTTGAGCCAATAACAGCAATAGTGTCAAATGCTAATAGACGTTGACAAGGGTCTAACATATCAAAATGAAAAACAAGATCAAAAACTGAGTCGAGAAACTTTGGATATTTAAGAAGACAATCGACGTTAACAACAGACAAATGGCCAAAAAACTTCACAAGGGCTTAAAGTAAAATATTTAAAATAAGACAAATTTGAAATTTGCTAAGTTTTAATAGTTTAATAGTTTTAAGTTTTGATGCTATAATTTATATGAAATTATTCTCTATTTCTCTAATCCACAAAAACGTAGAAATTCCGTTATCAAAATTGTTAAAATGGATATACCAGGAAATATAAATCCCATATCGGGATGATCAGTAATTTCCACAAAATATTTATAAAGACGATCAACAAAACCTGTTGATATTAAATAAGACGCCACTGCTGCCTGTCTAAAAGAGAGAAAAAGACTTCAAAAATAGGATTCACTTCAGATGTAAGCAAAAATGAAAAATAAGGATTGAAAAACTCACTGAGAAGCCACATCTGCAAACATTTCAACAGCATTCAACTGAGAAAGAATATCAGTGGATAAAAGTTCCTTTTCAAGTGCATTTATGAAACTGCTCACTTGTTGAGGCTCACCCCCTTCTTTCAAAAAAATAGAAATCACCTAAAATCTCAAACAAAAAAATAAATCGCCAAGAAATCGGTGAAACTAAATATGATTAATGCGACAGCAAAATAACTGGAAAAATTAAATGAATATTAAATATTAAATAAATAACATTAAATAAAAAATTAAATGAACTCAAGATCACAAATATATTAAAAACTGTGAAAAATTAAAAAGAAGCAATCATTCACAATATATTTTCAAATATTACAAAAAAATGAACAAATTACCTGAAAAATCCGAAATCGCTCTTCAGCTCTATTATTTGCTAGAAGTGATTCTAGCTTTTCTTTTACCACATTTACATTAAGAAATTGCCACAACAACTATAATAAGAATGAAAGTTTATCAGGTATTTTTAATCATTCCAGGACTGAATATTGAATCATATAGCTCAACAAAGTTAGTAAAATATCAAAAACTGAAATGGTGGATAATGATTATGCTTATAATACTCATGGTCTATTTTTCTAAATCTAATTTAAAACAGAAAAAATAATAGAAAATCGACAAGGAACATAATGCCAATTTCACCTCAATTAAGAAACTCAAAAAAAGAATTTTTTTGAAAAAAAAATTAATTGTAAGGTTAATAAGAAATCTGTCGACATAATGATATGCAATTTTATTTTTTCAAAGAAAATATTATAAAGAAAAAAAGGGAAATAGAAAATAATCAATTTTAAACATCTTAAAAATTAAAATATAACATTAAATATAAATAATAAAAATCATTTAAATTAAAAAAAGATCATTTAAATTAAAAGAGATCCAAATACAAACATTAGCGACAGATTCGGCGCATGCCGATTCAATAATGCGATTAGCCAAAGCCAAAGTCACCTCTGTGTTAGAAACTGAAAGAAAAGCCTTGACATCCGATAAGTGATTTAATAAATAATCGACGATAATAGTGACAACACTAGATGGACTACGAGTTATTGCATTCAAAAGTAGCGACTGAGGTTGTTGAAAAAGATTAGGAACTGATATCGAATCGAATATACAATGGATAAGATCCTTCAAATCGTGAAAAGTTTCTCTATAAAATAAAATAAAATGTATTTAGAAAAATATTTTCAGATAATAAAAAAGAAATATGATATTTGCGTCCATAAAATATAACATTACAAGGCGGAATAACTAAATAAATAATGGCTCAGATTATCACGAGAGTTCTAATCTCACCTCTGACACTAGTGAACTTGTCGTAATCTGGACAGAGACTCGCCTATACTTCTAATACCATTTGATTCCCGATGAAAATTTCTAACCATAAAACCAGTGGAATTAGTTTAATATGAAATGGTGAATAATCGTTTACTTTTATATTCCACTTTATATCTAATTGACAATATCTAACTGTAAAAACCAGGTTAATTAAAAAATGAAGGCAAGTATTTCTTAATCCTTCTTTATGTTTTAATTCGCTTCGTTTTAAAAAATTAACCAAAGTTATGAATTCTTTTTGCAGAAATTTTACATAAATATTTTAAAAAAACAATTTAGATAAAGCCAAATAAAAATAATAGATTATATTATAAAATAAAACGTTTTAATTTTCTAATAAAATTTTTAGCAATCAAAAAATTAAACGAACATGGATAAATCATCCAAATTATTCATAGAAATTGATAACAATTGTTGAAAAAGTTCCAATGCATGTGTTTCAGTCCGATTTCGTAATAAATTAGATTTCAGCACATGAAAATCAAGTGATAATTCTTCATTATTAGTTGATTCTGTTTCATCCATCATGTCAACATTCCCACATTTTCCTCGATGAGCACCCATTTTATTGAAATTTACAGTTGTGATACCAAATAATCCAATTAATCCTCTAAACTACTCAAAACACTGAAATAAGTATTATTACAAGCAAAAAAAATTTTTACTGAGTCCTTCATGTGATATGTTTTAAGGCATAGTGAAGGTAAAAAGCATAAACGAAATGCAGAATAGTGTAAAGAAATAAAAAAATATGCCTATCTTATTCAGCGACTTTAAAAGCAATAAAACTAATAAATAAAAATAAATTTTTTTTGAAGAGAAATTTTATTATTTTTTAAATTCTTTTTTTATTTTCTATTGTTCTTTTTTAACTTTATCATTTTGTCTTTAACAACAACAAACCTATCATCATATCGAAAATCCGAGTGGCTACTGGGGATTCACCTGTAACTCTATTTCCAAGAAGTAAAAGAGTCTGACCTTGATGAGCATGGTACCTGCGATAAATACGCAATCTGGATGCAATAAATGATCCTAAGATTTGAGAAAATATCCTGGAGCCAAGGTAATTGCTTACCTATCAAGGGAAACTGTTCTCCGCAAGCACGCGAGATATCATCCGCAGCAACATAGAGCGTTAGAACGCTTGTATACGTTGCAAGTCAAGAGATCATTATCCATATTCTTTCTAATATGGATGTCATGTCATGTGGGTATCGCCTACTTGTTCAAGATTCGTCCTCCTCATCTCGAGCAATTACTAAGCCTCTCTCCGACCAGAGCTGACTGGCTGTATCATTGCGGTGTTTCGGATAATTCAGGGCGAATTGGCGTAGCGATTGTCATGTCTGAAAAAACTCGGTACGCCATGATTGAGTGGAAACGGATAAACCAACTTATTGCCTGTGTCTGCTTCGAAGGAAAGCATTATCAGTTTATATGCTCCAACATTATGCGCCGATTGCCACATCAAGGATAAGTTCTATGTTCGATTGCTAGCAACGCCTCTACCGAAACATAGCATGGTGATAATTGGAGGAGACTGGAATGCACAAGTAGACTACAATGCTGTCGAGTGAACTCGGTGATTAGCATTACGGAATATGGCATTACGGAAACCGTTACGTCAATGGAAAATGCTTTCTTCGTTTCGCAGAAAAGCATGATCTTTTGTTACTAATATATGCTTCTGACATCGATGAAGACATCTATTTATGTGGAACTCTCCGGATAACCAACAGATTGATTATATCCTGGCCAGACACCGTTGAGCAGTAGAGTTCCTATCCAGCGCTAAAACTGGTAACCTATGATATATTTCCTTATTCACCGTGGATGGCATGGATCAGAAGCGGAAGGGCAGTCGGCCTGGACTGACAGCATAGGGAGCTCGACGGCGGAGACCACCTTCTCTCACCGTCAGCGGGTCAGCGAGCAACCTGGGGACGTTTCCGCCTCGCCGCCAGCTCGACCAGTCATGGCGGAGTCTCTCTGAAGAAGAAGTGCCTTCCTTCCTCCGAAATTCTCTTCTAATAAAACAAAAATGCGATTATTCGACGGATTATTTATTGAATTTGCGCCTGCACCTCCGCGGATTTCCAATTCACTCGGACAAAATTTGCATCGAATAAATTATTAATTATTAATTAGAACAAGAATCTCCACATTTCCAATAGCAACGAAAAGAATTCCAAAAATTAATATAAAAGACCTAAGGAGCGTGACTCGTCCACTTACTGCTCAATTCAGTAAAATTCAGGCAACGAAAAATTCGTTACTTCTGAAAGCGTAGCCATAAGCCATTATTATTGGAAGTAATACATCGTTAGCTTTGATATCGATAAACAATTACTTCTGAAGTCGATAAAGTGATTCTTCGAGTCTTCTTTTGCGTTTTCTTTCCTTTTCTCTACTTAGTTTTTTATAAAAAAGAGCTCTTAAAATTTTTTTATTTTAATCAAATTCGATTTCATTTAGTTATATTTATTTATTTTTTATTTGAATGTAATCTTTAATTTTTTTATTTCATAAATAAATATTTCTAAAATTTCATTGTTCTTTAAAAATCCCCCTTATTTATCGATTTTCCATATTAATTTTATTATAATTATAATATTATAATAATTATAATTAAACAAACTGAAGAAATTAATTTGAAATCATTCGTGTGAAAATTTTAAATTTACAAATATTTATTTTTTGTTTTTTTATTCTTTTCGTTTCTTTTCATTGTTAAATTTGATTGAAAATTTGCAAATTCTGGTTTATTTCTTCAAAAGGCCGATAATTAGTAGTTCTCTTAATGAAAATGCGAATGCATGTTTGTTGATTTAAGGGATTTTATGGACCTGTGTTTGGCCTGTTTATGGCCCTATTGCATGGTCTACTTATGAGCCACACGACTTGGCAGTTGCACATAGGGAGTATGGGAAAGTAACGGTCTTCCTGTGTTGGCATCGTTGAACATAGATGTATCGGACAATTACTGTGAAGTCGATAAAGTTATTCATCGAGTTTTTATTCGAGTTTTCAATTTTTAATTATTGATTATTACTGTTGACACATCTATTTTCAGTGCCTTTTGCATAAGTTTTCATCCGCATTTTGGTAGGGAGGAACTTTCGCTAAACCCCACAAGGGATCCATAACTTTCGCCAGTGTAGTGATATTGATATCATTCATGAAAAGAAATCCATAGTCTTCACCAGGCTGTCAAAGGAAGGCTTTCAAAATATATAATTTTAAAGACTGGCAAAGCATGATCTTCGCGCTAATCTTCCTGCTGATTCCAACTTTTCTTCTTCTAACAGCTTGCACCATTGCTGGTCAGGTAGGCTCCATTGTTTCTCCACAACTTTCCAAGCTGCTCGATTTGCTTACAGTAGAAGAAGCCATCCATTTTTTCATTGTCTAAATTCACTCGCTGGTAATCGCTGTTCCCCCCCTCCCCCCTGTATAAAATATTCAAAATCTTTCCTGTCTCTATCAGTCCAGGCCTTGATTGGCCTCGCTTTTGATTTTTGATCACACGGTTTAGTAAGTAACGAAATATATGTCAGCTTCTGTGGTGGGGGAAGAAGAACATACTCTAACCAACAAAGGCGACACCAATGCTCTGTGATGGTAGTATTAATGCAAGTAGTATTTGGGCGAAGATGGATGCTTTCCATTAATTTTGGCAAACCCGTAAAATGTACCTTAGACCTTACTGGTCAAAGGCAGGTAGCTTCTTAATATCCTCTGCTCTTACTGGCCCATGTCTTGCAGCCATACAGCAGGATCTAGCCAATCGCAGCTATGGATGCGGATGTTCGTCTTTCTGGTGATTTCGCGATGGCTCCATAAAAGTTTCGTCAACCTTAAGAACACCTTTCTAACTGCCCTTATTAAGATTATAATTTCGTCTGGTCATTCGGTATTGGAGTGGATTCAAAGTATTTAAAATCGAGCACTTCCTCAGTTGGTAATGAATTTATAAAAATAGATATTTCATATGCGTCTTGTCTATAAGATGAAAAAGCTTTTATTGTCTACACTTTTATTGTCTAGCTTTTATTGTTTAGCATTATTTGCGTTGAGTCATAACTATCAGCAAAAAGGACTACATCTTCAGCGTATTCAAGGACTGTGATACGATGCTATGGACTGATTTGTACATTTCTTGAGTGCTAACAAGCGATGTCCATTATCCAGTCTATCGCATAGTTCAATACTGTAGAGGAAAGGATATAACCTTGACGGACACCAGTTCTTGTTTCAAAAGGGAAGGAAGCGAAAATTTTCTAGGAGACGTCTAGTAGGCTGGTTCCTCGACAATTTTCACATAGCTCCTGTAATTTTTTTTAGGAATTGAGAGCAGAATTGCTTTTCTTTAGTCTTCTGATATTATTTCCTTTTGTCATACATTTGTTGAAGGTGAGTTGTGGTGGGCAACATTTGAAGAGTTCAGCTCACCATCTCCTGCGGTTTTATTGACTTTAAGCTTATGAATGACAGAGATTATTTGGTCTGTTTGCGGTTCGTAGTAAATATATGGCTGCACGAGCGGACCAGTTAAATCTGGGATAACAGATGATGCATCGTGGTTTGGCCACAAAAAATTCCTTTTGTCTTAGGAGATGATCCTTAATAGTTTTTAAGAGGCACACATCATCATTCCATATCATTTCACTGTTTCCCGAGTTAGTTTTAGTTGCTTTGTGAAGAAGATGAAATAATTTCCTATTATCGCCTGATCCAACCGCCGTCTCCTTTTTTAAGGCCATGTCGCTCCAATAACGATTTGTGTCCCTTCGAGCTGTCTTAATTCTTCGGAGCATACAATAACCATGATTTCCTTACATTCATGCCTTAGTAGCTTTTTCGGATAGTTGGACAGAGCAAATCCAACTTTGGTAATTTAACTATAATTTAATAAATTTTTGTTGAATATTTATTTTTTTAAGTGATTTTTTTTTTAAGTGCAGAAGGGTAGAATAGTTTAGTGAGTTTTTGTTCTTATTTCGGAGCTGGTATCGGAGTTTCTATTCCAGAGAGTGAATTTTTAAAAACCGAGTGGTGCTGGTGATCCACCTTTACGTAGTGACTTCCTGGAGAAAATCAAATAATCCCCGCAAGTGAGTGAGCCTAAACAAAAATGGCAAATGTTCTTTAAAAAAATTAAATAGGCCTATCATTATATATAAATAAATAAAATGGAATAAGCGTGAGGGTGTAATATGTATGTATGAAAACATTTTCTAACACCAAGTTGATTTAGATGTGAAATTTGTCCTGAATCGCTTAAATACGGTCTCCATGCCGCACTATGTTCCTATAATACCCGTCTAGTAAGCTAATTCTTATCAAAATATGTCCTGTCGCCTTTCTTAAGAAGCAGAATTGCTTTGCTCCAGTATTATTCGTCTAGTATCGTCTGGTATCATTACTGATAGTTACTGAGTGTAATTACTGATATGTTATGTAGGATGGACTAGATTTGAAGAGTTCAGCCCGAAGACCATCTCTCGGAGTCTTATTGGCCTTAAGCTTTTGGATAACGGTGATATAACGGTTACTTCTTCTTTTGGCAAATCGCAATTGTAAGGTATGTTTCGACTCCTATTATCACCTAATCGAGCCGGCGTCTCCATTCTCAAGACCATGTCCTGCAGTGATTTCTGTCCCACTCTGCTGCTTTCGTTATCTTCGAAGTATCCATTGGTCAGGATCATCTGACATTCGTGCTTTGGCAGTTTTTTCAATCAATTGCTTCCGGTATCCAACTAGCGCACTTCCTACTAGTATGCTCTAAAGTAGATATGGTTAACTTTCGGAGACATTCCTTTAGTTTGGACTAGTGTTCCTTTGTCGTTTCAAAAAGTTATCAATACAAGTTATTTATACCATTGAGGTGCTTTAATAATTCAATTTGAAATGCGCTTATTATCCTCGAATCTTTTAATTTGGAATAGTTGATAGATCTTAGGAACGCTGTTTCTTGCGAATTATCAGTTTTATGCGGATCTTGACTCGAATCACAAAATGGTCAGATTAATGAAAATTGCCTGTTTCAGTTTCATCTCCACGATGGGAATAACTATCTAGCACAGAACTCTGCCAACTTCGACTGACTAAGATATAATCAATCTGGTTAAAATGTTGGTCATCCGGGGAGTTCCATGTGTAGATGTTTTCTACAGTGCCGGAAGCAAGTATTAATAACAAAAAGTTCATACTCTTAGGCATAACGAAGAAGGCGTTCCCCACTTTTGCACCAGTCTCCAATGCCATATTTGCCAATTGTCGAGTTCATAGCAACGACGTTATCACCCATGCGCGCATCCCTGTCTTCCCTAATTATGACCATGTCATATTTCGGTAGAAACTTTGATAGCAGTTGAAGTTTGCATAATTATTTATAGAATTTATCTTTATCACGGTCAGGATACTGATAACCAAGATACTGCGGAACTTACCTTTTAAGCCGATATAGGTCTTACGGTCATTTATTGACTTTCACTCAATCAAAGAAGAATAGGATTATAATTACTCGAAACCTGAAGTGAGGAAGACTGACCTGCGATAAGTAGGCCATATCCACACGATATTTAGAAAGAGTTTGATCGCCTGGCTTGCCTTGTCCATAAACATTCTGATAGTAATGAGGCTGACACCTCGCCATGCATGCAGAGGGGCATTCCTCTTGATAGGTTTCGAGCAATTGCCATTTCGTTTTTTGTGAGCATATTTTATTTATGAACCATGGGATCGTTTTACTCCCAGATTATATATATATATATCGTACGTTTCACCAGGCTGGAAATATCATGCGCGCTGAAGGACACGGGTATCGTTTCAAGAAGACCCGACCCTTTCACCATTGCGATTTGTATAGCAAATAGCGGTATAAAAAATGAAAAAAAGTATTCTAGCTGGAAAGCAAATAATTTATGTTCGTTGAATGACGGAAAGTAAGAAAAATACAAAAATTTAATCGGAGTTGCCGATTCAAGAATTTTCATTAAAATGGTATGTTTTTTGTTTTTTGTTCATCTTTTTAATTTTCAGCTATTTACCCATCGTAGAAATTTTTTTCATTCTATTTGCACAATTCACAAAACTTGTTCACGTATTATTATTTCAGACAAAAATTGTTTTTCAATTCATTTGTTCTCAACGAAAAGTTCATTGGTCGATCGCAAAATAATTCTTACTGGTTTTTTTCGATGAAAAATTTATTTTATTTGTCATTTTTATTATATTATAAAGCGATTTTGCACTAAAAAAACAAAAACTTTTTTTTGCAATATTTTTGCAATCTTTTAAAAACGGAAATAAATCCAGTTTTGTTTCGAAAATTTTTAGAGAAGTGTCGGATAAAAGTTTTTTCAAGTTTTTTTTGTGAACTTGAAGTCATTTTTTTTGTTATAGGATTTGCAATTGAAATATACAGTAGGAAAGAAAGGCCAAAATCTTCAATCGTGTTACGCTTAATATCCAATTAATCGACAATTATTTTGTTGGAAAGAAATCAATCTCTAAAACGAATAGTCGTTTTATATTGAAGGCTGAAATTAGAGTCAATCGAAATTTTCGCAGAATTTATAATTGTATATTGCGAAAAATCTTAAGTTTTTTAAGAAAATGCTTTATAATAGACAATAGAAGTATAGGCAATATTATGAAACGGGAAGCTTTCGTATATCTTGTTTGTTTTTTTAATCGTATCGCTAAAAAACAGGTATATACTGAGAAAAGTTTTTTTTATGAAATCCATTCTCGTCCTTATTTACTAAACTTCTCGTAAAATTCTTGCGTAATTTCATATCGCGTAATATCTTCAACTCATTATTAATTTGTTCGCGATCGATAATATTTGCAATAGTATTTAAATCTTTTGTAATTATGGCTTAGATATTTCAGAAATGTCAAAGAAAACCCCACGTTCAGGAAAAAGAGGAAAAAGAAAAGTGCTTGTGCCAAAATGGAAATTATTTCGCGCCAAAGAGCCTCTTTTATCTGTTTTTATGTGGGGTGTCAACCATTGCGTTCGTTATTTATGTTTCTAGCTTTAAAAAGGAAGAGGTGTTAGTGATTAGCATTCATTTTTGCTGGAATGTATCTGGGGTATGAAAGTATAGATGTGGTCACTACTTCAGTTTTTTAGTGGTTTGACTGGCTTTATCAGAAGAAGAGGCTAAAGCATTATCCGCGAAGAGGGCGACAAGATGTTACACCACTTAGCCATCTCTCTGTAAAGAAAGATTGAATCACATTGGAAACTTAAAATTAAAGAGATTTAGATGGTGTAAAATAATGTCGAAGTGTTTAATTATATCATGAAAGCAATTACCCAATCCCTTTTTTTACACCACTTAGCCATCTATAAGGAAAGATGTTCATCTATGAAGTTATGTAAAGATTTAATGAATTTTTTTTCTTATGCTCATTTTTCATTTCTTTACAGATTGGTGAATTAATGCATGTTCCTCCGCCTGGTTTGCTTATGCCTGACGATTTTAAAGCGAGTGTTAAGATAAAAGTTGACAACCACGGTTTCAATAAGTATTTTTTCTTCATTATTTCATATTTTAGTAAATATAATTTGGCATTTTTTGATTCAATTTAGTTATCTTCATATCCGTTCTTCGAATAGTTTTCTGACTTTTTTGTAAGAACCGTAAGAAATTTTCTAATGTGAATTTTTTCTGGATTTTTTGGTTTCCGATAAAAAATATACTGAAAAAAGTGCCCGTTCATTTGATCATTTCTTTAATTAACTGGTTTATGTCAGTGATAATCGAAATTTTTTTTTTCACGCACCCTCTAATTGGTCTCATAAAAATCCTTAGATCCTCAATACAACTTTTGAAATATTTATTAAATTTTTTGCTCAGTAGTTTTGGACAAATATACTTATAATAAATGTAAAATGCAAAAAGTAATTATTAAAAATAATTTGAACTTTTAAACCATTATTAAAAATAATTTGAACTTTTAAACCATTGAACAGAATATATAATTTAAGTAGAATATATAATTCGAATTAGACTCCCACTTATTTATCTAAGAGCTGCCAGAGGATCCACTCGTAGTAATTTGATGACCATTGTTTAAAGAGATTTATAAATTGTTTTCTCTTATTTTTTGTGGTGAGTATTTTTTTAAAAAAAAGGAAAGGAATTTTTCCAGTGAAAATTTCAGGGATAATATGCCAAGTCATTTTAAAGTGAAAGATTATTGTCCAAATGTTTTTCGAAATTTGCGTGAACATTTCGGTGTTGATCAGAATGAATACTTGGTTAGATTTCTGAATAAAAGATTTAAGATATGATTAGAAATCATAATTCTAAAACTTTCTTTTAGCGATCTCTAACTTACTCAGAACCAGAACCAGAATTAGATCAGGCTGATAAGAGTGGGTCAAGATTATTTGTTTCTTATGATAAGAAATTTGTTATTAAAACGATGGATTCAGAAGCGGTCGCTGAATTGCATTCCATTATGAGAAGTTATCACGAGGTAAAATTTTTTATATGTACTATTTTTCTTGTCGTTCTTTTATTAGTCGGAATAATTCAAGTGCTTTAATTTTTTTCTGAGAACATGAGAATATTTCTCGTTGGAATCTGCTATCTTCGGAAGCAAATTTTACATAGGAGTTACTCCTCAGCATCACCTGTTAGAGATTAAATTCTACCGCAACATCGATGGTTCAAAATGAGAGCAGTAATCAAGCCATTCTATGAAATAACCTTTATTTTTTTTAAATTTTATTTATTTTTTCTTTGACTTTTACAATCATATGTATTTTTAGTATGTGGTTGAAAAACATGGCAAGACGTTACTTCCTCAGTATCTCGGACTTTTTCGAATTACTGTGGATGGCAGCGAGACTTATTTGATTATTATGCGCAATATTTTTGGACGAAAATACAACGTGCATCGAAAATATGATCTCAAAGTATTTCTTGAACGCTTTTCAAAATGATTCTAAAAATTTTAAATTCAAATATATTGTATAATTTTGGCGAAAAGCTTTGGAGGAACTCTTTTATAAATTAAACAAGCGAAAAATTTTATTCTTTTCATTTCTCAAAATTTTTATTGAATCAGAATTATTATATGACAGATATTGAATCAAATGAATCAACTTTCTAATAATTTTAATAATAATAATAAATCTTCACTGTCATCCTTAATTTACCTTTTCCGTTTTTTTGTTTGATGTATTGCCCATGTCGATTAAATTATCGTTTTTTTTTTTTTTTTTTTTTTTAGGGCTCAACAGTACAACGACAAGCCAGTGAAAAAGAAAAAGCGAAGGATTTGCCTACATTAAAGGTAAATTTAGTTTTCTTTCTTTTTTTTCAACTTTTCCTTCTCTTGGTCATTTATATTCTTATTTATATTCTTCTCTTAGTCGTGTTTGATTTTCCTGAAATTTTTGTGTAACTTCAAGAGTAAGTAAGATAAATGTAAAGCAAACTATTCATAAATAAAAGTGCTCTTTTTTATGAATTAAAAAAGGATGAAATTTTTTTCCATAGTATCGGCAATTTAACTTGTTTTTTAGGTTGTTCAATTTAAGCCTTAAGATTATAGTTAAGAATTGGCATAAATTGGCATCTCTTGATCTTTTAATTATTTGAAAATATTATAGGACAATGATTTCTTGGAGGACAACTACAAACTGTTACTACCAGAAAATGCACGTGAAAAATTGGTGAATATGCTAAGTACAGATACAGAATTTCTTGCACGATTGCATCTTATGGATTATTCTTTACTTGTTGGTTAGTGCTTTGTTTCTTTCTGTTCTTCAAACAGCTCTCAATATTACTGGCTAGGCTCGATGCGCTGGCTATAAGGGTGAAATATTCTAAGTTGCTCGATTCGATGCCATCGATGAGATAATAAAAGTCATTCCTTCTTCTAAGTCCATATATTGCTGGTCCATCATACGTTTAAAATCTTTTTGATGTATTAATTTTCACTGACCCTCCTCTCTTTTGGCGCTATCTGTTACATACTTTAGCAAGTAACGAAATATATGTCAATTTCTGCGGTGGGTGCCTTAACCAGCAAAGATGGTACTGTACCAGTCCAGGTCTTCGCTGGTCCTCATTTTGACACCAACCGTCACGTAGTGAAATATCTGTAAACTCCTGTGGTGGATGGTCGACGAAGAACGTGCCGGAGGCGACACTTTGTTTTAATATAGGTGGTATTTGAGCGAAGATGAATGCAGTTTTATATGGTTTTATATATATATGTATAATTATATTATAATTATAATTATTATAATTATATATAATTTATAATTTATTTTTTAATTCATCGCTTTAAAAATTTGAAAGAAACTTGGCTTAATTGTTTGTAGTAAATTTCAAAATTTTAGAGCTAATATAAGGGAATTGCAGAGCGAAACAGAACAGCCGTTCAAGAAATAAAAAATTTGAAAATTTCAAATTCATTGTGTTCTAACTTCTAATTTTTGAAATTTTTTGATATTTATCACTTTTAAATTTAAATTGTTCATAAAAAAGTAATATTTCGACTTTTTTATTTTTGTTTTTTATTTTTATTTGTATTTCTGCATTTTTTGCTATTGAAATCCCACCAATATAGTTTTATAAATTTCTCCTTTCATTAAATGTATATTTCCCAACTCTGAATAAATTCTCACGGCCGACAAGTTTTTTTCCAAGTCTAGGAAAAACAATTGCAGGTATTCATGACATTGATCGTGCTGAAGCAGAAGCAGAAGCTGCTAATCAGTCTGTTCCTGAGCAGTCTGAAGGAGAATTATCAGATGATCTGGTTCCAACGCCTCCTGATTCACCACTTCCTTCTACTGGTGCATTTGCTCCAATGCTGCCTGGTCGGCCTGATCTCGATGATGAATTTTTCGCTATTGCCAGCAATCCTAGTAAACAACTTTTTACGAAAAATTTCCATTATTATCTTTTTATATATCAGAATAATAGCTTTAGCAATCCTCAAATTATTTATTTCTCTTATTTTAAGTATTTGAACCTAAAAAAACTTTTGCTTTAAAAAATTTCAGATGATTTTTTAAACTTCATTTTCAATTTTTAATTTAAAATTTGTAATTAGGTTTAAACAATTTATCCAATAAAGTTCAATCTAAAAATTTTTTGATCTCAATTTGCAGCAAGTGGTAAGCGTCTCATCTATTTCATTGGTCTAGTCGACATCCTTACTTATTATGGTGTAAAAAAACGAACTGCTTCAGCAGCAAAAGCTGTCAAATATGGTTCAGAAGCTGAAAACATTTCTACTGTAAAGCCAGATCAAGTAAGTGTGATTGTTAAGCGTATTTTTATTATTTTTATAACTTGTTATGAAATTATTCCCCATGTAGCATTAAGCAATGGAGTTGTTTTAGTTCTTCACTTCTGCACTTTTATATTTTGTATTATAATTGTGATATTGATATTGTAACATTGATAAGTTTTCGTAAACTTTAATAAAATGAATACGAATTCTATTTTATGATCAAATGAGAGTCACAAGAGCTGCATACGGCCCACTTATTTTTTTGTATTTCACTTATTTCACTTGTATCCATTTTTTCTTAGGAATTATTGTCGTTATATAATTCCTAATATTGTAATAGATCTTCATTTTTTATCATTCAATAATTTCACGTTATCAATATCTTTTAATAACTTTTTCTGGTTTAATTTGTTTGGTTCCATTGGTTACTAAGGTGAAACCACCAGAAAAATCATTTATCCTAGATACCTCTCGAAGTTCATTTATTTCACTTTTAATGGTTGTATTGCTATCAGGAGGCGGTAATGTATGAACCCAGAAACAATAAATCATTTGATGATTTTCTATCTCTTTATTATAAAAATGTGGAAAGTGAAGGCCAAAACAGTCCCGATGGTAGTAGCGAGAAGCATTAGGGACTATGATTCCTAAACTAAAAAATTATATTCAACAGTATCCAAAATAATATCAGAGATTTCTCCATGCTAGGGGATATTGCTTCTCATCTATTTCATTGGTCTATTCGATATTGGTGTAACGTAACGAACTGCTTCAGCTGCAAAAAATGTCAAATATGCGCAGAACCATCAAGTTCCCAGGCCGTATTTTCCAACATTAATCAGTTTTTTCATTAAGATTTTCGTATTTGAAAGGAAAGGTTTTGTGATTAAAATAGGATTTAAATTTCAGTATGCCCGGCGACTTGTTGAATTCGTAACTCGTGCAGTTATTGTTATATAACTTAAGATGGCATATTCTTCAAGTTCAGTAACTGGAATCCAAAGTCATTTTGTATTTTGTTTATTGCTACTGCGCGATGCATCAACATTCCTTCGTTTTTCAAGTTTAATAGCTATCTATGTTAATATTTTTGCTGTTTTGTTTGAAATTGTATATGTCGCTTTATTTTACCAATGATTGATGCGGTAAGAACCTTTCATAGAAGCTTAGGCCTTGCTTTTTAGTTATTTTTGACCACAGAAAATTTTTTAAAATTTTGTCTTTGCTGTGTTGAAATGATAACAAAGATTGGGTTTTATTCAGGATGGTATTTCAGATAAGTGCGACAATCGCTTTTCTTCTTTTTTTTTAACCCACGACAATTAAATTTATTTCCACTGAATAACTGCAAAAAAATATATTCTATCATAAATTGTTGTTGGAATATATAAACCGGGAGATACTTGATGTTGCTTTTTTTTATTTTGTTTAATAAAAATTCTTTGCTTGTAACGATAGCTGAAATATTTGTATTATATGGCTTTAGCTATTATAGAGTAGATTTATGCGTAAGTTTTTGAGAATTTTCTATTGAAATTTTTTGCAGTTTTTTATCAGCGATTTCTTATCAGCGATAAGCTTTATCGGTAAATTTTCATAGAATAATATTATCGTGGTGAGAACTAATCAAACAAACACTTGAAATATTTAAACTCGAAATGTTCCGAGTTATTTGATTGTTAATAAGGGTATTTCAATAAAATAATCTAATCGTTTAACACAATTCATTGTTAAATTTTTGCTTATTTATTTCCCTATCTTCTTCAGCTCGAAGTTTTATAAGTTTTATAATTAATCGTTGTTACTGCTCGAAAAATATATCAGAAATTAAAAAATCATCGATGAATGTTGTGGAAAGCAGTATTTTTGCTATTTCTAAATTCTACTTTAATTTTTTAATTGCGAAATGTTCTTTTGGATGAATCGATTAAAATCCTTGGGTGTTATATTTAGCTGATAATTTATCATTGATAAAAAGGATTAGATGCTTTAAGATGCAGTTTCCGTTTAGATTATTTTCTTTTTTTGTTTTATTGTATTTTTCACCTCTGTTTATAAGAAATAAATTTCGATCAGATTTGTTCCATTATATTTTTATGATTAATAAAGCTTTTACGATTTATATTGGCAATGGTTGCTGGGTTTTTTCGAGGTAATTTCCTAAAATTATTTATTTTAGGGCTTACTTTTCGTTCTTTAATTTGGCATAATTGGCATAATTACACGAATATTGCGTAATTCGAAAAGTTGAAAGTTAATCACTAGGGAGGCGAATAGTTGGTGACTACCATGGCTTTCGCTCTTGCCCTGGTCAGCAATAAGCTTACTCCTAAAAATCGTAATGATGCTGACGAGCCAATGTGTAGATCCGTCGCTATCGCTTAGTGAAGTTTTGACGGAAGATTTTTAAATAACGGGCATCGTCACGATTGCCAGCCTAAGCAGAAATATTGGGTGCTAACCACTTGTTTAAACTTTATATAAGTATATATTGCGAATATAGTTATTAAAAAGTTATTAAAAAGAATTGCTTTTTTTCATATATATCAATTATTAGTCGTTTTGTCAGTTTTACATTTTGTTGAATTTTAAACAAATTTTAAATTAGTTATTTTGGTTTCGGTTTCGTTATGCGTATCGACATAACATTAACTATTGTGGTTGATTTAATATAATCGCCGTCAAAGAAAAGAGAAATGGCAGAAGAGGTCGACAATGTTCGGGTTATTGTCCGCTGTCGACCTCTCAGCGAAGTGGAACTCGAAAACGGATTTAAATCAGTTGTTAATATCGATCATGACTCTCATTCCGTTTGTGTATCAAATCCGAATGCACCTCAGGTTTATTTCCTTTGTTATTCTATAAGAAATGAATTAATTACTTAATCAGTTTTATGTTACCAAATATCTGTTTCGAAAATCTGGTCTGCAGTTTATGCTATCTTTTTATTGTTTACCCAACCATTTATGTTAAATATGAGTTGAAAAATTTTTTTTGAACCAGTTTAAATTTATGAATATTAAATTTTTAAATAGAAATTTTTTGAAATTTTCGAAATTTTTCATCATTTGAAGGATCCACCTCGTTGCTTTACTTTCGATTCAGTTTTCGGCGAAGATGCCGATCAACTAAGTATATATAACATTGCTGCAAGACCGATTGTTGACAACGTTCTTAAAGGATACAATGGTTTACTTATTTGTTTATTATCTAACTGATTCTTTTTCTTTTGGCAATCCCTACCATTGTTGACTTGGCTCGTTGCGCTGACGATAGGCGCTTCCAAGGCTTGCGGTCCAACCCTGAAAATAATTGAAGCCAGTCCTTTTTTTATCGGCTAAGCCAGTATATCACCAAACCACCCATATGTTTTGCTCTGACGTGTTTTGATTGGTCCTGCATGGTTTGAGCCTCATCCACCTCAGGGGGCTTGGCAAGATATATTTAAATTTCTGTGAAAAATACGGATGATGAAAAAGATGGTTAAACCAAGTGACGTTTTGCGACGATATTCTTTATACAGATGATGTTCCGCATTGTGAGACTTTTTCCACTTGGCAGATAATCTTAGGCAAGAATGGTCAAAAACAAATAGTTTTCTGATTACCAACCAAATTTTGCAGCCTATAGCAGGATTATGCGCATTACAGCCAGATAGATACATTTTGTTTTGAGGCTAAGTTCACGATGATTCCAGAGAAGTTTCGCCAGATGAAAAATTATAATCCGAGCTCGAATTTCGTTTGTCGCGTGGCTTTAGATATAAGAATGCATCTGAGATATTTAAAATTCGCCATTGATGAATTGAGATCTTATTAGCTTGTGGTATATAAGCTAAAAGAGTTTCGCTTATTTATTTATTTTGAAATCCCATTTTCGCTGTTACTGTCGATGCCCGGGCTAGCGTCCATTCTTCGTAATTATCAGCGAAAAGGACAACATCAGCGTATAAAGGATTGATACATTTATGCAAGTTGTATTATCAATAACCTATTTTATCGCAGTTATAGGGAAGAGAACGCAGTCTTGATGCATATCGGCACGTATTTCATCGGTATTTAGAAGGTTTTCAACTCCTCGTATACCCACACATATACATCTGCGCTAACGTACTTTGACAAAATGCTTTAATGAAGCTTATAAGCTTTTAAATATCTTTGTGTTTATTTACATGACTTGCGTTGAATCAGAGGCAGCAACGAAATTGTTTAAATAAAGTAAATACTTGCAACTAATACCTTTCTCAGCGTGAAAATTGGTCAACACAACCTTATCTAGCCTAAATTTAGCTTGGTTAGAGCGTGTCTATTTGTACTGTCATAAGTATGAGTCAGCAGAAGAGAGGCAAAAACATCTAGAAACTGATTCTTTTATAATTGTTGCAGTGAGTCCTATCACCTTTCATGAAAACTGGGAGGAGAATTGCCTTGCTGCAGTCACATGGCATTTGCTTCTTCTCCCCTCATTAGTGAATGTAACGTTTGAAGTTGAATATAATGTCTGCAAGTGTATTATGAAGAACGCTGGGTAATATTTCAGTTTGCAGACCATCTCGGGAGGTTTTATTGAGCTTAGGCTTGTGAAAGAAGTTATCTCATGCTGTATTGGTGATATATAGTCTTATGGCTTAATTGCGTTCCAGTCATTTCCGGGACCTTTAGTGGCCCTTCGCAGTTAACAACTTCACTGACCATTTCTTGAGCGTTGCGAAGCGGTACAATCTTCCGATGATCGTTGCACTCTCTCTCTCGGTATTTAAAGCTATATTTTTCCAGAATCAATTTTTTCATGCTAGTTGATTATAACGAAATTATCATAATAGAAAGTTCATAGGAAAAAATGAAAAAAACAAACTTTTTCTTTGAAGGATTTTTATATTTGATTATTAATTTTTTGTTTAAGCAGGTTTTTGTGGTGCAATAAAATATTTCCATCAAGATGATAACCGTAATTTAATTCGAGCTCATCAGAAAAGATTATAGGTCATCAATAATATTCCACTGTTTGAAAAAATAATAAAACCTATAATAAGAAATAATATTAATAATGAAAAAATATTTATTGTTAATAAGATTTATTGTTTGCAGGAACAATATTAGCCTATGGTCAAACTGGTACAGGTAAAACTTACACGATGTCAGGTAGAACAGATTCGTTAGAACACGCTGGTATCATTCCTAATTCATTCGCGCACATTTTTAATAGTATCGCAAAATGTGAACAGGATAAGACGTTTCTTGTACGAGTGTCTTATTTGGAAATATATAATGAAGAAATTCGTGATTTATTAGCTAGGAGTCCAATGCATAGATTAGAAATCAAGGTTAGTTTAAAATTCGATTTTAAGCATTTCGGATTTTTTGAATTTAGCAAAATTCTGTTGAAAAATATGCGATATTTAATAAAATACTTTATTTTCAAGTTCTTAAAAATTATTCTTGGATTTTATTTTAATAATTATCCTTTTGATCTATTCCAGCAATTGTCGTTTTATTCCATCTTTAGGAACGTAATGATATCGGTGTCTACGTGAAAGATTTATCAAATGTAACTGTTTCGAGTGCTGATCACATGCAACGTCTCATGAATTTCGGCAACAGTAATAGGTTTTCGTATTTTTTATTATTATAATCACTATCTAAGCCTGTATTCATAATAAAAATTTTTGAAAATTTATAGATCAGTTAGCTCGACAAAAATGAATGTGGAGAGTTCAAGATCCCATGCCATTTTCACAGTGACAATTGAGTGCAGTGAATTGATTGACGGCAGAAATCACCTCACGCAAGGCAAACTACAATTAGTTGATCTAGCTGTATGTTTTTGATTCTTGCGATTATGGATCTCCTTTTGTTGCTTTGTTGATTTGATTTTTATGTAAATATATCTATGAACTTGATGGCGTTGGACCGAATAGCTTGAAGAGTCTTACCCTAGAGTAGCCAGTAGTTAACCTGATCATAATGGTGAAAGCTGTTAAAAGAAGAAGATTTATGAGCTTATTTATATATGAAGCAATTTTCCATTAATTCAATATTTTAGGGGAGTGAACGACAGTCAAAAGCAGAATCAAATGGACAACGTCTTAAGGAAGCATCACGTATTAATTTATCTCTTTCTTCACTGGGTAATGTAATCAGTGCTTTAATAGATTCAAAGGCTGCGCATGTTCCATATCGTAATTCGAAATTAACTCGGCTTTTACAAGATTCACTTGGCGGAAATTCTAAAACTGTTATGGTTTGCATTTCTATTTTGAATTCATTAATATATATTTCATTTTTTCATAACTGGATATTTTGCCCATTTTTTTCTAAATTTTACATTGGTAAAATAGTGAAGGAATTGGTGAAAATTCAATAATAAGATATAGGAATATTGCAAAAATAATAAGAATTATAGTGCGCGAATATTGGACCAGCATCCTATAATTATGATGAAACAATTTCTACTCTTCGATATGCAAATCGTGCAAAGAATATTAAGAATGTGGTTCGAATCAACGAAGATCCAAAGGATGCGCTTTTAAGGAAATTCCAGTTGGAAATTGATCATCTAAAAAAGTTGCTTGCAAATGGTAAAGAATAGAATAACATTAATTTTTATTATAAAGGCATTAACAAAAAATAAAAATAAATAAATAAAAAAGTTATATTTTTATTAATTTTCATTGTTGATATTTATCTTTGATTTAAGTTATGGATATAATTTAAGTTAAGTTAAGTTTGAAGTAAGTTCAAAGTTTAAATTTTGGAAAAAGTTCCATTAAGTTTTAAGTTAAGTTTGCAAAGTTATGGATATTAATAAGATGTTTCTCATTTAGAAAATAAGTTGCTTTTATCCTAAATATTTTGTATCTTCTTAGATATATATATAATCTTATGTCGCTATATACACATGTAGTTATTTTTAATTTTCTTAATTTTCTTAGGTCTATTCCGGTTTCAGTTACTTTTATTCTTGTTTATTTATTTAATATAGCATATAATATAATTATAATTACTTTTTCATTTTACCGTTTTATTTTTGTTTTTACTTTTTTGTTTTAGCATACAAGTTACATTTTATAAGTTTCAAATACATAGTGTTTTTAGTTCCTATTTTTTTCAATAAATCATCTCAATTTTTAGAAGAGTCAAGTGATAGTGATGAAGAAATGGGAAAGAAAAGCGAAGCGAAGGAGATGCCGAAGCGTCAAAAAGGAGGATACGATGAACGAATTATTGAATTGGAAAAAAATATCGAACTGAAGAGAAATGAATTACAAAGAACGAAGGGACTAGCTGAAGAAGAACGTAATATTCTTGCAAATGAGCTTCAGACTAGAGAGGTTCATTTGTTTTTGGAAATTTCCTAAATAATCAAATTTATCTTAACATTTTCAAGATGATAAGGCGATTCTCTTTAGATTCTGTATAAATTCTTCTATGAGCTAGTTCGGATATTTGGACTCATTTTTATGTAACAGAAGTATTGTAGGTTGAACTCGCTCGAGCTAGGAATGAGCATGAGGAATTGGTGAAAAAATTGAAACAATTAGAACGTAAGTTAATTTTTGGTGGTGAAAATATGTTGGAAAAAGCAGAAAAGCAAGCTCGTTTATTGGAGCAAAGTAACGCAGAACTTGATCGAGCAAAAGCTAATGAGGATCACCTGCGTCAAGCTTTGGCTGAAAAAAATCAGGAAAGGTTCGTTTATATTAATTATATTGATTTGATTGATTGTTGTCTGTTTCATAATTATCCTTTTATTCCATTTATGAAAGTATTTTTTTTCTATATTTGTTAATCGTCGGATTGCTGGATGAGTTTTTATTATAATTATGTTTTTATATTTATATTATTATAATTATAATTGTCGATTCATTTTATTTTAATAAATTTAGTAAAATGTATAGTAAATTTGTTGTTGTTTTAATAAATTTTATTTTACAAATTTTATTCTTAAAAATCGAAATTTTTCAGTGCCTGATTTTTTTCTTAATTCCTTAATTTTTATTTTGCAGGCGAAAATTTTTTATAGGATTGACTTGGAAGAGAAGTATAATTCTCTATCGGAAGAAGCTCATGGCAAAACTAAGAAAATGAAAAAGGTGTGGAATATGTTATGCACTGCAAAAAGTGAACTGAGTGATCTAACAATTGAACATCAACGAGAAATCGAGGGATTACTTGGTAGCATTCGACAATTGAAGAGTGAATTACTATTGCAACTTTTAATTATAGGTGCTTTTTTTTCTTCCTTTAAATCAATTTACTGCTTTTTTTCTTCTTCAACTTTTAAATAACGAATGGTTAATATTAAACATATGTTATTAATTGGGCTTAATTTATAATACCAATTTCTTCTAGGTTGATTAGGACTCGTTTGGGCTTTGCTAGCTATCTTATTTATATCAGTGAAAAATATGAAAAATATAATATAATAGTGAAATATTGGGACTTTTTTTTATTTTTTAAATTGCTAGTTTAACCTCAAATCCTTATTCATTGTTTTATTCTTTCGATTTACCCTTCCTAGTCTATTGGCTTTAGAATCCATAAATCAGTTCCGCTGGCGGATCAAAAATGATGTTGCACTTTCAGTGCTGCAAAAGGTTAAAAACTGATTCGTTAGAATAAAATATATCTGCATCGAATCCGCACAACAGAAATTTCAAATTGAAACAGTCTTTTCACAAAAAGAGAATTAATCTGATATAAAATCACTGAACGTATTCAGTGATATACACTTATAACACAGGCTAATATTATAGATGTAATAGCCTTTCAAATTCCATTTCTTCATTTTCTTTTGGCAATTAGCTTATTAATTGCCTGCATCGACTTTATAAAAGAAATTTTACACATTGAGAAAATTTTGTATATTTTTAAGGTTGGCATAACTTGATGAGTCCATTACTATGGATGTAATGTGCTTTCCTTTTTCTTCCTGGCTGACTTATTGTTTTTGTAGTACTTCTGTTTTGTTTTTGTACTCAAAGTGTTTTTAAAGTACTAAACATTTCATTCTTTATCCACATAAAGAAGTTATTTTAAAAACCAATTTCAACATCACAATATCTTTTCTCCTCTAAAAATTTATTATTTTCGTGAGTTACGTTATATTTCTGTAATATACTTCCATTATATTTATTCTTCTTTGGTTTTCTTTGATTTCGATCTACTGATATCGCTAAAGTTCAAACAGCCTTCGTTCTTTAAGCATTTTTGATCCTTGATTATGTGAAATCTTTGAAAAAGATTGTGCATCCATAATTGAGCCCAAGTAAATATATCGTACTGCTAAATATTTGGACCGAACGGTATGACTTCATATTTTTATTTGAATTCCCTCGAGTTAAGGATGAGCATGAGGAATTTTTATTTTTCCTTTTTTAGAAAACTACATTCCACCGGAATATTTGGAATTAATCGAAAAATTTGTTTCCTGGAATGAAGAAATTGGCGATTGGCAACTGAAATGCATTGCTTATACTGGAAATAATATGCGTGCGCGCAACCCATTGCCTGTTCCGGTTTACAAGGTGCATCTTTACTTGATTCATTGAATCTATCGATCTTCATTACTGGTATTCTATTACATATACGAATGACATATTTACTTCTTTTTTCATTTTTTTTATTGAAATTAAATTAGATTAACTTCAAAATTAAATTTGATAAGCCGAACATATTATTTACAGGGTGAAGACCCCCAAATGCATGATTTGTTTCTTTCTTATTCAAATGAAATATCACTCGCATATGATTCGAATCGTAAATTACGATCAAAGAAGCGAAGGACGTAAGTTTTCATTCCTTTATCTTTCATATTGCTAAACCGCTTCTAAAATTGGGAGTGAAAATGCGAATGCGATACTTCCTCAGTACTGCACGTTTCTCACATGAAAAGCCACATAAGGTATAAAAGTTTCAGGTGCAAAATAGATTCAAAAGTCAAAGCACTATTCGATTAATGAGAAACATTCGGATATTTCATTAATTTCAAATTATTTTAAATGAGAAAACATCGTCGGAGTGATCTCATAAAAGTTTACCTAATGATCTCGTGGCAATTTTCTGCTATATTTAAAAATAAAACAATTAGTTTACATTTTTCACTTCTATAATCTTATACTTTAATAATTCGAAACAAAACACTTCAAAGAAGAATTCGAGATTTTGAGAATATAATCTAAATAGGAGTGCCATCACAAAAAAGATGTGTTATATTTATAAATGCGCTACCTTTTGCAATTGATGAAAGTTTGTGGAAATTTTTTTGACGATGCTCGCAGTCAAATCCTTAATATGCGAACGCGCAGTTCATGTTGAAAATTTTTATATCTTTCTTTCAGCCTTATACTTCACCGTGCCTCATATATCCCTCTCCCTCATATATAAATATATAAATTTTTCCTTATTGGAAAGTCCGGTAACAGCGCTCGTAGAAATCGCAAACATTTAGCCATCCGAAATTATGCTGGGTCTCTTCGGGCCTTTAATATTTTTATTAGGTGAAAATTGAAATATTTATTACTGGATTTAAGACAATAAAACGGTCAAATTAACTAATTTATTATCTAATTAATGATGCGCAAATATACTAAATTAACCATTCTATTAATCTAACAGAAACACTCTAATAAGCATGGTTTGCAACATATAAACTCTGGCTTGCAGCCGCATCGGTACCACTGCCGGTGTATCTACCAATGGCTGCGAGCGAATTTGCTTGCGCTCGTTTCAAGAAAACGGCTTTAGCAGCTTCAATATTTTCCGGATTACCCTTCCATGTTGCTAGTACGGACGCTTGCAGTGCACGGCCATAGCTGAATGTCAAGGCCCATGGTTTCTTACCCTTAAATATAACCATTTTTACAGATATGAAAAATGATCTGAAGTTTATAAAAAATTATAAAAAAGCTGCAAAAAGGATCAAAAGTTATTGAAAACTATAAAATCACTGGAAACCAACCGGAAATTGGTTGATGGCATTCAAATTTAATGTAGCATCCTCTTCTGATTGACCTCCAGACAAAAATACGATTCCAGGTACAGCGACTGGCACTGTGCGTTGAAGAGCAATAACAGTTGCTCGACCGATATCTTCATGGGAACATTTCGGTCCAGTGTATTGCATGCCTTAAATCTTATTATAAAATAGCATTTGAAATGTAAGGTATAAAAAAATAAAATTAAAATACAAAAACGAACAATTTATAAAATTTAATCAAACCTGGTGTCACCATATTCGGTTTCAGAAGTGTGCCTTCGAGGAATACATGATGATCACTTAGTGCTTTGTAGGTATATGCCAGCACAACTTCAGTAACTTTTTGGCAACGATGAATATCATGATCACCGTCTGGAAGAACTTCTGGTTCGACAATTGGTACCAAGCCATGTTGTTGACAAATAGAAGCATACCGAGCGAGTACCCAAAATTAATAAAAAAGAACGGTGAGATAAAGCAAAAAATACAAATAAATGTCATCAAAACGAGTTACTTGGGCAACTTCTTGTAACGCAGTATGACTTGGTGTCGTCGGTCCGATTTTATGAACACAGCGCCATTTTGCAAATTGGGCACCATCCTAAAAAGATCCACATATACAAATATTTTTTTGAACAGCACCATTTCAAACCCTTTTCATTGAAAAATGAAGACAAAGACAGAATACATGGGACTTATGCATAAGTGAATCTATGGTAAAACCCGTAAATAATAAAAATATAATCCATCAAAAAAACTTTTTGCTTTGAAAAAGTTATATTAAAAATTATAAAAAACAATTAAAATTAACTAAACATACTAAACCACAAATAAAATAAAGAAAAAAAAGGAAAAATTTAAATTTACAATGAAATATAAAATATTCAACTTTAAAACTTTCGTAATGAATAATATTGACGAATTTCCTATTGAAAAATTTGCTAGAATGAAACAAAGACATTCAAGATATTCGAAGTTCAAGATATTCTTCTCTTCAAGATATTCGATTTTTAAAAAGCGCAATAACCTTAATGTGTTATTTTGATTGCGCAAAATCATCTATAATGCAAATAGGAAAAATAAAAAAATATATGGCGAATATAATAAGTCTTTAAAACCTTTTTATATTGAGCACAGCGAGCGTTTAAATCATCTAATCCTTGAGTTGTTCCTTCACCAACAGTTCCTGCCATTGGTACGATTCCTTTGTCAACCTTTGAATTCATTCAAAGTAAAAACTACTATTTCGAGTGTTTTTAGTTATTTAGACCAAAGCAAAATAACGTCTCAAATTATATTTATGTTATGACTATTACTATTAGTAGCTAGGATTCCTTCTTCCTTCTTCAAGCAACCGTGGAAATACCCTGAATGTTAATTCTTCTAGTGGCTCTACAGACTAGTATGAAATTTTTTGCCTGACAGCCACTTAAGACAGAGTAAAAAAACATGAGGATCCTAAGACACCATTCAAATTTCAATTTTGATGACAATGCTTATCTATATCAAAGAGCGAGTACTGAATCCTTGGTCATCCACCTCCAGTAAACAATTAACAAAAGTGCCAACAAAATTTGAAACAAGATATTACCTTGATTCCAGGGATAATGCCCTTTTTTTTAAGAACTTCAACGAAAGGTGTCCCATCATCAGTTTTTTGATAGAACGTTTCGTGGAACATAATAACTCCAGAAATATGCTTCGCCACTTCATCCGAAGATGTAAAAAAAATCTAAAAATTTAGGATTCAATATTTTAATTTATCAATAATTATTAATCATACAGAGTCTCTGAAAATAATAAAGCAGACCGATTCAGTTAAATTAAAATGTAAGAAAAATATATAAATGTAGGGAGTATAAAATAAAAAACAAATTGTTGTAATGAACATGAAAAAATTTAAAGCATAAAAATTTTAAATTTTTTTACAGCACCTATCATTTACAGCTCTGTTAGCTCATTGTCGCAATAGGGCCATTGGGAATATAATTACAGATAATCAAGCATCGAAAGGACATCATACTGTTAAAAAAAAAGAAAAAAGGAAAAGGAACGAGCAATAAAATAATGAACGAATAAATATATAAAACATACTTGGCGATAAAGTCGTCGATTTTCCTCAACATTTTCCATTCCTATTGGCTTCAACTTCTTATCCATGCTGCCTACAAAATTTCTCTTGATAATAGCCAGAAAATTTCTGAAAAATTTATTCTGGATGCTTATAGAATTTATACTGCAAATTCAATCCAGACAACTAATTTCTTTCGTTGGAAGCGTTCACCATTTCTAACTGGGCTCGCTATGCTAGCTTAGTTGAACAAGACCTAATTTTTACAAAGGCACAGGTGAGTGGCCAGCACAATCAGGATTTCTGATACCTTTATTTCAACCTGTAGTGCTACAACATATTAGGGCAGTAATTCATTGAGTTATTCTACTCTATTAATAACTTCTATTAATAACTTATGTTATAAAAAATTAGCAAAATCATTTTAATCATAATATCATAATATTTAATCATTTAATGTTTTATAAACAAAAATTTTTTGTTTAAAAAATCATAAAAATTTAATATATTTTTATTTAAAATTTTGAAAATATTCAAGACTTCTTTATATTTTCATGTTAAATAGATTAGAAGTGATAGATAAATAGATAAACAGATTTCTATAACTGGATTTAAACTTCACTATAATACATTATAATCTTTATATTTTTTAGCTCCTAAAGAAAAACATTTTTTACACTTTCCTGGGATGTATCACTTTTCAAATGAGAAATCCGAGAATCCTCCACATAAATCTATTCTTTCTAAGAAAAGTAAGGGAAGAGTTGCAAATTTACGGCTAATGGTAGAAACTTTACAAGATGAAAAATTTAAATCAACAGACTTTGTTGTTAATCTCGAAATCTACAAAGAATCGCATGGATTTTGCATAAAACTGTTTTTACAAAAAAAGTTTGAAAAATGAGAGATGAAAGATTTTATGAAAATTTTCCAAGGCCTTCTTTAAAAAAGATTCCAAGAGAAAAAAATGCTTACCAATGCTTTCGTCGGCAGCGAGTATACCTTTGCCGGGTGCAACAATAGCATTTGCAATACGACGTAACTCATCTTCTTGCTCCTTCGTTAAAAATTGCGAATATGAAGCCATCCTTTTGTTTATTTCACCTGAAATTAAAATTTTTCTCATAATTATTAACATTTTCCACACCAAAACTACACCATGATTTCGATTTCAAATTGATCCGATAATCGGAATGATCCGACATAGCGACTTAGTGCGACCACTGATAAGGAAACAATGGGCGAGAAAGGGAATGATGAGGGAATCATGACAATAGGCTAACCAGACATAAGGTCGTATGCAATAACTCAAAAGTATCAACTTTACTGCTATAATTAAAGATAATACAACCAAATGATGAAACGCCTGCAAATTAATAACGGCCATTCCCTTTCCTTAAACAGGCTGATTCAAAACAATGCTTTTAATTTCGGGTCCAGAGGGTCTTTTGGGTGATTAGCTTAATTTCCAGCTAAGTCCAAATCAAATTTTAATCAGTAATCTATTCTATTCTACTCTGACCTTTGACCTAAGCCAAAAGACCCTCTGGACCCGAACTGCCAGATCCTGCTGAACCAAATCCACTGGGCAACTACCGATCAACACCCATTTCCTCGGTGCAGAAACAACAAGCATCACACCACCATCGAACGCTTAACTACAATTTTAACGAATGCGATTCATTGTTGCTGATAGAGTTGTAAAATTTGAGGAAAAGAAAAGGAGAAAAACGAAAACACAATGATGATGAGGTGTGGCGCTGAAGAACCAGAGAAAGAGGTGAAAGGCTCTAGAGACGCAGAGAAAAGCATTTAACCACATAAGAGAGAGGAGAAAGAGGGGAAGAAAAGGGAGAATAAGGGATGTGATGAAGGAAAGATGGGGAAAAGAAAAAAGAAAACTAAGTGAAAAAAGAATCGATGATGATCGCCAAAAAATGGGTGATATAAATGGGTGAAAAAAGTTTTGGACAAATTGCTGGGGGAGTAGGCTTTCCGAGGTCGACCGTAGCCTCAGCCTTGGGCTCGGCCTTAGGCTTGACGTTAGGCTTGGGCTCCAGTTGTTTATCCCTAGTCGACCTTTCCGAAAAATAGTTAAATAGCGAAAATTCACAGAAAATTTTTTTTCCGACAATCAAATTTTTTTCCCGAAGGTATTTATTTTAATCAATAAAAATTTTTGGCTAAAAAATTAAAATATTTGAACAAAATTTTCGCGCTCAGTTGAAATTTTACGAGGATTTCGCGAATTTCTAATTTTACTAATTTTTATTGAAGAATTATATCAGATCCTAATGAGCATCGCTTACTGATTACGAAAATTTTATTTAAAATCGGGGGTTTTAAACAGATTAAAAAGTCATACTAAAAGAATAAATAAATACTAATACCATTACTTATTGATTACTCATCAATAAATGAGGGAAGGATAGCCGAGTGGTCGTTGCTCGGATTATTGGCTCGAGCACTGAAGATTCAGATTCTTCTTCAAACAAGAATGATCTGTCGTTAGGAAAAAAGGTACCTATTTTAATAGATAAATAAACGCATGGAAAATTTTTCATAAATTTCTTTCGATGGTTTTAAATAATTTGTAAATTTTTACGATATCTACCGTGATAAACTCTGTGATAACCTTAGTGATAGCTTTTCTGCAGTTGGTAAAGCCGAATAAAACGTTCTAAGATCAGCCAAAATAAATTTGCGTATTACTGCAACATGTTCAGAGTATTACTTACATTATCATTATGCGTTACATTGTCTCATTGCTTCATTCTAAAATAATGAATAAAATATCCGTAGAACAAATAAATAAGAATATTTCTTTATATAAATAAATATATATATATAAAAATAAATAAATATATATATGTATATAAATAAATTTCCGCTATTTTAAGCTAAACAGGGGACTTGACGACCGACCCTAAAAATAAAAGCGGGGCATCACAGGAGATCCACTCATATTCCACTCATAACTCCAAGCGATGATATGATCAGCGTAATGACAAGTGATATTGTGGCGAAAAGAGCTCAAGCTTGTTAGCCAATGAATCAACCAAACTACAAATGTTCGATGATAGATGGTGACAATTTAGCAGTATGATTTTATATATATATATATAAGTATATTTTTTTTAAAGGGTCCTCACCATTATTGGTTAAACTCGCTCTGTTGCAGACAACAAATATGCCATGGAGTCCCTTGGCGATAGAAATACAGGTGAGCCGCCAGCATCACCCAGATATATACTTATATAGTTATCTTATTTGCCCGCTTATCTTTAATAATATATATCGTCTGGTATTAAATAAAAAAAATAATAAGCAATGGCTAGCATTTAGTGGTTTCTGTATGGCTAACTCCTTTAGAAATTTTCGCTTTCGCAGTGAAGTGCAGGTGAATTGTTTGCACCATCCGATTGAATTATATAAATAAGTTGAAAGAAATATGCTAACCTTTTTCATTAATCGAATCATAAATTTCCGAAGTACCATCTCGCTCGCAAATCTCTCTCTTTTGTTTCTTCGTGAAAATTGCATTATAACAGTAAATGTGGGAAATAAATAGATCATAAAAATACCAGCAAAGTAGCAATCGAACCATCGATTATCACTAATAAAAATATTTTTATTCGATTTTTTTAAAAATATCATTCAGTTTAATGTGAGTAAATTAAGAAATAGAGGACCATTTAGCGTAATTTGGCTGGTACTTACCTGATACTTCTATCCTCAAGTGGTGATTCTATGACGAAGGGGTGTCGCTAAACGATTAATGATGAGAAATGCCCTTCGAAGAAGGAAGAAGAATATAATTGCAAAAAAAATGTAAACTAACAAAAGTCATGTAGGAAAAACTATGACAGAAAAAAGGTCGACTTGGACAGACGAAATGATTTTCTGCTTGAATTTGGAGACACATTTAAATTTTGCAAAAGCCTATAACCTATAGCCGAGTGGACTGGATTGTTGAAGATTCAGATCCTTCTTCAAACACAAGTAAATCTATCATTAGGAAAAATGCAAAGGTTTTCCGCATCTCACAGGAGTAAACGTCTCATGGAAAAATGCGGATGTTGCTGGTGACCCATCCATACTTCTATCGCCTGCGGAGTTAGTCTAACAAGACAAGGCGAACAGTATCAACAGTATCTTCAGATCTAACTGAATTTCTCCTTATATTATCACCACTGTTCATGATATTATAAATCTCTTCTCGGGATGATAATAACTTTTAGTTATTTGGCAGCATTTTTAATAATAGAATTTACGCAAACTAATAATGAAAGCTTTTCATTCAATTCTCTTCAATTTCTTTAAAAAAATATATATTTTATTTATGGACTTATTTGAGGACCTCTTATTTATGGACCAAATCGAGAGTCTAGCAAGTGCTATCGATCCATTTACTGGCAAACGACGTCTATGGACCTAATTAAGAGTCTGGTGAGTTCTATGGACCAAATCGAGAGTCTGGCGAGTGGTTTGAACCTCTCTTACGTAAAAGTAAACAAAATATTATTATTGTCTGTTGCCTGTTCAACTGAATATGCTCATATTAACACAAAATATCCTCTTCCATTGTTCATGGATATTTTGAAATCCATTCACTGGTACTCATGAACCTTTCGTTAATAATCTCCTCCAATAAACATTTTTTCACCATTTTCCCAAATCTCCAGTGGTTTTGAAGTTGTTTTAGTCATATAACCAATTTACGGTATAAATGAGTGATAAGAAATAGATTTCTAGATTTTTACACCTCTAAGATAAAAAACGGATTGCAAGGGGAAGATTATAAGCTATAGAAAAAAATCAACAATATAATTTAAAAAATGACCAGAAAAAAAGATTTCAGCGAATTTCAACAAAATTATATATAAAACAATATAACAAAATACAAATAAATTGGAAAAATATTTAAAATAAAAATAATAAATCGAAAAAAGTAGAAAAAATGTTAGATAAATAAATGGGATATATACAAATAAATATTTAAATGAAATATGATAAAATTTGACAAAATAAACTACAAAAGAAAGGAAATTCAGGAAAATACAAATATTTATTACAGAAATTAAAATTTTACAATCTATGATGAAAGAGAAAAACGAAAAAGTGATTACAAGTACCATTTAAAATTAACATTTAAAATTAATTTCCTGAATAATTATTTGCCAAAAAATGATTTGCTGCTAGTGTGCGGGCGCCAATCCTGAAAATTCCCTTCCCATCCCTGTAATCTCCGCTCTTATAACAAACGCGCTTGACAAGTCCCTTATTCTTCTTTTGCTCCAAGTGTTCCCATTTATTTCATTAACCTCTTCCAATTCTATTTCCTTCAAAACTCCATTGAATTTCCCTATATTCCTTTGCCGCCATCCACAAAATAAATTTCCAAGAACCATTTCATCGACTAACATTCAAAGTAAACAATTTGTCCAGAGATCCGGTTCGAAATAGGAGTGGATTTTTAACATCATTCTGATTTTTTGACAGGTTTACTTTTGTCATGCGTAGGACCGAAACGTAATGATCGAAATAATAAGCAAAATATTTGGCTATATTGCCTAATAAATTCCATTAACCACATTATCTGTACCATCTGCATTTACAATACCATCACAGAGCGTCTTTGCTGGAACTTTGTTGAGCGTCTTTGTTGGGACTTTGGCTTACATTCTTCGTCGCCCACTACAGCAGTTGACACATATTTTGTTACTTGCCAAGTTCTATGACAGATAGCGTCAAAAGAGAGGAGGGCCAAGACTTGGATCCATGTAACCAGAAAAGATTTTGGACATATAGGAGGACCAGCAATATATGGACTTAGATAATGGAAAGAGGAATGGCTTCTATTACTATAAGAGGTGGCATGGAAATATCTTACTAGCCAACATAGCTAGCACAAGAAACCACATTACCTAAATTCTCTCACATTATGCTACATAAGACGCATAATTATAGTTCCTTAAAACTCCACTCAGTTTTCTTTATTACCCTCTTAAACATGTATATCCATTGGCCAAAACTCGAAACTAGTAAACTAATATCTCGTAAACTTCGTTTCTTTTTATAGCATTAATCATTTCTGGTTCCGTTAGTGTTTAGTCCAGCTTAAAAGTTATAGAATTTTTTTATGGTGGAAGTAGGAAGATTCAATGCTGTTGGCAGATACGACAAAACAATGATGGCTGGAGTAAGTCTAAGAGTCAGTGGTTTTTAAGCTTTTTACTCCTACTACTCCTTTTAAACTCTTGACGATTATTACCAATTATCAAAAATTAAGGAAAATTAAGGACCCAGTCACAGTTTATTTCTATGAACTATGTTACATATTAGAAATTTATATATATATATATCTATATTACTATGTATTATCACATTACGGTACGACGATATAATCTTAACTTTGATGACCTGAAAAGATTTCCTGAAAATACCTCGGCGACCACAAGATCCTCTGATCCTCTTTGAGAGCCATTAGTTCGAGCAATACATCAGACCTCGATATAAAACCATGTTGTCAAAATTCCTTGTATCCTTTTTGTTACAACCCCCTGATACTCCCTTAAACTCAATGTGTACTTAAAACACTCTCAAATTCCATTATGCTCTCTATTATCGTCCTCTTTAAATGCTATTATAATCCACTATAATCTATTTTTCCCTATCTATCTTTTTTAATAAATCTTTCTTTTTTAAACGTTGATTTGGCAAAGCCTTATCGTAATCTCCCATCTACGTTAACCTCTAAATTTCTGCTAATACTTTGAAATTCTGCCATACTTATCAGGCTATTTAAATATATTTATGTACTTATTATATAAATATATATTTACCCATATTTGTTCCGTTTTTCTGTTTTTATAGTAAGCAACTTATGCTCATATATCCCATTATATTCTTAAAAAGCAAAAAAGCACAAAAATACAATACATAAGACGTACCCGACCTACATAATTTTATCTATAAGATAAAATGCTTGATCACTGAGGATTTGTATGGATACATGAGTTATACATGAGAAAAAACAAGTCCGCAACCTCATATTATGAAAAAAACGATAATGAAAGGACATAAAGAATGTAAATATGAAGACGTCGGTTTAAAAGCGATTCTAATCGACTTAGGATGATCCTTTTTGCCAGTAAGAAATTAATCGTCATCTGCAACTATTTTCAATGCCTCAGATGGACTATCAAGTGTTCGTGAATACGGGATACTTTCGGGACTCTTTATTGACTGGGTTACAGCTTGCTCTAGAGGACTTTTGGGAGAAGGCTGCCTCTGAGGCGCTAAGGCCATCCAACGTCCAGAAGATGATAAGACAGAACCGCTCATTGACGGTGGTAACATACGAGGTGGCAAAGCCATAGACCTGAAAAAAAGAAGGTAAATAATATATATGTATATACGATAGTTAAGAAAAAGCAATGCCAAAAATCAAAAAAAAAAAAAACAAACCTAGATGGATAATGCATCATCATTCGTGGGTCTGGTAAGAGCGGTCGACGGCCGCTCATCATCGGTGGCATACCAAGTGATGATCGAAACATTGGCATATCCGATGAAGATGATTTAAGAATTGATTTGACTGGTTTCGGAGGAAATATCGATGATGAGGTTGGATTATTTCCTGATGATGAAACGGAATGGGCATTTCCAGAATAACTAGAATGACCAGTTCCTTGAGGGGCAGAATAACTGCTACTTGATGAAGCAGCTGTTGTCATCGAGGGGGCTGATGCTGTCGTCATATTCACTGTTGTTGACTGATCACACTTATCATTGTCCATAGATTGTAAAACCTACAGAAAATATTTATTTTTGAACAAATAATTAACAGGGAGCAACAACAATTGATTTTTAAACTTAATAAACTTTTCCCAGTTGTACTTTTATAAATCATTTAGAAGTTTATAATTTAGCATTTCAAAACATATTTCGTTTTTAAATAATTATAAAAATCCATTTTCGCTATATTTCCATAAACAAAGGAGATTTATAAAATCCCACCTTATATTTCAAATAATGTAATAAAAAATAATGCAAAATTCGTTCACTGCGGAGAGAAAAAGAAAAATGAACGATGAAAAATGAATTCAATGATGAATTAAATGAAAAAAAAAGAGATGAAATGAAGATTTAATAAAAATTTACAGTAAATAAAGGAAACCTTGGGAATTTTAAAATTTCTAAGACTATTTGATACAAGAGATTGCGGTAATATTGCGCGCGATGGCAAAGATGACGATGGCCTTTGTTCCACGGTTCGATCTAATTTCGGTTTCTTGAAAAAAATGATTAGATTCATCCAAGATAAAAAAATTGAAATGGGATTGAAAATGAATTCTGATTTAATCCATTGAAGCAATGGTTCTGTTAAAGCTTACCAAGGTTTAGAGGCTATGAAATTCTCGATGCAAAAATCATTTTCGTTACGATATTAAGACATCATCTAGCTTCTTAACTCTTTTGCAATAATAGTAGCTTAACACTTAAGTATAAGCATTAGCAAGTTATTTTGTCGAGTTCTATTTACGAAGAAAAACTTTAAAAGATTTAATAAATAATATTTTGAGAATTCTCCAGCCTTGATTTTTAAGCCGTAAATGTCAATGGTAAAACCTAAATTAATCTTCCTGGGGAACCTGAATTATTTTTAAAGGATCTTTAAATAAATAAATAAATGTAAAGGGGTCAGGAGAGATAAATCGTTTTATTGCAAATATTGTTTAAATATATATATATATATATATAAATATATCAATATTAAAATATTACCAATGATCTATAAGATCTTTTCTAACCATCAACACAATATTATACAATATAATAATTTTACAAAAAATCTATTCATTAAAAAAAAAGTTTATATAATTTATACAAAAAGTTTATTAATTAAAATAATTAAAATAATTAAGTTATTAAATCACAATTAAAATAATTAATTAATTAATTAAATCACAGCTGTTTTCAACTTAAGATTAAATTTAAGATTAAGATTATAGATAAAATAAACCTTGCTACTTTTTGCGATGTCAAGTTTTCGCTCCCTTTTCAAAGCTTTTCGGTTACGTTCTTCTTGCATTGCTCTCGTTTTCTCCCATAATTGTTTTTGCTTTAATAGAGCCTTTTCATCCTTATACCTCGCTGATGATGATGGTGGCTGACCAGTTAAACGTGCAACTGGCCTAAATTCAGTGAAAATATGTTTAGAAATTGCAACTTTTGACTTTTTTCTGTTGCTATAAAAAATTCAATTCAATTTTTTTTAAACAAAAGATGGAAGGGTAAGAAATTTAGTATTTTAAAGTAAAATTAAATGCAAAATCTCTACAGTTTTGTCGTTCAAAATAGATAGCTTACGGCGAAACGTTTGATGAATGTTGAAGAGGTGAATGCGAGCGAGGCGATTTTTGTGGTTTTATCTTAATCATTATTTTTAAATCAGATGCAGGTTGGTCAGTTGGTGCATTCGATGCTGTTTTCGTATTTGGTGATGCTCGTGCACCAGATGATAAACAAGTCAAAGGTGTTGGAGGTTTCTCACGTTTTGATGAAGTCTAAAATTTAGAAAATTAGCTTTTTGAAAAATCTTTATTAAAGAATTAGCTGAAATTTCCATTATATGGAAAAAAAAAGTTTCATAGAAGTTTCGAAATGTTCTCTCCTTTTCTTTTTTTCTTCTAACAGCTTCCATTACTGGTAGGCTGGTTCTACTTGGTAGGATATCTCCAAGGGTAAGATATTTCCAAGCTCTTCGATCCGACGCCATCGCTAACAGTAATGGAAGCCATTCATTTTTCTATCGTCTAAGTCCATATATCCTTCTATACTTTCAAAATTTTTCTTGATTGTATCAATCCAGGTCTTAATTGGCTCTCCTCGCTTTTGATGCCAACCATCACAGGGTTTAGCAATTAATGAAATATGCATCAACTCCTGCGGTGGATGACGAAGAATGTGTTTTAACTAGCGAAGGCGACTTGATAATACATGTGATATATGAGTGAAGATGAATACAATGCGATTTTATCCGGGTCCGTAAAATTATCTTAGACATGAGTGGTCAAAAACTGATAGCTTCTTAATTCGTAGCCATATAGCAAAATCGAGCGAATTGCAACTACATGGACGCGGATTTTCGTCTTTATGGTGATTTCGCGACGGTTCTACAAAAGTTTCATCAACCGGAAAAACGTATTTCTAGGTGTCGTTACCCGGATCACAATTTCATTCCTTTGCCTGGGCATTTGGGATTAGAGTGGATCCAATGTATTTAAAGTCCAGCCGATAATGAATTGAAAAAAAATAGGAATTTTATCAACATATAAGACGAAAACTTCGTTTTATTTGCACTGATTCTGAGTTCATTTCTCGCTGCAGCTGCTGAACATTATTTACCATTATTTCTATTTCATCATAACTATCAACAAAAAGGACTATATTATCGGCCTATTTAAGGTCTATGATGCTATGCTCTGGACTGATTTGCACACTTCTTGAGTCGCGACGCCCATTATCCAGTCTATCGTCTATCGTATAGTTAAATATTGTAAGGAAAAGGATGCATCATCCTTAACGAATACCGGTTTTTATTTCGAAAGGGATCACTTCCCCATATACAAATACCTATGCCAAGGTATGCTAATAAGATGGTTTTATGAGCCGAATGATCTCTGCGACATCGTCACATTTCGAAAGTGGGTTCCTGGTATTTGAAACAATGTTGCAGCATTTTTTTAGCGTAAATATCTGATTAGCACGACCGCGTCTCCACTTCACTCAGGTTCTTCAATAGTACGATTTGAAATGCGTTTATTGTTCCCGCATCTTTTAATTTAATTTGAGATAACTGAAAGAGCTACATAAAACATTTTGCAAAATGTAACCTCGAAAACTTTAGAAGACGGTTCCGATTCATCATCATAAATATCAGAAGCAGTATACGGATTAGCTGCGGATACAACAGATGCTGATTTCGACTGTAGCTTACCAACAACGGCTTCTAAACTACCTTTTCTTGATTTTGCAGTTGCAGTATCATGTTTACTGGCAACAGAAACAGAAGAATTATTGCTGGCAAGAGCCGTTGGAAATGTGGAACTTGTCTGTACTTTCGGTTCAGAAGCTCTGAAAATATGCAATTAAACAATGGAAATAAATTAGATACAAAAAAAAACCTAATAAATAGCAAAAAACACTTTCAAAATTGATTTCTACAAATAATAACATAATAACTTGCAAAAAATGTGATTTTAAAGAAAAATATTTTATTAATTCCAGAAAACAAAAAAAAGGTAGCAAAATGAAAATCTGAAAATGAAGATAGCCGATAGCCATTATATAGAAATAATTATTACGAAAATCACTTATAAAATTGTTGAAGGCTACTTGAATATAAAAGGTAATCAATTTAATAAATTTATCAATAAACCAACTCTGATGATAATGAAGATAGTAATGCTGAGCTTGAAAATAATACGTTAGTTGATGCCACCGATACAGAAGAAAGATGCGCCATTTTGGGTGCCAATGACGATGGCGTAGATGTAGTGTTAGCCAATGAAGTAGATGGTGTTGATGACACAGAAGCTGTAGACAATGGAACATTTGGTATCGTAACTGCTTTAACTGGTGGTGGTGGATCTGTTTCCTCATCAGATGATTCTTCGATTACATCTATTTCAGACATCGGTTCAATATTACTAATAGTCAAAGGAGCAGGCGAGGCAGCAGTCGAATAAATTTTTTTTATAAATTTCAATTGGCCTTCACCTAAAAAACTATCAAAATTTCTCTTTCATTAAATTAACTTTTATATGAACCTAAAATCTTAATAAAATTGAATTTTTTAAAAGAAACGAAGGTTTTTAAACTATAATTATAAAACTCTTAAATGCGTTTAAAATTCTAAAAAAAAAAGATGCCTGGATTAGCTGGTGGACCACATAACATTTCTGAATAAGATCGTTGTAAAATTGGTCTTTCCATACCAAATTGATGCGGATGAGATGGAACGCCAACCAACTGAGCAGCTTTACGTGGCCTTCTTGGACGCCTAGTAGTCGAAGAACCTAAAAAAAAACAAATTCATCATTCATTGTCAAAATTAATACTTAAAATTGATAGAAGTTGAAACAAAATCGAACCCCTTGGTTTTCTTATTGGAACATTCATCACGCCACTAACCATTCCTGTAATCGGGTCAACCACCTGACCCGCATGTTGTTCGCTAACCCGGTCACCAATATTCCCAGCTTTCCTTGCACGACCACGACGTTTCGCTGCTGGAGCATTTAATGACCCTCGCGAAGTATGTATGCTAGGAAAGAGATAAGGCGCTTGTGGACCACCAGAAAAATGGAATTGAGATGATGTGGAAAAAGTAGCAGATGAAGATATGCGAGGATTATCATCAAATTCAAATACATCAGTTGCATTTGTTGACTGGGCTGACTGCTGAAAAAAAAACAATGCGAAAATATTTCAAATATAAATTAATGTATGTAAATGAAAATTAATAAATGTAAATTGGCATAATGAATATAATGAATTGAATAATGAAAACCTACAACTATTCTGGAACGCGGGATGTCTAACGGTGATACTTGTGGAACACCGCTTATCTGACCACTACGATAACGATCAGTTGCTGGAGATGGCGACTGTGGAGGCATTTGTGGACGTAAACGTTGTGCCTAAGTTGATGAAACGATAAAAAAACTAATTATTGGCACTCATCGAGTATTTTCGCCGTAAAATCAAAAATTAATTTTCAGCAAAATATCCGTAGCAAATAACGAACAGATAAATGTACCAAACAATATTTCGTGCAATATAATTTCACCATTGCAATAGATATTTCAATTTAAATTTACCACAAAAATTTAGCCTATTTTAAATGAAGAATTACCTCAACAGCTGACTATTTTAAATGAAGAATTACCTCAACAGCTGAAGGAGAATATCGTTCAACGATAGACGACCTACCGCTATGTTCTGAAACGTTTGATTCACCGTCATCGATGTTCTTCGCCATATCGCAGATAGCATCCTCAAAAAAAAATTTCTCAAAATTTGGTGAACCAGAAGCTTGAAAGCTTAAAGCAATTCAGATGATCAAGTAAAAAAACGATTTTATTCATTTTGCTTGAAATATTGCGAAATTTTTAAGATTTTTCACTTTTTTTTTTAAAATAAACATCCTTACGCTCCACTTTTTACTTCCATTTCCATTATTTATACTCTTATTCTTATCTTCCATATTTTCCATCAATTTAAAAATTATCTACAGTTTTAAAAAATTGGGTGATCATATGATTTCTTGAAATGCCTTCACAATATATCTTAAAATCTTCTAATTCCTTTACATTTTTTTAAAAAATTCTTCATTTTATCGTTTTGCCTTCGCTGCATTTTGCATTATATGAGTAATAAATATTGCATAATAAATGTTTCAAAGCATTTAATGAAAATCTTAGCAACATAATGGCCTTTTTTGTTGTCAAATTATAAATTTCTTATTTTATATTTAGAATTTTTGTATATTTGCACATGACGGATCTTTTCTGATTCAAATAAAAATATGGCTGAAGAGCAGTTCTAATTTTTTCACTTTAGTTTCCAAAAGTTTTCGTTCCACAGTTATCCATGTACTCATTAAGCACCCATTTTTAAAGGCATGGGAATTTCCAAAGAGATTTTCACTTCCAAACTTATAAATTTTAAAAAGTACCAAATCAGAAAGTGCGTTGATTGTCATTGTATTTTCAGAATGCATACGATTTGTGCGGGGAATGAGCATATCGTGCCGTGGTGGCGCCATGCACACCTGTGAATTAACATTATGGTGTAGAGGAGCGATTAACTCATCAATCTCATCCAGTTCTTTCAATAAGGCCAATAAAGTTGGAGGCTTCTCCCCACTTTCGATAACTTTATAAAATGGTTCTGTATCCGAGTCAGTAATATATTTTGTGCGTGAGACAGGCAACCAACAGTTAGAAATTTTAACACTATCATCAGCTACATCAGCCATTACTGAGGAAAAATTTTCAGTTGAAAGCATTATTGAATTTGCATCGATTAATCGAACAATGGTACGCACCATAATAGCTAACGACCAACACCTAAAAATGGTTTTATTACAAAATTTTTGCAGCATTTTTAGTATTTATTTTTAGTATTTATTAAATTCTATTTATGAGTGACTCTGTCGTTTTTTTTTTAAGAGCTCACATCACTGATGGTAAGGTTTTCGCTTTCCGCTGGTTTCTCGGACAAGACAAGTTTTGCCAGGGAGTCACTTGACGACAGAAGTACAAGGGGATTACCAGCATCACCTGGATTTTTGAAGTCAAAAATGAAAAATCCAACAATCCAGTGATTCTACCTCAGTGATTTTTATCCAGTGATTTTTTGCTTTCGCCGTTAGGCGACATCACCGCCCGACGAAGCATGATGCGTCGGTCAGATTAGAACTCAAATGATTTTCGATAATCTTGTCACTAAACCTCCGACGCACGTACTTTGATATTAACATTCAAATCAATGTTGGTTTTTTAAAATAATATCAAATATTTTTATTGATAAATGGATAAACACAATTTGATTAATTCTGGTTTTATTAACGACTTACTTGTTAAGTACAATGGATATTTGCGGAGATTCAGGTGAAATGAAACCGTTCAACACATTCTCTAGTATTACATTTAAACTGGTTGTCGCCGAATTAACTCGAGCTGAAATTAAAATCAACACAAACACACCCTCAAAAATCGTTTTTATACTTAGTATTTGATACATCTTTCGTTTCATTTTATATTAAAAGGTATAAAGTTGTGGTGTACCTATTGGGAAATCATTTTCAAAAAAATATATGAACAAAAAGAAAAAAATGCTTAACTAACCTATATAAAGGTTTTTTTTGATACTAAAAGTAAGATCAAAACTTGAAACATTAGCAGAATATATTTTCACATCGAGATTTGAGAACGACGATGAAACATTGCGAATAGGCGAATGTAATAAGCTTTCGAAAAGTGCATTATGAATTAATTGAAGGCGAGCAGTTTCTACGATTAACGAAACATCTCGAGGATGTTTGAACGAAATCTGAGCGAAATTACAAGAGGCGAATATTTTTAAAATAAATAAATAAATAAAATAAATAAATATTTTTAAATGAATCTTATTGAAGGAATACATAAAACGTTGAATTCATACTAAAAGCTTGATGGTTAATAAACGAATTGAAAGAAGTAAAAGAAAAACTTAAGAAATTTGAAGTACGAAAGAAAATATCAAAGGATTACCTCACGAAGTATTCCATCACTGTTAGATTGAAGCATAGATTTGTCAATGGTAAAACGAATTATTGGACTATCCGGAAAATTCACTAATATTTTTTGCTCATCGTTTTCATTCTACAAAATTCATCTTTAAAACTTAATCATCACATTCATCTTTAAAAATTAAGATTTCTATATGGAATTTCCAGACGAAACAAGGAAATGAGCGAAAAATGTTTTGCAAAATGAAATGAGCAAAGATGTTACGTTATCTATATTCATGAGATATTTATAAATATTAAGATTTCCTTCAACTTTGAGTTCATCAGCGGCTACAGACGAAAGTATTTTCAGTGCAGTAGAGGAAAAAACGATAGGCCGCAAAAACTTAAGACAAAATGCCGCAGGTAATTTGCGCCCTGAAGACACTGAACGCCATTCCCCTCTAAAATCATTGAAATTAACAAAAATGAAAACCTACGAGAAATCTGATACAACAGCGAAAGAAATGAAATTAAAGACTATGGACACCATGCAAGTTATTAAAACTTAATAAATTTATAAATGTGCATAAATTTATTGATATTATTTAAATATCTTCCAGAAATTATTCAGATTAGAAGGGAACTAAAACAACTAACTGGAAAAGGGATACATCAGAAAATAATGAATGAGTATGGAATGGCAACTCGGTTACATAAAGATGAGCGGATGCAGCTTTTTTTTTCAGAACTGAAATAAAATAATAAAAGCAATATAAAATTAAAAATGAAGAATATTTTAGCTGCATTAATAATGGTTCAATATGCCGACATATCTAATATTAAGATAAAATTTATCCTACTGAACACAGTACTTTAAAACCTATACTATTACAACAAAGACAGAAATAGAAAAAAATTTAAAAATAAAAAATTAAATAAAAAATATAAAAGAATTTTTACAAAATCCACTCCGAAAAGAATTTTTTTTGAAATTTATTCGTTAACTTGAAGGAAATAGTGATAAGAAAACAAAAAAATTAACCATTTTCTTCACAATTTATAAAGGTAAGCGTATTGCGATCGAATAAATGTGCTGGATTAATGAAGAAATGAATAGTGAATGGGACTGATTCAGTTCGAGGTTTGCAATATCCAAACGGATTTTCATTAACCTTTTTTACCATTGGAAAAGAATTAGACGAAGCAGTTAATAGATCATTTTCTGCGATTTCAAGTGATCTCAAACAGAAACTCTTCTCATCCCTGAAAATTAAAAAAAATAAGTTAATCATGCAATTCTGTCATCATATTGCCATTTAACCAAACATTTTGCCACATTATTTGGTGGCTTCTATTTTCTCTAAAAATTAAAAAAAAGAATGCACAAAATATAAACCTTGCAAGATTTGATGGAATAAGACGAGTCATAAACGACAAAATGTCGCGTATAGCAGCCCAATTACCTTTATTCATAAGATTTCGCAAAAAACTTGCATCAGAAAATCTATCACCATACCAAGATATCATACAATGTGTAACTATCATATTATCCACTGATATATCCATAATGACATCGATACTTTTTAATTTAAAAGAACCGGGTTGCACGAGAAATTCAGCGCTTGAAAAAGACTCTACTTTTTATGAAAACATATCAAAACTTAATGAATTAGAAATGAATTTTTTCAGTTTTTTAATTAATTTTATTAAACAGTGATAATTACTTCTTCTAAAAGAAATCAAAATTCCTGGTCTGGCTAGCTGTATTGCTGGTAAAGTAGGATTACTTCTTTAAAAATCTATTTGGGGAAGTAAAGGAGGATTTCCAGTATATTTCCTGTGATAGCCACAGACTACAGAAAGATTTGAAAACGATTATATAAAGATTGCACTTATAACACCCATGTACTTGAACAGCACTATTGTACTTTCCTTTTCAGTTGAATGTACTATATTATTTAATCTTCTAAAAATGTAAATTACTGGTTATTCAAAACGTAAAAATATTTTAAAAGAATACAACATTAAGAATTTATGGATTCTCTTACACGGAAATGAATAATCCCAAAAAAATATATAAAAAATGTTAAAACGTTAAACTAACCCAAAATTATCGGCAAGACTACGTAACTGTGAAGCAATATCACGTCCACTTTCTGCTGGTAAATGATCACGCAAATTTGAAATGGCTTTAAGCAAATCTTCACGATCATCTGCATCAATTACCATTCGTCTTTCCTTAACACATATTTTTGATTTCATTTTCTTCATCAAAAGCAAACAAAATTGGGAAGTTGTGGAATTCCTTCAGGAAAATGCTGGCAATCTACTTATGTGGGCAAATGACTTATTGTTAAGAATGCCTCAAATCAAATTAAAATTCAGTGGGGTTAGAAATAAAGCGCTAAACACTCCGTAAGGATATTAGAAAAACGAAAATATTTACTGAACCTTTTTTTAAGATATATTTAATTATTTGACTTATGATTTATTACATGAAAAACTTTGGTAATCACTGGCCGACATCGCGTTCCATCCTTATTCATTCCTTTTCCTTTATTATGCACAAAAAAGCCAGAGGAGACAAAAAAAAGAACAGACAAAGAAATTTGAAAAAACCCTCAAAAGACTCATGCAGTCTTCCTACATGGCAACGTGGAAGTATCTAATTATGTGTGCCTAGTACCATTCTGTTGGAGCTGGTCAGTCGTACTTATCCCAGAGTGATTTTTCGGCAAAAGGATCTCCGCCCAGTATTCAACTAAATTTAAAAAGGTGTTGATTTCTCTTGTATATAAGATTCTCTTATAAGAATAACTTTATTGAAAGAAGGTGCCTTTAATATTACCAAGGACTAATAAATATTTACATTAAATCAATTATAGTTTTAAAAACGAGTGGAAACAATCGCAACTATGTTATTGAAATCTAACCATCATATTCTTTCGTACAAATTGTCCAAAATTTTCCCAAGAATATTTAAAAGTCGCTTGTCGCATTTTTTCCATTTGCATTTCTTCTTCAACATTTCGAAGTTCATAATCCAGTTCCATCGTATCAATGTTTCGATCATTAGTACTGCTATTAGGCTTCGCATTTTTTTCCGAGTCCACCATAATACTAAACTTTAAATTAAATTAAATACAATTGAAATCTTATATTTAAAACTCGATTTTAGAAATGTATCAAAAGCGTTATTTTAAAATACTATCTTTTACAAAATAATTATTAAAGAAAAAAAGGTTTTATAAAAGAAATGAGTTTGCGATAATAAATAAAATTATAAAAAAATTGGCGGAACAAATGAATGGATAGCGTGGTTCCAGTTACCGAAGTCGGCGCTAAAGGGCCGATTCCTGCCCATGACGGAAGGCAAACCTGTAATCAGATAACCAAGGCACTGCTAGTGGTTCAGTGGTACCTATACTGCTTCCTAACAAAAATTTCCAAGTCTGCCAACAACTAACAAATTAAAGAACGGTGATCGCCAACCATTTAATTATTCAATACCGAAAAAAAATTAAGTACGAAACAGCGGAGGAGCCAAAATAAAAAATCTGAATTAATTTAGTGTCGAATAAAATTAAAAATCCGTGAGTGATTTCAAATTTACAATAAATAAAAAATTTTTTAAGAATCAATACTTTCTATCAACGATAAACTCGTTTCGACCTAAACTGGCCTTTTATTTGATCGATTTGAAACCCCCCCCCCCACCACACCAACTTATCCTTGCCTATCTCCCAGTCCACCACCTTTTTCATGCAATAGCATAAGACGAAGAGGTTTCGATGAAAGAATGGACGCAGCGGCCCAGTGAAAAAAATTGCAGCCTTGCTTTGTCCAAAAGTGCGCACCATTCCGATTTGGTTGACTCAGATGCTTCGCGTGTCAACGAGATATTCTTCACCAGAGAATCAGTTTGGAATGGGACCGTAAAAAAGTAGGGATCCTCAGCACTGTCGTTTTTCAAATTGCGTTAAATATGCAGAATCATTGAAGATGGGAAAAGAAAAAGCTAAAAAACAAAGAGAAAATTTGGAGTAAAAAAAATGAAAATATTATAGCTAAAATAGCTAAAATTTCTCAGTGAAATTGCAGTTCATTGAAAAAAAAAGCTTTCAAACTCGAAAATTTGAAATAAGAAATAACTTGGCAAACTATGTATTCTTTCATATTTTATGGTAATACTTCCACGTTAATTAAAAAATATTTTAGAAAAAATTATGAGAAACTGCTGCGATGACTGATTTTTCCAGCGATCGACCATCATCAATTTTTGCGAAAAAATGAAGTAAGTGGTTAGCGCTCATTTCCGGTTGAACTCGCCCTGTGGGCCGTTACTATGGTTGGAGATTTTTGCCAGGAGTTGCTCGAAGGTAGAACGACACAGGTGGCGCGGGTTTTTTATTGACGGGGTTCTTCCTGAGGCGCAAAAGCCGAATTTTTGTATCTTAACACGGTAATAATTTGATCGAGTCGACTATTCTGTCCTTAACAAAATAAACCAAATTAATTTTAGCGAAAATCGTTGAAAATATCCTAGAAAAGAAAATTTACATTTAGCGTTCGATTTATGATTATTGTGTCATTTTTTTCGCCATGAAAAATATCTTTTTTTAATTGTCGCCAAATTATTATTGGCGAACAAATAATTTAGGTCGGAATAAATGACCGGCAAGTCGGTCGGTCGGTCGGTCGGTCGGTCGGTCGTCGAACATCAGTGCGTTGTATGATACCAAGCAGCATTCATTTTCTTCCGACTCCATTTATTACAATTATTTCGAATCGCTGTTTCCTATTTTTTATTTTCATATATAAAATTATTTTTTCGGAAAAATCATTGAACTTTTTGATATTTCTACTCCAAACACGTATTTTCATTTTTTTTTTCCTCGAAATTTTATTGTTTTCAGAATTTTTTCGGGTTTTTTCGAACCGGTTAACTTGTGACTTTTTTATTTCACAGTTCTCAGTATTCTCGTTCTCTGTTGCAAAATTTTTTCATTGAGTTGGAAGACTGCTTGAGAGCACTTCAATTTCGCATTTTTTCTCGAGTTTCAAATGAATTTATTAAATTTATTAAATAAAATATAAAATTTAAAGCAAATAAAGAATTATCTGCAAAAATCTCAAAATCTTTATGAATTAAATTATGAATATTCCACGAAATTATTCGCGCATGGCTTCACTTCAATGAATTCCTCTTGTAAACGGGTCCTTTTTCACAACGATGAGTCCTTAAATTTTTCTTCTTTTTCTTTCTTTTTCATGGACATCACATGTTAATTAAAATTTTTTGATTCACCAATGTTCCGTTCTTCCATCCACTGAAATTCACTGAAATTGTTAAGAAATTTTTAATTACTCTTTTAGTTCCACTTGGTTTTTAAAAAACTATAAAAACTATAATTGAGTAATGGCAAAAGGATAGAAGAATGGCATATTGTTCCGGCTAAAATCCTAGATGCGATTTCTGTCCCCTGATGGGGGAAAAATTGCATTAAAAACGAAATTCCTGAGATGCCAGGGACACACCTAAACTTCTCCGGCGCGAGTAGATTGGCGTCCTAATAACTAATGGGGATAGAACGGGAAATGCAGGAAAAAATTCAGTATTCATGGTTTTAAAGTTTGCCATAATTATTAATTATTAACTTTTTGCAGAGTTCTCTTTCTTTCTTTCAAAATATATTTTTTAAATGGATACATTAATTCGAAAAATAGCAGGAAAATTTGGCGAATACATATCATACTCACCGCTCCATATTGCTTTCATTCCTTTTTCGATCTTCTTTTTTTTATTTTTTCCGTTTCTTCGATCTATCAATGAAATTTTCGACAGTACAAGTGCAGCAGGTGCTATGCAATTATATACACCCTACAACAGTCAAAACGAACTTGCCAAAAAACGGTACTTCATTTGCAACTGTGTGATTTCTGTCTGTGGCGCGAGTTGCCATTTGAAAAATCGAGGAGGTGCGCCTTGAGGCCCACCTGTATTTCTATTATCAAATGAGTCTCTGGCAAAAATTTCTAACTTCAACAGTTAAACGAAAAAACATAGCTAAAATTACGAGGGCTAACCATTTTTTTCATAATTTGCTTTTGTTTGCCTATTCAAACGAAAAATTATTGAACCTTATAAAGTGGCGTTTTATCAATTTTCAATTTTTTAAACTTTCGTTTCTTTTAGTTATGCAATGCCTTAATTTTTATACACCACCTGTCTTATGGATGGGCATTGTTACCTTCCAGTCATGGCTAATCCTTTGGGATCATTCCAAAACACCCTTAACAGCTTTGGAATCTGTTTTTGCAAATTCTGCAAATCCACATAATCCCCCTCAACTCTCTCTCCTCTCTCCGGCTACACTCGCCAGCTGTTCTTTGCAGCTGCGCTATGGGACATTATAGATATGAAATTAGAGATATGAAATTTTTAATTTTAATCCAATTCTGAGCATTAACTTTTGACACATAAATTTACTTCTTTATATTCATTTTGCTTTATAAATTTGAATTTTTAAAACTTCGTCCTTTTAAGAAATTTGTAATTTTATTTTTAAGAAATTTTATTTTTAAATTTCTTAAAAATTATAAATTAAAAATTATAAAAAATTGCAAATGAGATTGCATTAGTACTCACAATTTTCGACTAAACAAACTCCTCTTGGAAATTTGCACTTGGAAATTTTGCCAGAGAATCAAGTGGAAATGGAAGTGTAGATAAGTTGCCAGTGGGTCTTTCAAAATCAGAATCATAGAATCCAATTTCTGGGCTCGACGCATATCGAAGCCATAATACCCATTGAGAATTTTTCTCCCAGAAAAAAATTTTTGAAAAGTTCTTCCTAGCAAGAAACAACTGCTTTTTCAGAATGAACGAAATTTTTCCGGATGGAGTTTACTTTTCTGATCGTTCTTTTCTCTCTCCAAATCTTCGCATTATTATTATAAAAACAAGTAAACAGAATATTTTTGATGAAAATTTTATTCAATTTTATAAAAGTTTTCGGCACAGATTTGAAACATTTCAAGTAAGTTTTCTCTAATATTTCAGCTTTCCAGTTATTCACTTTGTATTTGCATAACACGACTGGTAAAATAGAGATTCATATCAAAAAATCCGACTTCTATTTGTATCGGCTGCATTACAAATCATAATCCTGAGTAGCTGGAGCCATTCTTAATGTATCAATATCTACGGTTTTTTAATTCTCATGGCATTCATGGCACTGAACTATACTTATTAGATCATATTATCTTCATCGTCCTAATAACTAAGTCTAGTTTTTTCATAATTTTGAATCAATTCAGGTGGATTACAAAGAGAAAAATCTTGGTTATTCGAACTGGTGCTCGAAAAACTTGAATGGTCCTCATTGTGCTTCAGATTTATTTTTACTCTCACAAACGAATTTATTCAAGACACAACCAATAACATTTCCACTATGGAATGTTACCTTTCTGAAGTTGGTCTTATCAATAAAGAGTAGTTAGTTACGAAGTAATTTATGCTGATTATTTCTTGCACCTTAAGTTCCTTTAATCTCCTAGATAAATTCTTCTTTCTCAAACAACATTTGCAACTTCTGGCTTAGATGACTATTATGATGAGAATCTTTTATGAGCGAACGAACCTATGGTTCTTGATCAAAGCCAATATTCTATTCAGTCATTCTGCCTCGGTTTAGAAATTGACAAAATACTTCTGAATTTGTTCAAGCGATAATTCAATCGTTTTTCAGCTCTACTTTAAAATCACAAAATGTTCTAGTTTAAAATGTTCTAAAAATTTCCGAAAGCATTTCCTAAAGGGAACTTAATTTATTGCAAGTAGAAACACTATTTCTTGCAGTTTCACCAGAAGTATGTATATGGGTGCAATATTTGGTGATATTCGAGTTAAACAAGGGTCGAGGAAAATTTTAACTGCCAAATATGTACGAATGATCTTCGACTTCCCACCACTCTTAGATATGAAAGAAAATGAAATATTTGACCAGCAATGGTGCGAATCAGTTTTGAATGCATCTCTACCTGAAGGGGTTGAAATTTCTATTTGGTCAGCTGGGCAATACGAACGTGATTTACTTTTGACTGCTATCCACACTAAGAGGTTGTTCATTTTATGCCAAAGTTATTCCAAATGGAATTTTATTTTAAAGATAAACTACGATAACTGAAGATGATCACTAAAAGTTAAGAAGGAAAAACGAAAAGCGAGAGTACAATTAAAAAAGCATTGAAGTGATAGTGGTTTTTTTGTAAAATGACTGAATATTATCACTATATGAAGTAGGAGAAATGAATGAAGAAAAACCTTTTTTTCAGTTTTTTTCCGTATACCTTACAAAATACCTGTCAGAGTTATTTGTCAGGGTTATGTCCGAAGGTTATTCATCTGTATCTCTATCACCAAGTGACTCTTTCTTGAGTGGACTATATCACTATAGTCAGTGAAATCGGCGAAAAAATTTGAATAGTGAATGGAGGAATTTTAGGTTGTTACCAGTTTTGGTTGTTGTGCTATGTGCATTTTCTGTTATAAGTTCGATGCGATGCGATTTTCATTTGAGCAAATCTATACTTTCACTTTTAGGATTACTTTCTGCCGGTGATTTTTTCTTCGTTTTTCTGTTAAATATTTTCATTTCAAGTGAAAATATTAATACCTTAAATCTCAGACAGGTATTAATGCCGTACTTTGGCTTATTTCTATTTGTTTTTTTTCCACTTTATCAGACATAATTCTTTTTATACTGGTGAAATTTACTTATAGGTTGCGCAATAGTGTCATCCTTTGGATTAATGTATTTATTTGGTTTTCGGTTGATTCAAATTGCTCTTATCATTCCCTTTCTTGTTTTATGTGAGCATCAATTTTTTCTTTTGGTTTATTTTTGCCATAACATTCGCTGGTTCACAATGTTCGCTTTTTCAGTTTCAGACCATATTAAGTTCATCGATAGCGTTGCTCGTCTATAATATTAAATTCTGAACTGATTACGTCAATTTTTCTTAATAAGCCAATTTATCGGATAGAATATCGGATAGAATCGGAAAATTACAGAGAAATGAAAGCACGAAAGCAATTTTGATGCACAATTGCTCATAATTCAAAAATTCTGTCAATTTTTGTCCAATTTTTCAGCCATTGGAATCGACGATATGTTCATTATGATATCAATTTGGCAAAAAAATTTACGCATAAGTGAAGGAGCATCGATAAAAGAACTTATGAGGATTACTTTTGAGTTCGTTTATTATTCTTTGATTTCTAGTAATAGCGGTAGTAATGGTGACAGAATGGTTCAATTTTGTGCATTGCTGGTTACCAATCCGTATTTCTATAGCCAAATGGCTCCTTGGCAAATGTTGTCGAGCTAATGAAGCAAGCGTAGCCAGTAAACTTTCGTTTTCTCTTTCTTTTCATTCCCACAATAAGAAAAATAATTTTGCGTCTCATTTGCGAAGATATTTATAGGGAAAGCTCGACATCGATATGTCTTACTACTTTGGGCAATATTATCATATTTTCATTCGGCACAATTTCATTGTTTCCAGTCATTCGCAGTTTTTGCATTTTTTGTGTTGTATCACTCATATTTGTATTCATTTTCCAAATGACACTATTTGGTGCATTTCTTGCATTAGACGGAAATCGTGAAATTCATCGAACAACATTTGCTGAATGGTTGACTTTCGCATCGATTTCGTCTCAGTGGCCAAGTAATTTCTCCTATTTTTACTTTTTAAATAAGGCCAAGAAAACTGTCGATGGAAAAATTTATTTTTCCATTACCTCTCCTTTTAATTTATAAAAAATTTAATTCATTCATTTACTTCCACCTTCTTATTCATCCTATGCATGGATTTATAATATTAAAGGACATTAACATCATTCATAGGACCAAACTTAGCATTCTTTGTATCATCGCTATTCAACAACTGGCTTTTTATATTGCTAGTGCTATTCAGTTATATTTTCTACATAATTGGGTCCATAATTGCTTTAACAATGAATTTCGAAGTCGGATTGCAGCTTTCATCACTTGTTCCATATGATTCCATGTAATTTTATTCTCTTTTTTTGCCAGTTTTTATTTGGACAACATGTTTATTAAATTAAGAAAACATTTTTATTGTACTGAGCTGGAATAAAAATTTGAAAAGTCAAATACAGTAAGGTCTTTAAGCTAGAATTAATGATTAATGATAGTCGATGCCGGAAATATTGTTAAGCGGACCTTCCTCACCTTCCATTAATTCCAAAATAGTTTTCGTCATTGATGAGTTTTCAACCAAAATATGGATCGCTATTTGATTTTGAATTTGCAATACGAAAAGAAACAGAAAAAACTTAAACAATGCGCTTGAAGTAAAACAATTTTGTCGAAGATTCTAAAAATAGTTATAAGCACCAGTTAAAAAGCTTCTTTAAAATAATGAAATTTATAAATGGCTTTATTATAATCACTTCCTAGTCATGTTAGCGATTTATTGCCGCCAAGAGATCACCAAGAGATTTCGTGGCAAAATTTATCTCGTCTGACAAGCTTCTGTAGGCTTCTCCAGAAATCGTGAATGTAGGAAAAAAAAATTCACAATCATTTAGCTCCATATTTCAAGGTGATCAGTTAACGTGTCGTTAAAAAACTCCATTTTGATTTTCACCTGATAAATTTGTTGTTCCTCGCCAGATCGAACCTTACTTTAGATATTAGCATCAAGGACTCTTCAATTAAAGAAAACTGAAATTTTGTTCAAATCTTTTCTTTTCACAAGTATGAGAATGTTACCACTTTACTGAATTACTTTAAATTTTAGCACACACTCTTACTTGAATATTTATGAAGAATTTTATTCCGAATTCAATGCACCTATGGAACTAATTTTTCCTGTGGGAATTGATTACTGGAATAGAACAAATCGCAATAATGTCATACAGTCATTGAGCTATCTGGAAAATATTCCATATATTTTGAGTTCTTCATACTGGCTAAAAGATTACGTCTTCTTTTTAAAGTGCGAATTTTACAACATTTATATCATTCCATCCTTGCAGCGAACGAAATTTTATCACGCAAGCTGTTCAGAAGAATGTTTATTTTAATATTCACTTATTATTTTCGAACAGTGGATAAAATGTATTCTGGCAATCTTAAATGTCCTTTTTTTAGGAAATATGGTGAGGTTGCCGACCTGCAAATCGAGAACAATATGGTTAGCCATAGTCGAATGTTAGATGCATTTTTTATGCATCCTTTTTATAGGTAACGACATATTAATATTTGAAAGAACCATCATGAAAACTAATTTCTAATTTTCAAATCTTGTCTCATCCAAATGAATTATTAAGAACTAAATATTATTTGGGTGAGATTCTTTTCGTCGAGGAGTTGCATGTGGATCGGAATATAGGTGGGTGAAAAACCAGCACGCGGACATCATGACTGGTCACACATTTTTAATGACAGGTTTATTCTTATAAAGGGGCAAAAACTGAATCTGTGCTTGATTTTTGCTGAAGCAACATAACTTTCATTTGGAATCCTCATTTTATTAAACTGGAATTATTTGTATTATCACTCATTAAACTCTTATTAATTCTCATTAAACTTACTTTTCTTAATAATCTGACCAGTCAAAAAATCGGAAAAAAAATTCAGGAAACGCTAAAATTTCAGGCATTATATGCGAGACGTTAATACGAAACGTGTTAACGGAATTCGTCGCATTTTATCATTTCGATTATTTCTGCCACTTCGAAATATAAATCGCTTAACAAGGTTAGGAATTCACAAGATTTATTTCTCTTTTCACTAACTTTCTTTTTTACCAATGGTTCAACAGTTATAGATAAATAAGAAAGTGGTTAGCACTTATCATTTCTATTTATCTTCATTAATTGTTAGTACGGTTGGAAATTCGCTTGCAATAGGCGAGTCACCAGCATCTTTCCAACTAGCGATATTCAACTCGAATCGAAGCGACCAAACACTCGCTCATCTCTGTCCTTAGGTTTATATAGACCTCTAATTTGATTTTTTATGACAAGAAAAAGTGTTAGTTAAGTGAAAAATGACATTTCATTATAAACAATTAGTAAATATTTTTTATTTATGATGCGAATCTGAAGTGTCTTAAAAAGAAGTTTTCATCTGCTGTAGATTCTTTAAATTTAAATAATCTGCTTCATATTTTGGGCTTAAAGCTATGCAAATGATCCGAGGAACGGTCTCATTGGTATCAAAACGTTTGACGTTACCTATACATTGTTATCATGTTTCATTTGATCTTGCTGAACAAGATGCGCAGTTGACACAAACTATAATTATTAATACATTTATAGCTGGTACTATTTACTTTTATTTCACTTATTTTTACCAGTTAGAACTGATTTTTTGCATTTATTTCAAAAACCAATCTAGTCGGTTTAGTTATTATCAGATGCGATAAATAAAAAAGTAAAAACTAAACTTATCGAACATAAAGGATGAATAATCTGCCTATTCCACAGTGTGAAACTATATAAGATCATACACCACTATTCTGAAAAGTCTTTGAAAATTTTTAACCTATCGTTTTGTGAGCAGACGGTTTTTCCAACTGCTCTATTAAAACATACGAATAATTATAATATAATAATTATCATTACAATTATCATTACAATTATAATAATTATCATTACAATTCTTCATTTGGCCACCTCAAACGATAAATTTTTTTATTTTTTTCAGGCTTTTTTCGTTTTAATTTTTAATTTTTCTAAATTTTTTTAGAATTTTTCCACTTTATCCTTGTCCTCAGAATAAGCTGTCATATCAGAAATCCGCGTGGATGCTAGGGACCTGTAACTCTATCCCTAAATGACTTTATAATGAGAAGGTTCGATGTTCTTGGCACGGCATCCACTTTTTCCGACGCGCAATGCTTCCAGTACTCAATATTCCTAACACGATGGTACATATGACAGGTATATAATCCGGACGTAAAACGATGCCAAGGTTTGTGAATATTGTTCGGGAGCGAGGGTGATTGCTTGAAACGGATTCTCGGTATCAGGGGAAAGGACTCTCTGCACTCGCGGCGAAATATTAAGCAGTAACTGAATAGAACATAAGAACGCTTGTGGTCGTTGCAAGCCAAGCCATCGTTTGTCCATACTTTTTCTAAATATCGTGTGGAGATTATCTGCTTGTCAATCTTCCTCACTTCGAGCCTCGAGCAGTTATTAAACCTTGCTCCGAGAAGAGGAACTAGTTACTATGATTTTGGATAACTGGGAATGACATGGCATAGCGATTGTCATGACTAAAAAGGTCCATTCCATTTCTTGATTGAGTGGAAACGGTAAGCGATCGTATGGCCTATTCCCGCTTTAAAGGTAAATTCTACAATTTCAGAGTCTATGCAGATGAACCATGATAAAGATAAAATCTATGTGGAACTTCAACTGCTAACAAACTCTCTACCGAAATATGACATGGTCATAATCGGATTAGATTGGAATACACATATTGATCATGGTATTGCTGTGATGAATTCGACAATTGACAAATATGACACCGGGGTGCGCCACTGGGGTCGCTTTGCCGAAGAGCATGAATTCTCTATTACTAATCTATGCATTTTGGTATCATAGATACTATGGCAATTATCGTAGATACATCTAATCACGTGGAACTCCCAGAATGACCAACATTACAACCAGATTGATTATATTATAGTCACCCACTGTTGGAAGAGTTCTGTACTAGATAACCATTACTACCGTGGTATTGAAACAGACAACCTTCATGGATCAGGTCATATTATGGAACCAAGATTCGGATGAAACTGACAACACGCAAGAAACTACGTCTCCTAAGATCTTTTTACTTCAAATTCGATGATAATAAGAGCATTTCAAACAGAATTATTGAAGGAACTCAATGACCTCTAGAATGGCAGATGAATACTGATCTCAACTAAGGATATCGTAACAATGTTTCTGAAAGTCAGCCTTTTCCATGGTAGGATGTAAAAAGCAAATGCGTTATTTGGATATCGGAAGAACTATCCAATTGCCTGAAAACGTTGCCAAAGTACGAAGAGACTACTACTGGATGTTTCGAAGAATTGCAACTGCAGCATGGCAGGGCAGAAATCGCTATTTGACTGAAATGGCCTAAAAAAATGGAAAAATGAAAATGAAAAAATGAAAAATAAAAAATGGAAATGGAAAAATAGGGGCTCTATTAGGCGATCATATTTGTTTGTTTTCTTCATAAACGATGAACGACGTTGTCCCAGAGAAAAATATCAAACTCATAAAGGTATTTTATCCGCATAAATTGGAGCAAGTCTGTGGGGAAGTGACAAATTCCTTGAAATAAGAACTGGTGAACTGGTATCCATCAAGGCTGTGTCCTTTCCTCTACAGTATTTAACTATGTGATAGACTGAATAATGGCTTGTCGGCACTCAAGTGGTTATCAGTCCAGAGCATCGTATCATAGATCTTGAATACGATGATGATGTAATCTTTTTTGTTGACAGAAATGCAAATAATGCTAAATAATTGTTCAATGACTATAAGAGAATCGGACTCAGGATCAATGTAAATAAAATAAATAAAACAATAAAATAAATAATAAAATAAAACGAAAGCCTTTTCGTCTTATATAAAAGAAGCTATAAAATACCTATTTTTATAAATTGCCGAAGTGCCCTATTTTGATCCATTGTAATGCTGAATGGCGAAAGGCGAAATTTCAGCTCAGATAACAGTAGCTAAAAATGCATTAATTCTTCCAGTTGATGAATCTTTATGGAAACCACGAAATCACCATAAAAACGAAAGTCCATGTCTATATAGCTGCGAGACATGGCCGATGATTGTGGAGAATGTTTAGAAGTTTTCTGCTTTTGATCATTCCTGTCTAAGCTACATTTTACGGGTTCGCGGAGTTGTTAAAATATCAGATGAACCATTTGCATTAACACTTACTATCATAGAGAGTCGCCTTCGCTGATTGGGGCGGCACCTTCTTCGTTTCCCACCATAAGAGCTGATAAATTTCGTAACTTGCTAAATCCTATAATTGGTGGCGTAAAAAACGAGGTAGACCAATCAAGATCTGGACTAATACAGTCAGAAAAGATTTTGAACGTATAGATATGGACCAGCAATATATGAACTTAGACGATTAGATTATCGAAAAAGGAATGGCTTTTATTACTGTCGACGATGGCATCAAATTAGGCATCTTATCCTTGCTGCCAGTTTAACCAGTAATGATGAGAGCTATCAGAAGAAGAAGAAGACTTAATACGAGATTGGGTACGGATGAATTTAAAAAATTAATTCCAAATTTCAGGTGCTGCATCCGTTTTTTCGATTTTAATACTAATTCCAAGTCTGCAAAATTGTTTAATAATGGCTTGGGCAACAATAAGTATCAATATAGGAGTTTTCGCATTGCTTGCATTCTGTGGTATTCGTCTTGATGTCATTTCAATGATCATATTTCTGCTTAGTATTGGCTATTCAGCAGATTTTTCATCGCATATACTGGTGCATTTTCATCATTTACGCGATAAATCAAATGACCCACTTGGTGAGTTGAATCTGTGAATAAAAAACACTGAAGGAAAACCCAATACAAATAAGAATTTAGAAGATAGAATTTCAGTTTTTTATTGCTAAATAAAATATTTTCTCAATATGATAATTCTTTCGTTACTATAATTAAATATAATCTCGATTTAAAAAAGTTCATCGAGGTGGAGAATGAAAAGGGAAAGGGAATATCATGAATTCAATTCTTTCAATTCCTTCTCTTGGTAAATTTGGCATTAGAAAATGAAATATGGGTAGTGCTGGGAACTTATCTGTGGGCTCTCTCTCTGTTTCATTCTGGTGTGTTGCATCAGGCGAAGATCTTAATAAGAAAAAAATATTTTTCACGACAATAAATGGTCCGAATCCAAAATCGCTTAAATTAACTAATTAAATTAACTGCGAATAATCCATAAATTGGCCTTTTAATCTAATTTAGCTATGCTTCTCTCTTACCAAACTTTTAAAACCATGTGCTGCAGTAAATATTCGTGTTTGAGGTGAATCTCTTGCTGCTGTTGGATGGCCAGTAATTCAGTCTTCGACTTCAACAATCATAGGTATCGTTTGCCTCTCACCTATTCAGGTAATTTCTTGCAAATTGCTTTAAAATAAGGTTTCGCAATGCTTTAAATCGAAAGGCGATGAGCAGCATTCTTTCCTCTTAAATGAACAAAATTCCTCATATACTCAATTTCTGAGACAAAAAACATAAAATTCCACTTTTTGATTAGAGATCGCATCATTTTATTTTGAATTAAAACAATTATAATTATCAGAGTTACATTGCGCGAAGTTTTGTTTCTGGTGTTTTATTTGTCAGCTGCATTGGTCTTTATCATAGTATCGTCATTTTGCCATCAATTTTATCTATTTTAATAAAAAGGTTAGTCAAGTGTTGAATGATTCGGATGTATGAAATAAATGTTTGGCGTTCGCCATTTCTAATTAGATATACACCGTTGGCTGTTAGAAATTTTTGTCAGGGAGTCACATGACCATAGAAGTACGGTAGGAGGTGGGTCGCAAGCATAACCCGTACTTTTTAATGGCATTTATTCTTATCGGCGTTAGGAACCGAATTCTGGCTTTTGATCCAGTTAGCTGTCCTTCTCCTTAGTTGTATTAAATATTAAATATTTATGTATAAAATCATTTTAACCAAAATAAATATTTATTCAATTTTTAAAAATACCCAAAGCAAAAGATATAAAATGCAAAGATTGAATATTTTTTCACCTAAATTAAACATTTTCAGATCGCAAGTATCGTGTTGGAAACGAAAAATAAATATTTCAATGAAATAAAAATGATAAATTTTCGCGATCTCAAAAAATATAAATCGAATCTCAGCAATCTCAGAAAATATTAGAAATACCTTTAGTAAACGACATTTGAGAAGTTATTTAGTATTAGTATTCTTCAAAAGCTTTTCCATCTTCCATATCGCATTTTTGCGTTAGTGAATCATCTGCGAATAGAAATAGATAGATAGACCGAGTACCACTCGAATTTCAATTTTAATGATGGTACTTCTGTCAACAGACAGAAACCAAACCTATTATAGTCTGACAACTTACAAGAAGTAATATTCTTCAACAGCAAAGGACTTTATATTCTTATTCGTTTATCGGTTAAGCGATTTATTTCACAAATTTGGGCTTTGTGAATGTAGGCATCAAAATGAAATGGCAGTCACATAAAAAATGAATGAAGAAATATCAACACCAGTATTTCACTATTTTTTCACTATTTTTCACTATCACTATTTTTTTTCCTCTCTTCGGTCTTCAGGCAGATTAGTTGTTTTGAGCCATCTTTTGCTTTGTTCTTCATCGTTTAGTAAAATTTGCTTCAAGGAAGAAAGGCTATTTGTCATTCTCAAAAAAAATTACGCATCAGAAGTAAAAATAGTCGAAATTAAAAAATTGGCACTTAAGCTGAAAAATAGTTGGAGAAAAGATTTTCTTCTGGGTTTAATCAAAGGGAAACACCATATGAGTATCAAAATAGTAAAGTAAAAAAAACATTACATTTATGTACAAAACAACATTTCATTGAACATAACAAATACTTATTAGTGCAATGTTCTTTGTTCTTTGAATAGTTTAATGGCAGTGGCAAGGCAATTACCCATCAACAATTACCCAAGAAAACTTGGAATTTATAAAAATCCAAAACCTCGAATTCGGAATTCCTGTTGAGGATTTTGAATTTTGAGGACTATCCTTCTATTCTCATCCAATCTCAGTATAAAAGCCTTTCAAGGGAAGTATTCATTAAAAGAATGAAAATGATAAGATCAAATCTAGAAAAGTCGATCGCGCAACCGTGACATACCGCGAATATATAAAAAATAACAAAAAACGAGTATGTAGCTTTGAAGCACCGACCATATATATATATAAATACATTTACAGTAACAAATACAAATCAAAATTAACTTGGTACCTAGACATTAATTCAAATTTATGACAGGTCCGGACATTCTGCACATATCAGGGTATATCCGGTATGAAATACAATATGATATAAAAGTTTTTTTCCTTTCCTAATGTTTTTTTGTAAATGCAGTAAATAAATCTTTGGTTCAAGATCAACTCCTAGATTTAATAAACTTCCATAGCTTTTGGTTTGATAAAACTGCAATAGAATGGCCAGGATTGAAGAGTAGACTGTAACAATCTACATCTCCTTTGGAGATTAATTCATTTAATTCAGTCTGAGACCATGAATAACGGGTAAGAGCACCATCACGAGCTGCTGTAGCTTCGTTCTCCCATATTAAGGATTCAATATATTTTGAACGTTGTCTAATGATTTCAGCTCGAACATGCTCCTTAAAAAAATTTCTGTTCCAAATATTAGCTAGAATAAAATAAAATAAATAATTAATTATAATTTCATCAATTATAATTTCTTTCAAAAATTTTTCTCAAAAAAATATAAATTTTTCTATATCGGCAATCCTCTTAACAGCGATTAACACCGATAAATTGCGATATCAGCGAACGCCATTTGGAGCAATACTATGTGTCAGAGGAAAAGTCCAGTTGTATAGAAAAAGACTGACCGGATCCGCTTCAAGATGCAAAACTATTTGAGTTCTGCCAGCAATTAAATGAAGTTCATTACTATGTGTTGTGACATTGAAAAATGGCATAAGTTGATTATATGTTGCCTCATTGACCTGAGATAATCTAGTAGCAAAATGCACCTGAAAAAACATTTTCTTTGAAAATTAAGAAGAGATGAAATATAAAAAAATGTACTGTTACGTGGAACAAAGTGAATGGACTTTCGAAAAAAAACCTCGGAAAGAATAGTAGACGATATGGGCAAAAGTCCAAATTCATCGTTTTTAATTAAAGTTGAATTAGCAAAAAGCCCGTTAAGAATTTTCACAACATCTGAATCGTCTGGATTTGGAGACCGAATCCTTACCTGCAAAAAAGCATAACTAATGAGAAATCATCACAGACAACAAACTTATCATCTTTAAATATCCTCAAGAAACTTTGGAAAGAGACCCTTTTAACACAACAAACTCTTACCAACTCTTGCCAAAAGGCAGACATAAAGCCCATGACGCTTATCCACCAAAACTTTTGAAAAAATAACATGATAAATAAAATTCCATCTTCCCATTTCATTAAAATTTACCGAATTATTGCGATGGCGAATGAAAAGTAATTCATGAAATCCAATTGAATCATTCCGACTGTAAGCCACTTTTTGAATAGGAGACAGAAGAGGTATTTGTGATAATTGCAGCATACCGGATTTTGCAACAGTTGAAAATTGTTTAAAATGTATCGCCTTGGACAATAATGAGCAAAATGCAGCAGAAAGACCAGATGAATATATTGGTGAACAAAGATCAGCAGGCGATTCCCACAGGAAACGGACAATCTGTGCAGTATTTGGTGCAATAGATAGCGAAGGCACTATATATGAAAGATGAAAACCCATTTTATGCATCCATTCATCGATACCTAAAAGTATAACATGCAAACATAATTAATGCCTAATAAGCCCTGGGATGTCAAAATTCCGCTATTTAAAAGAACAAAAATTTTAAAATATAAGAAAACCCACTATTGGGAATTTTACGAGGAACATTCGCCCGAATGAAATTCAATTTGTATGGATCGGCTTCAAATTCAGGATTGAAAACATCAACTAAGGAACTTGCATATGCAACTGGCGTAGTCATAAAACGCCCAATAACAGTGTCCAAAGGACGAGAATCATCTCCAACCATTACAATTCCAACAGTGGGATCATCAAACTGTGATAAATATCCTAGAGGAAAGTAGAAAGATGGATTTGAATCGGAAACTGTAGCACCAAGTGGGTTACGAATGATTTCCTTCACAAGTGAACCATTGGAACCAAAGATAAAACGGACTGAATTGTCAGCATCAGTGAGTATTAAAAAATAGGAATCAGATTGACGCATAATAACTGGTACATCGTTTTCGTCATATAAAATCGAAGAAATAGATTTATCTTGCCTAAAAAAGAAATGAAAAGAAAAAAAACAAAAAGAGTAAGATTTTATATTAAAAATTCTCCCATTCTATATGGCCTCAAAAAAAGAGATAATAAGTAGTTTTGATTAAGGCCTATCACAAGTTGATTTCCAAACCGTTGGTATCAGTGAAACTACCATTAAAAGCTTTGCACCAGAATTGCTTGGATAGGCTAGGGGACTCGGACTAAATTATTGCTTGAATTTCCATGATAAAGACTCTTAAAAATGAGAAAGACGATGTAAATTCTATTATATCTAATTCAGTTACAATCGGCATTTCCAAATCGAGATAACACTTGACTTTCAGAAGTACCTCAAACAACTTACAGTGATAAAAAGTGGGAAATAAGACGAGGTCGATGAGGAAATGCGTAAAAGAATCGGTGCACGATATCATCACCAACACGTCGCCATATTACCTTTTGTTGTTCATCGTAACCATATTCTATATCAATCGATCCCACCTTATATGCTCTTCTAATACAACCATATACATCAGCAGTGAAATAAAGATCGCCACGTTTTAAAGTCCATCCGTTTCCGTCGATATTGTAAACTACCTGTAAATTGCAAAATTAAAAATCCAAAAATTTAATTTTCATTTTTTCGTTAATGTTAATTTTATAGATCAAAATTTAAATAATGATTTTTTATAGCACATATTTCGGAAAATGAGTAACTTGTCCGAAAACTTGAGGTATACCACCAGGCCCAAGGACCACTTTAATATCGTTGAACGCCTTCAATCGTCCATCCAAATCATAATGCAGGGTCCATCGCTGATCATCTGCTTCACCCATTGTATATTGTACCAACTACAAAAATAAAGAAATTAAAACAGTAAATATTATTTATTAAGAGGAGAAAACTGAAAGTAAATGATGAGTACTTGTCCATCCATATTATAATTTCTTTTTTCAGACGGTCGCTTCGAGCCAAGAATCACCCAATCAACAGATTCAACCCATCCTAATATATGGTACTCAATACTCATTTCCAAGACTCGCTCGTCACCAATCATGACTTTACGAATTTTTTCTTGATCCATTTCATCGTATATACTTTCAATTAATACCTATAATTAAAACATTAAATTAATGAAAAAAATTGAAGAAATATTACTGAAGAAAAAAAGAGAAAAATATTAAACCAAAATAGATAACCGATTCGCCTAATAAACGTCGTGTTCGACCATCTCTTAAATACGCAAAATTTTCCATTTTTGCAAGTCGACCGTATCGCGCATCATACTCAAAGCGCAGAACTGGCAAAGAATAACTATCAAATGAGGCAGCAATAGATGAAATCCGAAAGAAATCATCATATTCATAACTGAAGATGACAGCACATTCCAAAAATCGGCTAAATTTGTGTAAAATTGTTTAAAAGTGATAAAATAAAAATATTTAAAACATTCATTTATTTATGCATCTTTACACATTGCCGCCAGCTCCATACGTTCGATTTCTCCTTTCGTAAATTTTGCCTTTCCTTACAACTTGTCGGTTACCATGTTTAATTCAAAGGAGTGAACATTTATTTATTGAATAAATAAAAGTTAAATCTGCGTCTGAGGGAGCCATCCGTATCCTACTGACGGCAACTGGCTTAAGTAAAAAATTTCTAGCAAAAGACAAGCGCAGAATCTCCTATCACAAATTATCAAAGTGGTGCTGGGAACGCATATAAACTTTTATCCCCAGGCATTTGCCACTTCTCTGGCAAAAATTTTTGAGCTAATAGGTCTTAGGATGAGCCTAATAGTAAGCTCTAATCATTTATTTTTTAATTGTCTTCGATTTCATAAATTGAGCCTTTTCTTGACAACTTACCGGTTAGCATGTGTTATTGCAGAATGAACATCGTGTATCTGTATAGGTAATGGGCCTTGGTAGATCATTTTACGTTTTAAAATATTTGATCTCACTTCATATGGCTAAAAAGACAAGTTAAGAGCTCATATATTTGTTTTCACTTATTACCAAGTGGAAAATTGCTTTAGGATATCCTTCAGGATACCTTCAGGAAAAGTGTCTTTTATGAAACCAAAGAAACGTAAGGTAATAATGGAATCCACCTGTGTTTGACCATTATCTTGAGAATAATGCAAAACAATATTATCAGAATCCGCACTAATTTGAGTAATACGGCCGTAAATATCGCGTTGAAAAGTAAGAGAATGAGTTCCACCCGGAGTACTATATTCTATCATCAGATTCTTATCAACAAAACTCGTAAGAAATGAAGAATTCGTAAATGATGGTTGGCGAGATCTGATTAATCGATTTATAGCCGAATGTTCTGAATAATGCTGTATATCGCCTGAAGGTGTTTTCAGTGAGATTACACGCCCAGAGAGATCATATCTCCAATGATATTTTTCACCGGAAGGCATAAGCACAGTATTAGGCGCCGAATGCGAATCTTTCGCATATAAAAATTTCCTGAAACATCTTGATGTCATATTTTCATTCTTTGATCCACATACGATGTAATAAATAAGTAAAAAAATAAGTGTATCAGCTCTTCTGGCTGTTCGTATGTTTTGAAATTTTAACTAAAAAGCCACAAGAGAAATGAAGTCGTCAGCCGCTAGTATTTTCTCTGATAGATTCCTGCTAGGATTAAGAATCAAAGTGTGATCACCGACATAAATCGATGCACAATGTTCCCGTTATTCAAAAGTAAATCAAGTAACGAGGAATGAAAGATATTAAGGACAAAAGGAATTAGGCGCTGAACATAAATTCTTAAACGTAAATCTAAAAACCTTTGAAGCAAATCCGCTGAAGGACCCATTGCTAACTGCGTAATGCGATTTCTGCGATCATAACTGAAATCTATAGTTGAGTTAGCCCATTTAGCCTTTTTAATGCGACCTTGTAAATCATAAGTCAAAAGTAAATGTGCTATGCGAATCCGATTTGACGGTTTTACGGCAACGATTAAACCAGCGTCGTTATACTCAATAAACATAATTTCTTCGTCAAGATTGTTTCGAACTATGTCAAAATTCTTTTCGCGATTGAATTCGATCGTAAAGAAATTTCGACCGTTAATCTGTAATTAAAATTTACTGAAATTAATGAATAATTTATAAATAATAAATTCTTTAATAGTAAAATAATGGTTAGAGAAAACTCGGCAATGTATTAGATTTTTCTTTGGATAATAAATATCAATCTATCATCCACAAAAAGTAGAAACAACTGGAGCAAAGCTATTAGTTCATAATTGGATATCTTGATACTTGTTCTCAAAACAACATATCATTCGGTTATTATGCCTCTGGCTATAAAATATCACCGGAAATTAAAAATGACTAGAGTTAGAATAACTTTATAGTTTTTAGAGTTAGAATAGTTTAATTTTTCATTTATAAGTTTTGTAAATTAACGTGCTATAAAGCCAATTTGTTTCCAAGATTATCAATATCATTAAAGTAATTGGATAACTAAATATTTGTTATTAAACAAAAAAGATAAAAATTTTCATTCTGACACTCCGATTGTCCAGTATTTACCGAAACAATCAGATCCAGAATGTCAAATATGAACTCGAAAGTTTTACCATAAAACTGAAACGATGGATTATTTTATGGTAATGAATAGCGCTAACAATTGAAAGAGGGGAATCGTCGGAAAATTCTGGTAAAACATGCTTGAAAAAATGTAAAGTATTAGTACTACAATAATATTACAACAGTTTAATTAATATTAAAAACAATGACGAGCACTCAGGTGAGGAGTGAGAGACTTTTCATAAGACACTCATCACTCGAACTCATACCCTTGGCCGTCTTCCGACCTGAAGAACACGTCGTGACAATTCTCTTGTTTCATTGCGACTCTTACGACGTATATAACCACGCCATTCGAAGCGCATAGTTAATTCTCGACGATGAGGTTCATCGATTTTTGGAAGTAAAATTTTTCGTTTTAATAGGGCACTTTCATGAGGGTCAAGAAGTGGATGCGTTACACTATCAAAATATATTTTACTGCCAAGTGATTCAATAACGATTCCATCAGATAATAATATGGCGCGTCGATTATCGAATCCTTAAAGTACAGCCAAATGTTACGGCTTTATTAAAAATTAAAAAAATTTATATTTAAAATTTTAAAATTTTAAAATTTAAAATTTTATTAAAAATTTCTCTTGGAAAATATAAATAAGTTTCCTTGAGAAAATTTTAGTATTTTTGAAAGAATAAGGCAAAAAAGTAGAGCCGCAAGGTATACCCGATTCAGAAAATTCATCGATAGCAAACGAATGGTTCGAATGTGACTCGCCGTCAAAATACACATGAGTGATAAGTCGTCCTTGCTCGAAACGTTGCTCTTCTATCGTGATTTGCTGGCCAAATGGATTGATCAGAGATATTGCACGACCCAGCTCATCATATTCATACCACCAAATTTGTGAATTTATTGTTTTGGAAAGTAAAAATTGTCCCGATAAATAAGAAAATTTGACGCAGCCTTAAACATTTCGAAATTCAAAATATTTATCTTTAATATTTTATATTTTCTTAAGACGAGAATAAATAGAATTATTTCCCGAATTCTTTTATTTCCCCAAATCTCGATTTTTTTTTTGAAATTAGTGGATCAAATTACTTTCTTTTTCTTTAATAAATCAATGCCTGAAAGAAAATAAGCGAAAGACAGCACATTAAATGGGTCAGTCCTCTGTTTAAAAAAAGGATTTGGATAAAGAATAACTTGCACTTACTAGAATTTGGTAATGTGATTCTTATCAACGTGCGGTCAAAACCGTCAAATGTTAGAATAGTGCGTTGCCCAGAAGATGATTCCAGAACTGTTTCAGTATCATTTATTCGCCGTATTCTAAGTGAATAACCTCCAGAATCAGTAATCTGCGTTAAACGACCAAGGCTAAAAAATGCAACAAAAATCTTTTTAATAATAATTCTTGATTTTTAAAATAGTCGTTAATAATAATAATGACAGTAATCATAGCAATAATGCTAAATACAAATAATAATAAATCTAATGAATAATAATTTTAAAATAAGGAATATCATAAAAATAATTCCAAAAACAAAAATTTATTGCAATTATATATTTTTTTATTTTTTATGAATTTATTTTAATTTCAAAATCATTGTTTTTGAGCAATTATTTTCCTCATTTAAAGCTATGTTTTTATAAAATTTAGATATTTTGAAGATAAAAAAAGCACTGGCATATTTATTTACTTGGTGTCAACATTATAAGTGAAATTGTAGAGTTCAAGTGCAGAGAGTAAACTTCTTGTGCTAACGTGAAGACCATTTTTATTGAAAAAATACACTTCATTCGTGTGCACACTGTTTAAGCGATACTGTCTCGTAACAGGATTATAAAAAGCTCGAAGCCTTTGAAGACTTTTGATTTTATAATTCCCCTAAAATTTATTACCTGTTTATATAAAAAACTTTGCGAAAATTTTCTAAACTTTTTTTATAAAAATTATAATTCAATGAAACGGTTTGTTTCTCTTTTATGAATCTCTAAATAATTTTTTTAGAACAATAATTATCGAAACCTAAATTTCTGTTTTATTATTTGTATAGATCGAATTAAAATTTCACTTTATTCTGTTTACACATAATTTCCCTAAATTTCTAACCATTTTGCACCACTCAGAATTCAAAAATTCAAGTAAAAGAATAAGAAACACCCTACACTAACCTGGTCAGCTATAAAGAGTGTTCCGCTCTGATCGACAGCTATGGCAACTGGGGAATGCAAAAAAGACGAATGTCCGACTGTTGGAACAACATTTTCACAAGGACAATTCAAACGGTCACAATCACATTTACTTGGGCGACCAGCAATTATCCGTAAACGGCCATCGACTGTTAAGGCTCGAACCTATTTAATAAATTTTTTTGCAGATTTCCTGTTTTAATATTTTTCTCCACATATATAGTCTCGAATTAGATAAAGTGTTATAATTCATGCTATTTCATCAAATATTACTTGATTTAGCCGTTTGCTGTTTGTTTCAGCAATGTATAATGTTGAATCTGGCGAAACTGCTATAGCTTTTGCATCAATTAGTGGATGAGAAGAAATAATACTGCCATCTTGTTTTTTAAGATATTCACATTCAGGCAAAGAGCCGATCACTATACTGGTAATTTTCGTTAATAAAGAAATTCGATAGACCAAATTTGAGTCAAGCACTAGTAAGCTGTTCGACTGTCCATCAAATGCAAGAGATGTTGGCCATTCCTGAATTTAAAAAAGCTAAAATTTAAGAATGTTTTTATTTGAGAGAGCAAATTCGTGCGCTATCTGTTCTGACCATAGATTAAAAAAAGATTAACGATACCAAAGAACGGACCAGTTTCAGATCGGTTACATTAATATTGCTTGCAGTGCAAGAACGTGGTTCATATTTTTGGTCCATTAGAAGAGTACGTATTTGATTGTCACCGTTTATCACCCTAAATCGACTTAAAATAAAAAATCGACTTCAATATGAAAAAAAACAAAAAAATTTGTACCTATAATGGCCAAAACAGTAGAATAAATGAGTTGGTTGGCAAAATAAGATAGAATTAAACTACAACCAATAAAAAATTTAAAATAAGCAAAAAAATGAAAAAAGAAACAATAAATAAATCTGGTAATTGTAGACTTTTTGCTGCTCTACACTAAATTTTGCTTCAGCTTTGAATAAGTAAAGATGAGTCCAGCATTACCAGGATTTTTTGTGACTGACTCTTGTCAGGACAGGGAATCGGATTGTTTAGTCACAGAAACAAAAAAAATACCTTAAACGCCTGCTATCTATTACGTACAGATTTCCTTCAAAATCGAAAACAATCCCTTTTGGAAAGCTGAGTTGTGCATTATCAGCTGCACCATCGTCACCACATCGTGTATCTGTGCAAATGCTTCCATCACCTACAGCTATATTGTAATTTGATATTAGATCACCATTAGCTTCCTTATTGATTTTCCACACTTGTCGACGTAGTGGCAATGAGATATATAAAGAGTCGGTTTTTGGATTTAAAGCCAAATAATATGGATGCACTGTATCAGAAATGCTGAAATGGCGATTTTCAGTTAATTCGCTTTCTTAAAGAATTTCACCCTTCTGCTCGAAATTCCAATTTCCTAATAAATATGCAACTATAGGAAATAGTGACTTTTAATTTATCATTTACCATAATTTTAAAAATAGGTTTGAGAATAAATTTAGGACCAACTTTTCATCAACTATTGAAAAATTTCTATAAATCTCTGAAATCCATTGCAGCGATAAACTGTCCCCTAAAAGAAATAAAAAGGATATTTCAATGTGCTTCACTTCTAATAGAAAAATGAAATAAGAGACAAACCTTAATTCTAACAACGTAATGAGAGAGCCAGATGGTGTCAATTTTCGAATAAGATTATAGTCTCCGATGTATAATGATCCATCGCTACCAGTACAAAGAGCTTGAGGAAGAAATAAGCGTGCATTACTAGAAAAAAGCAAAAAAATTAAAAAAACGAAAAAACAAATAAAAGTATCTTGTAAGGATCTAATTTCTATAGCAATTTCGAAGTAAGCCACTTAATGTTCGCAAATGCTGCTGATAATTTACAGCCCACTAATTATATTCAGAAATTAAACGCTGCAATCTTTCTGATAAAAGAAGGTACCTGGCAGGTTCGTTACAAAATGGACAACTAATTGGTCGTTGCTGATCATTTCCGACAACTGTCGTAAGTACTTGCGAAGTCGCATCCAGATATATTCGCGAACCATCACCTTTTTCAAGAATGTCTACAAAAACACAAGTCAAGTTCATTGTTTTACAGAAATTGCCATCATTATGCTGACTGGTAGCAATAAAAGACTATTGTGGTACAATAATACGATGGAAGTTATGTAACTAAAATTATAACAAATCAGTGCTTTTACTACTTTCTCGCTTAATTTCCACCTCCATGGACACATATTTACAGCTTAAGCCAAGAAGCAAAACTGGAGAATAGCAATCCTTTGAATAATCAAAAATTAAAAGTGTATTTAAAAAATAATTTAGAAATTAAGGTGGTCAATGGTCAAATCTTACTGTTAATAACATCATAATGATGATGAACATTAATTGTCCAAGATCCGAGATTGAAGCGGTTCGCCTTACGTCCTTCCAATTTTACGGATCGTCGAATCCAAACAATATCCTTATCGCATCCAATGTATTCATATCCCACCGAAACTATAAACAAGATTATCGCACTTAACAAGATTTGCCAAATTCATTAGATAAAACGTTAAATAAAAGAAAAAGCTTTTCGTATAACTAATAGTTGCCTAAAAGCGATAAACAATTACTTAAATAAAGTAAATTAAATAAAGTAAATTAAAATAAAGTAAATTTTTTCTGAATTTCGAGAAAGCTCATTTATGAAAAAACTTGCGATACCGTAATACCTTTGGCATTGACAAGTCCATTCATTGTTTGTTCGTAGATATTATTTTGATCCCATGCAAATGTATAGGTTAGGTTAGGTTTTGCCGAAAACACATTATGAAAATATTTTCCGGCAATATATATTTCTAAATGAACAAGTCGGAGGGCATCAGGTATCACATGTGGTAGCAGTTCCAGCAATAAACTGCTTTGGCATTTATCAACCCGAGAACTATCGTAAACCAAGAAAATATCGCCTGTACCGGGTATCTAAATCAAAAAATATGATTCTAATAAGATTTTACTTTTTCCGAAATATCGTTTCAAATGATATCTTAGAGAACATAAGTTTACGATACAGAATTCCAGGCAAAAGCATATCTCTTAATCCTCCAAAAGAATAATAAAGACCAACTTGTATGGAGTCGTATGCAGTTAACGAATCAACCAATAATTGTGAACTCATCTCTGAAGCAATAATTTGACCCGAGTATTGATTAATAAGCCAAAAGGGAAATAAAACAGGAGTAATTTCATGTGTTGAATGTATTAATCTGCATTCTTTGCTGTGTTCCTCCTCATTTTTTCGTGATAACTAAAATATTACGATTCAACTGATTAGAGAAGCCTAGAGAAGTTTTTATTGAATCGGATTTATTATTGATTTATTTCACATTCAGGATTAACTGGAAATCGAGGAATGGAAGTTACGAGGACAAATAAAAAATTTCACGATTCATGAAAATCACACATAATATTTTGTCAGCATTTTAATAAATTATAATTCCCTTTCTATTCATCTCCAACCAATTGCCATTATTTATTATTTTCAGCCCTTCAAAGGCGTGAAAAGCGGAAAATAACAAGGAGAATAATCACCAGTGGAGAACGATATAACAGTGAATTAATGCGTGATGACCTTAAGCCAATCAATCACAACAATCCATTAAGTTTGAAAATAAATAATACACTACAGGTGTTCAGTAACTCCCGTAATTATTCCGCTAAATCGTTGTTCAACCGGAAACAATTGAAAGATTTCTTAAAAGATGTTCCCAATTTTATAAATCTTTTCAGAGATTGTATTAAAATCTAAAAGGATTTCAAATATCAAAATGAATCAAATCGATATCAAGCCATTGTATTTCATATTCTATTTTTGCAATATTCAAAGGGTAAAAAAGGAAAAAGAATGCTGAAACGAGTAAAGCTATCGATTTTGGCCACGGGAGTGCAGGTATTATTGAAGTGAAATCCAGGAAATATTAGAAGCCACATAGTTCCTATATAGCTAAATGAATCGCTGGCGAATCAGTCTTATCCCAATGGGAGAATGCTGAACGTGAATATCTCATGAATGAAGGGGCTCGTATTATGTTGGAAGGCGCATAGAGTCACAAAAATTTAATTTAAATTATCAGTATATCTTATCTGTAATTCTTCGAAACATCCAGATAGGGTCTCTGACATCCGTGCTTTAGCAGCCTTTTCAGGCAGCTGTTTGTTTTGTAATAAAATATTTTGTAATAAAATTTTTCAGGGAATTTTTTTACTATCAATCAAACAATTAAGGAATTAAATAAAATCACGCATAGGATCATTACCTGAGAGCCTATTCGCATAACAATATCTCCTACATAAATAATTTCATTCCACTGCACATAGAAGCTCTTTTCCAATTTTTCGAAAGGTTTTCGCATAAATTGCAATGTAACCACTCGACCACCATTAACCATCAGGTCAAATATTCCACCACTATCATCTCTTCGGCTTAAAGTGAAACCAGTCAATGGTGGATGACGAACTTCAGCAACACGTACACCAATTAATGGCGTACCGCTTTCTGCGACTATTCGACCACGTACCACAGATACCAAACTGAAAATTCTTCAAGCATTGATGATTCTTAGAGAAAAATGTTCAGTAATTAATATTATTATTATATACGACTGATGATGGAATTTTTGTATTTTCATGATAAAATTTATGGTATTTTTCGCTCAATGGTAATTTTTCATTGTAGAGCGAATATTTCTGGAAACTAAAACCAATTAATCAAGAGTGGATTGATAAGCCAAATAATAAGTCAAATTTAGCTAATATTTTAGCACCACAAGGTTTGCTAATATCTTGCAACCAGAATATTATCAAAAGCATTTTCTGAACTGAATGTCTGCAATGTTTTACTTACCTTTCATTAAATTGTCTTTCGTCGGCATATTGCTGAATAGAATGTGGTTGGATGATGAATTTCACTTGCTATAATCGATAATTTATCGACTTACAATCGACATTTATCATATCAATTAACAATCGACAGAAATAAGGTAGCTAGATAAGGCTTTGCTTATTTATCGATTGCATTTAATATGCCACGATTGATTGTTTAATCCAGAAAGATTCAATTAAAATACCTGATAGAAATTAGCATTTATAGTTGGCAGCAATTTCAGAAGTATATCCTTTGGGTGTGAAACAGCTGTGCACATTTGGTTCGCCGTACAACTTTGATGTCTACAACATTCCGAATCTTCACAGTCAACAAGTCCATCTGAAATTAATCTCCACCTTGTCCATCGCTATCTTTGTCCACCTCTATTAGAAAGTGTTTAAGCAACATTTTACCAATAATAAATTTGATTAATAGATTAGAAAAAAAATATTTTTGTGAAAGTCAGAAGGGAAGCGGAAATGGAATTTAAAAATTAAAAATTAGGTAAGGATTCAGCCATCCTTTTATAATATTTTTTACAATCGTTTCTTCCACAGAAAAAATGGCTCATTTTGGTATTTACCCAATATTATTTAACAAGGTGTTCACTTATAATCTGAAAAACCCCATTATACAATAATACCATAGAATAAAAATAAGATACATTAATGAATCTCTATGAAAACTATGAAAAACGTGTCAAAAAACGATAAATTGATTTGAGAATGCCTTTCTTTATTAGAATTCAGAAATAAAATCAACTTGATAGTGGTTATGACTTCGTATTATGCAATTTTATGGACCACAGCTTTTTAAATTTCTTTCAAATAAACCTCTTACAAAAGTTTTCTCAGAAACAAACCATCATTAACTGATAAAAAATTTCATTAAACTTGACTTATATCACTTCGCTCGAAGTGAAATGAATCTTTTTTAAATCCCTTTTATACTCTAAAAGAGGCCATTAGATACAGTTTGATAAATAAATGTTAAAATAAATGGTAAAAATAAAGACATATTTAAGAAGATCTCGTGTATGCTTCCAAGTTCAAGTGTCATGGCTTTGATTTCTACTCTTCGGAAATAAACCCATCATTAAAAGTGGAATCTGGATGTATTTCTTTATATTCGAGAAACTTTACGTAAGCTAAGTGGCTTTAACTGAGGGGGTCGATAGACTTATCCAAACTAAAACTGTTGAAGATGCTAAAAATAGAAAAAGGAATTCAAGAAACGTTGTTGCAAAGACAAGAAAAATTTATCGATAATGGATAAACGAAATCAACCATTGTCGTTGTCAATTCCATCGTCACATTCATTTTCAATTGGTAATAAACAGCTATCGCCAAAATGCAACGAATCACATGCACATTTCCATATACCACCAAATAGTTGACAAACACCATTACCATTGCAGTCATTATGACAACCTTCTGTAAAAAATAAGAGCTTCAGAAAACTTAAAAACCTGGAAATATCTGAAGAAGCTATCCAAATTTAATACTGAAAACATGCATTAACACAATTAGTCATGAACCTTAAATCATTCAAATCGCTTTTTTTCCTTTTTATAAATTTATAAATTATTTATAAATTATAAAATTATTTATAAATTATAAAGAATTATTAAGTTATTTATAAATTATAAAGAAAAGAAAAAGTCTTTAAATTCTCGAAGGCTTTCCATTTTAAATTGCCTTTTATTAATTAAATAAAGAAAAGACAATAGAGAAAACCAGAATTAAAAGCCAAAGTAATTCCAATGATAATTGGAGTACCTGGAACTGTGATCCCTAAACTAGAAAAGTGGCTTCAGCAGATTTTAGGAGGAAAATTAGAAATCTCTATGTATAATTCTATGAAACATTCTATGTAATAATTTTACGTTTATATTTTTATTAATTTTCACTATTTCACATATTGTACGAAAACACAATCTAAAGCCATCGTAACAGTTCAATCATAACAATTTCGATGCAGACATACGTATATGACAATTTTCTCCATTCCATCCTTTATTGCATATACATGTTCCATTATTGCAGAATCCCTTTTCTTCGCAACCAGTCAAGCACTTCCGTTCACGGCAGTCGATTCCTGTCCAGCCAGGTAAGCATTCACATACACCATCGCCACACGATCCATGTACACATTCTACTTGACAACGAGCTAAAAAATAATTTAGTGAAGCAATAAAAATATATTTGTCTCCAAGCATTTTAGGATAAAATTCTTACAAAGTTGGCAGTTAACTCCGTGATAAGATGGAATGCATCGACAATTATTTGTTTCTGGGTCGATGCGCCCTCGTGAGTTACAAAATGCATCGATGTTTTCATTAGCCTTATCGAATTTTTCATTCGCATGCTGCGAATTTAGAGCACAGGCTAGCTCTGCAGAAAGCAGTTCCCGACAATTCAAGCCTCCATAGCCTGATGCACAAAAACATTGTCCATCATAACATATACCATATCCACCACAATTTGGATCTGCACAATCTTTCTAAAATTAACTGCTGAGCTTCAATCAATGATTTATTGGCCGTCTGTTGATCCTAACATTATATAATGGTCAACCTCCGAACAGTATTTTCCTTTCCATCCGTTATCGCATTCACATTCACCATTCTGATTGCATGACCCATGACCATTGCAATTTGGTACTTCGCACCAGTGGGATAACTGATCACAGTCAATTCCTTTAAAACCTTCATGGCAAACACAACGACCACCAGAAAATATTCCGTTACCACTACATAATACAGGACAAGAATCTAAAGAAGGAATTCCTGACGCAAGTGCAAAAATTAAAAATTCATAGACTAAAATTAAAATATATTAATAATTATTTTATTTATTTAAAGAGCTAATCTAAAGCTAATCTAAAATAGATGCCTAAAAATTGAAGTTAAAATAATAAAATTTAGGAAAAACCCAAAATATTATTATTATAATCACTATGAGGGATTTATCAAATCTTTAAGAATTAAAAAGAGAGTAACTGCTGGAGAAACTTTTCTCATTTCGAGAATTTATTCTACTGTTTCATTTAACTATTGTAAATGATCAAACTATATTCAAAAAACTTACTTTCTTCGCAATATGAACCTGTATAACCAGGAAAACAATGGCATTTTCCATTCCTACATTCTCCTCGACCCATACAATCATGTCGGCAATTTTCCTTTTTTTCGTCACCTTTATATTCAGATGCTATATTGACCGAAAGATGAATTAATTCATGCTGAAATCGGAAAACTTTATAGTCCAATTCGGCTTTAAAAGCATTTGGGAAGGATTATTAAAACATGGAACTATTTTTTCTTAAATTTTAACCATTGAATATATGTATACCACATTCTTAAGTAAAGTCAAATTGAATATGAGGTGCTAACTGAGTTAAAATTGCTTTTCATTGCTTTAGATGATACAATAAATAAAATCCATAAAAGTTGTCTGCTCTTGAGAAAAATCGACTTGTTTAGTGTTAGAATAGTGTTTGATCATGCAAATGGGCAAATGGTATCTCTATAAGGCCATGAAAAGTTAATTACTTGTGGTCCATCATTAAGAAATGCGAGGTGCCAACGTCCAGCAACTAAATAATGCGTGAGAATTACTGATCGATACAACTGAAAATTTCTTAAGTGTTTCTTAATTTACTGGGATTTCCAAATAAAATTAAATGAATATTAAAAATAATTTATTATGATAAAAGTCTACGAGAGGATCGAAAAACATGTGAAAATAAGAAAATCATTCAAGAGATTTGCTTTTATGAAATAAAACAAGGTTTAAAAGAAAGTATAAAGTGAAAGTATGTATAATTTTGAAAAAACCAAACAATACTTTCCTACTAGCCTATCAAAAAAGCGATGGTGGGGTACAAGGATGCATAGAAGGAAACAACGGAAGACTGTACTAATCAGTTTGTAAACGAACTGGGAATATCTTAAAAGCAGGTGATAGTTTGCAATCTCTGGAAGTAAACTCACAGTTGATGGATAAAATCGTTTAAAACGCTGAAATGAATTCGTCCTAATATGAAGACGATCAGCTCGGACAATATCACTAAAATCGAAAAGTGTTGGCGATGGTAAAACTGTTTGTCTTCCATAAATTACAAATTGAGCTCGAGGACCCATTGATATATTAAAAGATATTCGATTGTCGTGTTGCAAAGAAAACTTCCTGAAAAATTTAGGTTCAATTTATGCTTCTGGCAAAAATGCAAATTTAAATTGGGATTTCCGCTCGAAAATTGGAACTAAATCAATGAATCCAGAATTTAGACATGTTAGCATTGAAAAAAAACATACGTATAAATAATAACACCGGATGGCAATTCGCCCTCGACAGTTTTACCTAATTCAAAACTTTCAGGTAAAACTAGAAGTGGAGGAGGTTGTTCTGTCCTGAGATCGCGCCTTGAACCAACATAAGGCCCTGACGCTGATGGAAACACTGATCGAGATGAATGCGCAAATATATGACGAGAATGATCTCTACTTAATAGTACTGAAATAGAATCACTGCAAATTATGGCTTAAACTCCAATAAAGTTGACCAAAGAAATGATTGCGAATGAGATTAGTGTCCTTACTAATAACTAATGACTGAGACATCTTTTATATAATTTAAATAAACGTTATTGAACGACTGCACAAATTTAAAAGTATTAGTAAGAGGGAATATTGGGAGCGGATAAGACAGGGCTTCAGCCATTATCTCGTTTCAATTATTTACGGCTCAAATGTTATTCAATCTTATCCAACCAAATATCTCAATTAATGAGGACTCAACTCGGCATTATTTCCCCGTTTCATTTCTTCTGCTACTTTTGGTTTGTTTGTTTTTGATCTGCTTTTTTCATATTTGCTATCACTGACTTCTTAACGAGACCCCTTTATTAAAAAGTCATTTGGTGAAGCAGAGGTCTCTAGCATTAATTAAACTTTATTTTTTAAGAGGAGATTTATTCCTGTTAAGAAATCGAATCTGTGGTGGATTAGCTAGAAACAAAGTGCCAATATTGCCTCTTTTGATGTTACAAAAGGAAAAAAGAAGACACCCTTTAAAGAAACCATTTAAAGACTTACAAAAAATAATTATAAATCCAGAAAAGACAAGCGACAAAAAAAGGCAAATAGCGATCCTTTTCCATGAACAAATTCCCGTTATTCGTTCCTTTTCATCCATACCATTATTACATACATCTAATACTGCTTTTTTGACTTCATATTCACTGCCATATGCGCGAGCATCTTTTATAAAATTCGATCCAAAACGACTTTTTGATTTCGACAAAGTTACTTTTGTTGGAGTCGTTAAATTGGATCTATAAAAAGCAGAATCAAAGCACTGCGTTAAAGCACTAGGAGAGGTATTGAGATTTGTAGTCGCGTTAATCATAGATAATCATAGATAATAAGCCTTTTTCTTATTTGCTATATACTGCATAAAATAAAAATCACGAAACCACTTATATAATCATTCGCTATCACAATAATTAATACGGAAAAAAAACTCTTGAGAGGTGCAATACAAAATACTCATCCATCATTTAAGCAAAAAATCTAATATGTAGGAAATATCTACAAAATCTGCAAAAAAGATCTGGAAAACTAAATCTGAAAACCAATATTCCAGTAAAGAAAAGGAGAAAATAATGAGCAATCTCGATTTTTCCTTGAAAAATACTCCCTTTGAACGATATTAAATGAATTTCGTCTTAGTTCCATAGGTTAAATAACTTTCAAACATATTGCAACAAACAAATACAAATAAATTAATAGCTGAGAAAGAAAATCTAAAAAATAGCGGATATAAGCTAATAGAATAATCGAAATGCGTGCATGCTACATAGGCGGTGGCACAGTTATTTCACTTACTTATACAGCGAAGTATCAAGAGGACCACAGATAATAATAGCAATCATGCTAAAAACCATTTAAGTGATCATTTGGCCATCTGATTTTGCTAATCGAAATAATTATTTTCTTGGATATAAACAGTTTTCCACCCGTTATTACATGCTAATATCTAAAAGGAGATCGGTGCCATCGAAAATATCCGAAAAATATCCTATCCTAAGCTAGATATCTTAGACAACATTTCAACTAAAAATTCAATCCTGGCAATTAAATCGCAGCGAAATTCAACTTCTGAAGAGAATTTAGAAAGACCTTCATGTTTCATTGCACCATGAGTACCAGAAAAATTATTTCCCCACAAATATTTGCCCAAAATACCCTATCATCGATTAAAATTTTTAGACTCCCAATTTCGATTTGAATTCATTAATCAGTGCAGAATCACAAAAATTTTAGCAAAGAAAGATCTCTGTTAAATTCGAAATAATTTTATCAAACGAATTCGAAATTTTCACTGGAAAAACCAAGAAAAATTTTATATTTGCGGCCGAATTTAGAGACAAGGATTTATCGAGAGGAAAGAAATTAAATGGCTTGAGTTCTGGACAATGTTTATCCCCATTGGCTATTAACAGAAATTTTTGACAGAGAATTAGAGATAGAGATTGCCCGTCAATCGACACCACCTGAACGTTTCAATTCATACGTTTTTTGCAGAAGCCGAATTATTGCCTTTAAATAATCTGAGCAATACGATATGATAATAATATGATAACCCGAATTTCTATCCGCTAATAATAACTAATTTTTTTGGAGGTTCCAAATTCTAAATGCGAAATTTAAAAAATCATAATAATTAGAATTAAAGGACTACAAAACCCGAAATGATCTAGATAAGAGTGGATGAAATGGCAATCACGGAATGAACAAATAACGAATCGAAGAGCATCAGAACTAATGCCACTTCCTCCTTGAGTGTGATTAAGTAATTAATTAGTTTAATTAATTCATTTTCCGCACTCTTAGCAAAATGAATAAAGAATGATTTCGGAACTAGAAATAAAATTTGTTTTCCGATATTTATTCTAAAATATATATGATTCTATTGCATAAATCAAGATAGTGGCTATGATTATCGTGCCAAGAGGCACAATTTCAGCTCCCAGTCGGAGAAAATTGCCATTCGAATACTTAGTTTGATCCAATCATACTTCAATCGCCAAATGACTCCCGCAGCCGAAAATAATGAACGCTTAACTACTTACTCATTCCATAAATTTACCCTTTAATAAATAAATGTAGTAAATATAGGATTCAAAAAAAAGAAATCGAGTGCTATGACTAACTTGAAGCTATGGTGAATATGGCAGTTATGAGTAATTATTCTACATAATTTCATTTCTCATTCCTGAATTAATATTCAAAATAAGATAATTTGAAAAGGCTGTTAACTAAAGAATTGGGGAGAGCATGGCACAGTGGGAAAGGAAAACTAAAGACTAACTTTTTTCCTAACACTCATCATTTCCCGCTCCACTTGCTATGCCTGAGAAATATATATGGGAGTATCATCACGACTTCTAATGACATTGTTTCCTGATATACTAACTTAATCTAAGCCACCCGACTGTATTGCCCTCGGCAAAACTGTGCAAAGAACTTACAACGACCAAATATAACAACTTTTTAGGGGTGCAAAGAAAAAAACTAACTTATCATAAAGGCGACTGAGAGGTGATAATGATGATGTTGTTGTTTGACCTGAAAATTCGAAAAGTTTGCAGTTGTTCTTAAAAATTTCTCAGAATGCGTGGTTAGACTAGTTGTTATACTAGTTGTTAATCATAAGAAGATACGAAAAAAAAAAATTATGAAGGAAATTTCCTAGTAAGTTGAATAAAGAAATAAAGTTTTATTTGTGACCATATTCGCAGACAAATTAAAGCGAAATGACCAAAGCGAACTGAAGTGTTTGCAGTAAAAATAAAGAAAACAAATCGAAAAAAATAATTAATTTGTTTACCAAAATATATAAGTAAAATAAATGAAATAATGGTAATTAGTAACGCAAATGGAAGGCTGAAAATTGAAGTAAATTGAAAATATAAAAGATGAGTGGAGGAAAGTATCACGATATTTCCATAAATAAAATTAATGTGCGGCTATTTCAGGGTCATCAACATCCAAATAAAAATACCGCTTTTATTAAATCCATCTGTCATTTGTAGCAAAAATCACCGTCAAATAAGATTAACGAAGATTAGTAATCAAATGATCATTACCTTCATGTTTCTATCTTTTAAAATTAGTGATAATGATCTTGACCAGTAATAAATTATCTTAAATATTCTCTCGAGATCTAACAGATTATAAATTTATCATATATTAAGCAATATCAGTAAAGCAATGACTAGAATCATCGAGCTAAGTCAAAAAAAAGAAAAAATTTCTAATGGAACTGATTTTATATATTTCAACATTTTATAAAAGAAACATAAATTCAAAATCCAAGAAGATCCTAAATATCGACTTAATGCCATATAATTTCTTGCTTCTTCATTCTTATTTTTTCACCTATCTATACAGATATAATAAAACTAGCTCCTAGTTTAATTCCTAGCGAACTGATGCAGTCACACCTTGATATTACCATCAAATAATTGGACTGAGTGGCATGCATGGTGTGGTCAAGCATTGTTTCATTTCAAACATCATAGTTTTGGTTTCCTTGATCATGTTATGGAAAATTAAATTCGAAGATATTTCTAATATTTCTTTTCCTAAATGATTCTCTAGCTAATGGCCCTCATCCTAACCAATGCAAGACATCAAATGGTGAGTACTGTATTAGAATTTGATAATTTATATTTGATAATTTGATATTGTATTAGAATTTGACAAATTGTCCAATCTTTCCATTTTCTCTTGCTCAATACTTATTTCTGTTAGGGCTGATACTGATCAATGATAAAAAACTGATGAAAATGCTGTTAATGCGGTTGAAATTCTTTTTCTTTTTAAAGAGAATACTTTTAAGTTGTTCAATAAAAAATTTTTTGCACTTCTGGAATTTCAACGAGAAAAACGGAAAATGACTGAAGAGAGTGAATTTGAAAGGAAATAGAACCGTGAAATTCTGTTTTTTTTCTAATCATTCGTTCTATGGCTACAATTAAAACTCAGAGAGAAAACTAATAAATGTTCAGTTAATGCCAAGTTGCGATCAAAAAGTTCAACTGGTTATCCTTCAACCATGCAGACTTTCATTCAGCAGAATGTTGTACAATAGAATGCTTCTTTCCAACTAAAAATTAGAAATTAAAACATAAAATTAAAAATAAATTTATAATTTCGCATTTATAAAAATGAAATTATATTGAATATTTCGATTCTGATCACAAATTTACAATAAATAATATATATCAAAAATAAGCAAATTAAGTCATTCAATGTTATCGACTGGAAAATTAATGATAGTTATAAGAATGTTAAAGAAAATGTGAAGAATAAAAGAAGGAAGCAATTTAAATCACTTAGCAGAAGTTTTAACGCAATTATGAACAAATTCGAAGCAAATCCAATATAAATTATATTTGACCATTTTATACGCAAATTAACACTCGATAATTTTCGGATTTTTTCTTTATTTTTCACTTATTAGTTCATTTAAATCTTATTGAAATTTGATAAAAATTTAAAATTTTCCATATATAAAATCTGTTGTTGGCAACATGAATCTTCTTCTTCTTCTAACAGCTCTCACCATTATTGGTTAGGCTGGCTCCAACGGCTACAAGGGTAAGACGCTTCCAAGCAGCGCGGTCTGATGCCATCGTCGACAGTAATGGAAGCCATTCCTTTTCCCATCGTCTAAGTCCATATATTGCCGGTCCACCTATACGTTCAAAATGTTTTCTCAAAATCTTTTTATTTCTTTTCCATACCAGAGAATATAATCCTCGGCAATGGAAGGTAATTTTTAATTATTCAATAGTGATTATGAATAATCGCGAGATTATGATAAAATTTAATTATTCCTTTTTATTTTTATTCATTGTTAATTTATATTTTCAATTTTCAACCAATTTTTTTTCAAGAGGCAGTCCAGGTCAGTCCAGGTCTTGATTGGCCCACCTCGCTTTTGACCGCAACCGTCACACGGTTTAGCAAATAACGAAATATGCGTCAACTCGTGTGGTGGACGATGGAGAATATGCCCTAACCAGCGAAGGCGGCGCTCTGTGATAGCATTATTTATGCAAGTGGTATTTGAACGATGCGATCTTGTGAGATTTTATCCACTCGGCGAACACGTAAAATATACCTTAGACAAGAGTGGTCAAAGGCAGATAAATTCTTAATATCCTCCACTCTCATTGGCCATGTCTCAGAATCATATAATAAGATCGAACGGATCACGGCAATATAGATGCGGACTTTCGTTTTTATGGTGATTTCACGACGATTCCATAAAGATTTCGTCAACCGCATTTCGCATTTCTAGCTGCCGTGATCCGAGTTACAATATTATCTCTTGCCTGTCCATTTGGTATTAGAATGGACCCAAGGTATTTAAAATCAGGCATTTCCTCAACCGGCAATGAATTTACAAAAAGAGGCATTTTATCAGCTTCTTACACATAAGATGAAAAGACTTTCGTTTTATTTACATTGATCCTGAGTCCGATTCTTGCTGCAGTTTCTGACACGTTATTTAGTATTACTTGCATTTCGTTATAACTATCAGCAAAAAGGACTACATCATCAGCGTATTCAAGATCTGTGATACGATGCTCTGGACTAATTCGGACACCTCTTGAGTGCCGACAAGCAGTGTCCATTATCCAGTCTATATGCATAGTTGAATATTGTGGGGGAAAGGATGCAGCCCTGACGGACATTTCAGGACTGTTCTTAGTCCTTATTTCGAAGGAATCTGTCAGCTCCCCATATATACAGACATGCGCCGACGTACGCTCATAAAATGCCTTTATGAGTCTAATGATTTTCTCTGGAACACCACCACGTTCCATCACCTTCCAAAGCGCCGCTCTATTAATTGAATCAAAAGCAGCCGCAAAGTCGATGAAACACCTAACAATGGGTTGCAAATATTTGAAGCGATGTTCCAATACCCTTCTTAACGTGAATATCTGGTCAGCACAACCGCGCCCTGGTCTGAAACCAGCTTGATTAGGACGCATCCTGCTGTCTTGTACTTCCATAAATCTGTTGAGTAGCAGGGAAATAAAAATTTTTACTGAGACGTCTAATAGGCTGATCCTCTCCTCGATAATTGTCGCAACATGTCCTATCACCTTTCACATGCACTGTATATCAACGAACCTTTGGACATGGATGAGATACATTGTTATTGAAGAGGCAGTTCTAAGTGAAGAAGTCAGGTATGAGATTTAAATACAAATTTTAACGCAGTTGTAATCAATGTTGATAACAGACTTATAATATAATATTATATAATATTTAATTTATATAATATTTAATAATAATATATTATATTTAATTTGCATATGTTATTCCAAAGTAATAAACACTTTACTGCACTGCGCTGTTGAACATAGGCTCATAGCATATCTGTTGCTAAGACTGACAAATAGTTTCCAGTTGGCAACATGAATATTGCACCATAAATGCGAAATAGGTCGAAATAAAAAATTTATGAAGCAGTTGACATGAAATAATTTGGTATTTTGGTGCTTCTATTTCGTTTGACTTAAATCTTCAACAACTGTTCCCCTATTGTTCTTCTCATTGCACAATGTTGTTTAATTTAAACGCAAGTGATTTAAATGAATTAAAATAATTTTAAAATTTATGAAATATTTTTTTTAAATAAATAGATATATAATTAAAATATATATTAAATAAATATATAATTTATGCCAAAAAAATTTTAAAACTAGGTTTTCATGCTGAAATTAAATTTAGCAATATTAATAACTGTAAACTAAAACTTTTCATCTCTGAAAAAAAAGAATAAATAAATATAAATTTCCAATTTACGCATAATTTTCCATAAAGAAAATAATGACTTTGGAGAAAAGCTTTGAAAAATTTTTTTGCATTTAAATAAACTAATAACGAAATAAATAAAAAGGAATTGAAAACGCAAAAAGGCAATGGCATAACTACGGGCAATTAGGAAGATTGCTTTGTAAATGCATTGGACATTTTTCCATTTATACTTTTTTATAGATCAGGACGAAAAATAGAAAATTGGAATTGCCTGAGCTAGTAGGCACATAAAAACTGCCCGTTTCGGGGTTCTGTACAAGCATTCGACGAGTTTCATCATCCCACAGCGAATTACGTAATTGTTCTTCGACTATACTTCTACTTTCACTCGCAATTACTCGAGGATTTCTCATATTTGAACTAGTCGTTGAGCGAATCTAAAAAGGTCAAAATTATTCATTTCGATATTCCTATTTAATCACTAATACTTCTCACCTAGATGCAATAAAAATCGCCATAAAATCGCATTTAAATCAATTAAATTTATACGGAAAAAAAATTTTTAAACAAAATTTTTAAATATTGCAAGAAGCAGAATTATGAATCACATGCAAAATTCATACATAAATTAAACAAAATATTTAATAATTATTGGTTTGCAACTGCTCCCTTAGTCTAAAAATTCGCTCCAGAAGAACACAGATACCAGTAACCCACCTGTACTTTTACCGTAAACGGAGCGAACCATTCTGTACCTGTCCACTGGAATTCTATTATCAGACATATCAGCAATCAGCATTTCTAAGTGGTTAGTGTTCACCACCCATTGGTGCATTAGCTGATCGCAAGTAGTAAAGTAGTAATAAAAAAAATAAGAGCGATAAAAATAAACATGGAATCAGCTAGCGGTAAAAATACAGGTGAGTCACCGACAGCATTCAAATTTTTTAATGGTTTGCGGGTTTACACCAATCAGAGGCAGAATTTGGACCCTTAACATTCAAAACGATAATCTAAGCAATGACTACTCGGCTATTCTGCCCTCCGTTGGCATATCTTCTGCGAAAGGCTTTCATCATGTCTTTTTCAAAAATAAAAAGGATATTTGCTTTAAAAAAACCTATTTTTTCAATAAATTTTGTATGAATTTTTTCAATAAATGTATTTTCTTTAAATATATTTTTTAGATGAAATGCACTTTCTTAAATATATAAACAATAATAAAATAAAATTGTTGCAATCGTTCAGCAACCAACATAAACGAAAATTCATCGCAATAATTATCGAAAATAAACACGAATGCGAATTCGATTAAATCGAATATAAATGAATAAATAAAGACGGAAGCCAACAAAAATGAACAAAAAAAATAAATTAACTGATCTCGTTAATTAACGTCGACACGAGATATTCGCAATCAAAACAACGAATTAATAATGACGACGTGACAGCTCCATTGACGATAATCATTTACTTACAGGGATCAGCAATAATTTTTTTCTAAATTGTCACCAGGTACCGTCCCACCCTTTGTGAATGGCTTATAAGTTTCAACATCGAGCACTGAATGCTGATATGATACGCAGCACATTACATCGCATGCAGTCCTTAACACCAACAGTACCAAAGCCACCACGAATTTCATCACTAATATCCACTTAATTCTAATGAAAAAGTTCACTTCTGACCTTTATCACGAAAAAAATTCTCGACAAAAAAGTGAAGATTAAAAGGAAAAAATAAATCATTTATAATTTATAAAATAAAAAAATTATAAAACATAAGGGAAATGAAAAATTAAATTAGTAAAAATCTAAGAAAATAGAATATATAAAATGTAATAAATACTGCATAATTTTATAGCATAGTTTGGCAAAAAATGATGCATCTTAGTTTTTGTTATTTATAACTGAAAGTGAAGTCTGCGGTTCAACCACAATATGAAACGTCGCATTCCTCAAAATTTAATTTGCATTATATAAATATACTGAAAAACCAACCTGTTGAGAAGTAGATATTTCATAATTGCCAATCGAATATGGCAAACGTTCAGATAAATCTCTTGCTGCTGATAGAGTACCTAAAACATATAAAAGATTTGAAGAGAGGGGGAAAGATGAGGAAATATTCTATGAAAAACAAAGAATTCGAAATAAATATGCGTAGGCTTACCGATACCAGCGCATTGATGTGTGTCAGACGGTAAACCAGGTTCATCATACTGCGATTCATCTAGACGTGTTTCATGCTTTTCCGTTAGAAGTGGCACTGGGGGATTTCGAAATGGTGGTGGTACCTTCATTTCTGTTGGTGGAGGTGGACAATTCGGCGGCGGTATTTTTAAGAAATCTAAAAAAAGTGAAAATTATAAATATTTTCAGAAATTTAGAAATTCGACACAAAAAAGCTGGCAAAAAATTAATGATAGAAAATCAGAAAAAAATATTTAGAACAATATTAGAAATTCTTGAAGATTCTTTGCTAAGATCTTGTAAGTTTAAATAAGTGGTTAATGTTCACCATTTCTTGTTAAGCTAGTTCTGCTAGGATTGCAATTTTTGCCAGGAAGTTACTTGGCGATTGTAGAAGATAGGTCGCCTGCATCTCTCGGATTTTTTAATGACAGGTTCACTCTTGTCAGAGTCAGGAAATTGAACTTATGGTTCTTTAGACAAACATACCACTCAACCATCATTATTCCCTATTTTCAAATAATAATATTACGCAACTAACCCATTTCCTTAAAAAAAATGATAAAAAAAGGTTAATAAAATTTCAATTTGGATGCCTAAGGAAAAAGTTTGGCTTTTCCCGTGTCGTTATTCAGTTATTCAGTTTAATATCCAAGTTTTTCAATTAAAATAACTGAACAATTAATATATGATGAATAATGAATGTATTATAATTTAATAACGATTCTTTCCACGGTTTTCTCCGTCTTTTCCCTTCTATTATTCAATCGAAATATTAGACTGCTGATTTAATACGAAAAATCCACCTGTTTCATCCCTTTAAATCCAAATATATAAACTTTCTTATGAAACAATTATATTTCTTTTTATATTCATATTTCTTGGACATCTACTTTGCAATAATGTCACTAAATATCTTATCTTATCAGCTTCCTTCCCGCCTCTAATTTTGAACAAAGTTTACGTTACGGTAGTTAACATCACTCAGTCATAATCATCAAAAAATGTCTCGTGAAGACTGACATTTTGAAGGTTTTTAAAAATTAAATCTGTCTAGATTTCTTACGAAACTTATTGTTAACTACAAAAAACAACCAAATGAACCATAGAACTTGATCAAACATCGCATGAGAAAATTCTTATTTACTTAACAGAAAATAAAATAACCCAATATTTGTATAAAATTTTAGCGTGGTAATCATTTAATCATGCAGCTTCCTATACAAAATAGTTTTTTTAGTTATTTATTTAATCTAATTTGGCTCAGAAAAAGTGCCTTAATTACAGGCCTCATGCAGTTTCACCATCCACAATTGGATAATTTTAATGAAAAATTTTTTGGAATTTTTTGAGTGCATTAAGAGTAAAGATCGCATCAAATGTGACTAATATTAACAATTTTATGCAATAAAATTGCTATTAAATTTCTCAAATAATTTCGAGAAGGGAAGATGATTGTAAATCTCGTTTGGGTAAAAATAAGCAAGTAAATTTATAGAATTTATGCCAATAATCAAATTATCCTTACAATAAAGCTTAAAAACTTAAATTATAAATTATAACTTAAATTCTTTAAAACTTAAAAACTTAAATTATTCTCGTTTTACTCGAAAACATTTTGGATATTTTCCTTGATTGAATTCGTCCGGAAATTTTTCACAGGCTTAATTTATAATATTAAATAATAATACATTAAATAATATTAAAATTATACATTAAAATACATTAAATAATATCTTTCAAATTATGAGAAAAAGGAGGGTTTAGTTTTTCGAAAATTTGCAAAAGTATCATTTAATTTTTTGAAAAGATAAGAAGCTTTAGAAAAGTATGAAACAAAAAATTAGAATTACTAGAAAATTAGAAAATTTGACTATAATATGAGCTTAACACAAACTCTGACGCATATAAATTCATCCACAAGGAAATATTTATATTAAACTGAATGTTCATTCATCTTCATAGGTTATATTTAAGCACAAAATGATAAAATTTTCCTACTTGAACTAATCTCATATAAATTTACCCATATATCTACGGTGCTATTACGAAAAAAATTAACGTTTTTAAAAAAACTTAAAGGAAATTTTCAAGTTTTACAAAAATGAAATTAAAAATAAAATTTCACGACACTACCTTTAGAAATCACCATAAAGCATAATCTCTTAGATATTATTACAATGATCCATCGACAAGCTCCTCAAAATAAAATAAAGTTCCATCGACAAGTTCCCCAAAATATTTCACAAATTATTTTTTTAAGCAATGATTTGTAAAGGGAAAAATGTGATTGTAAATGTTTTTTTTGGTGGGAAATGCAAATATAAAAATGATGGGAAAATATTGAAAAAAGGGAAAATTTGGTCAAATGCTTGACTGTAGACAGACAGACAACATTAATATATACAAAATACATTTTAAAATACATAAAATAGTACAGAAATAAAACAACTTTAAACAAAAACTACTATTCTACAACTGTTATGAGGAAATTTTATCATAAATGATTATACAGTCTGAATTACTGATTGTACTAACTGAAACGAACTTTTTATGCTGGACTCATATCCTCCTATATCTTTTATTGAAATTTTTAAGGCTTTTCTCCATTTAACTTTGCTATTTTTATTCACGAAAGACATTTTTCGCAATAAGGGCACATCTCTTATATGATATATTTAATTTTTTTACATACTTTTATTTCATTTAAATTTATTGAAAACTGAAATGAAAAAACATTTTAAAATTCCGCAGAATGAGGTTTGTATAATAATAAAAGTTTGTATAATTAATAATAAAAATAACAATAATAATAATGTAATAATACTGATAGTAATTAATAAAAATAATTAATAATAATACAATAATAATAGTAATATAGTAATAACAATAAATAACAATAATATAATAAAAATAACAATAAGTGGAATAATAATAATAAGCAACAAATATTCTCCCTTGAGGAAAGGAGAGGAAAGAAGCACGAATTGATTATATAAATAATTCATGATAATGGAGGTAAATAATTCAGCCTTCGTTAGCAGTTGAAGTATTGAAATTATCTATTCAAGCAGTTGGCTTTAACTAGATTCGTATAATAACATTATGCATATTTTAATGAAATTTTTAACTAAAAATTCTTGATTACAAATTCAAAATACTGCAATGAATCGACGTTAAAAACCTTAAAAAAAGAAATTCTACAAGAAATTCTAAAAGATTTTATTTGCCAAAATTATTTTTCATCTCTCTATCGTGAAACAAATAGATAATCGCGTATAAATCATGATAGAGTTCCAAAAAAATGGATTTTCAGAAGTTCAAAAACAGCAAGAAAAGTATCGCTAATTTTGTTATAGGTAATCAAGAGCCACTAAAACTTATATTTACTTCAATTTTTTGCTCAACTTTTTTATTTGCCATCTAAAACGGCAAAAATTGATGCATTAACGAGACAAACAATGAACAAGATCAGCTCCCTCGCCATTATGAAACGAGTAAACTAAGAAAAGTCTTACCAAAACTGTTTCGGCAATTAAATTCTTCTCTCAGTCATTGAACACAATATTTTTTTTATCAAAAAAATTTGTTACAAATGAATGAATGCAAAACGTAAAATGTCCGTAATTTTTTGAATATCTCAGTGAATAACATTCTTTTCTTGAAAAATTAATTAATAGTCACATCATATTTACTATAATCCACAATAATAATTAATTTAAATTATTTTTGACCGATCGAATGTTTCCACAAAAACCAAATCCACTATATATTCATTTGTGTCTCTTAACAGAATGTAAACCTGTTATTGAAAGCGAAATCAGGATGGTTCTGGGGATCTATTTGTACTCTCACTAAATAACTTTTCACCGAAATTCTAATTGCTGATAATCCAATTGAACCAGAAATAGCGCATGCTTTTCAATAAAAAAATAATGATTAACTGGTCGTTAAGTAAGATATAAGAAAAATCATCAAATCTCATTAAAACAATTTTATTCCGAGTTGCATCATATTAATGTTGTAAATGAAAATGTGCAGCAAACAACTATAAAAACTGACTAAATTTAAAGAAATTTCACAAAATTCATTAATTTTTAAAAATAAAACGTAATAAAACAATGGCATAACAAGTGGTAGCAATTTGAAAAGTAGTTTAATTGGGAGATAAAGTAGGTAGTAAGATTTTTGCAAACAATGCTTGTAGAATGTGCTAAAGTATACTGAGTGAGTGGAACTTATTATCACGGCAAGAATTAAAAAAATGTTTTCATCCGCACAATTGAAAATATTTACATGCCTCAGTTCTCCATAAATAAAGTTATCATAAAAGAATTGATCCCGATCGAATGTTTCCACAAAGTAAAGCGTATAGTTACAAATTTCAGATGGTTTCAAATAAATATATTTAAGGAAATCGTATATTAAATTCGTTAAATTCGTTGAAAAAATCGCTTTAGATTAACTAAAATAATCATCTAATCAACTGTATGGCATAGGTAGAAATAATGAAATAATGGAAAAAATAATATCGATACTGTAAGTTTACCGAAAGTTTTGTATTAAAAAACAAATTTAGAGCTAATTTATCATCTTCACTAATAAATATTAATATTTAGTAATACTATAATTAAACCGACAAAATGGTCGAGTGGTAGGCATGTTGCCTATCATAGCTTCTCTTCATTGGGAGCAAATCTCTCATTGCACAAGTGAAACCCAAGCTGGTACTGAAAATATATCTATATCCCTCCTTCTGGGAAACTGCTCTCATCCTAATAGTTCATGGAGTTACATCACAAATAATCTATATTATTAGAAAAAAAGATTAATATTAGAAGATTTAAAATGGTATAATTTAAAAGGGTAGTATAGCCGGGCAAACAGTATTTCAGACCGTAAGCAAAGGCCTGGGGTTAGCAGCAAACTTGTTAAAAAACCAAGGTTAAACCCGAGTGCTAGCAACCCACTTCTATACTTACATCTCACCAGTTTCCTAGCAAAAATTTTCAACCGTTCTTGCAACCAGCAAAGCGAATTTTGCCAGAAATCATGGGAGCTAACTATTCACTTACGTTATTTCATGTTTATTTAAAATAAACATTTGCTCCATTGGGTTGCTTTCAAATATTTCCAATATAAATTAAAAGAAATTTACAAAATAAGATTAAATGTAGGCGAGTGTGGCGCATGCACCAATGAGTTTTTTATTCGCATTTTCAAGCAGAATAATCTACATTATTACGATAAGGATTATCGCATACGATTTTCGAAGATAGTGAAAATTCATTCATATCGAAAGTTATCGAAAGAAATAGCAAAGAAAAGTGAATATACCTAAAAGACGAGCTCCACCATAAGCGGTCGTTTGTTGTAGGTTCATTTCGACTAGAAAAGCTTGTCAATGACACAAAAGTACCATTGATAAGGACAACTGGTGTGGTCATAAAATATGTTTATAAGTTGATAAGATGATAAGTTTACAAGTTTATGATTAGTAGGTATTTGTGAATAAAAATCAGCAAATATAATAGTTGTTGAACAGTGGAAATTAAGAAATTTTTAAGGGTAAAACGATAATAATAACGATGATGGGCGTGCCTGGCAATGAATATAAATAATTCGAGCGTTGCATCGGATGGATGTTAATGGATGATAACTTGAACGCGGAGATTCAAGCCAACAACTACTTCACATACGAGCCATCGCACTCAACAGTTGCTCGAACTAATTTCTTCATAGATTCACCCCAAAGTCTTTTGTTCCCTCTGATAACTTTGGTTATAAAATATCGATCTATTTTCCGCTGTCGGCACTTCCCCTTTATATATTCGCTATTCAATCGTTCAATTCCATCTTTAACTCATCAATATTTGCTTGTAAAAATAAATAAATCAGTCGCTGAACAACTAAATTTTAGCCGAGTGGTGTTGATTATATGGTTTCAAACGTCCTAATACGTTGTCCTTTACGGTAGCAAGCTTTGCTTAGAAGTCAAATCGGAATCCGAAATCAGAGCTATCAGTAGTTCTATGACTCCCTCTGGCGAAAAGCCTAGCAGTCAATAAAGTAAACCAAATCAAAAATGCTGAATGTTCTTTTAAAGGCCAAAAAATCAGAAGTCTCTTAAAATAAAGAGACTTTTTTGATTGATATTGCCGCCAGTTTAGGCAAAGTAAACTCGGAGCGTTTGCAAAATAAATTTTTAATTTTAGGAATTGTTAAACGAGCCATTGCAATAAAGCTTTTCCTGGACTAAGGGCTTATTTTTTATCATTTTTACCTCTATTAAAGAAATTATTTTCATTTTTTATTATTTTATTATTATTAATTTTCTATAAATATTTCTTCATAAAAACATCAATTACTGAAAACCACTGAAAAGAATGGTATAATCGCATAATCGGGTTGCGATTAAAATTAACCTATATTAATGGACAATCAGGGTTGCAAATAATCCATTAAATGGTCTTTAACTCAAATTTATTAAATTTCGATTTCAAATTTCTGCCTATAACGAATATTGGGGTAGAATGGCTCAGTAGGGTCGCTCTCATTTCGGAGCGCGATGTTGGGGTTTTATTTACGATAGGAGAGGCCTGTATCAATAATTCGCGTGAAGTTCACCTCTACTTCTATCGTTAAATGACAAGGTTTATCTGGTGTGATAAACCAGCGGAATGAGCTTAAGCAGAATTAGTGAACAATAGTGAAAAAAAAAAATCAATTTTAGCATGATGATTTTTGCAAGAATAAAAAACATGAAAAATGTTTTCAATAATTTTACACGTTTAACCCTTAGCATTAAAGGCTCATATTTAAGAACATGCCTCATATAGTATTTGCAAGGAAGTCTCTATACGGCCAGCGCACAAATATTTTTCTTAATGTCTTCGATAAATATAGTACCATAAAAAAAGAAAAAGGCTTCTTTCAAATAAGTTTCAATATAAAGTGATGTACTTAAAATCTTTCGAATTTGCTTTTTTATCAAAATTGCTTTTAAAATTAAAAGTTTTAATTTTTATTGTCAATTACTTCCATTTCATTTTATTTATCATTTCATTTGGTACCGCAGCAAATAATTTCTGCTCCCCCATTTTATTCAAAACACAATGTTTTCCAAAATATTTCCAGCTTTTAGCGAAAAGAAATACAGAATGCCAATAATCAATCAAAAGCCGTTAATTAATCAATTTCTCCAAGTTTGTCAAATGAAAAAAGACAAATTCTTTTCCACTAAAAGCTAATTTTTAAAAAGCGTAATTTTTCTCGCCCAAATTTAAAAAATATATCCATTAATACGTAAGAAAATTACTGAAAAATAAATGAATAATTTATAATAAAATTAATTTTTTTGATTGATAAAATTTTTAAAAATTGACCAAAAATATTACCAGAATTAATTAAAATTAATCCATAATCTGTAGGCAAAGATACGATAAAATTTTTCGACTGTACAAAAGATGAATGAATATAATTATTTGGAGATCAGCAAGAAGACAACATGTGTTGAACATGAAATTTGAAGCGCGATCAAGCGGAAGTACGATTATAACCGAGTTCACTCAACCCTATTAATATCAATAGATCGTATCTATGACTAACTGTACATTTATAACTAACTGTACAAATAAATTATAAAAGTGAAAGCCTCAATATATTTTAGAGAATTTACATGAAAGAAGAAATGATTGCAAATTGCAACTATTTTTATACAATAAAATTAAACCATTTAATTGTATGGTGGATAGCGTTTACCTTTTCTGATAAGGCTCACTCTGCTGGTGGTTACCGTATGGAAATTTTTACTTGAAAGTCAACTGGAAATACAAGTACAGATGAGCCGCCATAATTTTTTTCCAGTGGCATGAAAGCAGAATCCAAACTTTCATGCTCGAGACAACAATCCGAACAACAAACACCCATCCATTGGCCCCATTTATCGCTGAAAAATCCCAAAATCCCGAAAAAGAGAAGAAATGGGATTCTCATTCCATGCAATTTTCATTTGTGAGAATGTTCACTTTCTTTAAAACCGGGTCATTTAAAATACTTATTGATTCATTATAGTTAACGAACTAAATGCTTAGTTGTCCGATTTTCACTCATTCATTTCAATATGCAATCCAGCGTAGCACTTTTCCTAATTGAAATAAATCGAGCATTCCAAGACTGCAATATTTTAACCTATTTCCTCTACAGTTTTTAAAGTTTTCACATTTCGCTTTTCTTCTCTATTTTAATATTTCAGTACCACCTTAAACACATCAACTAGGTTTACTTTATTTGATTATTTATAGCTTTGCATGCAGAAATGGGAAAAGTTGATTCAAAAAAGATAAGAAAGCAAATTAAATATTGTAAATTCAAATGTTTTCACAACTTTTCTTCTTTTATCATTTTTATTTCTAAAATCTAAATTTACTTAAAAGAAATACTTGTGGATATTTTTTCATAGAATTAGCTCAAAATTTAATTATTAATAATGACAATATAGCAATAATTCATATCAATAAGACTTCTTTTCTTAAATGAAATTAAACTCAGAATGATAGTTAGTGAGTGAAATATGCAAAGTAAACTCTCAATATGCTCCATTTTCATTCATTTGTTGTCCATTTTTGCTTAAAAAATTTCCAAAAATACAGAAGCAGAGTAAAGGAAACCATTAATTGATAAAACTGATAAAAAAAACGAAATTAGGCATAAAATCTGGAAACATTTACGCCAATCATGAAGCGCCTATCAACAAAAAATGGCCTTTAATTCGATATAATACAATAATCACTTTCATTATCTTGATGAATCATGATTATTATCCAATCTTTTAAGCAAAACAAGTGAAAAAAATTGAATATATTTTTTAAAAATGCATTTGGATTTCGAGAGCAGAATAGCTCAGTGGGCTAATTCGAAGCGCAGATGCTGAGTCCTACTTCCCGCAGAAGTAAAAAGAATAAACCTGTCCAGAAATCCAGGCTACTCACTTTTACTTTTATTGCCAAGGCATATTTATCTAGCACGATAAGTCAGCAGAGCCAGTCAAATCAGTAGTGAGGTGAGCCCTTAAAAAAAAAAATTTGGATTTCAGGAGGAAGCTACTGACGTTGAAAAAATAAATCAGCCATTGAAGACTTAATGCTAAGCCAAATTTCTGCGCTTAAGCCGTGATACTTATGATAAAAGTTCAATGTGTTTAATGGAATTTGGAACTCTAGGAACCAATGATTCAATGCATCTCAATAATTAGCCATCAAATGATCTGAAACTAACCGCTCAATGAGTTTTCATTCAGAATCGGACGCGGCCTTTGTTGATATGGTCCAACTGATAAACGAGGAATACGCTCTCCGTTACTCATTCTACTGAAAATTTTTTTACTTGAAATCATTTTATATTTCTCTTTTCTCTTTTATTATAATATATATCTCTAAGTTTTAGCTAATTTTTTTTACTTAATTAAGTTTTCTCAAAACATGATTCTCACTGAAAATATTGTATAAATAAGGAAATTTTACTCTGTTGAAGTTGTACAACTTGTTGATGTGGATGCATGAAATCCAACAGCCGTAATGGAGTTTGTAACCGAGCTACACGCCTCTTCGTCACTTGTCGACTCAGCAATCTCAGCTAATGGTGAAAGGTCGCCTTGCTCTGAGAGTTCTTCATCACACTCTATTGCTAGAATTATTATATGAAATTATTAGCAGAAAAAGGCAAAATCATTTTTGAAATTTCATCGAAATTTTAGCCAAATTTTCATTTGATTTTTGAATTTATCCAATCGTAAAAAAAAATAATATTAATAAATTATGAATTGGAAACAATAATAAAAGGGTGGAAAGGCATAAGGAGCAAAGGTTCCAATTTTGGAACATCGGTGCTGGAGTTATACAGCATCATCTGGTTTGTCTGCTACAGGCCAGCAGAAGCTTAATCAGAAATGCTGTATAAAAAATAATGATAAAAGCGAGCAAATGAAAGGAACAGAGGAACACTTTAGCGATGATTTTGACCACAGAAATCAAAAAAAAAATATTCATATTCATAAAAAAATATTTGAATATATGCAAAAAAATATTCATAAAAAAACTTCATTAGCCATTCCTTAAAATAATTTTACTATAACTATTATAATTTTTTGTTCATTTTGATCATTTTTCATTCTCAGTGACTTTAAATAAGTACAAATAAAACACTGTTCCTAAATGGATACCCAAAAAAATGGGAAAAGCGAATCGAATTCTAAACAATAATACAAGTTTCTCTGCGATAAGTATATTAACGTTCAGAATAATTCTAGAACTGCAATAATCATGTAAGATTTCCATTGATCGGTTAAGCGAAATAAACTAGAGGGTGGCCCTCAACTGATGGACAATTCCGTCCTATTAAGATTCGTTTCAAGAGGGATGGATAAAGGCTTATGAGTAAAGTGCAAGCGTCCAAGACCATAGTCTTTCGAATCGACAGACATGCTATTTTGTTGGATATGGTGAAAAGGATCAAACACGATTGAGAACCACTGGAATAAACAAAGTGATTCAAAGAGAAAACAAAAAGATTTGGCGGAAATTACAGATGCATTTCACAGCAATAATGTAATTTTATTCTGTTAATTGAAATGCGAAAAAACTTTTTACAAAAAATTTTTTTGTTGCACTTTTTAGCAGAAAAATTAATGAGACATGCAGCTGCAAAACGACCATAACAAAAATCTTCATAGTTTTTCAGATTTTTTAAACATCTCAGCTGGTGATTATTCAGTCCATGTATCATGTTTCGTTCTATCTCTCTTGACAATAGAAGACTAAAAAATTATTAGGAAAAAGATTTTGTCGATTGGCTTTATCTTGGAGCTCATTTCATCTCATGAAATCTTACTCTGTTATTTTAAAAGAATTATAAACGAAAAATGTCGTTCCATTGATCACTTGCTCAATCAAGTTTACTTAAGATCTTAAGTCCAAAAGTTTATTTGACCTTCCTGGAATCGAAAAGGGATACATGAAAGGAACCACTTGATTTTCAACGACTTTTTCATCACTCGCATTGCGCAATTATTACTACCCTATCTTAAGTAAACCTATACTTAATACACTACTTGAAGAATCCTTATCGCTGAAATTATTTTCGCTCCAATTTGGGACAATTCCCTCAATAATGCCCATAAATAGTTTAAAATATTTTCACAAAGTATTTTAAAAAATTTCTGCAAGTTTTTTTTAGAAATTTTCCCGGGTTTTTCCGCGATTTTCGACAAAATTTCTAAAATACATCTGAAAAAAATAATACTGAAAAAAACATCGCGAAAAAGATTATCGTTCCATATAATTTTTTTTAAAGGAGTTGGCAAGAACATTTCAGAAATTTAACATCAAATAAAATATCAAAAACTGTCACATTTTGCATGATAAAAAGAATATTAAAAAACTATTATACGCAAAATAATCGCTTTGTTTTTTCGAAAAAAATCGCGGGAAAGTTAACCAAATCCCAGTGAGGTACTTCAGCTGAGGGGAAACAGCAAAATCAAAGATATACACCAAATTCTTTTTGTCGAATATTTTTTTTCTGGAGAGAAAAGCGACCGATTATGCAAATTAAGCAAACTGCATTAGAAAAAGATTTTTTGGAGATTTTTTACTGCTAAAAAAATTTAAAATATAAACTCGCTAAAAATTGAGAAAAACCTATAAAATAAACTAATAAAATAAAATAAACTAATATCGTTCATTTCTGAAGATTGATATGATTTGCTATAATAACCGATTAAAGCTTGAATAATAGCTGATAAACAAATTTTTGTATACTGAAAATATCATTTTTATTAATTTTTAACAAATAATTTTTTATCGAATATAATTTATATAATTAATTAACATATAATTAATAATTGAAAACAATAAAATGGAAAATTATTTGATAAAAAATATTTCAAACATATTTAATATTTATCAAATATTTCAAATATAAATTTAGCGGTAAAATCGACCGAAAAATTGCCAAATCGCAATTTTAGGTCGATTTTAATTAGTAATTTAAGTCGAAGTAAATTTTGGAATTTCGAAAAAACAAAGGAAGAAAATTACAAAATTTTCTATGTAAATAGGAATCGGCTGAAAAAAACTTTGTACAAAAAATTATTTTAAATGAACTCAAACGCTATCATAAATCTGCTCGACGAAAAAAAAAATTTTGCTAGGACGACGATTGCTTTTTAAAGACACTTATATGTCGATGAATAACTTAAAAATGTTGAAAAGTGGGCGACGACCATTAAAAACTAAAATAATAAAACGATAAAAACGTTTACTCGCTAAGTGGAATATGGAGTACGAAAATCGTCGATATCTACAATTTCTAATATTTATCGGCTTGCAACTGAGAATCCTTCGCTTTGCAATATAGAGAGACTCATAAACCACATTACGAAAAATAACAAATTATTATAATTATAATTAAAAAATAGCCACAATTTGTTGAAATAAAAATTGGAACATTCGATCGATTCTTTTATATTTTGATTTTATAGGAAGGAAATTTTCCTATAGTATTTACGCATTTTTAATTAGATCCAAACAACTGAGGGAATTGTGACCGATTTGCTTCAGCTGAAGTCAAGCAAAATGGGTTTCTTATTTTATTAATGGGAGGGAACTATCTTCGAGTAGAATTGTGATTATAATTCTATCCTCAAATAACTATCTGGCGAAACGGACTTAACTCAGTGAGGAAGACCAAACAAACCAGAAATGCTCTCGAATGCTCCTAGGCGAAGATTAATCTTCTTAATTACGTCAAATTAATGGGCAATTGTTGCAAGATTTAATAAAGATAGTGCAATAAATATTTAGCGAAATAAAAAAGCCATCACTCCTCGAAAGCCTATAAAAACGAAGGAAAACTTTCGAAGAAGTATCGCCAAAAACAAATGGAAGGACAATGAAGTCTATTTGTAAACAAACATTAATAAAAGGTCAAATCGCAGACGTGAATATGAACTTCATCAACAGAGCTTATTGAAATAACTTAAGCAAACATCGTAAGCGAGAAGCAGTTCAATATCTGAAGGAGTCATTCACGATATAAAATTGCAAAAATTAGATGGATGTGGCAAAAAAATGCCCAAATTTGAAATTTAATAACGTTTTAAAATTTTAAAATTTTCGCCACACTACAACTTTAGGTTCGGGCCATAAGCTTGCATCGTAAGGTTGGGCTGAGGGTTATTTCACAAGTTTAAGCTCAGTTTACTAAGTTTAATGAACATATCAATATCAATATCTAATGAATGGAAATAAACTAAAAACTGCTAAACTGATAAATTTTATTGAAGTAATTCCTTATTTGCGAAAAATCATACGAATTTCTAATCACGAATTAACAAACGAAACTTTTCCAAACATTTTTTGAAATGAACTATTACATGCTATTCCATTGAAAATAACGCAAAACTACTTAGGTACCAGAAAAGCCCTTTGTAAACAGCGGAAGTCCAAATGGTGCTGCTGATCTACCTATCTGCACCTCTATTCGTAAATCATCTTTGGCAAGATTATATCCTAGCAGCTATTTGAAGTAATCAAACCAGAGATCGTGAATAGCAATGTTAAAAGAATAAATATTCAAAAATTAATTGAACATTGGATTTCTTCAAAAATTCAAATTGAAATCCTGTGGATCGAAATAATAGAGATCCATCGTCATTCATTGAGATGATGCAAGTTAACTTTATTCTTTCGCCTTCCTTTTTTTTCACCGCATTTCTTTTGATCCGCAATCCACTTATTCTACATATTTTGCCGTATGTGCGAAATCTCCATTTACCTTTGCCTTTTACCTTGAAAATGGCTCGTAAAATAAAAGGTTTTCCTTACTTTCATTTCGATTTCTGAAATTAATGTGAATTAAGGGAGAAAAATTTATGAACACAAAATAAGAAATGCTTGCAATCGCTTTCAAATTTTTTTTTTGAAAAAAGGATTCACATTGAATTTTTCACATTTTGGCATATGTTTAATCGAGGAATATTAAACTCCATACGCAGAAACGCAGTTATTCATTATTAAAAGATATTTCATTTGTAGACTATTGAATAGTTCATATAAAATATAAAACGAAAGAAGACTGATTCGAATAGAAATGAAAATGAGAGGAAATTTTAAACTTAGATTTAAAAATTGGTTGGTGGGCACGAAAAATCCTAAGAGGATAGAATAAAATCGAGTGCTTGTTTAGAATAGCACCATAATTTAGACCGTTCATCGTGCAAAAGCAAATTTATTGGAGAATCCAGATGGCAATCTGAGTATGTTTACCTTGATAAAATTATTTCATCCTACTGATAAGCAGTGGAATAAAGCCAATTATATTGGTGAATATTAAGATAGGCGACAAATTAGAATGTTCAAAATATTTATCTATAATCATCATATATGTTTTTATTGTAATAAAAAAAAATGATTCTGAAAATTGACGCTGATCGCTAATTAATTACAAAAAAATTCTTATTTAAATATAAATTAACCAACAAAAAAACAAAAATCAACTCGAAAATTGGAATTATTTGGATAAAATCTCAATGGAGAAATAATTCCTTCTGCAAATTTAACCTGGAAAATATTACCATCTTCAAAAAAGGATTAGAAGGACTTAAAAAGGACTTGTCCGGAAGTACATTTAAACTGACTAGCAATTTTTTCTGGATTGCGGATCTGAACTACATAAAAATAAAGCTCTTTAATGGGTTTTAAATCGGCTAATGAAAATACTATTGTATGGAAAGAAAGATTAAAAGAATTGGTTAGTAGAGAGCCATTAAGGCCAATCGCTGAATGCACATATGGTGCTTTATCTCCGTTCATAGAGTTAAGTTTTTTATCATTATCGGCCGTCATCCTTTATCATAAACTGCAAATAGAATATATTAAACAACTGCAGCAATAATCAGCACAGTCATAAAGCATAGAACCGTGCAAATTTTGATTTCATTTCTTAATTTTAAAATGGCAAAGCCTAAAATTACATTTGCTCCTTTCTTGAAAGAAACCATTTAATATGAACGATTTCTTGATATTTGTTGATGAATTCTTTTATAATAAAAGATGAGATAGAAGAGAAAAAGCCAATTGATGAATTGATGAATTACATAATAATATTATAGTAATGAATACGAATGGATGGAAAAAATCGCGAAACTAATAAAAACTATCGGTTATAAAACTGTCAGTTGGATTTTTTAAAATAAATATACGAAACCAGGAAACAAATGAACGAGTGGAATGAGTGGAGAGTCGCTAAATTGCTTCAACCGAGGTCGAACCATTAAATACAAAACATATTGATTTAAAGATACTGAAAGACATTCCAGGAGACATTTAAAAAATAACAAGCACATTTTCGAAATTTATCTCCAGAATATGCTGACCACATGTTATAAACATGCATAAACCAAATTGTCGTAATCAAAATCAACCAAAATCAAAATCTACGAAAATAGGAAATTTTATTCCCTCTAGGACCACCATATATGGTTTTTTTCATCTTTATCATCTTTATCAGTCATCTTTAGCATGCCTCAGATTTTAAGCAATCATAATTATAAACTGGTATCTGAGTTTAAAAAATCCAAAACGTTTGTGCTTCTTATCGAGCAATGGCGTATCAGAAATTTCTCGTCAATTTTTGTAAAAATATAGTGAATATATTCAGCATATTCAATTATTTAAGAACTTTAAGTCAATTTTATTTTGATCAAATTTTTTGACCGACCTGAATTTACTTATCACAAATGTTTCTAAAAATGTTTCAAAAAAAGCCAAAATGTTCCAATTCCACATTGTAAAATACATTCCTTTCTTCACCAGCTAATTAAGAAGGGACACAAAGATTCAGTACCAAAAGATGAAATTTTATTGATCATTGATTATTCATTAATTTGCAAAGATCTATCTTGCTTGTGGGCCAAACTGAATAGATCATTAATATTTAACCAGTTGAGGAATGAAATATTTGGTTCAAGAAAAGACATTTTAAAATTCACCTTTAAATAAACATATATATGTATACCCAAACCCAGTGGCCTTACCGATACAAGACATTGTAGACCCAGTGGCCTTACCGATACAAGTCCTATCACATTACTGCATTAGCGAAATTGCATCAAATT